CAGGCAGTGGCTTGTAAATCTGGGCTTCCCTGCCGTTCCTGTCCCGATTCCAGCCTGCGAGCTTTCTGGATTAGCTATAAATCCAGGGGAGAGAATCGGAACCATTAAAATGGACTCAGGACGTGCACAAATGGAAAGCTCAGATCTGCGCCCACGGTTTGCTGAGTGATTCTCACCCTCTCTATCTTAACCACCAACTAAAAAAATACAAAGGAAACCGGCCAATGTTACCATTTCCAGATCTGCCAGCCTAGAGAAGGGAACTTTCGGACGCAGCGTCACAAACTCCAAAGAGGCTGATTGGCCAAGGTCCTGCTGTCACTCTGGAAGCACCGCCTTCACTATGGAGGGCAGGAAACTACCTGTGTGAAAAGGTAACAAGAGATGTCTAAAGAGTGCAAAGCAGTTGCAGCGCCAATACCAGGCTGAATTGTTAATATTAGAAAATCCACAAATGTCATGTGTTTCGTTGGTTCAATGCATTTTATTACCTGGTGGGATTAATTATGTCTTCATTTGGTAGAATTGATCTTTTAGGGCTGTCTGGCAAAGGCCGATAACAACTAATAAAACAGGTTAAATAAAATATACAAATATTAACTGCATTGTAGACAGAAGCAATAAACACTAAAAGCAGAGGTAAACACTGAGAACAGTGTGGAAGAGCAGAAGCCTTTGCTTGTTTACTCATGAGTAAGTCCTACTTCATCCTATGCCCTTTTAAAATGTGCTTTGGGGGGTTATTGGGTTGCTGTTTTTATTTTGATTATATGTTTTGTGGTTTTATATTTTGATTTTGTACTGTGAACTGCCCTGAGACCTCCAAGTATAGGGTGGTGTTATAAGAATTCTAAGGTGACAAATATAAAATAAACATTCATAAATGTACAGGGCAAACACTTCCATAAGTATATAAACCACGTGTCTGAAATAGTACAGGAGAGTAATCCTGAAGCCATTTTGACTCTCCCAAACCATTCTGACTCTTCTAAATTGACCTCAAATATTTCTCTGCAAGGAGAAAGGAAATGGGAAAGCCTTCCCATTGTCTCTTCGCTTGCAAATCCAGACTTAAGGGCATATTTGTGTATGAATAGGGTGAGTCTGTGACCTGGATTTAGGAATTAAAGTATTTACCATCACAAAAGAATGGCTAGGCTGCCCAGCTAATGCAATCAGTGACCATTGAGTATCTTGGCAGGCAGGATTTCTGCCTCCTTCTGTGATGTATGTATGGTGTTTTTTGGGGGGAGATGTCTTGGGCTACAGGGTGGGCAATTTCAAACTTCTATATAAGGGCTTGTGCACTTATATTCTGGGTTCCTCCTCCCTCCTGTGTGTGGGGAGTGGGATCCCTGTTGCAACAGTTTAATAAGGGACTCTATATGGGCTCTTGGATACCCCCGAAGGGAAAAGGAGCAGTTTTTTTCTTATAACAGCGGTATATACATAATAATAATAGGCTCCAGCCCACCCCTTCAGACAGTGGTGAATTCACAGACTTTCCTTCATCTCAAGCCACTTCCCTGTCCCACTTGGGTGTTTGCTCAGCTAAAGGGGGCCAGGTGGGAAGTGCAAAGGCTGCTGGGAATTGGAGTTCACAGAAAAACAACTGTGCCAGGGAGGAAGATTGATCTAAAAAGAGAAATTAAACAGCAGAGAGAGAAAGATCCCCTTTTTCCCTCTCGCACTTGGATTTAATAGCTTTCTTGTTCCGTTTTTCAAAAAACTGTGGCTCGGTTTCACATATTGTCAACGTAATACCATCAACTTTTGTGGTTTCCTTAAAAAAATATTTCTGACCCTGATAATATGTTAGCTTGACCATGGGCATTCTGTTTTCCACAGTGGCTAAATCGGATAGCTCTAGAAAGACCAATTACTGGACACAGAGAACCCAGAATCTGTGGGGATTTTGAGGAAGGTAGAAGAGGATGTCTTGATTAAATATTATCCCTCCTCACTCACGCTAGTGAGAAAGCCATCAGAACACATTCCCTTGCAAGTTGGTGATTCGTTAGAATCCTTTAAATTAAGCAATCCAGTCTTGCTTGTTCCTGGTAAGTTTCCCCTTAGTATTTCCCTCTTAAAATAATAATAATAACACCACAATAGTCTTCTTTAAGAGTAAAGTTTACTTACCTTGTGGCTTCTATCCTCTGTAAAGATGAACCATGTGCTGCTGGATAAGAACCAGAAGAGGAGCTCCAAGAGAGAAGTCCTAAAGGAGAAAGGGGAGATGGCCATGTGCTCAGCCCTTTTAAAGGGTCTGCTAGGGCCACACCCACCTACCTGGTCACACACCAGGGGAGGGGGCTCCAGAACAGGTATGGCAGGAAGTCCTCCCTTTTCTGGAGCCACATTCCCCTGGGTCCACTCTAGGCAACAGGAAAATGTTGTACTTGACTGCTTCAGTGTTGGTATAATCCCACATGCCCCTTTCTCAGGCAATACAACATACACTTATATACACAATTTTTATTCAACTGCCCTGTTATGTACTGAGTTGAATAGGATCCAGATTGCAGCAGTCTGATTGGTCCTAGAACAATAGGATTCAGAATGCAGCAGTCTGATTGGTCCTAGAACAATAGGGTCCAGAATGCAGCAGTCTGATTAGTCCGCAGGAGCCACCCAATCCAACACCAGGTAAAAGTGAATCCGCAACCTGATTGGCCTACAGGAGAATCCTGGAATTAGCCAATCACGTGGGGCCCATTGTGTAAATAATGTATATAAAGCAGACATTTCGGGGAAACATTCCATTCCTCACTACTATGAGCTGAATAACGAGCATGAAATCCACACTCGACTCCAAGTATATTTCACACCTAGAGTCCAAGCTTGACACGTAGGTTCTGGAACTGCAGTCATCTCCTCAGTGTGGCAATAAGACAGCTCCACAAGTCCCTCTTGCACAAAGTGGTGCTTCTTCACCCCAATGCGCTTTGTCATTGCATGGAATTTCTCACTCTGGAACAGCTTTAGGCATCGTTGGTTGCCCTCCATCAGACTGACAGGTTCCTTTCTCACCAACCCAAAGTCCTCAGTCAGTTGACCGAGCCAGGCTAAGATCCTTGCAAGAATTTTGCCGCCCGAAGCTAATAAAGAGAAGCCCCGATAGTTTCCGTAATCCGTTCTGTCACCATTTTTTTTTAAAAAAAAGAGATTGATAATTTTGGCATCCCTAAAGTCTGCTGGGATCTCCTCTCTCTCCCAGGTTTTTAAACGAGTTTTGGAGTATGCCAGCTTTCAGCGTTTCACAGAACACTTCATCAGTGCGCACAACTTCATAAAAACGAGAGACACCTGCCTTTCAATGTATTTTTAATCCTTGTTGGAAGCCGCCCAGAGTGGCTGGGGAAACCCAGCCAGATGGGCGGAGTACAAATAATAAATTATTATTATTATTATTATTATTATTATTATTATTATTCTACTGTAAGTGATCTCTTACCACAGTAAGCCACATTGTTTTAAGAAATTTGCTTTATATATTTAAGAGGTCACGAAAAGTCGGACACAACTAAATGCCTAAACAACAACAACATATATATCCCACCCTTCCATTGTAAAAAAATGTTTGGAGTGGCTCATAGCATATTAAAAATAACTAAAAAAGGAAATTTGCACGAGTCTTCCTTGTTTCACAGAACCAATTGCCTAGGCCTGCCCTAGCACATCTCTGAGACATCTCTGCTCCAAAATATTGTCAAATCCTCTTTCAAAGCCCATCTCAGACGGTGCCCTACATTTGGGGCAGCATATTCCATCAGGGCTCTTCTTATGTTCTGACAGTATTATGAGAAAACATTTTTTCTCTGTGTCAAATTTTCTCTGTATGAAGTAACAGGAAAGCTTCACCTGCTGGATTTCCTCCTGTACTGGTAGTATTAAAAGTGTAGCCGCCCTGCCAGAAAATAAATAAATAGCAATAAAGGCAAAGTATTTCTCACGCCTTTAACGGCTATGTCGCAGGCAGAAATCCATCTGGAGCAAAGCTTCACCTGTGGAGTTCCCTACTGTCACACACCTATTAAAGAGGCAGCAGCCCTGTCATTAACAATCTCAGATAATAAAGAAATAGTATTACCATTTCCTAAATAAAAATGGCTGAACTCCGCTACAACTTTACCAGCTTGTAGCAGGCAGAAACCCACCAGGTGCAGCAAGGAAGTGAAATGATAGGGAGAAACGTCCACTGCTGGATCTTTCCGCCTGGCAGGGAGAGAGAACGAGGCAGCGGAAACCAGATCCCAGATCCAGACTTCTTTGCGTTTAGATGAGCTACAGAAAAAGGGCTTCCTCTGTATTCCTAGAGAAACCAGTCAGTGGGATGTAAGACAGAGCAAATATCTTCTTTTAAAGACGGGTATGCATCTTGCTGGACCCTTAATTTAACTGAACGGCAGGCAGAAATCCAACTGATGCAGCTCATGCCCCCCCCTTCCCTTGCACGGAGGTGCCAAGATGGGAAGAAACAGCCACTACCTATTAAAGGCAGAAGAAGGGCAGAGAAGGGGGAGTGTGACACCCCCTAAAAAAACACACAAAAAACCCCGGTTCAAAACTGCCTGCAGTTAAATGAAGGTTTACTCCAGATTCCTGAAGAGGCCACTGTGCAGTGCTCTTTTAAAAGCGGGCAGGCCTCTTGCTGCGCCTTTGATTGAACTAAACTGGCAGGCAGAAATCCACCCGGTGCAGCTCCACCTTCCTTTCCCAGCATGGAGGTGTAATGATGGGCAGAAAGGGACCTGAGATATAAGGAAGGCAGAGAGAAAGAGAAAGAGAGAGAGCGGGAGGGAAATAAAGTTTCCACTACCCCCGCCCCCCCCCCGGCAATAGATGGATGGATGGAGAGATCTGCTCCAAATCGGCCAGCGTTTAAACGAGGCCTCACTCCGGATTCCTAGACAGGCCAGTGTGGGTGGCATGTGAGGCCAAGCCTCCTGATGTCAGGGGCTAATCCGTCCCCTTCCTGCTTTGCTCCCTCCCTCCTTCCCCTCGTGCGTGGGAATCTGGAGTCCGGATTTCCCAGGAGCCGCAGGAGTGAAGTTTGGCATCTGGGCTGGGCTGCAGGAGGGGTGAGTGAGACAGGGCCGGGGGGATCTTATATTTTGGGGGGGTGGGGGTGGGAGTGAGACCAGCTTATTTTCCTCCTCTCCCCTCCTCCCTTTCCTCCCTTCTTCGCCCCGATCCTCTGCTTTTATTCCTCCCTCCCCACCATTTCCCCTCCCAATACACTGTTGTTGTTTGTTTGCAAAAGAAAAGCAGCGCCGCGCAAAGATCCGCGCGTGGCATGCCTAGCCGCGCAAAGATCCGCGCGCGCGCAGACGCCGCGAGCTCCACCCGCGCAGAGGAGAGCAGGCGGGCGCCGCTGGGGGGGGGGGAGGAAGGTGGGGTCCCCGTCCCGTGACGCTCGCCTGCCGGCTGGGGGAAGCCCAGCGCTGGTTCGCCCCCTCCGGGCATGCGCGCAGGGGGGGGGGGTCCCTTTTCGGAGCATGCTCACGAGGGGCGAGTGAAGCCGACGCGTGCCCTTAGCGGGCGCCCTCAATTCTGGGAAGTTTCTTCCCCTGCTCCTTTGCGGTGGGGGGTGGGAAGGGGGGGTTGTCGCCCCAATATTAATTAATAATTAGTGATATGCAGGATGAACTACGGGAAGGGAAGAAGGGAAGTCATTGATTTAAGATTGTTTAAATGAATATTTTGAAATGTAAATTAGAAAAATTAATAAAAGTTATGTATCAAAATTAGTTAGTTAATTGTGGTGGGGGTCCCCCAATATTCATTGATTGATTGATTGATTGATTGATCACTCTAATAATTAATTAATTTGTATATTGCCCTATACCCATATATCTCTGGGCGGTTCACCACAATAATCTCTCTCTCTCTCTCTCTCTCTCTCTCTCTCTCTCTATATATACATATGGCCCACAAAATACATAATAAAAATAAAGACAACCCAACAATCCTGAGTTGTTAATATTTTTTTATTTTTTTGTGAAAGTAAGCAGCAACAAAACACTCCTAGCTGTCTGTGATTTGCTTCAAACTGGCTTTAATGTTGTGGTTTTTTAAAATGGCTGTAACCAGCCCAGGGATTTTATGATGGTAAAAAAGCTGGTAAGAAGTTGAGTCGATGATGAGAAGAAGCAGCAGCAATTTTTTTTGATAAAAATAAAAATAATGAAGTGACGGTGGTAATATTTTGATCAAAGTGCCGTGGGTGACAGCACCAAATGGTGCCATAGGCAACAACAGCAACAGAAAGTGATGGTGCTCCCTACTAGTGAGCACCGTGACAAAGAAAGTACGGTTAATAAGCAATGTATTACTCTTATTATTATTTATTTACATATATTTATTTGTTGTTGCTGCTGCTGTTGACTAAAAAAGCTAACGTATTCAGATACAGTGGTGCCTCGCAAGACGAAATTAATCCGTTCCGCAAGAGTCTTCGTCTAGCGGTTTTTTCGTCTTGCGAAGCAAGCCCATTGACGGATTAGCGCTATTAGCGCTATCAGCTGTTTAGCGGCTATTAAAGGCTTAAAGGCTTAGGGATTAGCTGCTAAAAGGCTATTAAAGGCTATTAAAGGCTTAGCAGATTAGATAAAGGGGGAAAGCGGAAAAAATCTCAAGACTCGTAAGGTATTTTCGTCTTGCGAAGCAAGCCCATAGGGGAATTCGTCCTGCGAAGCAACTTCAAAACGGAAAACCCTTTCGTCTAGCGGTTTTTCCGTCTTGCGAGGCATTCGTCTTGCGGGGCACCACTGTAACTGTGCCCCTCAAGCTTCATTCAAGTGGTCCATGGTGTTTCTGTGAAAAACACAATCTGAAATCTTTGGAAATAATAACAATTACGGTGGTACCTTGGGTTAAGTACTTAATTCGTTCCGGAGGTCCATTCTTAACCTGAAACTGTTCTTAACCTTAAGCACCACTTTAGCTAATGGGGCCTCCTGCTGCCACCGCGCCGCCGGAGCACGATTTCTGTTCTCATCCTGAAGCAAAGTTCTTAACCTGAAGCACTATTTCTGGGTTAGTGGAGTCTGTAACCTGAAGCGTATGTAACCTGAGGTACCACTGTATTATTATCATTTATTAAGTTTGTATACCCCCCTATACCCGCAGGTCTCATGGCGGTTCACACGATAAAAATCACAATATAAAAACGCAAAACACATAATCAAGAATTCTTTGCAATACAGAAAAATACAAGATACGAAAGAAACAAAGCCGAAAGCATTCACTTAAAAATCATACAGCACCTAACAGAGTGCTTTACAATTGCTGCAGCAGGCAGAAAAAATAATGATAGGGTCCACTGAGACCCTCAGTAATTTTGAAGAGGTCCATGTGGGGAAAAGGCTTGGGAAGCATTGCACGAAATGATGGGCCCTCTGTTGTAGTCACAATGATTAATTTTTATCTTTTCTTCTTCAGGAGGAGAAAAAGCTTTCCCTTCAGGCCTTCAACATTGTCCACTGCCGTGTAAGATTCCTCCTGGTTTAAGCATCCCAATGTCCTCAGCTTTTGCTAAGAGACGCCCATGCAAATGTGAAGAGAGTGACCCATGGCTGGGGATTGTTTTTGGAGACACGAGCGCCTGAGGAAAAAGGTTTGGGAGTGACGACTGGGCAAGTGTGGCCTCCTCACATCTCCCATTGCATACGGTGTCTTCGGACAGGAATGAAAATGGAGGGCCGGGAGTCGGAAGGGCTCAAACCGTTGGCGGGGCTGGAAGGGAAGGTCAGGGGCTCCCACCCGGCTCCGTCCAGGACCACAAGGGCCTTTTTTGGCCGGGCACCGTCACAGCAGGTCAAGCAGGAGCCGGATGAGGGCCTTTCTGACTGCTGGGAGACCCAGCTGGAAGAATTCCCCGAGGCGGCGCGGTCCCCTCCGTCCGGACGGGGCAACAACGTGCAGTCGCCGGAACCCACCCCCTGGGATGACGCGAAGGAGCTTCTGGCATCTTTCAAGGGCGCTGTAGAAGGATGCCGGTGGGCTCGCGAGGAAGCCGCCCCCAGGCTCATCCCGGACACTGGAAGAAGGGGCTTTGGGGCAGCAAAGGAGGAGGTCCTGGGTGGAGATGCTCCGAGCAGGGACACCCTCCGCCAGCGCTTCCGGGAATTCCGCTACCAGGAGGCTGAGGGGCCCCGGGAAGCCTGTGGGCACCTCTGGTACCTTTGCCACCACTGGCTGAAGCCAGAGCGCTTCTCCAAGGAGCAGATCCTGGAGCAGGTGATCCTGGAGCAGTTCCTGACCATCCTGCCCACCGAACTCCAGAGCTGGGTGACTGGGAGCAGCCCGGAAACATGCGCCCAAGCGGTGGGCCTGGCGGAGGATTTCCTGCAGATGAAGCAAGAGGCTGAGAGGCAGGAGCAAAAGGTGAGAGGTGGCTCGCGTGGAAGGCGCCGGAAGCTTGGTGGATGATAGCCAGGTGGAGAGAGAGGCTGGCTGAGAGGGGCAGTGAGGCAGGCATCTCCCGGTCAGACTGGGAGAGAACCCGGTCTGAAATCCTAGAGTCAGTGAAGACGGAACCAAACTGCATGACTTAGCAGAAAGCATCTTTCTGTTTTCCTAAGATCAGGTCTCCCAGAACCAGGAGAGGCATGAAAAGAGCAGAGGGGATAGTAGGCACCATCTCAGATTGCTTGGGGAAAACCCTGGAGAAATGGAGAGATTTCAGCCTCGGCAGCTGCTTCATGGATGCGAGACCTGTCAGAGATGAGTTGCTTTGCTCATTAGGTCTGACACTCCTGTGTTGATCCTTTTTGCTGATAAAGAGCTAATTCCAGCCTGCTAGGTGTGATTTACTGCTGGCTCGCTCCTGTCAATAGTGTATAGTTTTCTATTTCTGTTGATGTAAACAGCTTTGCTGATGCTGATGCTGATTATTTTTATTTTATTATTTCATTTCATTTGATTTTATATGATTTCCCTCTGACTGGGCTACAATAAATTAAAACACAGTAAGACATCAACCATTAAAAACTTCCCTATACAGTGCTGCCTTCAGATGTCTCCTAAAAGTCAGGTAGTTGTTTATTTCTTCGACATCTGATGGGAGGGCATTCCACAGGGCGGGCGCCACTACTGAGAAGGCCCTCTCAGTGTGGAGGTCAGCTGGAGAGCCAGTGTGGTGTAGTGGTTCAGAGCGGTGGACTCGTACTCTGGTGAACCGGGTTCGCGTCTCCACTCCTCCACATGCAGCTGCTGGGTGACCTTGGGCCAGTCACACTTCTCTGAAGTCTCTCAGCCCCACTCACCTCACAGAGTGTTTGTTGTGGGGGAGGAAGGGAAAGGAGAATGTTAGCCCCTTTGAGACTCCTTAGGGTAGTGATAAAGTGGGATATCAAATCTAAGCTCTTCCAGGCAGAACCAAGGCAAGTGGAGACGTTCCTTCAGGCATGCGAGGCCAAAGCTATTTAGGGCTTTAAAGGTCAGCACCAACACTTTGAATTCTGCTCTGAAATGTACCGGGAGCCAATGATATGATGCAAGTGTTTGGTTTGGTTTTTTAAAAAATAAACTAACCACTGAGCTGCACTTGCCCAAAGTTTCATTCCCCCTTTCTTTTCTTTGCAGCATGCGGAAATGACGGCCGACCCAGAGAGCTCTCAGCTGGCTGCAGAGCCTTTCTCCCTGGCGGATTCTCTCCCAAGCCCCCCGGATGTGAACCTCCCTTCCCCGGAGCCCAGGAGACGGCGGGACGCCTGGTCCCGCAAGGAGACCATCGCCTTCATCGACATCTGGAAAGCGGAGGACGTCCAGATCGCCCTGGGCCAGCAGTACCGCAACATGAAGCTCTTTGCCTGGATCGCCGACCGCCTCCGCGAGCGGGGCTTTGAACGGGACGCCGAGCAGTGCCGCAGCCGGGCCAAAGACCTCAAGCGCGGCTACAAGGAGATCAAGTGCGGGAACCTCCACTCGGGGAGGGCGCCCAAGACCGCCCCCTACTTCAAGCTGCTGGAGCAGTTCCTCTGCCTCCGCAAGGGCATCGTCTGCGGCAAGGTGTGCGGGGCCGGCGTGGTCGAGCGGCTGGACAAGAGGCGCAAGAGGCTGCCCCTCAACCCCATGGCGGCCACCAGGGTCGCCCGGGAAGCAGCCAGCGCCGCCCCGGAGGCAGCCGCGAACGAGCGGCAGTACGTCATCCTCTTGCCGCAGGCCTCCCCTCCCAAAGAGCTCCGGGGGGCGGCCGCCGAACTGGGCAGGCAGGCCCGAAAGCCGTCCAAGGACGACGATGTGCCGATCGTGGGGAAAGAGGAGCCGCCGCGGGGCAGTAGTGTCCCCTTGCCCTCCCCAGAGAACCCTGCTGAACCTCAGGTGTCAAGTGAGTGGCACTTTTATCTGTGGCGCTTTGTGGCTTGGGCAGTTTTTTTGTGGCATACAGTAGTACCTCAGGTTAGTGACGCTTCAGGTTACAGACGCTTCAGGTTACAGACTCTCCTAACTCAGAAATAGTACCTCGGGTTAATAACTTTGCTTCAGGATGAGAACAGAAATTGCACGGCGGCGGCAGCGGGAGGCCCCAGTAGCTAAAGTGGTACCTCAGGTTAAGAACAGTTTCAGGTTAAGAACAGACCTCCAGAACGAATTAAGTTCTTACCCTGAGGTACCACTGTATAATGGCTGTTAGGTGCGATGTCAACATTCTCCCTCCTCTGTCGGAGGCAGAATGTGTGTTTTGCTTATTTATTTCACAAAATTTATATTGTGAAAAAGAAAATGACCAAACCTAAAAAGCAGTTCGTGAAAAGAATAAAACCATGAAATTACCAGTTAAAAGGAAAAGTTAAGAGCAGCCATTTACGGATTGCTTATTGAGCCCTCACTTTGGCCAGGACTTCCCATCACTTCACTTGCCAATATGAGGGCAGAGGGGGCAAATACCCAACTCTTACAAGTAGCTCCCATTTCTGGGTTCCAAGCCTAGGGTCAAAGTAGACCAATTAGCTTATATCAAAGCAAGTGAATGTAAACAGGTATGAGCTCCCACAAGAGGCAATGGACTCTCCTTCCTTGGAAGTTTTTAAGAAGAGGTTGATAGTCCATTTCTCATGGAATGCTGTCCTGTGAAATGCTCTCTCTTCGAATGTCAAGGGATAAAGAACTACATAACATATAGAACAGGGGTAGGTAACCTAAGGCCCGGGGGCCGGATGCAGCCCAATCGCCTTCTCAATCCGGCCCACGGACGGTCCAGGAATCAGCGTGTTTTTACATGAGTAGAATGTGTCCTTTTATTTAAAATGCATCTCTGAGTTATTTGTGGGGCATAGGAATTCGTTCATTTTTTTCTTCAAAATATAGTCCGGCCCCCCACATGGTCTGAGGGATGGTGGACCTGACCACAGCTGAAAAAGGTTGCTGACCCCTGATATAGAAGATACTTGAAGGCAGCCCTGTATTGGGAAGTTTTAAATGTTTGATGTTTTGGTATGTTCTGATATATTTTGTGAGCTGCCCAGAGTGGCTGGGGAAACCCAGTCAGATGGAAGGGGATATAAATAATAAAATTATTATTATTATTATTATTATTATTATTATTAACTGCCATATCATGAAGTTTAGCTGGCGACATATTATGATGTTGGAAAGCTGATAATTGCCCAGCCCTGCTGTGGAGGAACCTGCTCCTGAGCTGCATTGGGTATTTTAGTGTCAACACCTTGAACTTGCCCCAGTTTGACTAAAGATTCTCACCCACAGTAGTTACACCGAAATGTCATCAGATAAGATGTGTGTTTTGTGTTTGCGTGCGTCTTTTCCTTTAGGCCTCGAATGTCCGTGATTCTGTGATGAGGGCTGATGGCTGTTTTATTTCCTTCACTCCTCCTCTTTCTTTTTGTCTCTCCTCAGGTGCTGCGGAGGAGCCGAGAAGGCCGACCGCCGGCAACATGGATCGCATGCGCTTCCGGCGGGAGCGCAACTGGCGCCAGCGATTGGAGTCTGCCCGGCGGCCGGTGGACCCCACATCCTCCCCGGCGATGGCGTCCTCCTCCAAGGCGAACGCCGACCTTGTGGACGCACTGCGGCAGCTGCACCGGCAGGACCTGCAAGCCTTCGAAAACACCCGGCAGGAGGAGCGTGCTGAAGACAGGCAGGAGAGGCGCCAGGAAAAGCAGGAGCGGGAGGAGGACCGCGCCACCACTCACCGCATGATCGCGGCCATCGAACGCTCCCACCAGACCCTGGCTGACCTCATGGGCAGGCAGACCTCCGCCATGGAGGCCATAGCGACGGCCTTTTCGACCCCGAGATACCCCTCTCCCAGCCTCTTTCCGGGGTTCAGCCCCCCGTGGTCTGCCCAGCAGGCCGCTCCCAACTCCAGGGAGAGGCGGGCCAGCGCCTCTGGGAGCAACACAATGCCCTTGCCTTGCCCCACCCCTGACGAACCCGGGATGCACATTCCTGCCGGGGCACAAGACTTGGCTCCGGGACCCGACCTGGCGCCAGGCCCCCTGTGTCCCTCCCCCAGCCTCGAGCCTTTCCCTCCTATAACGAACCCGAGTCCCGGAGATTCGCCGGCCACCTCGCTGCCAGCTCCCGTCACACACCCCAGCGCCACTTCGAAGCAGAGCCAGAAGAGGAAAAACTGTGACTGAGCAACACTTTGCAGTCCCCCACACTTTCTCGTCTGACCAGATGGTTCCCACTGCCATCCTGTTCCGTTCCTTCTCCTTATTGATTGCAGTCTATGGAGTTTGTCATTGTTCCACCTTCACGTCTGCCTCACTTTCTTCCCTCGCAAACAACGCTGGATCATGCCAAAGGGGGTCTCTGCAGTCCAGCATACAGGTCGGCCAGCTGGGGAACCCCCAAGGAAAGAAGGGTCAGGGCCTGTGGAATGGTGTTGGGACAACAATGAGGGAGAAGAGGGAGCAGACTTGGGAGAAGAGGGAGCAGACTTGGGAGAAGAGGTGTCGGAAGCTGAAGGGGTAACAGGGCTTAGTGAGCGGGGAGAGTCTGTGGCAGAGAGCAGCCCAGAATCAGAGGCAGAAGCTGAAGCAGGAGGGTGGGAGGAGAGAGTATTCTGGCTGGTGAAGAGTCACGGATGTCTCACCTTTCTGCTGCAACAAGTTCCCTTCCCCCTTGTTCTCCCAGAACCAGGAGAGGCATGAAGAGGACGGAGGGGCAGTTAGCTTTATACAGGCACAGTCTCCGATTGCTTGGAAAAGGCCCTGGAGAGGAGGGGAGTTAGGCAGCCATGGGGAGGCCTTCAGTCTCGGCCACTGCTTCATGGAGGAGATCAGTTGCTCTGCTCATTAGGCCGGACACTCCTGTGCATATCCTGTTTTTGCTAATAAAGAGTTAACTCCAACTTGCTTGGTGTGATTTACTGCTGGCTCACTTCTGTCAATGTCTCAGTACCCGCAGAGCAGAATCCGAGAGCAACAGCCCAATGTTCCCTATTTCTGATCCCCAGTGACTGGTATTCAAAGACATATTGCCTCTTGACAGGGCAAGTAGCCACAGATAGTCTTATCCTTCACAAATTTGTCCAACATTCTTTTAAAAGCATCCGAGTTGGTGGCCATCACTGCTTCTCATAGGAGCATATTCTCAGCCTGCCTGCTTTTTTTAAATAATTATTATTTCATGCACAAAGTTTTCATCAGCATAGGAAAGTGATATTGGCATGATTAGAGAACTTCAGCTTCTGTTTTTGTTTTTTTAACCCCAGATAGCAGGCTTCCATCTTATTTCTTATTTGGAAAACTTTTTATGCACCATCATAAAGGTAACCTTTCAGTGGTGTGCATAAACAGAAAATTTACTAATGACACACACACAAAATCAGCCACATTTACTAATAATACAGACATAAAACCAGCCAGGTTTTCATTAATTGATTTAGAAAGATTAGTAAGCTGCTGGATCGAATTGCCCTTCAGTTGGTGCATACCAGGGATGGGGAGCCTGTAGCCATTCAGATGCTGCAGGAATCATAGAATTGTAGAGCTGGAAGGGAACCCAAGGGTCATCTAGTCCAACCCCCTCAGTACAGCTCCCATCATCCCTGACCATTGGCCATACTGACTGAGGCTAATGGGAGATGAAGCCCACTGACATAGGGAGGGCCGCAACCTTAGTGTACATTCTAAAATTTGTAGGATAAAACACAGCTAAAAGCCACAAAATTATTATAAGATCAGTATCCGTAGAAGGATCAAAAATGCAGGTGAAACCAGCAAAACCTTCAAAAGCAACCTAGGTGACTAAATCGGGGCGGCCCAACTTTTCATACCAAGTGGGCTTCACAAGTACTCCTACAGAGAACCTACTGTGGGAGTAGAAGCAAAGCCAAAATCACATGCTCCCCTCGGCCCTCATGCTGCCTTCCCAAAGCCGGATAAGCAAGGCACCAGGCTTTAGGAAGCAGTCACCACTCTACTTAATCTATGTGCCAAGTTTGATTTTCATCTTTTAAATTTTGTTCCGTTGTTATAACTGTTCTCTCCGTTTTATGTGCAGCAAAACTTGCTTGCACGTTTACAAAGCTAACAGGGTTTGGTATGGTTTCAAATCGGACAGTGGAATGCATGTTGAGATTCCTGCATTGCAATCATAGAATCTTAAATCTAGTCCAACCCCCTGCCATGCAGGAATCTCAGCTAAAGCATCCATGTTTTATCGTGTTTTTAATAATCTATTGGGAGTTGCCCAGAGTGGCTGGGGAAACCCAGCCAGATAGATGGCGTTTAAATAATAATATATCATCATCCAGTATATCTAAAGGAGCGTCTCCACCCCCATCGTTCTGCCCGGACACTGCGGTCCAGCGCCGAGGGCCTTCTGGTGGTTCCCTCGCTGCGAGAAGCCAATTTACAGGGAACCAGGCAGAGGGCCTTCTCTGTGGTGGCGCCCGCCCTGTGGAACCCCCTCCCACCAGATGTCAAAGAGAAGAACAACTACCAGGCAGCCCTGTTTAGGGAAGCTTTTAATGTTTGACGGACTACTGTAGTTTAATATTTTGTTGGAAGCCGCCCAGAGTGGCTGGGGAGACCCAGCCAGATGGGCGGGGTATAAATAATAAATTATTATTATTATTATTATCATCATCATCATCATCATTATATTGCAGTGTGGTTATACTCGATGACTCTTGGGGATCCCTTTCAACTCTGCAATTCCATGATCCTTTGTAATAAAATAGAAAGAAAGAAAAAAAGCAACCAGCCTATTGTGCAAAACTGGACATTGCAACAAAAAGATGGAACTTTGCAGCCAACCGCTCCGCCCCTTTTGCTTCTGGCCCCGCCCATCGCGGCACCTACTCCCCACCCCCACCTCTCGAGGGGGTCCAGCAGGGAAAGCGGACTAAAAAAAGCCTCCCGCGCCCGCCTTACGCGAACTCCGCATGGTTGGTTTGCTTTGCCGCGAGGCGCGCAAGGGGTTAAAGCGACAGAGTGGGCCGTTGCTAGAGAGGCGGGGGCGGGACTCGAGAGCGAGGTCCTGGGGGAGGACCTTTCGGGGGCTGGCGAGTTCCTTCCTGTGGCGGGAGGGGGAGGAGAAAGAGGGGAGTTGCGAGGAGGGGGGAGGGCAGATTCGCCTTCTGAATTGTGCATCCAGCTCCCAGGGATCTGTGTTTTGCACCCACCTTGCAAGGAAGGATTGCAACCTTGCAATCTTTGCAAAAGGTGAGTGACTGATGGAGGAGAGTTGGGGGAGATGCATGTGCAATTATTATTATTATTATTGATGATGGTTAAAGACAGAATGATGATGATTAAGGACAGAAATTGCAAATAATAATAATAATAAAGAGGAGATTTCAGCCAACCGTCCATGCCTGAATGATGTAAGAATTCCTGCAAGGACGGTCATTCCCAGAGAGGGGAGCCCTGACAACAAAGAGTCTTGTGTGACCTGGAAGGCTAACGATTTGATGATGGTTGTCTGCTTCGGGGATACTGCAGCCCGCTTCAATAGATGCACGAGATCTTATCCTGGAATACAAAGCATTCGTATCCCTGCAGTGCTTCCCTCCCACTCCAGATTATAGTCTGTAGGGAAACTTGCTTCTGAGTAAAGATGCACAGGGTTGCTGCACTGTCCCCAATCTGGTGTGGTGGGGAAGAGTGTGGGCCATCGAGCCAGGAAGGTTTGAGGTTTAAATACTTGCTCAGCTCTGAAGATCGCTGCCTCTCCGCCTAGCCTGGCCTCAGGCAGGATTAAATGAATCGTAGAACTGTCAGCTGGAAGGCACACTGGGGTCATCTAGACCAACCCCCTGCAATGCAATCATCTTTTGTCAATATGGGGTTCGAACCTGAGGTTAAGTCTCATGCTCAACCAACTGAGCTATGTAAAAGGCTCATTGTTGATTATTAATCTTTATTCATTACTAAGAATTCTTACGAATGGGCTGCATCTAGCTAACTTGTTCCATCAGCACAAGGATTTCTACTTGGGCAGAGGAACATCCCCCGTTCACACCAAGTCTGCACCCTGTGTTGCGAATTCTCCGCAGCGCTTTAGCAGAAATGCTCAGAATTCCAGGTTCTTCAGTGCAGTATATTTATTGTGAGCTATATATACAAATATCTACAGGCTATAATACACGAGCAGTTCATACAGTCAGACAGAGTACCTGGCTGCACCTTAAGGCAAATAGGAAGACCTCTCTCTCTCTCTCTCTCTCTCTGACCACACTCTTCTGCACCACCACACTTACTGATGGACAGGTTTTCCTTTTAAACCAATGACAGCCAATCAACTGACAGCACATTACTGCTGAGTCTTTCTGACCCAGCACTTCCATAGAAAGTATTGCAGGCTGATTGCATCAGCCAGCAAACTCAAGCCTGCAGACTTACTATCTCACACAGCATTCTGTGAATCCTGACACCCTGCACACTTCCCATATCTGAAGAATAAGTGGGGGAGGCTCCATTGCACAAGTGGAAATACTTGCGCGGATGAAATGAATTAGTTGACTACATCCCAATAATAATAATCAATCTAACTGTAATTATTAATATTTTTTATTACAATTGTTTTATGAATTTCCTTCTAAACGACTGCCTCAAGACGATTTACACACAAAATAATTAAAAACAGTTAAAAGACACAAAACCAACATTAAAAAAAAAAACAAGACCAAAAGAATCCTAACACGAGTCAAGCAGCAAAAAAAACCCCTAATGCTATTCCAGGTTGCATCAACATCAAGTATAGTGTCCAGATCAAGGGAAGTAAGAGCCTTGGTCAGACGACACTTGGAATAATGTGTCCAGTTCTGGGCACCACAATTTAAGAAGGATGTCGACAAGCTGGAATGTGTGCAGAGGAGGGCAACCAAGATGATCAAGGGTCTGGAGATTAAGCCTTATGAGGAACAGTTAAGGGAGCTGGGAATGTTTAGCCTGGAAAAGAGGAGACTGAGAGGAGATAGGATAGCCATCTTCCACTATCTCAAGGGCTGTCCCATGGAAGATGGAACAAGCTTGTTTTCTCCTGCTCCGGAGGGTAGGACTTGAACCCATGGCTTCAAGTTACAAGAAAGGAGATTCTGACTAAACATTCAGAAAAAACTTCTGACAGTAAGAGCCCTTCGGCTGTGGAATGGCCTCCCTCAGGAGGTAGTGGACTCTCCTTCCTTGGAGGTTTTTAAGCAGAGGTCAGGTGGCCATCTGTCATGGATGCTTTTGCTGAGATTCCTGCATTGCAGGGGGTTGGACTAGATGACCCCCAGGGTCCCTTCCAATTCTACAAGTCAATGATTCTATAATTCTAAGATTCTAAGAGGACACTGGCAGTAAAGACCCCATTTGCCCAGCTAGAAATCCTGTTGGAACTAAAAAGGTCTTCACTTGTTTGGGGAAAGCACAGGTCGTATCTATTCATAATTATTGTTGTTATTGTTGGGCATTTATCTTTCCGAACAAATAAAAGTTCCGTTTCTCACACCCAACCCAGCTGCGTTTAGTAAGAAGACACAGAAGGGGTTGAATCTGGAGTGGAGATAGCCGAGCTGGGCTAAAGCTGCCCTCGATCTGGGGAGAGAAAATGGCTTCGGAGGAGGAGGAGGTGGGGACCATCCCGCTGGTCCTCCAGGAACCTTTTCCAACGGAGTGGGCAGGTGAGAAAATGGGCAGGCAGAAGAACTACTTGAAAATGATTTACAGATGGTGTTTAACTCAGAGTAGGCTTGCTAAAATGCCTAAGACTGAATCAGATAAGTGCTGGAGATACAATGAGGTCGAGGGTACATTCTTTCATATGTGGTGGACCTGTTAAAGGGTGAAAGTGTATGGGGAAATGATCCATAATGTATTGGGAAAAAATGTCAAAAAGTACTTCCCCCCAAAAAACAGAGTCCTTCCTGTTGGGGATAATTCAGACTGAAATTCCCAGGTGTCAAAAAATGTTATTTATGTATGCCAACACTGTGGCCTTTGTTTTGTTAGCCCCCAAATGACAGAATATGCACAACTCGCAGACTTAACATATACTATAAGAGAATTAGAAGAACATACGCGGGTGGCGCTGTGGGTTAAACCACAGGGCTTAGGACTTGCCGATCAGAAGGTCGGCGGTTCAAAACCCCGTGACGGGTGAGCTCCCGTTGCTCGGTCCCTTCTCCTGCCAACCTAGCAGTTCGAAAGCACGTCAAAGTACAAGTAGATAAATAGGTACCGCTCTGGCGGGAAGGTAAACGGCGTTTCCGTGCGCTGTTCTGGTTCGCCAGAAGCGGCTTAGTCATGCTGGCCATGTGACCCGGAAGCTGTACGCCGGCTCCCTCAGCCAATAAAGTGAGATGAGCGCCGCAACCCCAGAGTCGGCCACGACTGGACCTAATGGTCAGGGGTCCCTTTACCTTTACCTTTAGGTGTAATAATGGAATACTGAATGGTATAGTTTTTGTAAAATATGCAGGTATTTATGATATGTAAAATGAACCATGGAAAGAGAAAAAGGAACGTCATTGATATCTTAAGGAGTACCTTGAATTGTACAACAGAAAATGTAATACAAATTATATACAACAGGTGAGAAAATGGCCGATGGAGGCCCTAGAAGACAGACAGACGTTTCTGAGGACGCCGGTGTGACCAACCACGTTGCTCTGGTGAAAAACGAAGCGGCTGCCGCACGCGAGGAAGTCTGCACGAGGGACGTCACGGAGATGGTGGTGACATCTCATTCGGAAGCGGACGACCCCCAGCTTCCAGACCCGCCGCGCTGGGACGATATATTTTTGACGTCTGTTGAGAAGGCTGTTGACACCCGTCCGGGAAAGTGGATGTCGCAGCTCATTCCGGGCCTGAAAGAGGAAGGGCCGCGATTTGAGGAGAGGGAAGCGGGAGATTATGGGAAGGTGAAGGCGGCCATCTTGCGGGTCGACGCCATCAGCACCGAAGTCCAGCGGCAGCACTTCCGCCTGTTCCAATACAAGGAGGCCGATGGGCCCCGCGAGGCCTGCAGCCGCCTCTGGTTCCTTTGCCACCGGTGGCTGAAGCCGGAGAGGCACACCAAGGAGCAGATCCTGGAGCTGCTGATCCTGGAGCAGTTCCTGGCCATCCTTCCGCCAGAGAGCCAGAGTTGGGTCAAAGATGGCTGCCCGGAGACCTGCGCCCAGGCGGTGATGTTGGCCGAGGATTTCCTCCAGAGGCAGCGAGAGCCCGAAAGGCCGGAAGCACAAGTGAGATATTGGGTCTCTTAAATCTTTCATCCAGGTATAGGCAGCCTCCATCCCAGGAAGCAAATGTGGCCCTCCAGACCTGTCTGTCAGGCCCCCTGCTTGGCCACACTCACTCTCCCCAGGCCATGGGGCGCCAAATGGCTCCTCAAACCAGGGTTACAGTCGCCAAAACGAAATACCTAGTGGCCATTTGTGGGGCTAGACGGCGCGAAAGTCGACTTTTTTCAATACGACTTTTTGGTTCCTGAAATCCGTTCCGATTGCGCAGAGAAAATATAATGGATAGAATTCTCAACAGCACTTGCATTGGATATAGCCCAAATATCTGAAAGAACATCCCCTTCCCTACAGACCCTCTTGGGTGCTGAGGTTGGCAGAGGGGACCCGCCTGGTTGTTCCTCCTCCCTCAGAAGTTAGTGGGGTGGCAGCCCAGGAGAGAGCATTCTGTGGGGTGGCCCCTCAGTGCATCCTCTGCACAAGCGACCCCCATTGCACAGCTTTTGGAGACCGCTGAAGACCCACCTCTTTACCTTTGGTTTTGACACTCAAAGTGTGTGTGGGTTTTTTGGTCCCAATATTAAATTGCTTTTTAATATTGTGTTCTAATTGTTTTAACCCGCCTTGGGACCTTACTTACAAAGGGCAGGCAAGAAATATTTTTTTTAAAAAAACATGAATAAATAACGACCCGTCGTGGGAATGAAGCTGATTTTTCTGTTCTGGCTTACCAACGGCAACAAGGAATGGTAAGGGAGGTCTGAGAGTTGTTCAGGGTGGGCTTAGAATCTGTCTTCGCCTGTGGCGTTGCCCCCCCCCCCCACATGCTGTATCTTTCAGCCTCTTTCCTGGTCTTTCAGGTGCCGGGATTGTTTGAGGATGCCAGGGAGACGTCCCTGAAGGCCGAAGGAGCTCTGTTGGACCCTGAGCAGAGACAGCAGGGCCTGGAGGTCAAGGAGGAGACTGCTGCGGAGGACAGTTCTTCACGAGGTAAGGTGCCACTGCGCTCATTTGAATTTTAAAATTGGTTCCTTTGGATGTTGGCATGCACAACATGCTTCCTGTGACCCAAACCATTAAGCGGAGAGCTAGAAGAGAAACAAAGGGGGAGACAGGAAGGGAGAGGCAGGCTTGGTGAGATGGGGAAGGGAGAGAGACAGGTTGGGAAAGGATCATAGAATTATAGAGATGGAAGGGACCATGGCGGTCATCTAGTCCAACCCCCTTCAGTGCCAGAATGTTTTTGTCCAATGTGGGGCTCGAACCCACAACCCCGAGATCAGGAGTCTCCTGTTATACCGACTGAGGAGAAGGGGGAGAGAGAGGGAAAGGCTGGGAGAGAAAAGAAAGAAGGGGATTGGGGAGAGACAGGAATCTCCAGCTAAGGCTGGGAGAGACGTCAGCCTGAAATCTTGCCAATTGGCATAGGCAATATTATGCTCACTAGATCCATGGTCTGACTCTATATTAGTTTCTGAACTTCTGAAATCCCAGAGCCAAGCCGTTGATTTTGATTCTTAAATTTGTTTTGGGGTTCTTGCTGATATTGTGATAATTTCTATCAGGTCTGTGACTGAGACTGATGATTTGTAATTGTTTCTGATATGTTTGGAACTTAATAATAATAGTAATACAGTCGTACCTTGGTTCTCGAACACCTTGGTACGCGTATGTTTTGGCTCCCAAACGCTGAAAACCCAGAAGTGTTCTGGTTTGTGAACACTTTTCAGAAGCCAAACATCCGACACGGCTTCCGATTGAGTGCAGGAAGCACCTGTAGCCAATCGGAAGCCGCGCCTTGGTTTTCGAACGGTTCCGGGAGTCGAACGGACTCCTGGAATGGAGTAAGTTAGACAATCAAGGTACCACTGTAATTTTATTATTTGTATCCCGCCCATTTGACTGGATCGCCCCAGCCACTCTGGGCACCTTCCGACTTACATAAAAGCACACTTACTGCTCACTTGATATGATTTGTGCCATTTTGGACACCGTTCTGTGAGAAAGTGGCATTCAGATAAAACAGACGATTATGATTATCAGTGCTAATCCCCAAAACTGTTCCTTTTAGGCAACCTGTGCCCTAGTGAGAACAACAAAGGGAGCCCCCAGCCAGAGAACAGGGAGCACGAGGGGCTGTGTGAGGCATCCGATGAAGGCCTTGAGGAGACCTTCCCTCTCTTTGACAAACTGGAAGACCTACCTGAAAGGCCGCCGCAATCAGATAAGCCGTCGAAAAAGCCACCCAGGAAGAGGCTGCAAAAATCCATCCCATTGGCGGGTGGTTACGAAGATCTCGGTGTAGCCGCAGCAGAGAAGGAGACGGGTGAGGGCAAGCCGCCCATGAAGATCATCGTCTACGAAGAAAACTTCAGTCAGGGCTCAGACCAAGCCGGAGAGAAAATTCACAAGTGCTCGGTGTGCGGCAAATGCTTCAGCCTCCGGTCGCGCCTTATCGTTCACGAGAGAACCCACACGGGAGAGAAGCCGTACACGTGCTCCGACTGCGGGAGGAGCTTCAGCGTGAGCTCGAGCCTCATTGCCCACCGCAGGACGCACACGGGAGAGAAGCCCTACAAGTGCTCGCACTGCGCCAAAAGCTTCAGTGTGAAGTCGGGACTGATCGCTCACGAGAGGACCCACACTGGAGAGAAGCCATACAAATGTCTGTACTGCAGCAAGAGCTTCCGGCGCAACTCGGGCCTTGTTAGTCATCAGAGAATCCACACCGGCGACAAACCTTACCAGTGCTCGGTGTGCGAGAAAAGCTTCAGCGACATCTCGAACCTCATCACGCATCACAGGATCCACACGGGGGAAAAGCCGTACAAGTGCTTGGAGTGTGGGAAAAGCTTCAGCCAGAGCTCGTACCTCAACAGCCACCAGAGAATCCACACGGGGGAAAAGCCATACGAGTGCTCTGAGTGCGGGAAAACCTTCAGCGTGAGCTCTCGCCTCAGGAAGCATCAGAGAAGCCACACAGGCGAGAGACCGTTTATATGTCTGGACTGTGGGAAAACCTTCAGCGAAAGCTCAGATCTCCTCGCACACGAGAGGGCCCACACCGGGGAGAAGCCCTACCGGTGTTCATTCTGCGGGAAGAGCTTCCTGCGCAGCTCGGAAGTAGTCAGCCACGAGAGGATCCACACCGGCGAGAAGCCATACCAGTGCGGGGAATGCGGGAAGAGCTTCAGCGTCAGCTCCCGCCTCAGTGCGCACAGAAGGATCCACACAGGAGAGAAGCCTTTCCAGTGCGTGGTGTGCGAGAGAAGCTTCAGCTACAAATCACACCTCATTACACATCAGAGAATCCACACTGGCGAGAAGCCCTTTCAGTGCTCCGTCTGTGGGAAGAGCTTTCGTGGCAGCTCTAGCCTCGTGGCACATGAGAGGACACACACAGGGGAGAAACCGTACCGGTGTTTGGACTGTGGGAAAAGCTTCACGCAGAGCTCAAACCTCATTAGTCATCAGAGAATCCACGCAGAAGGAAACTCATGAAAAATCGGTTGGATGAACCTTAGTAGATAATCAAATCCTCCTCTCTTCCCCTTTTCGTAATAAGACTTGGGTCTTTGGCATTTCGTTAGCGCCCCCTCTTCTCTAGAAGGGGCATTTTTCGGGCAGCTGTGCTGGAATATCGATGCATTATTTTCCCGCCGCTACCAGAGTCGGGCACCGATCGATATAAACCCCTTTAAAAGTGAACAGGAGTGTCACAAGCCCACCTAGGCCAAAAGTCATGGCAAATCGCTTGCTCTGGGAAGAAGGTTTGTTCCGAGTGCATAAAACGAAGGTGCCTGAAAATGCAGGTGGGGAGAAAGCAAATCTCTCCAAAACGCCCGTCCTGTCCCGGCCACTTGGATCTTCTCAATGTGTACCCCTTTTCCAGATAGAGGAGGGAGGAGCCCTCTAGGCTTGGGGTGCTCAGAGTGCTAAGCCTTTGAAACCTACAAAGAGGGACCTGATTAGTGGGAAACAGCCCATTAGGAGCAAACGAGGCACTGCCCCACCAACCTCAGTTTGCACCCAGATAGCCCCCAACTGCCAGCCCAGGGGTGGCGCTGCCTGTCGCCTTCCTCCCCTCAATGTTGCTCTTTTAGAACCCAGCAGGGAGGAGGGAGATGGGGACAAAAACGAGTTGGCTTTGCCTGCTGTTGACGCTGTCTCTGCCCATCATTGGCTGTGGCGCCACCTACTGTTAGGCTCCTAGCGTTCCGCCCTACCAGCCACCAGCGAACCTGATTTTGCGTTCCCTGAAGCCAGAACCCACTGCTTTTTGCCTTGATTTCTGTGCTACCTATAAGTCCATCCTGCCACTTGAAATCTCACCTTTTTTTTTCTTTTCTTTTTTTTGCGGGGTGGGGGCACCAATTCTCAGACCGTACCACTATAGGCTGCAGTGCAGAGGTGTTTTAGACGTGGGAATATTTTGTGCACACCACCTCTCCGCCACGAAAAAAAAGAAAGAAAAATCCTTGCAGGTAGATATGTAGCGTGCAAGGGATACAACTTCGCTGACCTGCTACTTTTCTAGAGGCAGGGCTACACATAAGCTGAAAGTAATGCTGTCCAGACTTTATGGCTTGGCTTTGCCGATTGTATCAAAGCGGTTGAAAGTTCTGGGACTGGGTAGGTCCTGTTTTATTATTTTCTAAATTGCGAAGAGAGAGAGAGAATTAGTTTTGAGTCGAGGTGCTTTGTTGAGCGGACCTGGGAGAGAGAAAATGGGGCGGTTGGAATTCCAAACATGGGAAGGGATCCGTGCGCAACAGGAGAGGGGACTCCGATGTGGGGCTTCGAGTTCGCGTTTTTGTTTTTTAGCCAGACGGGAAGTGGCCCAGAAAGAGGAGCAGCAGCAGTGTCTGCACACAGGGAATGATTTTTGTGCTTGCCAGAGCCTCTCTGAAATCGCCGGGGCTCTGCAGCCGCCTGCATGTTCAACTTCACTCACGGCGCAAGTCGCACAGAAAGTTGGCTTCCAAATCCAGGATGCTACTTTCACAGGGGACGGCTCCCATTTTGGGTAAGAGTCGCCACTTATTGCGAGAGCTTGCTTCCTTTGTACAGGTGCGGGGAACCCTGCAGGTGTTGCTGAACTACAACTCCCATGTGCTTGTGCTGCGCCCGATGGGAGTCGTAGTTCCAAAGCCTTTGGGAGGGTCAAAGTTTCTCCTCCCTCCTTCCTTTGGGGCTCAGTATTCTGGCAACCTTGGGTCCCCCCAGCTGTCGTTCAACTACAACTCCCATCATCCATTGACTGGTCAGGGATGATGGGAGTTGTAGTTGCTCAGATTTGTACGTCACAGATACCGATTGGAAGTCGTGGGTTGGAAGGTGGCAGGGGGACCTTTGGTGCCCTCCCCATGTTGCTGAACCACAACTCCCACCATTGCTTTCTGGGAGTTGTAGTTCAGCAACACCTGGAGGGCATAGCTGTCAAGCGTCCCTTATTTGGCGGGACAGTCCTTTATCCCAGCGCCATGTCCCGCTGCTGTCCCTTATTGATGATGTCCCTTAAATTCCCCAGGTTTCAAAGGAAGCAGCTCCTCTCCCTCCCTCCCTGCCGGCCAGGGAGGAGGGAGGCTCCAGCTGTGTTGCTTGACTGCATTGCTCACCCAATAAGGAGTCTAAGAACGACTGGGGGGTGGAGCTTGCATGCCTTGTGCCACTCAAATCGGCCGCGTTGCCTGGGGACTCGCCTTTGCTCAGCGCTTCCCAGCAGAGAGGTGACGGTGGTTTTCCTTGCTGCATCCCCTTTGCCGGGTTGCTGCGCTGTGGGAACCACCACTTGAGGCTTCGTTTGGCTGCTGGTTGACTAAAATCCCTTATTTTGGCTGCTGATCCCTTATTTTCGAGACCACTGGTCCCTTATTTTCAAATCTGTAAGTTGACAGCTATGCTGGAGGGCCCTGTGCTATCCTCTCTCATCTGTTCTCAAGTCTCACCAAGGTATGTGCAACAGAGCAGATTGAACCCGCTGGTTTCGCCCTGCAGCAATATCCCCCTTTGCCACGTGGCACAAAAATCATGTTCCTAAATCTCATAGTCACTGGGAATTTGAAATCATGATCTAGAGTAGAACAGACTTAAGGCAGATTTCTCAAACCTCACACTCTCCAGAAGTTGCTGAACTCAACTCCCATTTTTCAGCAATTTCCAGTTTGCGGGGGATAACCATTACAAAGCTTTTGGTATGTTTTTTTGGCATGTTTTAAATTCAGATTATTATTATTATATGTTCAGTTGGGCATGTTAATGCATAAAACTTTTCATATTTTTTTAATGTAATCCCCTCCTGCCCCCAAAATCACATGTAGCAACTAAATTAAGAGTTTCCAGCTGCGAGCTGCTCAAATCTGTAGAATCTTCTTCAACCTTGTTGTTGGACTACAACTCCCATCATCCCTCATCATTGGCTAAGATAGCAGGGGGTGATGGGAGTTGTAGTCCAACAACATTTGGGCACCCAAGGCCGGAGGACGCTGGAGTCAGCCTAAGTGCAAGCATCACCCACAAATGAACTTATTGTGTGGCTCGTCCATTTGTACTCCTTTAACGAAATTGAATTTTTCATTATTAAATTTGTGAGAGGTTCCCTTGAAACCCCAAGAAGCAGGCCGGGCCATCAGCCATGTTTGCTGGGTCTGATGGGAGTTGTAGGTCAGCAACATTTGGTGGGCCAAAGATTTCGCACCTCCGCAATGACATGAACCTCCTGAAGAAAAATGTTTTCTTTTCCATGCTGAAATAAAAGTTTCACCCACCTCATGGTGTTGCGGTGTGTGTGTGTGTGTGTGTGTGTGTGTGTGTGTGTGTTTTATTTCAATTAATACTTTTTGGTGGGGGCTATTAAAGTAAGTAAAGTAAAGTAAAGTAAGGGACGCGGGTGGTGCTGTGGGTTAAACCACAGAGCCTAGGACATGTATGATCAGAAGGTCGGCGGTTCGAATCCCCGCGACGGGGTGAGCTCCCGTTGCTTGGTCCCTGCTCCTGCCAACCTAGCAGTTTGAAAGCACGTCAAAGTGCAAGTAGATAAATAGGTACCGCTCCGGCGGGAAGGTAAATGGCGTTTCCGTGTGCTGCTCTGGTTCGCCAGAAGCGGCTTAGTCATGCTGGCCACATGACCCAGAAGCTATGTGCCGGCTCCCTCGGCCAATAAAGCGAGATGAGCGCCGCAACCCCAGAGTCGGTCACGACTGGACCTAATGGTCAGGGGCCCCTTTACCTTTATTAAAGTAATGTGATAGTAATAAACAACAGATTTTCCATCATTCCCTCTTTGTCAGATGGTCGGGCTGCGAGATTAGTTGTGAATGTAGCCGCAACAGTGGTAAAAGGAAGTCCTTCGTGTGGCACAGAGTTAAACGGCGGAACTCCCTCCCACAGTATGGCTAGCTTCCAAAGAGGATTGGGCAAATTCACGGAGGAGTGGGCTATTGATGGCTAGAAACCACAAGAAGGTAGAGGGTTCTTGTGCTCAGGTCCTGCTTTCGAGTTTCCCACAGCAACTTGTCAGCCAGCGGAGAACAGAATCCCTCTCAGCTCTGCAATTCTCTGATTCCACGACTCATGGGAGCCAACCCCTAGGGGCCTTTCTTCCTCTTTGGCCCCACAATAAAATAAAATTGATGGGCATTGCCATTTGAATGTTGTATGTGCACCGCATCATCCCCCCAAAATATATTTTATTCAAGTTGGCACCCTTGCCATGGCTAGTTGGGCCATTGAACCCTGATCCAGCAGGTTCTTATGTTCTTAAATATTATTATTTAATAGGGATTTCCCTGGATATTACTGGGATTTTAAAGATGGAATTGATGTCCGGGATGGGGGAAATTTCTGAAAGGTGGTGCTTTGTCCTGGATCTGTCCTGGCTAGTCAATCGAAAAAATAGCCATTTTTGTAGGAAAGAGCTCAACAAACTTTGGGGGTTGTCTTAAAAAGCTCAGTAACTTTCAGAGTGTCCTGTTTCTGAAATATGGCAACCCTATATCTAATAATTGATGGCAGAAAGTGAGGAGGAATTAAAGAACCTTTTAATGAGGGTGAAAGAGGAGAGCGCAAAATATGGTTTTAAGCTCAACATAAAAAAAACACAAAAAACCATCACCTCCTGGCAAATAGAAGGGGAAGAAGTGGAGGCAGTGAGAGATTTTACTTTCTTGGGCTCCATGATCACTGCAGATGGTAACAGCAGCCACGAAATTAAAAGACGCCTGCTTCTTGGGAGAAAAGCAATGACAAACCTAGACAGCATCTTAAAAGCAGAGACATCACCTTGCCAACAAAGGTCCGTATAGTAAAAGCTATGGTTTTCCCAGTAGTGATGTATGGAAGTGAGAGCTGGACCATAAAGAAGGCTGATCGCCGAAGAATGGGTGCTTTTGAATTACGGTGCTGGAGGAGACTCTTGAGAGTCCCATGGACTGCAAGAAGATCAAACCTATCCATTCTTAAGGAAATCAGCCCTGAGTGCTCACTGGAAGGACAGATCCTGAAGCTGAGGCTCCAATACTTTGGCCACCTCATGAGAAGAGAAGACTCCCTGGAAAAGACCCTGATGTTGGCAAAGATGGAGGGCACATGGAGAAGGGGATGACAGAGGACGAGATGGTTGGACAGTGTTCTCGAAGCTACCAGCATGAGTTTGACCAAACTGCGGGAGGCAGTGGAAGACAGGAGTGCCTGGTGTGCTCTGGTCCATGGGGTCACGAAGAGTCGGACACGACTAAACGACTAAACAACCACCAATATCTAATAAATGTGTTAACTGCTTTATCAACCGCACTGGCCACAAGCTCCACATAGGTACGTGAAAACCAAGAGGAAAGAGAAATACATTGGGGGAAAACCCACTCACACACAGAGCACTGGGGGAAACCTTTTCAGGTAGGGAACCCTCAAAATGATCATGGATTTGGGGGCAGAGAATAAGCAGGTGGGATTATATGGGTGGAGTGTCTGGGGAAGGGCCAGGGGGAAGAGACCCTGCTTTCCATGCATACCTGGCATCTTCAGGTATGGCTGGGACAGAAGGTTGCTTTGAAATCCTGGTGAGCGCCTGCCAGTCAGTGCTGGCACTACTGCGCTAGGTGGACCAATGGTTTGACTACATCCCTGTAAAGGAAGAGGACCACCTGATTTGCCTTGGCGCCTCCAGGTAGGGCTGAAACATGGGAAAGTTGCTGCCAGTCCGTGTGGGCAATACTGAGCCCGATGGTTTAGCTCAGTACCAGGGCAGCCTGCTGTGCTCCATATGTCAAAGCGCAGCATTTCCAAAGAAGTGAGTACGTCGTCCGTCTGGACCTGCCGCTGCCGGCGCGTGTAGGTAACACTGCTCTAGGCGGACCAATAGAGCGCGCGCGCCTGCGCGATATGAAAGGTAGCGGCTCCTTGGCCAAAGAGGAAAGGGGAAAACATTCGGGCGGCTTGGTGCTCTCACTTCCGGCTCCCAAGTGCCTGCGCTGCCATATAGGGGGCCAAAGGGATGGGTGGGTGTTTCATACAGCATATCAGACCCGCTTTCCTCCCACTTTCTTCACCGGTTGTCCTGCCTGTTCAACGGAGAGCCAGAAGCAGGCGGCTGTTAAGAGGCTGCTCCCCGAAAAGGCCCCCTTGCAGGTGGAGAAATAAAAAGGCTTTTGCACCAGGTGCAGAAAGTAGGAGCTTTTTTGGGGTGGGCGCAGAGCCAGGATTTGGGGAGGGGGATCCCCTTCCCTCCGTCCCTGGAAATGGCGACCTGGAGGTTAGAAAGGACACCCCTCTGCAGAACTGCCTGCCATCCATGCCGGCTTCACTCCGGAGTGAGCCGCGCGTTGTGCAATGGAAACAAAGCGCGCCTCCCCTTTGATCCGTCCCCCTTTGCAAAGCTGGGCTGAGCTTTCCTCCTCCTTCTCCTCCTCCTTCCAGCCCTCCTCCGGAAACTGGTTTATTTTAATTACGCTCTCCAGCTGGGAGTTGGTCGCAGAGGACACCTTTGCATGCAGAAGGTCCGGGGTTCAAATTCCGCCGCCTCCAGGTAAGGCTGGGAGCGGGCTCTTCTTCCCTCCCCCGCCAGCTGTATTGGGGAGCGGCTGCCGGTCAGTGCAGACGGTGCTGAGCTGGGCGGACCTAACGGTGCATCTCCCTAGGAGGCGGCTTCCTGCGCGCTCCTTGGGAAGGGGGTTGAGGTTCAGTGGTGAGAGCATCTGCACTGCATGCAGAAGGTTTCAGGGTTGATCCCCGGCGTCTCCTGATAAGGCAGGGCTTCGATCTGTAGAGCCGCTGCCAGCCAGTGTAGGCACTATTGAACTAAATGGACTCAATTGTGGGCTTGGGAAGTCCGTGGAAGGAACAGGGACGGGGTGAGTGGGAGTGCAGAAGCGGGAGGTACCTGGCTGGCAAGGAAGGAGGAGGCAAAGGAGCGGGTGTCATAACAGTTGGTTTCGTAATAAGTTTCCAAAGGAGTAGCTGTGCTATAGTTTAGTCCAGGGCGTATATTGCTAGACTTCAACTCCCATCATTCCCATGCTGGCCATGGCGGATGAGGGTCATCTAGTTCAACCCCTTGCAATGCCGGAATCTTTTGCCCTAGTGCGCATAGCCAAAAACATTTTGGGTTCAATAGGATTGCCAACGTCTTTTTTTCCTGGACGCCTGCCTCTTTCTACCCCTTTTACAAATAAAAATAAAATTGCCAAGTTTGTAAAGCTGAATTTGCACCAGTTAAATGTGGGCTTCCTGCAGCAGATCCAATTTCGTATGGCTGCCATTTGTAAATAGTTATACTGTAGTACAGTTGTAAGTTAATGTTGTTTTTTTAAAATTGTTTTTATTGAGAATTTCAACATAACAAATTATCAAAACATATCTTCTTTTCATTCCCCCCATTTTCCCCTCCCCCCTCCCCAAAAAGGAACCCTCCCTCCCTCCCCCCCAGACTTCCCTCAGTTCCTCTCTCTGATTTTTCAACACATATTATTCTCTGCATATTATCAAATTATCATGATCCTTAAATCATCTGTCTATTATGTTAACAATCAATAAATTTGTGTGTGTTTATTCAAAGTAAGTTAATGTTGTTATAATGTAATAATAATGGGGAACACTTGGCCGAAGGTCAAAGGAAAATGGAAAAGCCTCCCCATTGTCTTTTCGTTCACAAATCCTGTCTTAAGGGTATGTCTGTGTATGAATAGGGTGAGTCTGTGACCTGGCTCAGGAACTAAGTATTTATCATTGCAAAAGACTGGCCAGGCTCCCCAGGTAATCCAATCAAGTGACCATTAACAGGTAATCTGCCAGACAGGACATAAACAACGCACTCAGATTTCTGTTGTAGACCGCCTTTTCTGTGATGTATGTATGATGTTTCTGGGGGTGGTCTTGGACTGCAGGGCAGGCAATTTAAAATGTCTATATAAGGGCAAGCACACCTTTGTTCTGGGTCCTCCTCCGTCCTTCTGTATGTGAGGGGAGCACCCTGTTGCAACAGCTTTAATAAAGATCAGACTTACTAGCTGCTTTGCTTCTCAATATTCTTTGATTGGCTTCTGTTATTTTCTCCTACCGATAGGGAACCCACTTAAGGACTCTATATGGGCTCTTGGATACCCCATAAGGGAAGAAGGGCAGATCTTGTTTACAACATCTCTCATTTCTGTTTTTTCCCTCACAGGAGAAGTGCCTTGGCTTGTGGCAGCCTCAGCCGCTGTTGCGCCTAACCCCATTCCCCTCTTATTTGACCTAGAGACTGCGAAAGAGTGGCTGGCGAGGAAATGGACGTCGCACCGCCTGTGTGGGAAAGGGTGGCAGGAGCAAGAAATGCCCCCAGCCCTAGAGGACAAAACCGGAGATCCGGAGAACAGATTAAGCAGGAACCAGAGGACAGGCTGCACCGGCACTGGGATGCCCAGTTGCAGGAGTTCCTGAGGACCCTGGAGTCTCCCCACTCTGGCTGGGGGGTCCCCCAGTTGCCGGAGGAGCCCACCCCCTGGGACGACGCCAAGGGCTTCCTGGCCTCCTTCGAGCAAGTGGCCGAAGCCTGCCAGTGGCCCAAGGTGGAGTGGGTGGCCCGACTCCTGCCGGCCCTCAGCGGGGAAGCCGAGCGAGCCGTTAGCCGGCTGGAGGGTCGGGACAGAGAGGATTATGGGAAAGTGAAGGCGGCCATCTTGCAATGGGACAGCTTCCGGAGAGAGACTCGGCGCCAGCGCTTCAGGCGCTTCTGCTACCAGGAGGCCGAGGGGCCGAGAGGGGCTCACCGCCGGCTGCTGGAGCTTTGCGACGGGTGGCTAAGGGTCGAGAAGCACACCAAGGAGCAGATCCTGGAGCTGCTGCTTCTCGAACAGCTCCTGACCGTCCTGCCGGCGGAGGTGCAGGACTGGGTCAAGGAACGGAGCCCAGAGACCTGCTCCCAGGCGGTGGCCCTGGCTGAGGATTACCTGCAGAGGCAGCCAGAGGCCGCGAGGCAGCGACCACAGGTGAGAGGGATCCTGAGCAGCCTGGGATCAGGGCAGGGCAGATTTTCACCTGTCCTGATGTAGAAGGGAAGAGGTCCAGATGGCATTCTGTGGTGGGACATTTTCCCTATCCCTATCTAGGCAGAATAATAGCTTTTGCTGGGTTTCAGGAGCGGCGGCCAAAGGCAGGGGACTGTCTTAGGTGTCGACAGTTGCCGTCCAGCCGTTTTGGATGGCTTCAGCGGGATTTCAAAGGGCTTTAGAAGCGCCTCAAAGGAAGAGAGGATGTTTAAAATGCCGTCCGGCGACTCCCGGAGTCCTTATCTGGCTGGGATATAAGCTTGTTTTCTGGGATATAAGCTTGTTTTCCCCTTATTATTTTTTTAAAACTCCTACTCACTCTTCTGAGACGCACAGGAGACTTGTTTCAGGCGCCATCTTCTTACCGGAAGTCCCCCTATCCATTTCTGAAAATGTATTTTTCCACAAAGAGGGTGGCAGAGAGAAGGGTGTGGTAGAAAAAATGGGCATCAGAACATTTTCCAGGGAACCACGTTGCTGTTTTTTTCCTTAAGATTCCCAGGTTCTGAAACAAATCTCATGAAATCATCAATGTAAATATCCATGAGTTCATAAGGTGTCGTCTGAAGCATTATATGTTATAGGGTTGCCATGTTTCAAAAACTTTTGGTAAAGTTCTTGAGCTTTATTTTTCTTTTTCCTTTTTGGCCAAAGCTGAGCTATTTTTAAGAAAATTCTAGACTTGGGTTGCCCTATGTCTGGATTTTTGCGGACCTTTCAACAATTTGCGCCCGGACACTGCTTCCGATTGCAGTATTCTGGCTATGTCCTGGAAATTCCGGATGTATGGCAACCCTAGCATATTGGAATGGGGGGATTGATGTTGTGTACATTTAATGTATGCATATATCAGTTTTTGAAGCGCCTTGCAAAATCCGAAGCTTGCTGTAATTGCTCCAATCATCACCTTTCACTATTCTCGTGCATGGCTGCACGTCCTTCACATACAGTGGTACCTCAGGTTACATGCGCTTCAGGTTACAGACTCCGCTAACTCAGAAATATTACCTCCGGTTAAGTACTTTGCTTCAGGATAAGAACAGAAATCGTGCTCCGGCGGCGTGGCAGCAGCAGGAGGCTCCATTAGCTAAAGTGGTGCTTCAGGTTAAGAACAGTTTCAGGTTAAGTACGGACCTCCAGAACGAATTAAGTACTTAACCTGAGGTACCACTGTACGTTGATTTGTCCCTTTCTGATTCTTGCACCTCAACCTTATTTTTCAACATGATGTATTTGTTACTCCAATAAGTAAGCGCTTCGGTTTCCGTGGCTCTGAGCTGCCATTGGAGACATGCACAGGAGTCATCCTCTGTCTCATCTTGTTTCTCCGCCCTAAAAAGATATTGTGGCGATCACACAGGGTCCCCGGACGTTTCACCGTCTATTGATCCCTGTGCCACCACTTTATTTCTCTCTGCCACCACCCAGGCCCTACCTGGTACAATACTGAGTCCAGTCAGGGTTAAATTGGAACATAAACTTCTGTTTATTTATTGCGGTTTAACAAGCGTGTGGTTTCATAAACGGTATCGGTCAATTGCAATCATGGGGTGCCTATCCAGACCTATAACTTCTGCTACCTGCTCTCACTCACTAAACCACCTCTCAGATATTTACTTGTCTTCCTAGCTCCTAACTGTTCCTGACTCAGCTTAGTTCACTATACTAACTCAACCTACCCACAGACTCTATCCCAATTCACTCCCACTCCAACCAATCACCCAACTCCCAACAAACTCCTCCCTTCGCCCCTCCCAGAGCTGGTTTTATAGTCCCTCTGACTCCACCCCCTGGGTTCTGATTGGGTAACCTGTTTAACTATTTCACCTCCAGCACTCTCATATGTTAACGTCACATATATCCTTGGTGCAATTTCAGGGGCTGAATCCACCGGAAGAAGAGGCGGTGGCAACAGAGTCCTCTGAGGCGGAACAGACTTTGTCTGACCTCGGGTGGAATGTGTTTGGCCAGCGGGCCAAAGAGGAGCAAGTCAGCAGGGATGCTGAGCTGTTGGGTAAGGTTGCTTGTGGGTTTAGATTTTGGGCTTGTGGAGGTTTGTGGTTTGGCTTCAGCTATGGCTGCATTCACACACAGACACACACACACACACACACACACACACCCCGGAGCTGCTACATTTACATTACAGGAATTTGAAGACTCTTAAATACCGTATTTTTCCGTGTATAAGACGCCCCATATTTTTAGGGACTCCAAGTTAAGAGAAGGGGGGGGGATTGCCCTGTGTATAAGACGACCCACAGTTTCCCACATAACTTTGAAGTAAAAAAAACCTAGTCTTGTACACGGAAAAGTACGGTATCTCCTGGAAGTCACATTCGTAGTTTCTTGAGAAAGGTGAAGATTAGACAGTGGAAGCATTTTAAAAGAGCTGTATTTAATAAACATTGCTCCTTGTCCAAAGAGGTCCAGGAAAAGTTGGGCTCCTATTATAAAGTACAGTGGTGCCTTGGTTCTTGAACTTAATCCGTTCCGGGAGTCCATTTGACTCGGGAAATGGTTCAAAAACCAAAGCAGGGCTTCCAATTGGCTGCAGGAGCTTCCTGCACTCAAGCGGAAGCCGCGTCGGACGTTTGGCTTCTGAAAAACGTTCACAAACCGAAACACTCACTTCCAGTTTTGCGGCATTCGGGAGCCAATTTGTTCGACAACTAAGCCGTTTGGGAACCAAGGTACCACTGTATAACAAAGTATTATTCTATAATATATATAATAAACGCTCTCAGAACAGTGATCTGAAACTGAGGAGCCACCACCGTGAAGACACCGACCCTGCTGGCCTCACCCCAGAGGGAGGAGACATGCAGAGATGGCCTTCTGCTGAAGATCTTTAATCCACCCTAAGAGTCATGACAGCATAAATAGAAGCTGAAATAAAAATGTAATAACGTCAAATCAGCATTTCTACTCCCATTTTCGGATCGCGTTTGTTATTTTTTATATGCATTTTTTTAAAATGAACCGCTTCTAAATATTTTAACTTTTTATGGACAATGTTAACGTTTCTTGTAGACCTCTTAGAATAAATTGAAATAGGCGCCAGACAAGCCTCTGTGGGGAGGGAATCTCAGGAACTGCCACAGACCCCTGTCACAAACATCTTAGGGACGTCAAACAACTGATCTAAACTGATCTAAACAGCCGAGAGGGTCAGTAGGGAAGGAGACACTCTCCCAGAGATTTGGGGCCTAAGTCCCAAGTCATTCAAGGCTTTAAACACTAGCATGAGCGCCTTCAGTTAGCCCTGGGTATGAACTGGCAAGCAATGGCAGTTTCCTGGTCTTCATTTCTTAATTCCACATTTCCATTTACGCCCAAGCGAATGACCTCTCTGCTTCTTTTCTCCAGCAACGAAAGGTTGGATGAATGTAAGGAAGGAGGAGAAATGTGCAGAAGCGGATTTGAAGGAGGCAGATCCAACTGGAACATCTGCGGAGCCAGCGGAAGAGGATGTTTCCCCGAATCACAAGCAGGGAGGCCTCCCAGAAAGTCAGCTTGGGCAAAAGGAGCAGCAGGAATCTTGTCTGGAGAGCAATGAACAAACCTTGCTTTGTGGAGGAGACGACACAGAAATCGCTGCCCAGCGACAAACCCGCCCTGGTAAGAGACAGGATGAAGGGTTAGGGAACTACTGTTTTTTGTCAAAGCGACATCCCCTCGAAGGGTGATCTTTTGGGGGATGAAGCCAGTGATTTATTCTACAAGGTGCAACTGGAAAGTTGGGTGAATGGTCACAGAAATCGGACGGCGAGAAATATTTGAACACACAGGCCTTATAGGCCTTCAAAGTAAGCCGCCTTGGATACATTGCACCGCTGACAACGTTCGTAGAACTGTTGGAAACTTCTGGATAATAATAATAATAATAATAATAATAATAAACAATTTATTTATATCCCGCCTTCCCCAGCCGAAGCCGGGCTCAGAGCGGCTAACAACAGTAAAAACAACACAGTTTACATAAAATCACAATCAATTAATTGAAATGCATTCTAAAATCAATTCATTCTAAAATTAATGGCAACCATTGGGCTAGAGTTCTATGAGGATTACAGAAGACCTGGTGCCTTGGCCAAAGGCCTGGTGGAACAGCTGGGTCTTGCAGGCCCTGCGGAAAAATGTCAAGTCCCTCAGGGCCCTAGTCTCTTGGGACAGAGCGTTCCACCAGATTGGGGCCATAGCCGAAAAAGCCCTGGCTCTGGTTGAGGCCAGCCTAACCTCCCTGTGGCCCGGGATCTCCAAGTCCTTTTTGTACTGCTTTCCATTCCCTCGTCACAGCAGCTTGGACGTGTGAAATGTTGGGAAATCTGTGCCCTTTCAGATTTCAGTTTTGGAAAAAGGAAGTAATCCAATGGGGCCAGATTGGGAGAATATGGAGGGTGGGACAACTCAGGAACCTCAGTAACAATTTCACGTGGAATATGCAATTCTTCCGCCACCATTCGGGTGGACAAACACCGATCCCGTATCAATATCCAGATGGAGGGTCACTTCAATAGTTTGCTGCCCTTCATGGAAACCTTAAACCACTCATACACCATCTTTCGAGTTACAGCTTCATCTCCGTACACAATTGTGAACGTTTCGTGGGTTTCCGATGCCAATTGTATGTTTGAATATTTCTCGCTGTCCGATTTCTGTGACCATTCACCCAACTTTCCAGTCACACCTTGTATTTAAGAAAATTTAGCTAGAGGTGGGCAAGGCCAGAGCCAGAACTGTTTATGGAACTTCCCCTTTTTATTTTATTTCCCCCCCATGCACTGGGTAAACATCTTAATCAAACTATCCACTACAGCCCCATGGTCTTGTTTATGGTACATCGTCGCCAGTTCAGACCCAGTAAGTGCATAGATAGACAGATATGAAATTTGGAATTTTTTTTTTGCCCCAACACGCACCACTTTACACTTTAGTAAAAAATCACAGGTCACAAAGCCCATCCTTGGGTAACTCTTTCATAGAATTGTACAGTTGGAGGGATCCCCAATTGTTATCTAATCCAGCCCCCTGCATTGATAAATAATGGCAGGAAATGTTTCTTTCCTAGGTTATTACACTGTAGTGTGTATTTTTTTTTTGTATTCTTGCAATAGCTTTTCACTTTTCACCAATTCATGTATGATTTTTACTAAGTTTTCTATTTTACAATTTGAAATATTCATTAAACAACCTTAAAATTTGTTTACACTGTAGAATTTACAGTCGTACCTTGGTTTTCGAACGGCTTAGTTGCCTAACAAAACGGCTTCCAAACGCCGCAAACCTGGAAGCAAGTGTTCCGGTTTGTGAACATTTTTTGGAAGCCGAACTTCCGACGCAGCTTCTGCTTGAGTTCCGGAAACTCCTGCAGCCAAGCGGAATTGGCGCCTTGGTTTTTAAACTGTTTTGGGAGTCGAATGGACTTCTGGAATAGATTAAGTTCAAGAACCAAGGTACCACTGTATTTTAATGCTGCCAACATTTTCAAGTGTAGATAGTTTCCCCCATATATTCAGTAAACATTTCCCAATCTTCTATAAACGTATGTTCTTCTTGCTCTCTTATTCTATATGTTAGATCCGCAAGCTACGCATATTCCATCAGTTCTTCTTTAGCTGGGGCCTTTCTCCAGTTCGGACCCCGCGAGTCTTCCCCTGAGTGAAGACCAACAAAATGACTTTGGGTGGTTTTTCCCACCATCCCAACAGGTTATGATGACCAGTCGAGGGAGTGTGACGAGAAATACGGGCGATTGGACTGTCCAGAGGTCCGGCAGGACGACGAGCACCCAGGAACAGCAGCGGAGAGCGTCTCTCGGCCCAGACGCGAGAGGGCCCCGCTCCAAGAAGAGGCTTTCCGGTGCGGCGACTGCGGGAAGAGTTTCAACCGCAAGCAGAACCTCCTGAGGCACAATCTGACCCACACCGGGGAGAAGCCTTTCAAGTGCGCCTACTGCCCCAAAAGCTTCGTCCAGGTCTCTGACCTGACGCGCCATGAGAGGACCCACACGGGCGAGAAGCCGTTCGGCTGCTCCTTCTGCGAGAAGCGCTTCAACTGCAACTCCAACCTGCTCATGCACGAACGCATCCACACGGGCGAGAAGCCGTTCATGTGCCTGTCGTGCGGGAAGACCTTTGTCCAGATCTCTGACCTGACGCGCCACGAGCGGACCCACACGGGCGAGAGGCCGTACGGCTGCTCCTTCTGCGAGAAGCGCTTCAGCTGCAACTCGCACCTCCTGGTGCACCAGCGGATCCACACGGGCGAGAAGAAGCCGCACCAGTGCGCCACCTGCGGCAAGAGGTTCAGCTACCAGTCAGTGCTGCTGGCGCACATGACGGTCCACACGGGCGAGAAGCCCCACGCCTGCCCGCACTGTGGGAAGCGCTTCCATTCCCGCCCGGGCCTCATCCGACATAAGAAGAGCCACGCGGGAGAGAAGCTGGCGCACAAGTGCTCCCTTTGCGCGGAGAGCTTTGGCCAGCGGCAGCAGCTCATGCTCCACGAGCGGACAGCGCATGCGGGGGCCAAGCGATACCATTGCTCGGCCTGTGGGAAGAGCTTCAACACTCACACCACCCTGGCTAGGCATGAAAGGATTCACAAGGGGGGAGCCACATAATGATAATGATAATAATAATAATAATAATAATAATAAATAAATTTTATTTATACCCCACCCTCCCTAGCCTAGGCCGGGCTCAGGGCGGCTAACAACCAATAATAAAAGAAGTTGAATGAATACAACTTAAAAACAAGATTAAAAGTAAGCCCAGGGGTAGCCCTAAATATCGGGGAGACCACCTCCTTCCCTACAGACTCTCTGGAGTGTTAAAATGGGCAGAGGGGTCCCTGCTCTGGGAAGCCCCTCTGCCGTCAGACGTTTGGTGGGTGGCAGCCTGAGACAGGGCCTTTGCAGCAGCAGCCCCTAAACTGTGGAATTCCCTCCTCACATCTGGCATCTTTGTTGTGCAGATTTCATCATCGGCCAGAGGCGCAACATCCAGTCTGTTCTATAGGTATATCGTTTAAAGCTGATTTTAACCTTGTATTTTTATATGGTTGGATCCCACCCTTGTGGCGAAGGGCAAGTGAGAAACCAAACAGGTAAATAACTGTGATAATGTATTTTGCACGCATGTGTGCTATTGTGAACCTGTACTTGTTTTTTCCCCTCCTAAATGAATATTTCCTAGAGTAAAAAAAAAATACATTCGCCTTGGGAATTTTGTTTGTATTCATTGCTCATTTTCATTTTTTCTCTTTGACATACACACACACTCTTGCGAACCACCCTAAGACTTGTGGATATAGGGCAGTACAGGCGTACCTTGGATCCCGAACACCTTGGTACTCGGACGTTTTGGCTCCCAGGCGCCCCAAACCCGGAAGTGACTGTTCCGGTTTTCGAACATTCTTTTGGAAGCCTGATGGGGCTTCCACGGCTTCCAATTGGCTTCAAGAGCTTCCTGCAGCCAATCAAAACCCGCACTTCGGTTTCCGAACATTTTGGAAGTTGAACGGACTTCCGGAATGGATTCCGTTCGACTTCCGAGGTACGGCTATACAGTGGTACCTCGGGTTAAGTACTTAATTCGTTCCGGAGGTCTGTTCTTAAACTGAAACTGTTCTTAACCTGAAGCACCACTTTAGCTAATGAGGCCTCCCGCTGCCGCCAAGCCGCCGGAGCATGATTTCTGTTCTCATCCTGAAGCAAAGTTCTTAACCCGAGGTACTATTTCTGGGTTAGCGGAGTCTGTAACCTGAAGCGTCTGTAACCTGAAGCGTCTGTAACCTGAAGCATATGTAACCCGAGGTACCACTGTATACAAATTGAATAAATAAGAATAATTTTAAACCACACGTATAGAATAAATAAATGATTTTTCAGTTTTAAGGGTGAAGGGCGAGTTGCAACAATTGAACCGTGATGTTTCAAGCACATTAAAATCAGAAAAATAAGGTGGGTTCTGAAAATATACTTCTTAAGTTTCAAAACCCAAGGCAAAGAGGTTGAAAGACAGGTGTCAGTCCCAAGCTCCTGGGAGGGTCTATGTCTGGAGACCAGACCTGGAAACTGAGGGGGCTTCCTCAGAGGAGTATCAAGGAAAGAAGGACCACCCAGCAGGAGAGGCTGGTTCATGAGGGAGAATGAGTCACTGCTCCCCCAAACTCAGCCTGCCCTCGGCCCATCCACACCTGCCCTTCTTCCCTGTACCAGGTCCAGGTGTAGAAAGTGGCAGCCAGGCTGCTGATGGGGGCATCTGCCCGATATCATGTGGCACAGTGGTTTAAGCTTCTGTGCTGGTCACCCGTTTGCTACTGAGGCAGGTTAAAGGTCCTTGTCTTAATTTAGAAAACCCAACTTAGGTCCAGGGCACCTCGGGGACCGCCTGAACCCTTAGATCAGGCATAGAAAAACTTGGCCCTCCAGATGTTTTGAGACTACAATTCCCATCATCCCTGACCGCCGGTCCTGTTAGCTAGGGATGATGGGAGTTGTAGTCCCAAAATATCTGGAGGGCTGAGTTTGCCTATGCCTAACTTAGATCCTGGCTGCATCACTGAGATCATACACAGGAGCATCGTTGGCTGTTCCCTGAGCTAATGAGGCTCATTTGACGGCAACAAGAAACTGAACCTGTAGTGTCATCGGCCCAATATTGAGGGTGGCGCTGTGGTCTAAACCACTGAGCCTCTTGGGTTTGCCGATCAGAAGGTTGGTGGTTCGAATTCCCACAACGGATTGAGATCGCATTGCTCTGTCCCAGCTCCTGCCAACCTAGCAGTTCAAAAGCATACCAGTGCAAGTAGATAAATAGGTACCACTGTGGCAGGAAGGTAAATGGCGTTTCTGTGCGCTCTGGTTTCCGTCATGGTCTTCTGTTGCACCAGAAGTGGTTTAATCATCCTGGCCACATGACCCAGAAAGCTGTGGACAAACGCCAGCTCCCTTGGCCTGAAAGTGAGATGAGCGCCGCAACCCCATAGTCGCCTTTGACTGGACTTTAACCGTCCGGGGTCCTTTACCTTTTTACCTTATTGAGGAATATTCTGCCAATAGAGATTCAGCAAACATCTTCTGCTTCATCGTTACAATAATAATAATTTATTATTTTTACCCTGCCCATCTGGCTGGGTTTCCCCAGCTACTCTGGGCAGCTTCCAACAAAACACTAAAATACAATAACCTATTAAACAAGGGCTGCTGAAGACTTTCCTATTCCACTAGATCCATGCCATTAATTTGGAATACGTCCTTCCACAACAGATGCCTGCTTTTTTTTACTTTTTAATGTTTTTATGTATTTCTCTTGTAAACCGCTTTGATGTTTCTATGAAATAGAATACATATATGTAATAAAATTATACAAACACATGCATATATACATATGAACATGAGACGAGTCTGGTTTTTGGATCAGGCCAAAGTAGGTCCATTGAGCCCGGCATCCTGTTCTCTCAGTGACCAACTAGATGCCCCCAAAGGGAAACCCGCGAGCAGGATCCGAGCACAAAAGCATCTTTCCCCTCCTGGTATTCAGAAGCGTTACTTCCTCCACAGAGCTCAAGGTGGCTTATGTAGTTCTCTCCCTCTCCATTTGATCCTCACAACAACCCGGTGAGGTAGGTTAGACTGGTGACAGCAAGCTTCATGGCAGAGTGGGGATTTGATCACAGTCTATCACAGTAACCACTACACCACACTGTCTCTCTGTGTGTGGCAGGCTCAGTAGGTTAGAGCAGGTGCTGACAACGCCAAGGTTGCAGGTTCGATCCCCGTATGGGACAGCTGCATTGCAGAGGGTCGGACTAGAAGATCCTCGGGGATCCCCTTCCAGCTCTGAAATTCTGGGATAATTATTATTATTATTTATTCATTCATTCATTCCCTGCCCATTTGGCTGGGTTTCCCCAGCCACTCTGGGTGGTTCCCAGCAGAATATTAAAAACAGGACAAAACATCAAACATTAAAAACCTCACTAAACAGGGCTGCCTTCAGATGTCTTCTAAAAGTCAGATAGTCTATGCTTCTATAATTCTTCAACATTTCCTATTCAAAAAACATTTCCTATTTAAAACCAAAAACCAAAAGGAACCAGCACGAAATGTTTAGAATGATTTAAACGCAATCAATGTATAGAATAGATAAAATGCACATTTCCCAGCTTGTGCTCTACCCACTAAGCCTCACAGCCACGCGAGGGCAAACACCCGCAACCCACTCAAAGTGTTCGAAGAGTTAAAACCAGCGAGCTCCTTGCGAGTCCTAGAGGGGTTCTGGGAGGTGTGTTTAGGCTTCCTAGGGTGGAAATGCGGAAGTGTGGGTGTGCATGTTTGGGTGTGGGGATGTGCAAAAGAGAGAGAGAGAGGCAGGCGAGGCAGGACGTGAAAAGTCACAATTTCACTTCCTGTGTGCCATTTCTTCCTCTCCAGCTGGTCGGAGCCTCTTCTAGAGAGAGAGAGAGAGTGTGTGTGTGGTTTTGGGGTGAGTTCTTAGAAATTGCTTCAAATTGCAGATTGTGCTTTTGCTTGCTTGCTTTTTTTAAGCGGGAGGAGAGATGCAAGAAGTTAAGAAGCGAGAGGGATTCCTTCGGTGGCTGGAAAGAAACGAACAGCCAAGGTTGCAATGAGCAGGTGCCTTGCAACATTTGCAGCCCCCAGAATCTCTAGGTTAGGGCAAACCATGCCCCACTCCAGCCCCACCCCCCGTCTGCAACCCTGGCAAGCCATTGGCTGTCATTGACGACAATGGACCCAGGGGTCTGACTCTGTGCAGCTTCCTGGGTTCCAATGCATAGAAATCCCAGTTGCTGGAAACCACAGCCCTCAGCTCCTGTTTTCCCACAGATTGGCCACTGTGAGAACAGGACACCGGACTTAGAGGGGCTGCTGGCCTGATCCTGAGGGCTCTTGCGAAAGTCAGACTAGGATAATAGCAAGCCAGGTTCCAGCCCTCCTCCCTCAGACACAATGCTCGCTGGGTCACCTTGGGCTGGTTGCTTTCTCTTGGCCCAGCCTACCTCCCAGGGCTGTCGCTAACATGAGAACATGAGACAAGGCTTGCTGCCGGATTGGGCTGAAACATAGATGTCAACTTTCAGATTTGAAAAGAAGGGATCAGCAGCCTCAGCTGTCCCGGGGACAGTCTACAGGATAACTAACAATCTGGGATAGCAGTGGGAAGCAGCGGGAAACGGCGCTGGAATAAGTGAATTTCCCGCCAAAAAAGGGAAGGTTGACAGCTATGGAAAGCCAGCAGCGGCCATTGTCTTCCATTTTGTAATGTAGCCCCTTGAGGAACAGCAGGTATAAGATGTGTCAGGTGATCCTTATGATGTTTATTTTGAAGCCATGAAAAGCTGTGCTGTCTGATTTCTGGGGATCAGAACTGTCTTAAAGGAGGAGGAGCAGGCCAGGTTGTATTTTTCTGGACAGTTGGCAACTGTACATTGGGGTCTTCTTTTAAGAACCACCTGATATATTTTTAGGACTGCCTTATTTTAGTGATTGCAAGTTTTTAAAAGCAAATATAATTCATCCCTGTTACAGGCCAGTGCAACTACAGTCATACCTTGGTTGTCAAATGCCTTAGACTCGAACGTTTTGGCTCCGAAACACCATAAACCCAAAAGTGAGTGTTCCAGTTTGGGAACATTCTTTGGAACCCAAATGTCCGACGTTGCTTCCGCGGCTTCCGATTGAGTGCTGGAAGCTCCTGCAGCCAATCAGAAGCTGTGGCTTGGTTTTTGAACATTTTCGGAAGTTGAACGGACTTCCGGAATGGATTCCATTTGAGAACCATGGTACGACTGTACTTTTACTCTGGGTGTTTTATGATTTATTAATTTTTAGGCTACTGTTTTCTCTTCTTTTCTGCAATTGTTTTGGAGTTGCTACCTCAAGTGGTGCATTTTATTGCAGTGGTATGGCGCCCTTTTTCACCCCAAAGGGCAAATTCTCTTATGGGAAACCTTCCAGAAGCCAGTTGCACAGGGCTGGATATAGCAGTTTTAAAATGCAATATTATAATCAGTTAAAACACCTAAAGAGGGTGCAAATCAGAGCCAGTAAAGGATTTAGGCTGGGAAGAGTCGCAAGAACCAGACAGAGAAGATTGAAAGGCCACATTCCCCCTCCCCTCCCCACAGGCGTGAGGTTGCTCTTTTTGTAAGTGCAATAGCAGGGATCATTCAGTTTGTAATGTAAGGGTTAATTCTGATATCAGCTGATATCAGCTTGGCAACTAGGCAGAGTGGCATGATGTTTATTGAGGTAGCAAATGCTGTGATTGGCTGTGCAGTTCTGAGGGAGTTTTTCTTCCGTATCCTTGGGTCAGTGTCTCCCTGCTACATGCAAGGCTTGAAGTACAAAATGCTTCTCTATGTTCCTTTTCCTCAGATCATACTCTGTAGAGTGTTTTCATTCTTGTGGGCTTACTTTGTTCAGTTTTCTCAGTAAAGTGTTGAGGCAGGACTTCTCTCCAGACTCTTGTCTGCCTTGTTTGAGTGTCTTTGCTAACATTTCAAATAAATCACTCACATTTCTCTGAGACCTGGGGCCGTAGGGCGGCATATAAATTTAATAAATAATAACATAAATGCCTCTTTTGCCCAGGGAGCCAGGACCTCCTCTTCAGCCCCCTCTGTGATCTTGCACGAGAAGCTTGCGCCAGGGATGAAAATGGAGAAACCAAGCCAAGCAGCCCCCAAACCGGTGGAGGGAGCAGAGAGTGTGAGGAAGCCCCACCAGAGGGGCTGCATCCGGGAATTCCTGCAAAAGATGCCGTCCCAGCACCAAGTGAAAGAGGAAGGAGGGGAAGGGCTCCTTCAGCGCTGGGAGGTCCAGTGGCAGGAGTTCCTGAAGGAAGTGGAGTCCCCTCACGTGGGTTGGGGGGTCCCGCAGCCGCCAGAGGAGCCCACCCCCTGGGACGACACCAAGGCCTTCTTCGCCTCCTTTGAGCAAGTGGCCGAAGCCTGCCGGTGGCCCCGGGAGGAGTGGGCAGCTCGCCTCTCGCCGGCCCTCAGCGGAGAAGCCGAGCGGGCCTTCCGCAGGCTGGAGGGCCGGGACAGAGAGGATTATGGGAAAGTGAAGGCGGCCATTTTGCGCGGGGACGCCATCAGCAGGGAGAAGAACCGCCAGTACTTCCGGCGCTTCTGCTACCGGGAAGCCGAGGGGCCGCGAGGGGCCTACAGCCGCCTCCAGGAGCTCTGCCGGCGGTGGCTGAAGGTGGAGAGGCACTCCAAGGAGCAGATCCTGGAGCTTCTGATCCTGGAGCAGTTCCTGACCATCCTGCCTCCAGAGATCCAGAGCTGGGTCAGGGAACGGGGGCCAGAGACCTGCTTCCAGGCAGTGGCCCTGGCTGAGGACTTCCTGCTGAGGCAGCAGGAGGCAGAGCAGCCAAAACCTCAGGTGAGCTCCTTGTGTTCTTTGCTTTCCCCAAGTTGGGAACAGATGAGCAGCCAGTAACCTGGGGAAGGGGGGCAGGTTTTTAATTTTTTTATTATTCATTAAATTTCTATACCACCCTTCATCCAAGGATCACAGGGCTGTTTATATTATAATAATAAAAAATACATAACATAATAACAAGCAAACATAATAACAAGCAAAACAATTTTAAAAAACCCGTAGGGTAAAAGGCCGTTGATTGTTTAATTAGCCAAATGCCTGGGGCTGTAAAGGCTGCAGATAAAGTGAATCAGATGGGCGGGAAATTTTGTAATTGGTGTTTCATTTGGATACTTGTCATTGACCATAATAAAATGACTTGACTTGATTCGGTTGGCCGTTAGGTAGCTGACACATTTCCAAGCGCTTTCCAACTAAAACACAGCCATCCATCAAAATGGTCGATTCTCCAAATGTTACAGTGCATTTCTACAGCCAAGTAACAGGTACAAAAATTGTGCTGACTCTTACTGTTTATTATCATTATCATTTATTTGTTAAATATATCACCCCTTATCTGTAGATCTCAGAGGGGTTCACAGCATAAAAATACAGTGGTAACTCGGGTTACATATGCTTCAGGTTACATACGCTTCAGATTACAGACTCCGCTAACCCAGAAATAGCACCTCGGGTTAAGAACTTTGCTTCAGGATGAGAACAGAAATCGGGCTCTGGTGGCACAGCAGCAGCAGGAGGCCCCATTAGCTAAAGTGGTGCTTCAGATTAAGAACACTTTCAGGTTAAGAACGGACCTCCGGAACGAATTAAGTACTTAACCTGAGGTACCACTGTACATTCTAAAAACACAAAATACATAATAAAAACACAAACAAGACCAAAACAAACCAAGAATCCTCGCTCTCCCCCTCCCAAAAACATAGGATTATAGGATGTTAATCAGCCAAAGCCCTGGTGGAAGAGGAACGTTATACGCCTAAAGCTGTATAATGAAGGTGCCTCCCTAGAGAGATCATTCCACCAATCATCATCTTGATCAAAACCCAATATATAGATATATTTAAAATAAGAAGAACCAGTGAACCTATGTAAAAATGCGGAGAAAGGAACTTGAAAGACTGAGAAGGTGAGAATAATAAAGGACAGCATCTCCCATCCATAATTGCAAACCTTTCCTCTGTTGCTCGTGTAATCCCTTGCTGAAAAGCTGATGGGCTGGAGGGGAATTCAAAGGGCCAGAGGAAGTCTGGCAGAGGGCCGCATGCAACTTGCAGGTCGGGGGGTTCCCCCTCCCACCTGTGCCCTAAGTCCTGTCCTTAGAGAATCTCCTCTGCTATTTCAGGTAAGCGTGCCGTTTGAGGAGGTGGTCCTGAGCTTCTGCGAGCCGGAACTGGTTCCTTCTGACCCCGTCCACCGGCAGATGCGCCGGGAGACCAAGCAGGAAGCTGACCACGGAGAGGCCCTCTTGACAGGTGAGGATGGCAAAGGTGTGTCTTAAGGCGCTTGGAATAGGTTGGAAGGTTCAGGACCGCCGAAAGGATGTCCTTCTTCACTTAAGCTCATAGTTAAGCTGCCTCGTTCCCACTAGGCAGTGTTGGCCCCCAAACCTGGGTGCCTTTGAAAGAGGATTAGACAAATTCATGGGTGGACAAGGGGATCACATCCCCTTTAGTCAATAGATTGACAATATGACAACGAAAGGTTATTTATGTAAGGTGAAAGGTAAAAGGACTGGACGGTTAAGTCCAGTCAATGGTGACTATGGGTTTGCGGCGCTCATCTCGCTTTCAGGCCAAGGGAGCTGGTGTTTGTCCACAGACAGCTTTCCGGGTCATGTGGCCAGCAGGACTAAACCGCTTCTGGCGTAACGGGACACTGAAGGAAGCTAGAGTGCACGGAAACGCCGTTTACCTTCCTGCCGGAGCGGTACCTATGTATCTACTTACACTGGTGTGCTTTCGAACTGCTAGGTTGGCAGGAGCTGGGACAGAGCAACGGGAGCTCACCCCATCACGGGCTTTCAAACCACCTACCTTACTGCAGCCCGTGTTTTGTTAGTCCAAAAATGGAAAACGAGCGAGGTCCTGACTAAAGAAGAATGGCAATTTAAGCTGATGCAATATGCGCAACTTGCAGACTTAACATATAGAATAAGAGAACAAGAAGAACATACGTTTAGAAAAGATTGGAAAATGTTTATTGAATATATGGGGGGAAATTATGTACACTTGAAAACGTTAGCAGCATTAAGATAAATTCAACAATGCAAATAAGCTTTGATGGATGGAATAATGGAATACTGAATGGTTTAGTTTATGTAAAATATGCAGGGATTTATGATATGCAAAATGAACCATAACATTTTCCAATCTGCTTTAAACGTATGTTCTTCTTGTTCTGTTATTCTATATGTTAAATCCGCAAGCTGCGTATATCCCATCAGTTTAAGTTGCCATTCTTCTTTGGTTGGGACCTCGCTCATTTTCCATTTTTGGGCTAACAAAACACGGGCCGCAGTTGTTGCATACATAAATAACCGTTTTTTGAAACCTGGGAATTTCCGTCTGAATGATCCCCAACAAAAAAAAAACACTGGTTGTTGTTGTTTTTAAGTACTTTTAAACATTTTTTTCAGTTCATTCTACAATTATTTCTCAGTACTCTTTTACCCTTTTACAAGTCCACCACATATGAAAAAACGTACCCTCAACCTCTTTGCATCTCCAGCACTTATCTGAAATTTTATTTTCCCGTTCAGGAGCTAAAGGGTGGACGAACCTCAACGAAGCGGAGCGGTACAGCCCTGAAGATCGTGAGCATCTGTCACCACGTGGGACGTCGGTTTGGGGAGCAGGAGAGGACGTTTCCTGTTTCCGTGAGCAGGGAAACGCTCAGGGTGGGCACCAGGAAGCGGACTTGGGGCGAGAAGTCGGTGTGTCTGTCCCGTTTGGGGGCACATTCCAGGATCTGAAGGAGGATGCACACCAGCGGAGGAGTCACACTGGTAAGAGACCAAGCGTCTGCACCGCGTATAGGAAGAGGTTCGGCCAGAGCGCGAACCTCCTTAAGCACGAGAACATCCTCTCGGGAGAAAAGGCATTCAAGTGCTCCGACTGCGGGAAGCGGTTTGGCCAGAAGTTCCACCTTCTCGGGCACCGCAAGAGATGTGAGAGCGAGAGGCCTCACAAGTGCCCCACCTGCGGGAAAAGGTTCTCTCGCAGCTCCTACCTTAACACTCACCAGAGAATCCACACGGGGGAAAGACCCTACGAGTGTTCGCGGTGCGGGAAAAGCTTTAGCCAGAAAGCTAACCTTAACACGCACCGCAGGATTCATACGGGGGAAAAGCCCCATGAGTGCCCGGTGTGCGGGAAAAGGTTCTCTCGCAATACTTGCCTTAATAGACATCAGAGAATCCACACTGCGCGCTAAGCTATAAAGATGGCATGGACTGCAGGGGGGGTTATTTTTCCATGGCAGCGGGGTGAGATGCAGGAGATCAGTACTGCCAATGAGTGATTGAGTGGATTGCTCACCCGGGCTAAACTTCAGTCGCAAAAATGTCCTGTGTTTAGACATTGTGTAATGCAGGAGCATTCAGTTGCTAACACAATAAAGAATGTTCTCCATTCCTTCCACGGCTATTTTGATTTTTGATTTATTTATTTTTGGAGCAATTGTCTGCAGGCACACAACCAAAAAACAATCAAGGGGCCAGAGCAACTCTCCGCGAAGGAAAGGTTGCACCCTTTAGGGCTTTTTAGCGTAGAAGAATAAAAAGTGAGGAACATGATGATAGAGGGGTATAATATTATGCAGGTTTTGGAGAAAGAGGTTTTTCACCCTCTCTTATAAAATAATAATAATTTATTATTTGTACCCCACCCATCTGGCTGGGTTTCCCAGCCACTCTGGGCGGCTTCCAACCGAATATTAAAAACAGTACAGCACCAGGCATTAAAAACTTCCCTAAACAGGGCCGCCTTCAGTTGTAGGTAAAAGATTGCCTTGACATCTGCTGGGAGGGCGTTCCACAGGGCAGGCGCCACTACCAAGAAGGCCCTCTGCCTGGTTCCCTGTAACCTCACTTCTCACAGCCAGAAGGCCCTCGGAGCTGGACCTCAGTGTCCAGGCAGAACGATGGGGGTGGAGACGCTCCTTCAGGTATACTGGGCCGAGGCCGTTTAGGCCTTTAAAGGTCAACACCAACACTTTGAATTGTGCCCGGAAACGTACTGGGAGCCAATGAAGATCTTTCAGGACCGGTGTTATATGGTCCCGGCGGCCACTCCCAGTCACCAGTCTAGCTGCCGCATTCTGGATTAATTGCAGTTTCCGAGTCACCTTCAAAGGTGACTAGAACTTGTGGACACCCAATGAAGCCAAATGTCAGAAGAGTCAGGACAGGCAATATAAGGTAGTTTTTCACGCAGTGCGCACAGTTAAACTACAGAACTCCCTCCCACAGAGGCAATGAGGGCCACCAGCTTAGCTGGCTTTGTGAAGAACGTGGACAGAGGGAAGTTCTTTCCTGCCCATAACACTAACGTCCAGCGAAGCTGAAGGGTGGGAGATCCAGGAAAGACAAAAGGCAGGACATATTCATCTGACATACACAAGACATGGCAGCATCTGCTTTTGCAAAGGGAGCTGGAGAAATCAGTGGAGGTTAAGGCTATCAGTGCCTTCTTTGGCGATCCCTCATAATCGAGTAGAAGGGACGCGGGTGGCGCTGTGGGTTAAACCACAGAGTCTAGGAGTTGCCGAGCAGAAGGTCGACAGTTCGAATCCCCATGATGGGGTGAGCTCCCGTTGCTCGGTCCCTGCTCCTGCCAACCTAGCAGTTTGAAAGCACGTCAAAGTGCAAGTAGATAAATAGGTACCGCTCTGGCGGGAAGGTAAAACGGCGTTTCCATGCGCTGCTCTGGTTCGCCAGAAGCGGCTTAGTCATGCTGGCCACATGCCCCAGAAGCTGTACGCCAGCTCCCTCGGCCAGTAAAGCGAGATGAGCGCCACAACCCCAGAGTCGATCACAATTGGACCTAATGGTCAGGGGTCCCTTTACCTTTTACCATAATCGAGTAATATTGTCTCCCAAGAACATGGTTTTAACAGTGAGTCTGTAAGTGACTGTGGAGGCCCATTCTGGATCCACACATCCTTCCACAGTGGGGACATACGTTTCCAGGCGGTAGTTGATCATGGTGAGGGTTTGCCAAGCGTGCCTTCCTCTTAGCATGTTTTTCCCTTCATCCTGAGTTCAAGCATCTTCAAAGCCCATGACACTTTTGGTAAAGGCTGTTCTCCAACTGGAGCGCTCGCAGGCCAGTGTTTCCCAATTGTCAGTGTTTATACTACATTTTTTAAAGATTTGCCTTGAGAAAGTCTTTAAACCACTTTTGTTGACCACCAGCATTACACTTTCCATTTTTAAGTGCGGAATAGAGCAGTTGCTTTGGAAGACAACAATCAGGCAACATGACCGGTCCAACGAAGAACCATTGCTTCGACACTGGTGACTGGCTACTAACTGCAATGGCTTGTGTTCTCCCTTCATGCCAGAAGCTGTATATGCCTCTGAATGCCAGTCGCTGGGAATCACAAATGGGGAGAGTCGTGCTGGTGCGTTCAGGTCTTGTAATGGTGGGGCATTTGGTTGAGCACACTGAGAACAGGGTGCTGGACCAGGTGAGCCCACTGTTCTGGTCCAGGCCTGTTGTATTCAGGTCTTGCTTCCAAACTGAGTGGCCCCTGAATGTGGGAAACCCGATGGGTCTTTAGCAAGATCCAGCAGGCCAGCAGGAGGCATTGAAAGAGAACTTCTGGGATCAAGATGGATCTTATAGAATCATAGAATTGCAATTGCATGAATGCTCGTTCTCTGAAAAGTGGCTTTCACCAGTGACTTGCCCGTGTCCAAAAAAGGAAGGATGAACCTATTTCGTTTGGGACATCTAGAAGCTCCATTAGGCCTACTACAGCTCATTAATACTGATCTATATTCTAGACATCCTTTGTAAGTCACCTAGCTTGTACAGTACCTAGTGCAAGGCTGGACACTTGATAACAGCCTTTGGCACCCTGGCACCCTCCAGCTGTTTCTTTTTAAATGGCAATGGTCCCTATTTTATTATTTTTTATTTAAAAAATTAGATTTCACGGGAAAAAGGGAAAAATCTCACATATACTCTTCAATACATAATTTTGTTTTTTTGTTTTGTTTTTCCAACTTCCCATCCCGTTTTCCATGGTTGGTTTTATTTTCTCACCCTTTCCTGCACCCTTTAATCTATCTCTTATATCATAACAATATTATAGTATCCTTTCATTCATCTTTCATTCCCCTTGTAGGTATATTCCTTTATCCAATATTCTGTAAAGGTGTTCTTACAAACTACAGTCGTACCTTGGTTTTCGAACAGCCGGAAGTGATTGTTCTGGTTTCCGAACGTCCTTTTGGAAGCTGAACGTCCGGCGCAGCTTCCAATTGACTGCAGGAGCTTCCTGCAGCCAATCAGAAGCTGCGCTTTGATTTTCGAACGCTTTGGAAGTTGAACAGACTTCCGGAATGGATTCTGTTCAGCTTCTAAGGTACAACTGTACAATCATATCCACAACATAATTAAAAACGTTAAATAGCAACCAGTTTTTATAGTGACCAGGGACTGTATACATATATTTACCTTGAGAAAAAACTCTTGGCCCAAAAAGGTAAATTTAAAGCAGCCGCTTGAAAGGATTTTCAAAGGATTAAAAGTGTAGTGACTTGTTCAAAATGTCAATGTCTGGTAAAAATGTAGTATAGCGAGTCCTAATTCTTTCTGCTGATCATGCCTCAGATCCTGCTCACGAATTCATCATTCTATAATATTTCTTTAAATAGTCCAAAAAAGGCTACCATTCTTCCACAAAGCTGTCATCATTAGGTTCTCTTATTTCAGCTGTTAACTTTTCCATTTCTGCATAGTTCATCACCTTACTTATCCATTCTTCTTCTTTCCATTTTTGAGCACATAAAATCCTTGCTGCTGTCGTAGCATACACAATCATCTTTTTGGGGGATTTTCGTCCCTATATTCCCTAAAAGGAAAGCTTCAGGGTTTGGGGGGGTGGGCTCTAGCTGTTTTGAATTAGAACTCCTATCACTCCTATCACATGAGAAGAGAAGACTCCCTGGAAAAGACCCTGATGTTGGCAAAGATGGAGGGCACAAGGAGAAGGGGACGACAGAGGACGAGATGGTTGGACAGTGTTCTCTAAGCTACCAGCATGAGTCTGACCAAACTGCGGGAGGCAGTGGAAGACAGGAGTGCCTGGCGTGCTCTGGTCCATGGGGTCACGAAGAGTCGGACATGACTAAACGACTAAACAACAACAACAATCACTCTGACAGGAGTTGTCGTTCAAAACCTGGTTGCCCAAGACTGCAATACAGTACAGTGGTGCCCCGCAAGACGAATGCCTCGCAAGACGGAAAACCCGCTAGACGAAAGGGTTTTCCGTTTTTGAGTTGCTTCGCAGGACGAATTTCCCTATGGGCTTGCTTCGCAAGACGAAAATGTCTTGCAAGTCTTGAGATTTTTCTTCGCTTTTCCCCCCTTTATCTAATCTGCTAAGCCTTTAATAGCCTTTAATAGCCTTTTAGCAGCTAATCCGCTAAGCCTTTAAGCCTTTAATAGCCGCTAAACCGCTAATAGCGCTAATCCGTTAAGCCGCTAATAGGGTTGCTTCGCAAGACGAAAAAACCGCTAGACGAAGACTCTCGCGGAACGGATTAATTTCGTCTTGCGAGGCACCACTGTACAGTGGACGCTCAGGTTGCGAACATGATCTGTGCGGGAAGCACATTCGCAACCTGCAGCGTCCGCAACCCGCAGCGCTGCATCTGCGCATGCACGGGTCACGATTCGGCGCTTCTGCGCAAAGCATGATTTAGCGCTTCTGTGCATGCGCAAGCACCGAAACCTTTAAGTAACCCGTTCTGGTACTTGCAGGTTCGGCACGGTGAGAAACCCGAAATCGCACAACCTGAAGTGTCTGTAACCCGAGTTATGACTGTATATCAAACAGGACACACATTCTTAATGGAGAATGTTAAATTTTCTTGAAGGGCGAGTTGGGGTTGTCATCTAAAGCTAAGGCTTTGATGGTAGGCTGATCTATGAAGCCCCCACTTTTAAAACCAACAACACGGCAAGCAGCACGATGGTAGTAATTTTAGGGTCTCACACCGATGGTGCCCCCCTAGACTCCATAGCCCACAACACCTCCTTGCAGAATAAAAGTGAAATGAAGTGAAACCCACCCAGATGGAAAAGCTTGTCGTAACAAATATGGCTTCCGACTGTTTCCGGAAAGTACCGCCAAGTGGGTGATCTGTCGTATCTCAGCAGAGAATGGCAGCCCTGCTTTTGAGTTACGGTGGAGAAGGCTTCTGAGATCCCTGGACCCTACAGGCCTCAGGCCTACTGGGTAGATAAGGGATCAAAGCAGATTCTCGAGTAACCCAGTCCTGAGCTGTGTAGGACAGAGATGGGGAAACCTTCCCCCGTTGCTTTCAGGAGGGTCTCCTCCAATCTGGATCCAACTTGTTGATGTGTCTGTATGTATTTATTGTTCTTGTATCTCACCTCCCTTCCTTGCAAGGAGCTCAAGGTGGCGTACGTGGTTCTCTCCCTCTTCTTTTACTCCTCACAACAACCATGTGAGGTAGTTTAGGCTGAGAGGAAGTGGCGCCCAAGGTCATCCAGTGAGCTTCGTCGATTTGAACCCAGCTCCGGAAGGTCCGAGTCTGGCACTTTGCAGCACTAACACAACATTGGCTCCTGTTATAACTTAGAAAAGACCAAAGGGTTACTGATTTCTGATTTTCCCGGTCAATTTCGCCTTTTCAGTGTAGTCCAACATCGTCATCAGCCATTTGTCTCTGGTCAGGACTTTGTCAGAAAGCAGGAAGAGAATAACTTTAAGAAGGAATGGGAAAAATTTACAACAAACTTAAGAGAACATTGTAAACAACTAAAGACTTTGGCAGGATTTTAGTAATGCTTGTAAAGTACGAAAAACTATGGTATACAGTGGTACCTCGGGTTAAGAACTTAATTTGTTCTGGAGGTCCGTTCTTAACCTGAAACTGTTCTTAACCTGAGCTACCACTTTAGCTAATGGGGCCTCCCATTGCCGCCACGCGATTTCTGTTCTCATCCTGAAGCAAGGTTCTTAACTCAAGGTACTGTTTCTTGGTTAGCGGAGTCTGTAACCTGAATCGTCTGTAACCAGAGGTACCACTGTAAATGGATTCTTTTTTAAAAAATAGAGAAATTACGGGAAGCAGTTGAAAATAAAAAGATTGAAAATGGTAACCACCGAAGGGCGGAGGGAAGTCGAAGCATTCAGAGAATCCTAAATGAGGATGTTTAATGTTTGAATTTAAATTTGTAATGTAAAATTCAATAAAAATGATTTAAAAGAAAAAGAAAAGACCAAAGGGCTCCCTCTGGATCCTTTTCTTTCTTTCTCTTTGTTCCACTAGGTGTTTGGCAAGCAAGTGGGAATGGGGAGAGGCCCAGTCAGCAGGAAACCTCTGACCGGCTAGATCAACCATATGGGATGTCTCCAGGAGGTGTGACAGAAGAGGACCTCTGTGAGGACCATGCCTCTGGGGATCCTTGTAGGCCGCAGAGGCAGTCCGGGAGCAAACCCGTTCCTTGCAGAATAGGCAAGAAGATATTTGCCGGAACCTTGCCAGAGCATAAGCCCAAGAGCTGCGTCGTGATCAGCAAGGCACTGAAAAACTCGGGCCTCTACAAGCAGGAGAAGAACGTCGACGGGGCCATGATGTACCAGTGCACCGAGTGCGGCGAGAGGTTCACTCACAAGAAGCACATGATCGGCCACCGCAGAGTCCACAAAGGGAACACGCTGTACGACTGCTCCGCGTGCGAGAAGAGCTTCGTCTGGATGTCGGACCTCACCCGACATCAGAGAATCCACACCGGGGAAAAGCCGTACGCCTGCTCTCTCTGCGGGAAGAAGTACGGCTCCCGCTCGGGCCTCATTCAGCACGGCCACGGCCACGCCGGCGAGAAGCCCCACCGGTGCCCTGACTGCGGGAAGGGGTTTGTTTGCAAGTCGCACCTCACCCGGCACCAGCGGGTCCATGTCGGCAGGAAACTGTACGCTTGCTCCGAGTGCGGCGAAAGCTTCTGCCAGATCTCGCTCCTCTTGCTGCACAAAAGAAACCACGCTGAAGAGAGCCCGGCAGAGGTCAGGCTCTCATCTTGAACCTCTGGAATTCCACTGTCCCCTTTGAAAATGCAATCGTGCATTTTCTTGTGTCGCTTCTCAGAATTAGAATAAGAATTTTATTGTTACGGTCACAGACCAGTTCCAGGTCAATTACAATATCAGGAAAATTATAAAACACAACAGGGATACATTGAATTGCAATTGGGTATAACAGAGACAATTCAGATATAGCGGCAGTTAAAAAAATATATTAAATCTTGATCACTAAAATATAACCTAAAATTATCATTTAAAACCTTAATCATTTTGGTAGCACAGCTCGTTCCCTAAGTTTTATGGCAGTCGCACAGAATTTGGCCACCCTTAGCGTAATCTCTAGATCCTTGTCCTCTACCAGGAGTTTTAGACATTGAAGTTTGGACCCATTTGGAGATTTTTGTATAACAGGAGTGATAAATACCGAGCGTATATCCCCGTAGAAACGGCAGCGTAACAAGACATGAGAGACAGTTTCTACCTCCATCAAGCCACAGGGGCAGACTCGTTCCATGTATGGTTTACCCTTGAATCTTCCCTGCACGCTGAATCTAGCGAGGGTAAATGACTGTCTGTATTTAGGTATTTGTAGTTATGACAAATAATTTGCTGGGGTAAATCCTCTCTCATTATCTTTTATTGCTAGGTGTTTATTCATCTCGCTCACGTGGCATTGCAGTTCCACATCCCAAATTCGTTGGTGGATTATTGCTCTAGCTTTCTCATAACCTGTCAGGGCCTGTGTATTCTCGGCCTTTTGGCTAAGATCCAGTGTCGCTTCTCAATTTCAAATAGTCAGCCTCAGAAGGAAAGCACTCTGTGGTTTTCATCATTTAAAAGGTTAGGCCACACTTCAGATTTATGCTGTGAAGCAGGAGTGGGGAACCTCCAATGTGGGCTGAAAAGCGGCCCCCTGGGCATCTCCATGTGGCCCTTGTAACACTCCCCACTCAATATCCCTCACTGGCATGTCCTCCTCAGATGTTTTTACTAGGCTGGAGTGCAGCCTTGAACTCCAAAAAGGGCTCTTGCTTGCCTGCAGGATGTATGTGAAAACCTGCCCACATACCAGTGCCATGTGGCCCCCAAAAGATTCCCCAGCAGTGAATGTGGCCCTCAGCCTCAAAAATGTTCCCCACCCCTGCTTTCAAGCTCCTTAAGGCAAGGACTTCCCCACCTCCCAATATTATTTTATGAATTCAAAAGAACCCCGGATAAACCTGTATACCTGGATGTTGTAAAAAGTAACAAAAATAATACTGGATTCATGGCTGAAGTGCAACTGCAGGGATGGGGGTTGTATCACCGCAGGTATGGCTTTTAATGAAAAGTTAGCTTGTTAGAGGAATGACTTGAATAAAGCAGATGGAGTCCAGAGCAAAAAGATAGTATTTTATAAACTGAATAGGAACAGGGTATAATTTGAGGAGAAATAAGCAGAGGGTTTTGTTTCGGTCAGGCCTTGTACATAGCAGGAAGACATACAATGACTAACCAAGTACAGGAGGGAACTCCCTCAGAATTGCACAGCCAATCAGAGCACGTGTTACCTCAGCAAAGATCATGGCTGGTTGCTAAGCAACACCTCTGCAACCATTTGGTTAACTGACTGGGGGGATTAACCCTTGGGTGACTAACAATGATCCCTGCTGTTACAAATCCGACAACCTGCTCTGACAAACCCGTTCTCCGCATTGGTGGTGAGAATCGCCACCAAGCCCAGCATTCTGTCTCCCAACTGGGGCCAGTCAGTTGCATCCAGAAACCTTTCTTCACTGTTTATCGCCCAGCAGCTGTCATTCAACGGTACACTGCCTCTGCATATGGAAGTTCTCTTTGGGCTCTTGCAACTTATAGCCATCACTAGGCAGACTGCCCGGCCCCATCAATTTGCCCCATCTTTTTTTTTAAAGTCAGCAATCCCTGTATTTCCAATAGCAAACCACATTACATGGACAGCGTAAAGAAGGAGCAAATTTTGTTGTCTATCACTCCAAACCATTGGTCCACTGAAAATTATTATTAGCAGTATTAGTAGCAGTAGTAGTAGTATACTGAAGGGACAGGTTACCCAAAACCTGACTGTGTAGTCACCCCCCACTAGGCCCCAAGACTTCCCAAATTCTTTCTTTGAGGATTCCCCCGAGGGATAGCCCCATTGATCCTCTGTGACCAATTCCAGTCAGGCTGGCAGACTGCAGTCCTGAACACCCTCCGGAAACTGGGTTTTGCCCCTCAAGCCCTTCTAAGTTTGGGCTTGGGCCAGGCAAAAGCTATGGTCAGGAAAAGAATATTAGACACCGAGAGATAGCAGGACTGTGCAAGGTGCCCCGACTATAGAATTGGAGAAATCGAGAGAGATATAGCCGCACCGGCAGCATATCTCTTATTTCTTGTATCTAGGGTTGCAAGAAGGGCCTTTACACTCGCCAGAAGCTCGGCTCTTCCCTCGCCGGTCCTGGATGGAGCTTTTAGAAAAGTCCCCTATGCTCAGAGACTTTGCACCTGTCCATTGGGAGAGATAGGAAGCCCAGAACACTTGTTCTTTAGATGTCCCTCTTATGAAGAGGTACGTAGTAAGATCATGGATCCCCTACTGGTGAGGCTCGCCGACCTCCCGCAAAAGCAAAAATTTGACCTTTTGCTGTTAGGCAAAGACAAGAAAATGACCTGGATGGTCGCCAGATTCTGTGTACAGATCTGTAGGCGCAGACCATCGCCCAATTCAAAATAGTCCAGCATGAAAAGCCCCAAACACGGTTCCATGGGTGATTCTGAGTCAACTCCCTGGGACAGTTTATCGTTGTACATTTTTGCTAAATTCAGTGTTGTACATTGTTTTAATTGTCTGTTTTAACCATATTTGCACAGCACTTTCTAATGTTGTGAGTGTCCTCTATTTAAGAGGCTTCTACTCTGCAGCCTCTTATAGTTGTTTTAACTGCGAGTCTTTTAGTTCTCATGCTCTTACAGTTGTTTTAACTGCGTGTCTTTGTTTGTTTTTAGTTCTTATCTGTTTTAATTATCAGTTTTTTATCCATCCATTATCCGTGCTTAATCTTGTATTTTATCCAAATGTTTTATCCTATGCCTGTTTCCTTGTCCTAATTTGCTCTAACAATTATCGGTTAAAAAATCCTAACTGCTATTTTATCTATATGCTTTTTTAATTCTGGTATGAGACCGTAATAACGTTCATTCATTCATACTCGTGTAAAGAAGGCAGTGTCAGATTGGGCTATTACAACTGATCTACACCAGCCCCTTCCGCTCACCATTTCTCGGCGCCCACCAGACGACCGCCCTGCTGGTGCCACCCCCGGGAAGCTGGCACCTCTACGCATGGCAGAAGAATCCAGCATGGATTGAAAGAGGACGTTTTCTTTTCTTTCCCTTTGAATATATAGTTTTATGGGAGGATGGCTTTTTTTTCTAGAAAAAAAATAAAATTTACCCTTCGTACGAGGATGAGGCCCCTGCAGGCAGTATGCTGCTGGCATCGGCGAAGCCTTCACCATCAGCTGCACAGGCCAGGAAGAAAACTCAGGCCCCACCAGTAGTCTTGCCAGAGATGTTACTAGGCCCCTTGATAATCTTGCTTCTTTTCTGCTCCTGTGTACCTTGCTTATTGCAATGCTTGCAAAATATGATGCATAAAATGGTGTCACGAATGATTCGGCCTCAGATTATAGCACTAACCTGAGAATACCAGCCAGTGCCTTGGGACGAGCCAGAAGGCTGTCCAAAATAAGAGGGGGGAATGAAGGGACAGGTTACCCAAAACCTGACTGTGTAGTCACTCCCAACTAGGCCCCAAGACTTCCCAAATTCTTTCTTTGAGGATTCAGTAGCTAAAATGCATTAGCTAGAGCTGTATTTCTTTCTTTGAGGATGCAAACTTAAAATGTATTAGCTTTTGCTGTATAAAACAAAGTAGCTAAATGAACAAAGCCTTCTCCTCTTCTCAGTCCATGAAGGCATAAAAGATGGCCTTGTCAGTCCCGAGTAAGAGACAGGATGGCGCATCCAACTTATCTTACCAGGTTGCAACTGTCTTGGCCGCGCTGACGCACAGACCCCGGGAATGGCGCCAGGAGTGCCAGATAAGAGTGCAGAGACAATTTCTATTCATCATGAATGAAGACTGTTTCTGCCAACATACGTGTGCAAACTCGTGGGGCTGGATTCCTGGGGAGGGGAAAGGGGGCCCTAAAGAGAATATAGGCTGTCTGTTTCTACTCTAAAATTGCTGCTTGCTGTGAACTAACCACACAAGCGCCTTTCTGCTGCCTGGGAAGCAGAAACAAAAACTCTTTCTCTGAACCTACCCTCGGTGTCTGTTTGGCTCCTTCCTCCCTCCCCGGGCGCAACACTCACCCGACCCATGGGAAAGGCCTGAAAGGCTACAATACCACCCATCATCTGTAGATCTCAGGCAGTTCACAACATAAAATTACAAAAAACACAAAATACATAATTAAAAATAAGAACAAAAAACAATAATTCTACCCATTCCAGAACACATTTAAAAAGGCATTGGATATCAATCGACCTGGTTGGAGAGGAATGTTTTTGCCTGGCTCCTAAGGCGAACAACCAAGGGAACAACTAATAATGGTTCTGCAGAGGATCTAAGTGATGGAGCTGGGATCTAAGAATTCAGGTGACGCCCAAGATACCCTGGACCTAAGTTGTACAAAAAAAACCAGACCGTGTCATTACCGAGGAGGCAGGTTTAGTCGTTGTTTGAGGACTATGCCTGCCTCCAGGGCTGGTCCTGACCGGATGGATACTGGAATCAGCAAGAGAAACCCACATGACCTGAAGGTGCTGCTGTGCAATGCCAGGTCAATGATGAATAAGACTGCCTGATTGTGGATGGAGGATTTGACCTGGCATGTGACAGAGACCTGGTTGGATGAAGCAGATGGGCCTGTCCTTGCTGCTGCTTGTCCACCAGGTTTCTCTTACGCGCAGCAACCCAGGTCATGTGGGCAGGGAGGGGGGGTTTGGAGTGATTTTTAGGAAGTCATTGGTCTGCACCAGGCGTCCCAATGGGAAGACCCAGTTGTCTGAGTGCATGTTCTGGAAGTTGGGCAATAGGGGCAGTACAGGATTCCTTTTGGTGTACCGACCTCCCCGCTGCACCAAGGATTCCCTGCCTGAGCTGCTTCAGATCATGGCGGATGATCTCCTGGAGACACCTAGTTTGGTTGTCCTGGGGGATTTTAACATCCATGCCAACACGACCTTACAAGGGGCCGCTTGGGACTTCGTGGAAAACATGGCCTCCATGGGGCTGTCCCTGAATAAGTCTGGCCGAACCCATAGCCACGGACATGCCTTGGACCTGGTGTTTACCTCTACGGATGTTGGTCATCTCACACTAAGTAAAAGCGAAACAAAAGAAGTGCCATGGTCAGACCACTTCCTGGTGCAACTGGACTTCTTCGCGACCCTTCCTCTCTGCAGGGAGGTGGGACCTTTCTTACAAAGTCTGCACAGGCATTCCTCTCCCACCCCCCCATTATGTGTGTTCGACTCATGCACGACCTCGTACAGTATATGGCGCCAGGAAATTCAATTCAAACCCGGAAATGGTGGCAGGGAGCTGTAGAGGAGACCACATCAGCGGCTGCTTTTCTGCTCATCCTCCAGCCTCCAGCCAGCCCCAGAGCTTCAACTCTAGTTGCTGATATTTTTTGATACAGTATTTTTCGTCTGGATTCGAAGAGAATGTGGCACAGGGGGCATTTAAAGGGTGTTTAGAGGATTTCATGGCCCTGGAATGAAACCCGCGTGTAAGTGGGGAGTCGTCTGGACCTGTGAAATAAAAACAAAAAAAGAGGGATTCTTTCCAGCGCTTCAAATAGCCAGATTTGAAATCCCATTAGAACACTCAGGGAGAGTCAAGGAAAAGCAGATTCCTCTCCCTGGATAGTTTTCCCATAGTCGAGTTGGATGGGATTTGGAGTCAGTGAAGACTCGCACAGAAGGCCTTTTCCGGAAGGGTTCCACTTTGCTTTGTGCCTTTTGTAATACATAAGGGCTGCTGTGAATTCATTTTGACCCCACACACTGAAGGCTGGTCGATTAGGGCAACCTAAGCCTGCCCTCCTTCAGCACTCTGCTTAGTTACCACCCAGCCCAGCCCTGCCTTTAAGCTTTCTCCTCCTCCTCAGTCTGACAGGATAGGAAGCTGCCTTATATTGAGTCACACCACGGGGTCCATCTAGCTCAGCACTGTCCACACTGACTGGCAGCAGCTCTTGAGGGTTTCAGACCGGACTCTCTTCCAGCCCTACCCAAAAACGGCGGGGCTTGAACCTGGGACATGCAAGGTCTGCCACTGAGTTACAGCTCCTGCTCTCTCAGTCTCAGTGTTGCCCCTTGTCAAACTCAGCAGGGAAGAAGACAGGGAGGTGGGGGCAGTGAAGCTAGAATTAGCCAGCTCTGCCTGTCTTTGGCTCTCTGGCGCCACCTACTGTCGACCTCCCCGCTTTCCAGCCTACCAGCCCCAATGGGCAGCTCTGGGTGGATATATCTTCCTGGTGGGTTATCTGAGGTTCGCTAAAGGCAAAATCACGACCAAAACTCATCTCCCAGATGAAGCGCTCATGCCGTTCTCCTCCCTGCGGCTTCTTCCGTGAGGTACACCTTCCCTGGAAGTTCTTGTTGTTGTTTATTCATTTAGTCGTGTCCGACTCTTTGTGACCCCATGGACCAGAGCACGCCAGGCACTCCTGTCTTCCACTGCCTCCCGCAGTTTGCTCAAACTCGTGCTGGTAGCTTCGAGAACAATGTCCAACCATCTCGTCCTCTGCCGTCCTCTTCTCCTTGTGCCCTCCATCTTTCCCAACATCAGGGTCTTTTCCAGGGAGTCTTCTCTTCTCATGAGGTGGCCAAAGCATTGGAGCCTCAGCTTCGCGATCTGTCCTTCCAGTGAGCACTCAGGGCTGATTTCCTTCAGAATGGAGAGGTTTGATCTTCTTGCAGTCCATGGGACTCTCAAGAGTCTCCTCCAGCACCATAATTCAAGAGCATCCATTCTTCGGCGATGAGCCTTCTTTATGGTCCAGCTCTCCTCCAGCAAAGCAGCCGTTGCGGCTGGGAAGGAGCTCATTCCGGCGGAAGCTCTTTCCAAGCTACGCAACGGCACGTCTTCTTCCTGGTGTGGATTCTCTCATGTTTCACGAGGTGGGATTTCTGGATGAAGGTCTTCCCGCAAGCGGAGCACTTGTAGGGCTTCTCACCGGTGTGGGTCCTCAGGTGCACCGTGAGGTTGGCGTTCTGGCTGAAGCTCTTCCCGCAGGTGGAACACTTGTAGGGCTTCTCCCGGGTGTGCGTCCTCTCATGGACGATCAGCTGGCAAGTGCTGCGGAAGTTCTTCCCGCAGGCGGAGCATTTGTGTGGCTTCTCCCCCGTGTGGATCCTCTCGTGGAAGACGAGGTCCGACCTCTGACGGAAGCACTTCCTGCAGTAGGAGCACTGGTGGGGCTTCTTCTTCCTCGTGTGGATCTGCTGGTGCCTCTTGAGATGGTCCTTGCGGCTGAGGACCTTCCCACACTCTGCGCACTGGCAGGACCCCTCCTGAGCATCATGCGTGATGGGGCCCTGCTGGAAAGCTTCCTCCGGGACGCTGAGGGAGTCTGATTTCTGCCACCTGAGGCTCCCGTGGAAGGCCTCCTCATCCAACATGGGGGAAATGGATCGATCCATCATCGCGCTCCCAAGGCAGTGGTCAGCCAGCTGCCCCCGAGGTCCGTGCTCATCCTCAAAGGCTCCCTCTTCCCCGTGATCCTGAGGAAAGCTTTCTCTGGCTCTCCTTTGAGAAGGCTCCATGGGCTTTAGATCCTCAAGATGGTATTTATTTTCTTTGCTTTCATCTCCTTGTCCATAATCTGGGGCAAATGAGAGAAAAAAGCCAGCTACTGTAAATAACGTTAACAGCTTAATTTTCTAAAATGGGCATGTTTCCTCAACATCAACTTCGTTGGACTGGTCATGTTGTGCAGATGCCTAATGATCGTCTTCCAAAGTGACTACTCTATTCCAAACTTAAAAATGGAAAGCGTAATGCTGGTGGTCAACAAAAGAGGTTTAAAGACTGTCTCAAGGCAAATCTAAAAAAGCTGGGTAACACTGGCCTGCGAGTGCTCCAACTGGAGAACAGCCTTTATCAAAGGTGTCATGGGTTTTGAAGATGCTCAAACTCAAGAGGAAAGGGAGAAATGTGCTAAAAGGAAGACATACTTGGCAAACCCACACCATAATCAACTCCCGCCTGGAAACCTATGTTCCCACTGTGGAAGGACATGTGGATCCAGAATTGGCCTCCAAAGTCACTTATGGACTCACTGTTAAAACCGTGTTTCTGGAAGACAATCTTACTCACCTATGAGTGATCGCCAAAGAAGAAGCTGCTTATGTTGAATTATGTTGTCTGTTTTTAGCATGGAGTTTTTCCTTTGGCAGTAGCTCTTATGTGATTGGCTGACTGTGAGAGAGGCATTCCATTCTGTTGTGACTGTTATTCAATTAACTGTTGTTTTTAACTGTTTTTCTGTCTTCTGTTTTTCTCCCTTCCAACTTTATGATTCTATGAGCATCCGAAGACTCGAGGGCAAGGGAGCAGACTTACCCAAAAGGACGGTTTCACCTCCTGGCTTAGTTTCCAGGCACAGCTCCCTCGGTTTGAGGTCGGCCGAGGCCGGGCCTGCCTCGGAAAAACTCACAGCCACCTCCACAAATGGCATCAGGATCTGGATGGAAGACAAAGTGCAAGATGAGGGGGATGGGGATGACATGCGTTTACTTGTCATTTACTACAAAAACGTCCCAGAGTGACTTTTGATTATGAAAGCATACAGGATACAAAATTTAAAATTGATTATGTCATCTGCATAATCTCCTCTTCTCCTATCATCTCCTATTTTCCCTCCCTGCTGCAGACAGCTCAACAGTGGCTGGCGGCTGGAAAACGGTCTCTGGTTTTTCTCCCCATATACATAAAAAGGTAAGGCTGTCATCATGCAGCCCCCATTGGAGGATTTGTAGAGCCACACAACCATCCTGGATTTGCATGAAGAAATGTGATTGGGAAAGTGACAAGTGAGCTTAGTAGTTACAATACTACTACTAATAATTTTATTATTTATACCCCACCCTCCTGGGCAGCTTACAACAATTACCTAAGGTGGGAAGGGGAAACTAGGGGATTAATGTAGGGGGAATGACAGGGGAATGGTGAGTTGGGCACAGGGCTTAGTGACTGTGTATTGGCATAAGCATCTCTTGCTCACCTACCGGGTTGTTTTTATTTTCATTATGTATTTTGTGGTTTTATATCTTGATTTTATTCTGAGAACCACCCTGAGACCCCCGGGTATATGGCGGTATATAAATTCAATATATTATTATTATTATTATTGCCTTATACATGGAGAGCGAGAGGCCAAACTGCACTGAGTCAATTTGAGTACGGTTTGCATTCCTAACTTTCATAAATGATCCTCCTGAGAGTTCCACAAGGTCCAACTACCCACCCTGGATTTGGGAGGGGCTATGTCCGATACCAAGGGACCTGGGTGGCGCTGTGGGTTAAACCACAGAGCCTAGGACTTGCCTATCAGAAGGTCGGCGGTTCGAATCCCCGCGACGGAGTGAGCTCCCGTTGCTCGGTCTCTGCTCCTGCCAACCTAGCAGTTCGAAAGCACATCAGAGTGCAAGTAGATAAATACCGTATTTTTCGCTCTATAAAACGCACCACACCATAAGACGCACCTAGCTTTTGGAGGAGGAAAACAAGAAAAAAAATATTCTGAATCCCAGAAGCCAGAACAGCAAGAGGGATCGCTGTGCAGCGAAAGCAGCAATCCCTCTTGCTGTTCTGGCTTCTGGGATAACTGCGCAGCCTGCATTCGCTCCATAAGACGCACACACATTTCCCCTTACTTTTTAGGAGGGAAAAAGCGAGTCTTATAGAGCAAAAAATACGGTAGGTACCGCTCCAGCGGGAAGGCAAACAGCGTTTCCGTGCGCTGCTTTGGTTTGCTGGCCACATGATCCGGAAGCTGTATGCCGGCTCCCTTGGCCAATAAAGCGAGATGTGCACCGCAACCCCAGAGTCGGTCACGACTGGACCTAATGGTCAGGGGTCCCTTTACCTTTACCTTTATGTCCGATACCAGTTTTTTTTACTGCTTACCCAATTTTAATGCTCATCACTTCTTTCCAATTATATACTGTCACGGCAACACATCAGGGATCTGCAACTGTTTGTTTTGCTATTGTTGTGCTTTATGATACTGAAATTTGTGAATTAAAATCCCCCCCCCTTTTTTTAATTTAAGATCTTGCCCTGTAGGCAGGGCCATAGCTAGGGGGTGGTGAGGTGGGCCCCCACCAGGGGCACAGGTAATGGGGGGGCCCCACAAAATCGGCTAAAAATATGTTCATAAATATAAATATTGATTATTGCCTCATAAGAAATGGTTTTTTAAATATTTTGTTGGACGTTGCCCAGAGTGGCTGGGGAAACCCAGCCATATGGGTGGGGCAGAAATAAATTATTATTATTATTATTATTAATAATAATAATAATAATAATAGAGGGTGAATTGAATGGGGGGGTTGGAGGCGAGGTGGAAAAAAGAACTAATTTGTCTGTGGCTAGGGGGCACAATCAGGACAGTTCTGCCAGGGGCGCAAGATCAGCTAGCTACAGCTCTGCCTGTAGGAATGGTCAAACTCCACATTGGCTACATAGGAGCTGCCTCATACAGAGTCAGTCTATTGGTCTACCTAGCTCAGTATTGTCAACACTGGCTGGCAGCAGCTTTCCACCATTTCAGGCAGCGGACATTCCCAGCTTCACCTGGAGACCAGGGACTGAACTTTGTACCTTCTACATCTGCCTTGTGTGCAGGTTCCAATCCCTGGCATCTCTACGTAGGGCTGGGAACCTCTCCCAGTCTGAAAATTTATTTATTTATTTACAGTGGTACCTCAGGTTAAGCACTTAATTCGTTCTGGAGGTCCGTTCTTAACCTGAAACCGTTCTTAACCTGAAGCACCACTTTAGCTAATGAGGCCTCCCGCTGCCGCCATGCTGCCAGAGTGTGATTTCTGTTCTCATCCTGAAATAAAATTCTTAACCTGAGGTACTATTTCTGGGTTAGTGGAGTTTGTAACCTGAAGCGTCTGTAACCCGAGGTACCACTGTATTAGGTTTATATTCCGCCCTTCATTGAAAGATCTCAGGGTGGTTCACAGAATAAAATACAAGACAAAACATGCAAATAAGTATCCTAGAGAGCTGCTGCCAGCCCGTGTCAAACAACACAGAGCCGGAGGGACTGATGGTCTGACTCAGTGTGAGGCAGCTGTGCAATGGCCTCACCTCTTTCTCCTCTCTCTCGGCCTCTCGCTGCCTCAGGAGGAAGTCCTCGGCCAGGGCCACCGCCTGGGAGCAGGTCTCAGGGCCGCACTCCCTCACCCAGCTCTGCATTTCCCGGGGCAGGATGGTCAGGAGCTGCTCCAGAACCAGCAGCTCCAGGATCTGCTCCTTGGTGTGCTTCTCGACCCTTAACCATCCGTGGCAAAGCTCCCAGAGCCGGCTGTAGGCCCCCCTGGGCCCCTCGGCCTCCTGGTAGCAGAGGCGCCGGAAGTGCTGGCGCTGCTTCTCCCTCCGCACGGCGTCCTGCCACAAGATGGCCGCTTTCACTTTCCCATAATCCTCTCTGTCCCGGCCCTCCAGCCTGCTGAAGGCCCGCTCGGCTTCTCCCCGGAGGGCTGGCAGGAGCCAGGTCACCCACTCTTCCTGGGGCCAGCGGCAGGCTTCGGCTACTTGCTCGAAGGAGGCCAGGAAGGCCTTGGTGTCGTCCCAGGGGGTGGGATCCTCCGGCAACCGTGGGGTCCCCCAGCTTGAGTGGGGGGACTCCGCTGTCGTCAGGAACTCCTCCCACTGGGTTTCCCACCTCTGAAACTTTCCCTCATCCTCTTCCTGTTTGATCTGTTCTTCCGGCCTCCTTAGGTGGAATTCCCTGGCGCTCTTTGGTTGTGGGGCATGAGGGGCTGCTCCTGCCCCTCCAAACCCAGTCTTCACCATGCAGTTCACAGAGTCTTGCTCCTCCATTTTCATCCTGGTGACACCTTGGCTGATCTCTCCACTGTGTTTGTGAGACTCTATAATGACAAGATGGTGACAGCAGTCACGAAATTAAAAGACACCTGCTTCTTGGGAGAAAAGCAATGACAAACCTAGACAGCATCTTGAAACGCAGAGACCTCACCTTGCCAGCAAAGGCCCATATAGTCAAAGCTATGGTTTTCCCAGTACAGTGATACCTCGGGTTAAGAACTTAATTCGTTCTGGAGGTCTGTTCTTAACCTGAAACTGTTCTTAACCTGAAGCATCACTTTAGCTAATGGGGCCTCCTGCTGCCACTGCGCTGCCGCCGCACAATTTCTGTTCTCATCCTGAAGCAAAGTTCTTAACCCGAGGTAATATTTCTGGGTTAGCGGAGTGTGTAACCTGAAGCGTATGTAACCTGAAGCGTGTGTAACCCGAGGTACCACTGTAGTGATGTATGGAAGTGAGAGCTGGACCATAAAGAAGGCTGATCGCCGAAGAATTGATGCTTTTGAATTATGGTGCTGGAGGAGACTCTTGAGAGTCCCATGGACTGCAAGAAGATCAAACCTCTCCATTCTGAAGGAAATCAGCCCTGAGTGCTCACTGGAAGGACAGATCGTGAATCTGAGGCTCCAATACTTTGGCCACCTCATGAGAAGAGAAGACTCCCTGGAAAAGACCCTGATGTTGGGAAAGAGAGAGGGCACAAGGAGAAGGGGACGACAGAGGACGAGATGGTTGGACAGTGTTCTCGGAGCTACCAGCATAAGTTTGACCAAACTGTGGGAGGCCGTGGAAGACGGGAGGGCCTGGCGTGCTCTGATCCATGGGGTCACGAAGAGTCAGACATGACTAAACGACTAAACAACAACAGTAATGACAAGAGCAAGTCAACAAGATCGAGCAAGACTCCTTTAGGCAAAGGCGCGGGGGAAATATCAGAAACCTAATATTAGATCTAATAAAGGAAAGCATGGGAGACAGTTAAATGATGTTAAAAGATGTTTAAGGAGGGAGAGAGGTTTAGAAAAAGTATAAAATAGTGGAGCCTGGCAACTTATTATATCCGAAGGGAGTCAGGAGTTTCAAGGCAGGGAACTGATTGCATGTATTTCTGAAGACATAAAATGAATGCATTTTAGGGAAAAGTGACAAGAAAAAGCTTTAAAGGAAATCCAGAACAAGTCAGAGCCCCGTCGAAGTATCTGCTCCCATTATTAAGCACCTTTTCCATCTATTTATAATACTTATTCGGCTCTGTAGTAGTAACATGGTTTTATTTTAGAAATGTTTTAAAAATTAACTATTTAATTGTTCGTGGCATTTTGGGCGCTTAGATTGTACATTGATTGTATGCAGTAATAGAACCTGGTTCAGAAAGAGAAAGGTTACAACAGCCAGCCAGCCGTACGTAATCCTAGACCATAGCTGTCAACTTTTCCCTTTTCTTGTGAGGAATCCTATTCCGAATAAGGGAATTTCCCTTTAAAAAAGGGAAAAGTTGACAGCTATGTCCTAGACCCCTTCAACCAGGTCCCACACCCCTGACTTGCCTTTTCTCCAAAATAAAAAAGCCCTAGATGTATTCCTAATCTTTTCTCCACAGCAGAGCTGTTCCATCGTCCGGATCATTTTGGTTATCCTTTCCGGAATCTTTCCTAGACTCGCACGTCTATTTTAGGTTGTGACATTAGGAGACAATGCAAAGAAATGATTCGACCCGCCGCCCCATCGAGCCCCTCTCTGGCCGCTTCATGAAACGATGCAACATTCCCTTCTTCCTCCCCACATCCCACTTTGGGGATCAATTGTTTTCCATCCCCCGCTTGCAGTTCAAAGTTGCAACTCACCAAGAACCCGGCTCGCTCTTCCCTGGGAACCTGTCGCGCGCCCCCATCGAAACACACACACTAGACTTTCGAGAAGAAAAACTGATCGTAGAAGCTGGGGTGGGAGAGAGAAAGAGCGTGTGAAAAGCCCATTTCCGGAGGAGGAGACAGAGACGTAGGGAGGGGCGTCTAGTGTTGACATCCTCCTTGTTAGAGACGGGGGGAAAAGTGGCTGCGTAAAAACGCGCGTACCGGGGGGGAAAAGATCGCGCACAAGCTTTCAGTGTTTTGCTCCTTTTGCAAAAAAAATAATGACTGAGTTTCTGGGGCTCTGGCAAGGCTCTCTATGCGACTCACAGAATGCAGATAATTTAAATGCAATTTTTGTTGGCATCTGTCGACAATGGAGTGCGCCTCCGGGGGTGAAGTCAAACGGATGGAGAATCGCAGCGCCTGCTGTGGCTGCAGAGACACGTAACTTGCAACTGCTGCCTTCTGTGTTTTTTAGCTGCACCGAAGTGACCATGCCCAGGTGCAAGCCTGGGCAGTGTGTCTGGAGGTCCTGGGCTGCCCAGATGACTATACCCGCCTCTTGGCCTCACTGATGTGGTCCAGAGGAAAGCAGAGCAATACATCTGGGCAGACCTCCGGTGCGAAAGGAAAGCAGAACAAGGCATTTGGCACCAGCAGGAGTTGCTAAAGGCACCATCCAATGTCCTTGGGTACTCCATTCCGGATTTGTCTAGGGTTTATTCCTTAGCCGTTTCTTCTCCCAAGCTGTTGCCATTAGTATATAAAGCCCTTCACAACTTGGGACCAGCTCACTTGCAATACCGTTTTGCCCCATATATGCCCACTCAGCGCCTTCAACCTGCGGAACTGACACTGCTACAAATGCCCCGTAACACTCGTTCCGCACTTGTAATAAATCCATCTTTCAGTGTGGCTCTTTGGGACTCTCTGCCTCTTGACACTGGGCAGGCAAGGCCTTCACTGTTTTCTTTTCAGCTCCTGCTCAAAACATTCTTGTTTAGACAATCCTACCTTTATACATGAGTCTGACCAAACTGCGGGAGGCAGTGGAAGACAGGAGTGCCTGGTGTGCTCTGGTCCAGGGGGTCACGAAGGGGTCACAAAGAGTCGGACACGACTAAACAACAACAACAACAAACCTTTATACATGGACGCGGGTGGCGCTGTGGGTTAAACCACAGAGCCTAGGGCTTGCCGGTCAGAAGGTCGGCAGTTCGAATCCCTGTGACGGGCTGAGCTCCTGTTGCTCGGTCCCTGCTCCTGCCAACCTAGCAGTTCAAAAGCATGTCAAAGTGCAAGTAGATAAATAGGTACCACTCCGGCGGGAAGGTAAACGGCGTTTCCATGCACTGCTCTGGTTCGCCAGAAGCGGCTTAGTCATGCTGGCCACATGACCCGGAAGCTGTACGCCAGCTCCCTCGGCCAGTAAAGCGAGATGAGCGCCGCAACCCCAGAGTCGGCCACGACTGGACCTAATGGTCAGGGGTCCCTTTTACCCAGATACAAAGGATGTCGATATGTGTTTCAATCTGTCATCAGCTTCTTCTTGGTGCTAGCTATTTATTTATTGGATGTTTCAGATAGCTGTTTTTAACTTTTTTCTTTTTTATGATTTTTATTTTCTAATTTACATTTTAAAGTATTCAGACAGTAATACCATAAAATATATTAAAAGGCAATCAGAAATCATGACTATTCCTGCATTGCATGGGTTGACCTTCCAACTGTACAATTCCAATGAAGGTAAATGGCGTTTCCATGCGCTCCGGTTTCCGTCACAGTGTTCCGTTGTGCCAGAAGCGGTTTAGTCCTACTGGCCACATAACTCAGAAAGCTGTCTGCGGACAAACGCCAGCTCCCTCGGCCTGAAAGCGAGATGAGCGCCACAATCCCACAGTCACTTAGACTGGACTTTAACCGTCCAGGGGTCCTTTACCTTTTTTTTTTTCAATACCAGGGAGAGGGCCTTCTCGGTAGTGGCGCCCGCCCTGTGGAACGCCCTCCCATCAGATGTCAAGGAAATAAACAACTACAGTGGTACCTCGGGTTAAGTACTTAATTCGTTCCGGAGGTCCGTTCTTAACCTGAAACTGTTCTTAACCTGAAGCACCACTTTAGCTAATGGGGCCTCCTGCTGTCGCTGTGCCGCCGAAGCCCAATTTCTGTTCTTATCCTGAAGCAAAGTTCTTAACCTGAAGCATTATTTCTGGGTTAGCGGAGTGTGTAACCTGAAGCGTATGTAACCTGAAGCGTATGTAACCCGAGGTACCACTGTATCTGACTTTCAGAAGACATCTGCAGGCAGCCCTGTTTAGGGAAGTTTTTAATGTTTGATGTTTTGCCGTGTTTTTAATATTCTGTTGGGAGCTGCCCAGAGTGGCTGGGGAAACCCATCTAGATGGGTGGGGTATAAATAATAAAATTATTATTTTTATTATCCATGTTTGGAATGAGATGGAATGTGTCACATCCCGGCTTCAACCACATATCCACAGATACTGCCGCAGGCCACCGGAATCCATCTCACAGACCACATATAAGAGCATAAGAGCCAAGGGCCCATCTAGTCCAGTATCCTTTTCTCACAGGGACTGAGCAGATGACCTGATGGGAAGCCTGGAAGCAGGACCTGAGTATAGCAGCAAATCTCTCCTCCTGTAGTTTCCAGTGACTGGTATTCAGAAGCACTACTGCCTCTGGGAACCACTCCAACAAAGCACAACCTCCTCTGAGAAACGTTTTAACATTGTTTATTTTTGTTGTTGCTTAAAACCAACCCTGAACACGTTTACATATCAGCATGCAAATCTATCCAGAGGAGAAAGATCTGTAAAGGACAGTTTGCTGCCTGCTTAAAGAAATACGAGGTGAATATAACAGTACATAATGTTTTTTTTTAAAAAAAAAAATCAAGGAAAACTTTCTTTTTATGTAGTTTTTGCATAAGGTGACTGCTGACACAAAACTTTTATATATCTGGAAAGCAGCTGGAAAACTGCCTCCTTTGGCAATTTAATTGCTTGCTGGAGAATTGGCAGGATATTTTCAAACGTTTGCTGTCCTCAGGATCTGTTCTGCTTCGATTCCAATTTTTGAAACAAACCCTACCCCCATCACCAGACCTTATTTAAAGTACAGTGGAACCTCGGTTTTCGAGCGTCTCGGAAGCTGAACGTTTCAGTTTTCAAATGCCGAAAACCCGGAAGTAATTGCTTCTGTTTTTGAACGCGCCTCGGAAGTTGAACGGCTTCTGCTGAGGTATTTTCAATTTTCTCCGTTCAAATTGCAGACCGCCCTTTGCGCCTTGGTTTTTGAACGTTTTGGAAGTCGAACGGTCTTCCGGAGCGGATTACATTCGAAAACTGAGGTTCTACTGTAACAGATTTTTTTTTTTTTGCTAAACTCTGAGCATTTATAGTTTCTCCATTGTGAGAGGGTTCCCAGACAGGGTAGCCGTGACTGTTCTATGTGTGAGGAAAGCTTCATTTTTATGATTTCTCCCCCGGGTGCATTTTCTTATGTGAAGTGAGATGGTCACTCCGACTGAAGCTCTTGCCACACTCCAGGCATTTATACGGCTTCTCCCCTGTGTGCATCCTCTGGTGGATAGTGAGGCGGTAACTCCGGCTGAAATTCTTCCCGCACGCCAAGCATTTGTAAGGCTTCTCTCCGGTGTGGATTCTCTGGTGTGAGGTGAGGTCGGTGCTCTGACTGAAGCTCTTCCCGCACTCGGCGCACATGTACGGCTTCTCCCCTGTGTGTGTCCTCTGATGTAAAGTCAGGTGGTCGCTCCGGCTGAAGCTCTTTCCGCACTCCGAGCAGGTGTAGGGCTTCTCCCCTGTGTGGGTTCTTTTGTGTGCAGTAAGGTTTGACATTTGGATGAAGCTCTTTCCGCACTCGGAGCACTTGTACGGCTTCTCGCCCGTGTGGACTCTCTGGTGGGCCTTCAGGCTCGATTTGCAGCTGAAGCTTTTGCCACACACAAGGCACTTGTTCGGCCTCTTTCCCTTCTGCTGGCTGAGGAATTCGTGGAAGTTGCCGACCTGAATGGCGACGGACTTATTCCTCCTCTTCTCGTTTGGTTCCAGATTCCTTCTCGGCTGCCTGTTTGGCCTGCCTCGATCTTCAGAGTGCTCTTCCACCTCCTGATGCAGAAGTGTTTCTGAAGATGCTGCGTCTGGCTCCCCCTCGATCTCGCCGTCCCACACAGCTCCTGCTGGGATAAAGGCAAAGAACTAGCAAAAGAAGGGACATTTTATCACATGTGGTGGGAATGTAAAAAAGTGAAAAACTTCTGGGAAATGATATATAATGTGATGAAAAAGTTGTTGAAATATACATTTATTAAGAAACCAGAACCATTTTTACTTGGCATTGTAGGAGACTGGACTTCAAGGAAGAGGCCCAGTTCCCCGCAGCCTAGCAGGTCCCCAGATGGCCACCCAGAGAGTTACAGATGATGGAAGCAGGAGCAAACAGGTCAAGGGTTGGCACCAACTCTTCATCATCCTCTTTCTTTGGTGATCACTTGTAGCCGAGTAAGATTGTCTTCCATGAACATGGTTTTAACAGTGTGTCCGTGGCACCAACTATTCAACATTCAAAGGGTTTTACTACTTGACAGATAATCATTAATGCAGGTTCTAGGGCTTTAGCCCAGATAGACATGAGCACAAGACTGGATTCTTATCGTAAGCATATTGAATTCACTGACTTAGCATAGCCAGAAGAACTGTTTCATGCACTGAGATATTCACTGGGTTAAGCTGTATGAATGTTGGAATTACTATGTTAAAAAAATAATAAAAATGTATATAAAAAAGGCAAAGAACTAGCAAGAGACTCTAATTAGCAGAGGTGATCATTAGCAAATAGGTGAGGAATGGAAAAGCCCTCCAGATGCTGGTGAACTATAGCTCCCAGCAAGCACAGCCAATGGTCAGGTCTGCTGGGAATTATAGTCCAGCAACATCTAGAGTTCCACAATTCTGATCTACAAAGCAATAAAGCAGGGGTGACTCCCCAAATGTCTTGTCCTGTGAAGCACTTGAAGATCGGGTCTTGGCTGACCACTTTATGAATTTTCTGCCTGTTGTAGCATCCAGCCCAGCCCCCTGCAATGCCAAGGGAGCAACTACAGAGCGCTGAAGAACTTGGGCGCAAGCAAGGCTTGTCCCTCCTTACCCAGCAGGCCGGCCTCTTCCTCGTCGATATCGTCGTCATATTCTTGCTTGGCCTCCCTGCACAGCTGCCTCTGCTCGACCTCAGATGGGGCCTGGCCTGCCTCAGAGGAACTCAGAGCTGCCTTCTCAAAGACCACCTGAAACAGCAGAGAAGAACCTTTTTTAGATCACAGAATTGTTGGAAGGGTCTCCAACCCCAAGCAATGCAGGAAACTCAGCTAAAGCTGGTGGCCACCCAACCTCTGCTTAAAAACCTCCAAGGAAGGAGAGTCCACAACCTCCTGAGGGAGACATTTCCACTGTCAAACAGCTCTTACTGTCAGAAAGTTATTCTTGATGTTTCGTCGGAAACTCCTTCCTTGTAACTTGAATCCATTGGTTCTGGCCCTACGCTCCGGGGCAGGAGAAAACAAGCTTGCTCCATCTTCCATGGGACAGCCCTTCAGATGTTTGAAGGTGGCTATCTCCTCTCCTCTCTGTCTCCTATATCAGGGATGAGGAACCTGTGAACCTCTGGTTTCTGCTAGACTAAAAGTCCCATCATCCCCTAGCATTTAGAGCATCGGTTCTCAACCTGTGGGTCCCCAGATGTTGTTGGACTACAACTCCCATCATCCCTGAGCCCTGGCCTTGCTACCTAGGGGTGATGGGAGTTGTAGTTCAACAACCCAAAGGGTGCTCATCAATGGTTCCTCTTCATCCTGGAGAAGAGTGACTAGTGGGGTGCCACAGGGTTCTGTCTTGGGCCCGGTCTTATTCAACGTCTTTATCAACGACTTGGATGATGGACTCAAGGGCATCCTGATCAAATTTGCAGATGACACCAAACTGGGAGGGGTGGCTAACACCCCAGAGGACAGGATCACACTTCAAAACGACCTTGACAGATTAGAGAACTGGGCCAAAACAAACAGGATGAATTTTAACAGGGAGAAATGTAAAGTATTGCACTTGGGCAAAAAAAATGAGAGGCACAAATACAAGATGGGTGACACCTGGCTTGAGAGCAGTACATGTGAAAAGGATCTAGGAGTCTTGGTTGACCACAAACTTGACATGAGCCAACAGTGTGACGCGGCAGCTAAAAAGCCAATGCAATGCTGGGCTGCATCAATAGGAGTATAGCATCTAGATCAAGGGAAGTAATAGTGCCACTGTATTCTGCTCTGGTCAGACCTCACCTGGAGTACTGTGTCCAGTTCTGGGCACCACAGTTCAAGAAGGACACTGACAAACTGGAACGTGTCCAGAGGAGGGCAACCAAAATGGTCAAAGGCCTGGAAACGATGCCTTATGAGGAACGGCTAAGGGAGCTGGGCATGTTTAGCCTAGAGAAGAGGAGGTTAAGGGGTGATATGATAGCCATGTTCAAATATATAAAAGGATGTCACATAGAGGAGGGAGAAAGGTTTTCTGCTGCTCCAGAGAAGCGGACACGGAGCAATGGATCCAAACTACAAGAAAGAAGATTCCACCTAAACATTAGGAAGAACTTCCTGACAGTAAGAGCTGTTCGACAGTGGAATTTGCTGCCAAGGAGTGTGGTGGAGTCTCCTTCTTTGGAGGTCTTTAAGCAGAGGCTTGACAACCATATGTCAGGAGTGCTCTGATGGTGTTTCCTGCTTGGCAGGGGGTTGGACTCGATGGCCCTTGTGGTCTCTTCCAACTCTATGATTCTATGATTCTATGAACATCTGGGGACCCACAGGTTGAGAAAGGCAGATTTAGAGAACTGGAAGCTGAGGTGGCCTCTATGGCTAGCGGTACCTTTTACCAGCTATGGTCAGGAAGCCAACTGCAGCCATTCTTGGACAGGGGTAGCCTGACCACAGTGATCCAAGCGTCGATAGACTCCAGACGCAATTACCGTATTTTTCGCCCTATAGGACGCACTTTTTCCCCTCCAAAAATGAAGGGGAAATCTATGTGCGTCCTATGGGGCGAATGCAAGCTTTCGCTGAAGCGTGGAGAGCGAGAGGGGTTGGTGTGCACCGACCCCTCTCGCTCTCCAGGCTTCAGGAAGCTATCAGCAAGCCTGGGGAGCCCATGCTTCGGGCAGACATCCGCGGCTGGGGGGGGGAATAATTTCCCCCCCTTTATTTCCCCCCCAAAAACCTAGGTGCGTCCTATGGGCCGGTGCGTCCAATAGGGCGGAAAATACGGTATTTCAATGTGCTCCATGTGGGGACATTCTTGGGCCTGGTCTGGAGGCTCCAGCTGGTGTAAAATGCGGACTGTTGATGGGGACAGACTACCGCCAGCACATATCCCCTGCTGAAGTTCCAGTGCTCCCTAAAGACATTTTTTTTAAAAATTCTAGCAGGCAGTTTAAGTCTGATTTTATACTTTTAACTGATGTTTACCTTTCCTGTACTGTATCTTAGAAAACCACTTAGAGACTACTGCATTTAAGCAGCATATAAATGGCTTAAATAAAAACAAGCAAGCAACATGGCCGGGAAGGTGAGTAATAAGGTGTTAATTATTCTCCCCCCCCCCAAAAAAAAACCCCCACCAAAAATCCTGAAGGAGAAATTAAGATTGAGTTTCCCTAGAAAATAGAACTCCTTATAGAGGAAAACCTAATGGAGTACTTGCATTTATAATTTATGGTTTTTATTTATTGCACCTTTTCCTCCAAGGGGCTCGAGGTGGCGTAAATGGATCTTCCCCATCTCATTTAACCCCCACAACAACCCTGTGAGGTAGGTTAGGGTGAGAGACAGTGACTGACCCAAGGGTACCCAGAAAACTTGCTGTGATTTCATGGCATGCTGTACGCTGAAGGAAAATTATATCAAAATGATGTACTGTACTGTTGGTATTTAACACCAAGTAAGTTAGCAAATATAAGGGACGCAGGTGGCGCTGTGGGTTAAACCACAGAGCCTAGGACTTGCCGATCAGAAGGTTGGCGGTTCGAATCCCTGCAACGGGGTGAGCTCCCGTTGCTCAGTCTCTGCTCCTGCCAACCTAGCGGTTCAAAAGCATGTCAAAGTGCAAGTAGATAAATAGGTACCACTTCGGCGGGAAGGTAAATGGCGTTTCCGTGTGCTGCTCTGGTTTGCCAGAAGCGGCTTAGTCATGCTGGCCGCATGACCCGGAAGCTGTACATCGGCTCCCTCGACCAGTAAAGCGAGATGTGCGCCACAACCTCAGAGTCGGCCAGTAATGGTCAGGGTCCCTTTACCTTTTTAAGTTAGCAATTATCAGGTACAAATATCTGTTGGAAATGTAAAGAAAAAGAAGGCACCTTTTATCATATGTGGTGAATGTGTAAGGTAATAAAAGCATTCTGGGAAATGATATATAATGAATTGAAAAAAATGTTTAAAATAACCAGAGGCTTTTCTATTAGGAATTTTAAAGGTTACCCAGCAAACTTCATCATGGCCGAGTGGGGATTCGAAACCTGGTCTCCCAAGTCCTAGTCTGACACTCTAACCCATGGGTAGGCAAACTAAGGCCTGGGGGCCGGATCCGGCCCAATCACCTTCTGGCCCGTGGATGGTCTGGGAATCAGCGTGTTTTTACATGAGTAGAATGTGTGCTTTTATTTAAAATGCATCTCTGGGTTATTTGTGGGGCATAGGAATTTGTTAATATTTTCTTTTCCAAAATATAATCCGGCCCCCCACAAAGTCTGAGGGACAGTGGACCGGCCCCCTGCTGAAAAAGTTTGCTGACCCCTGCTCTAACCCTTACGCCACACTAGCTCTCCGAGGTTGTGAGTTTGTGCCTCACCCGGAGCATACGTCGACCCACACTGCAGTTGCACTTTCAACACCACCAACTTCAGTATGTCTCACCTGCAACCTGGCAACGAATTCTGCCAAGTGGCCTCACCTGGCTTACCTGCCTCTCGGCCTCTCGCTGCCTCAGCAGGAAATCCTCCGCCAGGGTGACAGCTTGGCAGCAGGTCTCCGGGCCGCACTCCCTCACCCAGCCCTGGATCTCTGGCGGCAGAATAGCCAGGAACTGCTCCAGGATCAGCAGCTCCAGGATCTGCTCCTTGGAGTGCCTTTCGAATCTCAACCACCGGCGGCAGAGTTCCTGGAGCCGCCTGTAAGCCCCTCTCGGCTCCTCGGCCTCCTGGTAGCAGAAGCGCCGGAAGCGCTGCCGGTTCTTCTCCCGCTTCATGGCGTCCCCTCGCAAGATGGCCGCCTTCACTTTCCCATAATCCTCCCTGTCTCTGGCCTCCAAGCCGATAAAGGCCCGCTCGGCCTCTCCGCTGATGGCCGGCAGGAGGTGGGCAGTCCAGTCCTCCGTGGGCCACCGGCAGGCTTCGGCCACTTGCTCGAAGGAGGCCAGGAAGGCCTTGGCGTCGTCCCAGGGGCTGGGCTCTTCTGGTGGCGGAGGGGATGCCCAGCACACTTCTTTGGGGGTCTCCACCGTCCTTAGGAACTCCCGCCACTGGGCTTCCCAGTGATGGAGGGAGTCCTCAGCCGGTTCCCGCTTCACAGCTCCCCGGGGTCTCCTCTGCAGGAATTCCCCGACACCCCTAGCCTGGAGGACGTGATGGGCTTTTCCTTTTCCTTCCGCTGAGGTGGGACCTGCAAGTTCTTGCTCCTCCATTTCCATCCCTCGCGCAAAAGAGGTGCGTCGACCTACAAAAATGGGGGAAGAGATCAACGAGAAAGAAAAGGAGAACGAGCACAAGGTGAACTGTCAGCGCCTGATGTAAGATTGCCTTCATCGGATCCCAGAACTCTTAAAGAGTCAGGAAGAAGCAAGGGGGCTTATGAGCTTCCCCTCTCTTTGTTTTATCCCTACAACAGATTTCCCCCAAGGCAGCGGAGGTTTAGAATCAGAGCTTTCCTTCTCCCAGATGGGCTGCCTTCCCAGGTGGGGGAGCCCCATCTGCCCCTCACTTCCCTCTACAGCACGTGCAGAAACCACCTTCTTGACTGTTGGGCCCATTCTTGGTCTCATCTGTTCCACGGAGCTTGTCTTTACTTGCAGGAGAAGCCCCTAACTGACCAAGGGTTTGAGACCCATCGACTACGCTCACCTGGTTTAGTCAGCCAGTCAAATACATTTCCCAGGTCTGTGGCTGCTGTTGCATGCTGACAGCTTTTTAAAAATTTTATTATTATTATTTTCAGTGCAAAATTACAACAAAAGTTACAAACATTGAATCCAAAATAAAACAGTACAAGCAAGAAAAACAAAACGCAGAGAAAAAAGAACACAAAAAAACAGAAACACACATCTACAAATAAAACGGTATCATCATTCTAATCTAGTCATTACATACATATACACATATTGACTTCCTTCCTTTGTTCTAAGACCTCAAAATTTTTACTCTTTCTAAGTTTTTGTGTCTAATATAGATTACCTCTATCTTTATACTTTTTACACCATTTTTCTCTTTCTTTACCCCTGCAAAGCATCATTCATCACATACCGATAGGCTTACTCCAGAACAATGTTTTTTTCATATACTCTTTAACACATCCCCATTCTTTTAATAATTTATGGTCCGATTGTCCCCTTATGAATGCTGTGAGTCTTGCCAGATTTATATATTCACAAAATTTAATTTGCCATTCTTTCATTGGTGGAATTTTTCTCCCTTTCCAATTTTTTGCTATGAGCATCCTGGCAGCTGTTGTCGCGTAGAGGAATACTAGGAATACCCACAGGAATACTATGATTGTCAGGAATATCGTTTGTGATTATACCTAAAAGGAATGCCTCCGGTTTTTTACTAAAATATATTTTAAACATATTTTTGATTTCTTCATATATTTCATATATTATTTTAAACAATTTTGGAATGAAATGTATGCATGCTGACAGCTTCTAGGAGCCACAGGTGGGAGCTGAGTGCAGGTTGGAGACCAAAGGTGGGCAAACTACCCCAGGAGCATGACATGCCCCCACCAGAGGTACCACCCCTCCCCTTATACACAAAGCTAAAAAAAATCACATCTACTTTCCCTCTGCTCCTGCCCATCACCCTTGTCAGTGGCCCCTAGGAGGCAGCCGCAAAGGGGTGGCACCCCATGGGCTGAAACAAAGCACCCCCACCTGCCCTAAGAGAAATAAACGCTGCCTGGACTATCCACCCACTTGGGTCTTCTGCGCTTGTCAAATCAGGGAGCAGCTGAGTGGAAAAGGAGACCTGACACTGGGATGCAAAAAAAAGAGAAGGAAATAGGATGTGTGATGAGTTTGGAGGTCCTTGAGGAGCCCCCTCCCCTTTTCTGCTTCCCACCCCCTTTATTGGAACCAGCTTCTCCCCATCCTTTTTACCCGGTCAGCTGTCCATGCACCTTCCAAAATTCAGGATTTTTTCCTGCCCACCACTCTCTCCTGCAGCTGCAAAGGAGGCCAGGGGTGCAGCAACAACACCCTCCTTTTCCCACCCCCTTCCTTAATGCTCCTTGGCATCCCTTTCCTGCTCTTTCTAGGAAAGCAACGCTCTGTCAGCTTAACCCTTTGGAGGAAGGCCCCGTCAGGGCTGCAAGGCTCCAAACCGCAGGAAGGAGAAGGGAGTGTGGCAGTTTTCAAAGGATCTGCATTTTCCAGGCAGTAATTCAATCCCCAGCACCTTAAGATTTTTCTGATGGATCAAGCCAATGTATTGCAAATGTCACCGTGCGCACTACATAAGAACGACGAATACTGGGGGAATATGTGCATCTCCCTGTGAATCAAAGTTTCTTTTTGGTTTTGGTTTTTCGTTGCTAGTCCTCATGATAGTGAAGCTGTGCGTGTCAGCATTCTGGCTACTGTTGCTGACATCTCTCTCCCTTCCTGCAGTTTCCAGCAAGCATTACGGCCTCCAACTGTGGCTAGTTGCCATCAACAGCCCTTGTCCTCCAGGCATTTGTCTAATCCTCTCTTAAAGCTATCTAAGTTGGGACTCTTGTGGGACTCCCTCGGTCCAGTATATCTGAAGGAGCGTCTCCACTCCCATCTTTCTGCCTGGACACTGAGGTCCAGCGCCGAGGGACTTCTGGCGGTTCCCTAACTGTGAGAAGCGAAGTTACAGGGAAGCAGGCAGAGGGCCTTCTTGGTGGTGGCACCCGCCCTGTGGAACGCCCTCCCACCAGATGTCAAAGAGAACAACAACTACCCGACTTTAAGATGACATCTGAAGGCAGCCCTGTCTAGGGAAGCTTTTAATGTTTGAGGCATTATACCTCGGGTTAAATACTTAATTCGTTCCGAGGTCCGTTCTTAACCTGAAGCACCACTTTAGCTAATGGGGCCTCCTGCTGCTGCCACACGATTTCTGTTCTCATCCTGAAGCAAAGTTCTTAACCCGAGGTAATATTTCTGGGTTAGCAGAGTCTGTAACCTGAAGTGTATGTAATCTGATGTACCACTGTATTTTAATATTGTGTTGGAAGCCGCCCAGAGTGGCTGGGGAGACCCAGCGAGATGGGTGGGGTATAAATAATAAATTGTTGTTGTTGTTGTTGTAGTAGCTCAACTGTGCACCATGAGAAGTCCTTTCTTTTATCTGTCCTGAATCTTCCAACCTTCAGCATTATGGTATGCCCGCAAGTTCCAGTGCTACAAAAAGGTGGGAGAAAGTTCTCTCTATCCGACTTCTCGAACATCCATCTTCATTGTAAACGGATGGGGTAGCAAGGGGAAGAGAGAAAGGCTTGGGCCTCATTTACACCATGGGTTTAAGGCTCTATGTTGGCTTGTGTTTGTCTCCAGGGACAATGGAGTGCGCCTCCGGGGGTGAAGCAAAACTGCTTTGTTAACAGCACGGTGACCTCCCCGGGTCACAAGCCTGGGCAGTGACCCCCCACCACACACACACACCTCACTGATGTGGTCCAAACGAAAGCAGAGCAAGATGTTTGGCACCAACTTGGAAGGAGGCAAACGAGGCACCATCCAACCACCTTAGGGACTCCGCTCTGGATTTGTGAAAGGGTTTTCTCCTTAGCCTTTTCTATTCCTGAAGGCGTCCTGTGAGGCAGCAGAGGTTTAGGATCAGAGTTTTCCTTCTCCTAGATGGGCTACCTGCAGCATATGCAGAAACCATCTTCTTGACTGTGAGACTCGCTCCTGATCTCACCTGCTCCATCCGCTACAGCCTGTCTTTGCATGCAGGGGAAGTCCCTAACTCACTGAGGGTTTGAGACCCATCGGCTGCCCTCACTTGATTTAGCCAGCCAGTTAAAGCCGTTTCCTGGGATTGTGGCCGCTGTCGCATGCTGACGGCTTCTAGGAGCCACAGGTGAGTGCTGAGTGCAGGTGGGGACCAGAGGTGGACAAACGACCCCAGAAGGAGCAGAACATGACCTCCACCAGAGGTACCACCCCTCCCCCAACACCCCATGCTCCCCTTAAAGCGCCAAGATACCGCATTATCACGGTTGCCCACAAAGAATTCTGGGAGATGTGGTTTGTTAAGGGTGCTGGGAGTTGTTAGGAAAGACATCCTGTTCCCCACACAGAGCTACAATTCCCAGAGTTCCCTGGGAAGAGGAATGAATAATTGAAGCACTTTGGGGACTCCTCACAATTCTCAGCACCCTTAGCATACAGTTCCCAGAATTCCTGGGGGGGGGCATGACTCTTTAAAGTGGTATCATAGCACTTTAAGCATATGGGATGAATGTGGTCACCCAGAGACACATGTTCTGCAGCAGAATGCCACTTCTCAGCCCTGGTGATTGGTGTCCTTTGGGGTTGATAGGGTAGAAAACAGGTAGCCCAACAGTAGTAGTAGTAATAATAATAATAATTTATTTATAGCCCGCCCATCTGGCTGGGCCTCCCCAGCCACCCTGGGCAGCTCCCAACATAATAATAATAATAATAATAATAATAATAATAATAATGCGATAAAACATAAAAAATTAAAAACTCCCCATAACATTTCCCTAAACAGGGCTGCCTTCAGATGTCTTCAAAAAGTCAGACACTTGTTTATTTCCTTGACATCTGATGGGAGGGTATTCCACAGGGCGGGTGCCATTACCGAGAAGGCCCTCTGCCTGGTTCCCTGTAACTTCTCTTCTCGCAGTGAGGGAACCACCAGAAGGCCCTCAGAGCTGGACCTCAGTGTCCGGGCAGAACAATGAGGGTGAAGACGCTCCTTCAGGTATACTGGGCTGAGGCTGTTTAGGGCTTTACAGGTCAGCACCAACACTTTGAATTGCGCTCGGAAACGTACTGGGAGCCAATGCAGATCTCTCAGAACTGGTGTTAGAATCATAGAATCATATAATCATAGAGTTGGAAGAGACCACAAGGGCCATCAAGTCCAACCCCCTGCCAAGCAGGAAACACCATCAGAGCACTCCTGACATATGGTTGTCAAGCCTCTGCTTAAAGACCTCCAAAGAAGGAGACTTCACCACACTCCTTGGCAGCAAATTCCACTGTCGAACATTATGTGTTATGTGGTCCCGGCGGCCCCTCCCAGTCACCAGTCTAGCTGCCGCATTCTGGATTAATTGTAGTTTCCGGGTCACCTTCAAAGGTAGCCCCACATAAAGTGTGTTGCAGTAGGTGGCACCAGAGGCAATGGCACCTAATTCTAGTTTTCTCTCCATCTTCTGCTTCCCTGTTGAGTTCATTAAGGGGCAACACTCAGTGAGGAAAAGGAAGGTGACAGCCAGGGCCACCTTTTGGACAGGATGACAGGTTTTTGTGGGCTAGTTGTGGGCAGACTGAGGTTGGTGAGGCAGTGCCCCATTGGCTTTCACGGACCAGCTTCCATTGTCACTCTAGAGGCAGAGGTCCTAGGCTCGAATGAGAAATAGGTCTGGACTAAGGCCACTTATGAACATTTGTCACCCGCTCTGCTCCTAGAATTGCAGTGTTGGAAGGAAAGGGACCCCAGGGTCATCTAGTCCAGCCCCTGCAATGCAGGAATCTCAACTAGATCATTCATGACAGATGGCCATCCAACCTCGGCTTAGAAACCACCACGGAAGGACAGTCCACCACATCATGAGGGAGTCTGTTCCGCAGCCAAACAGCAACATCTGGAGGGCCAAAGGTTCACCACACAACAGGGAGGCACAAGCAAGCTCAGGGAATCCTAAATTCTGCAGAAGTGCAAAGTATCTTTAGAGGAGAAAAATCTCTTAACTGAGGGGGCCGGGGAGGAGATGACCCAAAACATCTCAGTGAAAACTGGGAATGCTCAAGGACCACAGAATGTTGACTGTTGGAGAGGGTTAGAATGGAGTATCTTGCAAAAGGGCATGGCTGGCAGGCTGGCACCCTCAACAGGAGGCGCTCCATGATGCAACACTTTGTTGCAGATCTCACTCATTTTCCCCACATGGGCACTTTCATGTGAATTTCAGAAACGTGCTTTGTCCGGAACCCATTTCACTCCAAATAGTTACACAGTTGTATCCTTATTTTATTCTGTTTACATAAAAATTAATTACCATGAAGTGATTCATGCCATCCCACCAAAACGCACCAACAAAACAATGGGAAAAGTTCCAGAGAGAACATTAAAAACAACTACTGTTAAGACTCTGTTGCTTCTAACTACCTTCCTAGCTTCAGAAACCAAGGATGGGTGTGGCTCCGAAAGGAACGGATCCATCTGTTGTCCTAAAACGTACATGTGATTAAGGGAATTCTAGTCTGTGGCATATTAACATGCTGCAATAACCATGTCGACTTCTACGATGCCACCAGGCCGTTGGCAGGATTCGTGGAAAATACTAAGACGGCCATTCCCGCGTTAAGCATGTGGGCAGGTTCGGAGGGCATCTTCCCTTCCGTGTGGATTCTCTGATGTAAAGTGAGGTTGGTGCTCTGGCTGAAGCTCTTCCCGCACTCGGAACACGTATACGGTTTCTCCCCGGTGTGGATCCTCTTGTGCCTAATGAGGCTCGACTGGTCACGGAAGCTTTTGCCACAGTCAGAGCACATATATGGCCTCTCCCCTGTGTGCATTCTCTGGTGTGCGCTAAGGCTCCCCCTGTGGCTGAAACTCTTCCCGCACTCCAAGCATTTGTAGGGCTTCTCACCGGTGTGGACTCGCTGGTGTTGGATGAGGCTGGGCTTGTCCGAGAAACTCTTGCTGCAGTCCGTGCACTGGTGCGGTTTCTCCCCTTTGTGGAGCTTCTGGTGCCTGAGGAAGTTTGTGCTCTTGTTGAAGCTCTTCCCGCACTCCAGGCACTGGTACGGTTTCTCCCCAGTGTGGATTATCTGGTGCGAAGCGAGGTGGGCGCTCTGTACGAAGCTCTTCCCGCACTCCAGGCACTGGTACGGTTTCTCCCCGGTGTGGATTATCTGGTGCGAAGTGAGGTGCGCGCTCCGACCGAAGCACTTCCCGCACTCCAAGCATTTGTACTGCTTCTCCCCTTTGGGGATTCTCGGATGTTTAGGAAGGTCGGACTGATCACAGAAGCTCTTGTTTGTGTCCGAGCATTTATACTGTTCGTCACCTCTGGGGGCATCTTGATGTGATCTAAGATCTGAACCGTGACTGAAACTCTCTCCACCATCCAGATATATATACGTGTTTTCCTCCTTCTGGAGTGTTGCACATTTGGTAAGCTGTCTGCTCTCAATAAAGTCCCTCCCAAACATTGCGGTCTTATTTTGCTTCTCCTCTGTGTGGATTCCCCAGTGATCACTGGGGAAACCGCTCCCTCTTTTTTCTGTTTGGTTTTCCTTTTGGACCAGGGTTTCGTGGAAGTCTCCACCCTGGTGAGGGATGGACGCAGGTCTCTCTTGGCTCCAGAAATTCTCTTTCAGCTCTTCGTACTTGGCTCTTCCTGAGAAATCCCCACACAGCTCCCCTTCGCTCTTGCTTTTCCACTCATCGCCTGTTGAAATTAAGAGGAGGAACTCAATAAAGGACCCAACAGAGAAAACTAAATCTCTCAAACCGGTCTTCTAAAGCAGGGGGAGGAACGTGGGGACCTCAAAGATGTTGAGAAAATGTTGACCTACCACATAAGCCAGCATGGTGTCGTGGTGAAAATTCTGGACTAGGACCTGGGAGACCAGAGTTCAAATCTCTCCTTGGGTCATGAAGCTAACTGGGAGACCTTGAGCCAGTCACTGCCTCTCAGCTGGTGGGGATTAAATTATGCCATCTTGGGCTCCGTGGACAAAAAAAGTGGGCTATAAATGCAATGCCATAAAACAAATAAATGTTGCTCTGCTCCTCTGAGGTTTGGTTAGGGCTGACTCAGAGGCCCCACTCCGTATTATACATTTAAAGCAGTACTATACCAAAGAATTGTGGGAAATGTAGTTTGTTGAGGCTGCTGAGAGTTGCCAGGAGACCCCCTATTCCCCCCACAGAGCTACAATTCCCAGAGTGGTTGAACAATCAATTCCTTCAAGAATGACATATCTTTGCTGGTGGGGATGTTGAGCATGAGGAATATTTCCCCCCACTTATTTTGCGAGTGCTCACTGGTAAAAAAAATTCTGGTCCAATGTGTATCAGGAGGTATCTATTACCTTAAAGAAATACTGGACAAATGACCTTGCAGCTTCCATATAAAGACTGCAACCTAAAGAACTGGCAACGTGGCTGCTGGCAGAGGACAAAAACGGAAGATTCTGGAAGGCCTGCAGATATCTCTGGTGTGTAAAAATGTATGGAACCAGGAGATGGCAGAAAATATAACCCACAATATATTGGTTTCCGAGGCCAAGAAGATACGGAACATTTTAATATTGTGTGTACAATATCATTTCCACCAATAACAACTAACCTCCAGGATTCTTTGGCACTACCAATATGGGAAATAATGGACCTCTTAATGTTTCTGCTCACAAACGTCTTCTCACACCTTCCAATTTTGGCAGATTAAGAGAAGGGACACATGGCCCTCTTTCTGATATTTCTGTATTTTTTACCTTTGTGTGTGTACATCATATGTATGATGGAATAAAACACATTTAAGTATTCAAAACAACAACCCGATGCCTCCTCTCAGGGAACTGTGGGAATTGTAGGCAAAAATATTCAAGGCAGGTGTGGAGCCAGGCTAGTGGCTTCTTTGTGAACCACCCTGAGACCTTTGGGTATAGGGCGGTTTATAAATTCAATAAATGATGATGATGATGATGATGATGACAGGTGTGACCTCAGGCAGAGGGGCATGTGGTCTGGGAAGAGTCTTAGGGGTCTGAGGTTAAGAATGTTCCAGAACATTCCAGAAGGTTCCAGAAACCATCCCCTCCTTACCCAACAGGCTTGCCTCCCTGTTGTCATCTTCCTGCTTTGCCGCCACGCACAGTTGCTTCGGCTCGATATCAGACAAGGCCCGGCTTGTATCCGTCTCCTCAAATGCCGCCTGTAACAGCAGAGGGAAACCCATTCAGAGGAGAGCTAAAGGGATCGTCCTAATCCTCTTTCACACCCAGTACATGGCTGCTCCTTCAACACTTATGGGGGGAAGAATAAAGGAGGGCTGAATTTCTTGTTTTTTTTTTTAATTGCATGTACACATTTATGTGCACCTCTCAAAAACAAATCAGTCACTAACATAGCTCAGGACCTCAATACAACAACAATAATAATAATAATAATAATAATAATAATAATTTTTATTTATACCCCGCCCTCCCCAGCCAAGGCCGGGCTCAGGGCGGCTAGCAAGCAGTAATAAAAACAAGCTGAATGAATACAACTTAAAAACAAGATTAAAATACAACATTAAAATATTGAAACATTAAAATATTAGAATGCAGCCTCATCACAGGAGGAGAAAGGAAAAAGAAAAGAGAAAGAGGAGGAGGGAATCAAATTGGCTCCAAGCCAAAGGCCAGGCTCCAAGCCAAACTCTGTCTTACAGGTCCTGTGGAAAGAAATAATCATAATCATAATCATAATCATGGCTGCCCCTATATACACCAAGAGCTTGCCTTTCCTTCATCACGGAACTGGAGGTTAGTATTCATGGGGTTCTTAGGCAAACTCTCATCAAAGAACATAATAATAATAATAATAATAATAATATACCACGACCAGCAGCTTCCCTTCTCAACCCCTGCTCCAGCACGGAGTTGGAAGGGACCTCAAGAGTCATTTTGTCCAACCCCCATCTCAACATGCGGTCCCCCATCCAATTCGAAACCATACCGGACCCTGCTTAGCTTTGCTGAATGGGCCCGCGGTTATGCCGCTGCACCGCAAGCCCGGCAGCGAACATGCGTCACCTGCTTGGATGGCTTCTTGGCTCCCCGCAGCCTCAGCAGGAAGTCGTCCGCCAGGGCCACCGCCTGGGAGCAGGTCTCCGGCCCGCGCGGCCTGACCCAGCTCTGCATCTCCGGCGGCAGGACGGCCAGGAACTGCTCCAGGATCAGCAGCTCCAAGATCTCCTCCTTGCTGCGACTCTCGACTCTCAGCCACTGCCGGCAGAGCTCCTGGAGGCTGCTGTGAGCCCCTCCGGGACCCTCGGCCTCCTGGTAGCGGAAGCGCCGGAAGCGCTGGCGCTGCTCCTCCTGCCGCATGGCGTCCCCTCGCAAGATGGCCGCCTTCACTTTCCCATAATCCTCTCTGTCCGCGGCCTCCAAGTTGCCAAAGGCCCGCTCGGCCTCTCCGCTGAGGGCCGGCAGGAGCCGGGCTGCCCACTCTTCCTTGGGCCAGCGGCAGGCTTTGGCCACTTGCTCGAAGGAGGCCAGGAAGGCCTTGGTGTCGTCCCAGGCCTCTTCCGGCAAACTCGGGGACGCCCGTCCCAACGGAGGGGATTCCACCGTCTTCAGGAACTCTTGCCACTGGGCCTCCCACTGCTGCAGGGACCCCTCGTCCGCTTCCTGCTTAATCTCTTCTCCCAGCGTCTTCGGAAGGAATTCCCCCACGGTCTCGGGCTGGAGCGCCCAGGGGTCGTTCCTCCTCGTCCCCTCGCCCACCGGGTCTTGCTCCTCCATTTTCATCCCGGGCTGATCTCACAAAGAGGGCACCGCAGGGAAGGAAATTCTAGAAGGAAGAAGGGTGAGTGCAGATTCTAAATAGTCACGTCGAGTTTCCTCCCTGGAGGGGGAAAGAAGAGGATGGGAGAGTGAATGATCCCACAGGAGTCCCTATTTCAAGTCGGGGGCCACATTCCTTTCTGGGCAACTTTCCGAGGGCCGCATGCGAGTGTTGAGCAGGCCCAGAGGCATCAGGGGTTGGAGCGGCAAATGTAGATTTTCCCCTCGTATGGTCAGCTAGTATCTACACACACCCCTCTCCATCCAAACAGGCGAGAGGCCTGAGTTCAAGGGTACAGTCCGGTCAGGCAAAACCACTCAGGGAGGGTATGAGGCAAGGCAATGAGGGGCGAGAGCTGGGGAGACATTAAAGGGCTGGAAAGAGAAGCTTGGAGGGGCGCATTTACCCTCCTGGCCTGAGGTTCCCCACCCCTGCACTGTTCCTAGAAATAACGGCCACATATGCTAAATACGAGGGAGGCAGGTGGCGCTGTGGGTTAAACCACAGAGCCTAGGGCTTGCCGATCAGAAGGTTGGCGGTTCGAATCCCCGCGACGGGGTGAGCTCCCGTTGCTCGGTCCCTGCTCCTGCCAACCTAGCAGTTCGAAAGCACGTCAAAGTGCAAGTAGATAAATAGGGGAAGGTAAACGGCATTTCCGTGCACTGCTCTGGTTCGCCAGAAGCGGCTTAGTCATGCTGGCCACAAGACTCGGAAGCTGTATGCCGGCTCCCTCGGCCAGTAAAGCGAGATGAGCGCTGCAACCCCAGAGTCGGCCACGACTGGACCTAATTCAGGGGTCCCTTTACCTTTACCTATGCTAAATATATGCAGAAAATATGTAAATTATGTAATACATGCAAATTTGAAGCAATACGTCCCTCCCCCATATATGCTCCTTTGGGAGCAGGGGGGCTATTGTGTTGTTTTTTTATTTTTATTATGTATTTTGTTTTATATCTTGATTTTATTCTGTGAACTGCCCTGGTATATAAATTCAATTAATAATAATAATAATAATAAGGGCAGGATACACATTTAAGAAATAAAATAAATGTAATATGTAAATAAAATTTTGAATTATATAGGCATGTTAAAGGAAGTCTAGTCCAACCCCCTCCCACTGCAAGGGCACTGCCTCCATGACCCATGGTGGGAATTTGGGGGCTGGGGTGGGTGTTATTGAAATATCGTTGACCTCGTCTGCAGTTTCCATTTAAAGCAGTATCACAGAACTTTAAACAGTCCTGGCTTTGGCCCAAAGAACCCTGGGAGCTGTAGTTTGCTAAGGGTGGTGAGGGTTGTGAAGAGACCCCTATTCCCTTCGCAGAATTACAATTCCCAGAGTGGCTTAATAATCAATTCCTCTTCCTAGGAAACTCTGGGAATTGTAGTTCGGGGGGGGGATAGGGGGCTCCGAGCAACCGTCAGCAGCACCCTTTAAAAACTACAATTCCCAGGATTCTTTGTGCTAAGCTATGATGTAGAGCCGAAGGTGCAGCCAAAATTCCTCCTGTGCTGCTTAAATGCAGTATCAAGAAGTGGACGGACCCACACTTACTTAGAGGTAAATCCTATTGGATAGCATGCAATCCTTGCCATGCTCAGAGCACCTCCATTGAACTGAATGGGCTCCATAGTTTTTGGACTCTGGTGCACGAGCGCTTTTTCTGCGGTCTGGAGACAAGCCTTAACCAAGTGGTCTGCAGCTTATTCTTTGCATTGCATTAAATACTCTTCTCCCCACCCCAATTTTATTTTTTATGGCTTTTTTATTTCTTCTGCGGGGTTAGAATCGGGATCCTGTGGAATCCAAACGGCAGTGCAATAAAATGCAATGTGTAAGAAATAAGAGTGATTAAAAACTGGATTAAAAATCATACGACATCTAGCCCAGCACATTACAATTGCTACAACAGGCAGGGTGGGGGGAAATTATTAAGCGATGGGGTCAGGATCCTCAGCGGGAGGTCTCAAGTTCGATCCCCAGCATCTCCAGGTCCCAAGCCTGAAATCCAGGAGAGCGGCTGCCAGCCAGTGTCGGCAGCACTGAGCAAGACAGACTCCGTCTAAGGCGGCTTCTAATGTTCCACCCTCCTTGCTTTTCAGTGTTATTATAATAATTACGCCTCATTCTTAACCTGTTTTTGACAACGCGACGATTCCCCTTGGATCAGGGGCTCCCTCCCAGCAAGCTCTCCTTCAACTCACCAGATCGCTCCAGATCCTTCCTCAGTGCAGATGGGGTACCCTAAATCTTTATACTGCTGGAGGATTTTGGGGGTGTTGGGGGGGACACCATGCATGTATTTTCAAAAGGCAGTTTCCGGGCAAGGGTGGAGCCAGACCAGGAAGCGGGCTGTGCTATGCTAGGTTCACATCCTGGTCTCTTTTGCAGTTATTTATTTATTTGCTTTTGAATGAATGGATCGTGCCCAGGGGATCGAGGCTCCTCCGCTCTCAGTTGATCCTTACAAGTGCCTCTCTCTTGTTGATTGCGAAAGATTCCCTTGCCACTCGGAAACGCGTGAATATTCTTTTGCACGGGTGTTTTCCTCTCGTACACACCACGCGTTTAAAGCACATTCCCACGCAGCTCCGCCTGCCCAGGAATCCCGGGAGTTGTAGTTTGCTCCTCGGAGAGCTACAGTTCCCAGCACCCTCAACAAAGGATCTTGCAGCGCTGGATTGTATGACTATGACTGTTCAGTTGAAAAAACGCTTTAAAATTCAGCAGAGAATATTCTTCTGAACTGTATACCTACTATACGAAAGTTAACAAAAATGGATTTTACGCGCTCTAATGGTAGTCAAGAGGCTGATGTTGATGAACTGGAAGAGTAAAGACATGATCTCCTTTAATCTGTAATAAGAAATAACAAATCAGTGGATTGATAATATGATTACACTTGCAGCAGACTGTTCACAGCCGCAGCCTCTGCTTGGATGAATATGACAATATTTGGAACGAATTTATACAAAATGTAATAGACTATTCATATGTACATTAGTATTAGGATAATAATATTGAATTTATAAAAGAATGTATGGGTTATGTCTTTTTGAATATATTCATATAATGTCATTGTCCCCTTCATTACAAGGTTGTGTGTTTTGTTCTTTTTTTCTTTTCATATCACTTTGCTGCTTTATATTTGATTCCCCCCCCCCCAATAAAATATAAATTCAAAGTTGGGGGGGAAACAAAACAAATGACCTTGCAGTTCACATCTTGCAGCGAGGAGTTCCAGAAGTATGGTGCAATGGTTGAGTGTGTTCAGACTTTGAGCATTGGACGCCTGCCCTACTCAGAGTAGCCCTATTGAACTCAGTGGGCATGGCTACTTTGGGGGCATTCGTTTGATTTAGTTCCTTTTATCTGCATTCACATATCTACATTCGCAGGGGCAGTTTGATCCGTTCTCATGGCATGACCCTAACTGCAAATTTATACATTGCATTTGAGCTTTAACCCGACATGGAAGACACTTCCAGAAATATAACATAATATAGTGCAAGTTTAACACTCATTTTCATGTTAATTGCAAAAACGTGGCTTTTGTGTGTGAAATTCAAGCCCAAGGTTGTCCAGCAAGCCTCCAAGCTAAGGTTGCAAATCTGGGTCTTAGACTGCAACCCTCTGTATGCTTGATGAGACTTCCATTTAGGTTAATTTGATTTATTCCCTGGTAGCAGTCACGAAATTAAAAGACGCCTGCTTCTTGGGAGAAAAGCAATGACAAACCTAGACAGCATCTTAAAAAGCAGAGACATCACCTTGCCAACAAAGGTCCGTATAGTTAAAGCTATGGTTTTCCCAGTAGTGATGTATGGAAGTGAGAGCTGGACCATAAAGAAGGCTGATCGCTGAAGAATTTATGCTTTTGAATTATGGTGCTGGAGACTTGAGAGTCCCATGGACTGCAAGAAGATCAAACCTCTCCATTCTTAAGAAAATCAGCCCTGAGTGCTCAATGGAAGGACAGATCCTGAAGCTGAGGCTCCAAGACTTTGGCCACCTCATGAGAAGAGAAGACTCCCTGGAAAAGACCCTGATGTTGGGAAAGATGGAGGGCACAAGGAGAAGGGGACGACAGAGGACGAGATGGTTGGACAGTGTTCTTGAAGCTACCAGCATGAGTTTGACCAAACTGCAGAAGGCAGCGGAAGACAGGAGTGCCTTGCGTGCTCTGGTCCATGGGGTCACAAAGAGTCGGACACGACTAAACGACAACAACAACAAAAGCTTGTCTAGTCCAGCTTTGTCTACAGCAATTGACAGTGGCTAACCTGGTTTTCAGGCAAGGGATGTATCCAGCCCTACCTGGAAATACTGGGGACTGAACCATGCAAAGCAGATCTTTTACCAGCAAGCTACAAACCTTTGGATCCAACGCACAGCCTTGTCGTTGCTGCCCCAATCCCTACCCCAAACACAACACTTAAGCCTAACTGGGATTTTGAGGGAAGCAACGCCAATTCATTAAATTGTGCTTCCGTGTAAAATTGCTCCACTGAGATATGGCTATCAACGTTTCCCCTACTTAAAGGCCGTCTGAACTGTAGAAACTTGGGAGTCAAGTGTATCTCCGTGCTCTGAAAAGCTGCTCCTGGTGTGTATAGGTTCAGTTCTGCGGGCTAGGAAGGGACAATCACTCAACTCAACAAAATATTGCAACACACCCTGATTCTCCAGCAATTCCTCTTCCCAAAGGGTGGCATTGCCCCGGGAACTTCTCACTGCTGGGAACCCATCACATTGGTGTGGGATGGAACCCAAATGGAGAATGGGGGCAGTGACATTCCTAGGGCACATGGAGCGGATGTTCCAGCAGCAAATGGGAGCCTTGTAGTGTTGAAACAGATTATCTGGTTGTGGACCCCAGTCATGTCGCACCCACAACCCCACACAGTTCTGTGCCCTTTCCCTAAATTAGTGAAACAGGCAGTTCGATGTATAAATGTTTGCAAGTTGTTTTAATTTACAGCTTTTCTAGGTGTAGAATGGAAGATTCCTTGCACCGTTTGTTTGTTTGTTTGTTTGTCTGCTCAATATTTGTTGTCTTCCCTAAATAAAGAGAGCAGAGTGGCCCTAATAGGGCAAGGCAAGGCTGCTTGCTTGGGAGAAAACAAAGAGGGATAGGATCCCGCACTTCACAATACAAATTTGTGTGCGCACTTCTGTTCTGCTTTCTTTTTGCATCCGGGTCACAAAGGGAGAATATGTGACTTAGCGTATCAAAACCATTTCCACCACCCAAGGATTGGAATTGCCCAAAAAAGATGTCAGACTGTTTTTGTTTGCCACTACAGCGGCAAGACTTTTATTAGCCAAAAATTGGAAATTGCAAGAGATACCAACAATAGAAGATTGGCAGATGAAGATGATGGACTTTTTGGAGCTGGCCGACCCGACTGGAAGAATTTGTGATCAGAAAGAAGAGGAGACACAAGAGGACTGGAAGAATTTTAAAGAATATTTGGCTAAATATTCTAACATAAGATTAAGAGAAATTTATTGGAAGTAAGAATTAGGCTTAGGGGTAGAATAAGAATATGTTGTTAATAAACATTAAGGATTAAAATTTTAATAAAGGAGAAGAAGTTAGTAAATGTAAGAAGATAATATTATTAGAAATATCAATTTGGAGAACTGCTAAACAGGAGATATAATGAAATTCAGTTAGAGGGGATTCGAGGAAGTCAGTTATCAATGAAATGAAATTAGGATTTGGAAGTAAAAAATTCTTTTGTGTGTGTCTTTTCTATGTTGTTTTGTGTATTGTAATGTTTTTCTTCCTTTTTCTTTCTTTTTTTATGTGATAAATGTGAAAATCAATATATACATATTTTTAAACCAAAACATTTCCGCCACCCTTAAGGCAAAAATATTTTATTTTACTCCAGCCTCTTAGAACAGAGTCTGGCTGCTTATGTGCCGGCGGGAATGATCTGATGTGCAAGAAGGTCCTGCCCGTCGCTGAAACTTTTCCCGCAGTGGATGTTCTGATGTCTAGTGAGGCTGGATTCGAAAGCAAAGCTTGCCCAGCAGAGCGGACACTTGAATCTTTCATCCCTTGCATGGACCCTCTGGTGCCGGCTGAGACTTGACTTGTAGCTGAAGCTTTTCCCACAGTCCACACCCTTGAAAGGTTCTTCCCCTGCATGGATCGTCTGATGAATAGCCAGATTCGAGCTCCGCCTGAAACTTTTCCCACAATCGACACACTTGTGTGGCTTCTTCCCACGGTGGAGCCTCTGGTGCCGTGCAAAGTTCTGGCTGTGGTCAAAGCTCTTCCCGCGCTCATGGGGCTTTCCCCCCGTGTGGATCTTCTGGTGCGCAATGAGGCTCGTGGTCCAGCGGAACCTCTTCCCACAATCCGGGCACTTGTAGGGCTCCTCTCCCGTGTGGATTCTCTGATGTCGGAGAAGGTTTGACTTGCGGCTGAAGCCTTTTCCGCAAACACCGCAGGTGCTCTGCTTCTCCAGCCGCGGTTTCTGATGGGCCGAGAGCTCGTAGAACGCTCCAAACTGGCTGGCTACGGGTCTCTGGTCCCACATCTCCATTCGATTCACCCCCTTGAGGATGTCTTCTCGGTTCTCAGTGTCAGCTTCCTCCTCTCCGCTCTTAATTCCTCCCGACCACACTTCATGCGATTCCCAATCCTTCTCAGTCCCCCAAGCATCATCTGTTGGAATAAGAATAAAATGAGTATGTACAGGTGTGCGTGCACGTATGTTCAGAGCCACAGAATTGTAGAGCTGGAAGGGACCCAATGGTCATCTAGTCCAACCCCCTATGATGCAGAAGTCACAGCTAAAGAACCCCTGGTCTCTCCTGGCAACAGCCATTCCAACTACCTACAGCAGAAGTCCCAGTAAAGGGAGAATGGATGCTAGGACCCTCGTACCTACGGGACCGCCTCTCCCGGTATGCCCCACGGAGGACCTTAAGGTCCATAAATAGCAACACCCTAGAGGTCCCAGGCCCTAAGGAAGTCAGATTAGCCTCAATCAGAGCCAGGGCCTTCTCAACACTGGCTCCGGCCTGGTGGAACGCTCTGTCTCATGAGACCAGGGCCCTGCGGGATCGGATTTCTTTCCGCAGGGCCTGTAAGACAGTTGTTCCACCTGGCCTTTGGGTTGGAATCAACTTGATTCCCTCCCCCTCTTTCTTTTTTCCTCCTGTGATGGAACTCCTATTTGGGGACTTCCCTGGCTTTTTTCTGGCTCATGTAGGACCAGTCTGGATAGTTGGCTTTGGTGAAGACTTGACATTTTCATCCCCCAAAAAATGTTTTTGATTTGAGTTTCCACTGAAATGAGGCTGCATTTTAATGTTTTAATGTTTTAAAGTTTTAATCTTCTTTTTTAAGTTGTATTTCAATCAATTTGTTTTTATATCGGTTGTTAGCCGCCCTTGGCTGGGGAGAGTGGGGTATAAATAAAATTGTTTATTATTATTAAAACTTATGGAATATGCAAAAATGGCGAAACTAAGTGGAAGAATGAAAAAATCAAGCTAAATTTTTTTTTATAAAAGAATGGAAATGGTTCATTGAATATTTACAGATAAATTGTAAACAGATAAAACCATTAGCAGGATTATTGTAATAACCTGCAGTTTTATAAGAGTATATATTTACAGTAGATAATTAAAGGAACAAGTTAAATGAATTTGGATATGCAGAATTTAAAAAAATAAATAAAAAACAAGGAACCGCAGAAAGAGGGGGAAGGAAGTCCAATTTTGAAATGTTAAATTGATTGTAAAACTAATGAAATGTATAAATTTGAAAAATATAAATAAAAAACTAAAAAAAAGAAGAGAAGAGAAGAGAAAGGAATCCCTTTGGGTCAGCTGAGACACCAGCACCTTACGGCCCGTTCCAGCTGGTCTTAAAAACATCTTTGTAACTAAGTTGTGTCTTGTCCTCTTCCCTCCTAAACCCTCTTCCTTTTGGGCCATGTCTTTCAGACTGTAAGCCTGAGGGCAGGGGCTGCAATGTTAATGATCTTTCTAGGACACTCTGGCAACCGCTGCCTGTCGTTTTTTTCATAGATTTGTAGAATCTTAAGAGTTGGAAGGGACCCGGTGGATCATTTAGTCCAACCCCCTGCAATGCAGGAATCTCAACTAGGAATCTCAATTTCCTCCTCCCTCCCAATCCCTCTTCCTTTTGTGCACTGTCTTTCAGATTCTCCCATTACATATCTCTGTTAGCCACTCTGGGGACCATTTTCGGCTGAAGAGAAAGGTAAATATCCTTCAGGTAAAGGAAATAAATATCTGAAATACCACACTACAGATACTGACCCAGAGAAATGGCATAATCTCCGCTCTCCTGTATGATCTCCCCACGGAGGAGCCCCTGTCCAGACTCAGATGACGCCTGTTCCTCTTCATCATCAGGAAATTTCAGGACTTGGGACAGGCCCGACACCTGAAATAGTAGGCAGCGTTTTCAGTTTGTTTTGCAAAGGTCTCTGCCAGCTAAGAGAACACAGTCTGTGCTTCTTCACTGAATTTAAAAAACTTATTTTGTTTTTGTTTTTTTTTAAAGATATTTATTAAGAGTTTACAAGTTACAGAAGAAGCAAGAGAACAATAAAGAATTAAACAAAACAAAACAATACCTTACAATACATCAAAAAAAGAAAAAAGAAAACAATACAATAAAACAACAACAAAAAAACAGAACAAAAACATCTAAAAACACATCCAACCTTTCCATATCTTTACCTTTCATATACTTGTTTCATCGACCTCCTCACACCTCCCTTTTTTGTATTCTAGTTCAATTAGCTATTTCAGCAAGTCCTTTCCATCTTTCTCAATTTTCGTTCTAAAATTTAACTTAAGACACTCTAACCTTAAATTTTCCACTTTGGTCCATTAACAATCTATTTTTATAAAAAACTTATTTTGCAACCTGAAACATACTCGGAGTTGAGTGTGGATTTCATGCTCTTTATTCAGCTCATAGTAGTGAGGAATGGAAGTTTCCCCAAACTGTCTGCTTTATATACATTATTTACACAATGGGCCCCACGTGATTGGCTAATTCCGGGATTCTCCTGTAGGCCAATCACGTCCACCTGGAGTTGGATTGGGTGGTTCCTGCGGACCAATCAGACTGCTGCATTCTGAATCCTATTGTTCTAGGACCTATCAGACTGCTGCAATTTGGATCCTATTCAACTCAGTACATAACACCACCCAAGGCAGCTAAGAAAAAGACAATTCAAACAATTAAACCATTAAACCTCAAGATGTTTTGAGACTACAATTCCCATTATCCCTGACCACTGGTCCTGCTAGCTAGGGATCATGGGAGTTGTAGGCCAAAAACATCTGGAGGGCCAAGGTTGACGAAGCCTGCGTTAAACAATTGATTTGTAGAAGTACATATTAGATACAAAAAAATAAATAATACAACGATAAATATCTGGGCAGAGATTCAAGTAAGTTGTGCATATAGAACAAGGTCCACTCACACAACAGGGCTTCCCCTGCCCCTCCCCCCCACAAGCCCGGTGTTGTGTACTGAGTTGAATAGGATCCAAACTGCAGCAGTCTGATTGGACCTAGAACAATAGGATCCAGAATGCAGCAGTATGATTGGTCCGCAGGAGCCACCCAATCCAACTCCAGGTGGAAGTGAATCTGCAGCCTGATTGGCCTACAGGAGAATCCCGGAATTAGCCAATCACGTGGGGCCCATTGTGTAAATAATGTATATAAAGCAGACATTTCGGGGGAACTTCCATTCCTCCTCACTACTATGAGCTGAATAAAGAGCATGAAATCCACACTCGACTCTGAGTATATTTCAACCCCCAAATCTGCTCTGGAGGGTTGAGGGAACCCCCTAAACTTGTAAGAGAATGGGGGGGGGGAGTTATGCTGTATGAACAGACTTTGTTCCGTACATGCACATCCCACTTAGCGCTAAGTTGAATTCTACCCTATATGTATAGCTTTTCATACGATTGTAGAGTTGGAAGGGAACCCGAGGGTCATCTAGTCCAACCCCCTGCAATGCAGGAATCTTTTGCCCAGTTGGGCCTCGAACCCACAACCCTGATATCAACAGTCTCGTGCTCTACCAGCAGAGCTATCCCAAGCTGTTCAGGTCACCTGGTGAGCACACCCTCCCTCACCTGTTCTTCCTCCGCCTCTCTTTGCCCCAGAAGGAGCTCCTCGGCCAGGGCCACCGCCTGGGAACAGGTCTCTGGGCCTCCTTCCCGGACCCAGCTCCGCATCTCCGGCGGCAGGACGGCTAGGAACTGCTCCAGGATCACCAGCTCCAGGATCTGCTCCTTGGTGTGCCTCTCCGGCTTCAGCCACCGGTGGCACAGGTACCAGAGGCGGCTGCAGACCTCATGGGGGCCCTCAGCCTCCTGGTAGCGGAACCGGCGGAAGCTCTGGCGCTGGGCCTCCGCACCGAGGGCAGTTGCAGAGCCAGCCCTTTGCTCTGCCATAATCTGCCGGCCAATGGACCGATGGGGAAGGAAGATTTTGCCGCCACCCGACAGCACAGTCTGTGGGTCTCCCCGGTCCAACCCAAGGAACCGCGAGGCCTTCAGGAAAGCCTGCCACTGGGCTTCCCAGTGCCGAGACAACACCCCGTCGGTCGGTTCCTGCTTCATCTGTTCCACAGTCCACCTCAGAAACTGTCCCACGGCGCACGCTTGGCCTTCTTCCTCGAGACGGCGGGCGTGTGGTTCCTCGCTCTCAGGGGTCAAGCCCATCTGAAGCCACCGCTCTAACGCAGCTGGGAACTGAAGGCAGGAGGCTGAGGGTTCCCCGACTCCTGCTCGAGCCATTTCCACTTGCAGGGAGGATTCGAACGCAGCTCTTTCCCTCACTAGTGTGTGGTGGGGCAGAGGACAGATGAGGACGGTGGGCCTGCCCTTGGCCTTCCACCCAGAGCTATTTTTCTAGAAAAAGAGGGGCCGGAGCTCACCGTGAACTTGGAAAGGGGTCACCCACATTCCAAGGCATGACTCTTGATCTCAGGGTCATGGGTTCGAGTTGGGTTGGACTAGATGACCCTCGGACTCTTTCCAACTCTACAATTCTATGAATTCTATGCAGGGGGGACGGGGACTCCTTGCTGATACAATTCAGAAAGAGGGGGTGCCTGCTACTCTCAGGAACTTCGGAAGCTGCCTTATACCAAGTCGGGCTATTGGCTTAGTACTGGCAGCTCGGACTGGCAGCAGCTCTCCAGAGTTTCAGGCAGGGAGTCTCTCTCTCCCAGCCCTGGCGATTGAACCTGGAAGTTGTCTGCATGCCAGGGAGCACATGCTCTACCCAGTGGGCAGCACTTTCTGAACACGCACCTCATTCATTGCACCCCATGCACCAACCTCCTGGCAATGCAAAAAATAAATCTCAGCCAGGCGGCATTTTAGCTGCAAAGCCGGGCAAGGAAATGCATGGAAGGCTGTCCTCTGTCCCGCTCCACTCCTCCCCTCACATTTTTTCTTTCCTCGCTAGGAATTGAGCCGCGGCTGTTGATTTAACCATTAACCGGCCATCTACCTCTATATTGCCAGCACGGACTGGCAGCAGCTCCCTAGTTTTGCAGCCCTACCTAGAGATGCCGGGGATGCATGCAAAGCAGACGCTATGCCCCTTGCTGCTCTCCTGCAGCGATAAAAACCATTGCAAAAATAGCTCGCTGCTTGGGAGGCTGCTGGTCCTAATGCAAATTGTTCTGTTAGCTTCTGGGTCCGGTCTTTGCTCCTTCAAAGGGTTAAATCCACCGAGCTCCGTTTCTTAGAGCGGCCCAGGAAATTTGGATGGGGGAAGTAAACAATGAGGACAACTTCCTGGGTCTAAGCCCCGCCCTCCTCCTGGCATTAGACTCCTGCAGAAGACAGACAGGTGGGTGATTTAAGCCCTAAGCTGAAAGCTAGCATCATTCATAGTGGCGTGGTGGAATGGAATTAATCCATGCAATGCAATGCAATGCAAAATAGGGAGGGGAAACCATTTAAAAATAGTAGCCGGGCTCAGATTCATTCTACCAGAGCCAACCTTTCTCTAGATCATTTGGAAAAATGAAATGTGAGGATGCACATTTCTTTTTCTGAGTCTCGACAGGGGCTGTGGGCAGATGACCTGGGATACTCAAAATGGCACTTGCTCAAAAATCCCAGAGTGATCTGAGAGAGATTTCAATACCTGAAAATACTTGAAAAATTAGCACAAATTAAAACCAGGCGATTTTGAATAAATTTGAGTTACTGTACTATCATTAAAGGCAAAAATAAAAATAAAAAGTCCCAGAGTGGCCACAGATCTAAAAATGTCAGTAACCTCTACTGCGTAGGAGGCAAATGATAATAATTTATTATAATAATTTATTATTTATACCCTGCCCATCTGGCTGAGTTTCCCCAGCCACTCTGGGGGCTTCCAATCAAGTGTTAAAAACAATACAGCATTAAATATTAAAAACTTCCCTAAACAGGGCTGCCTTCAGATGTCTTTTAAAGATAAGATAGCTGCTTATTTCCTTCACATCCGGTGGGAGGGCATTCCACAGGGTGGGCGCCACTACCAAGAAGGCCCTCTGCCTGGTTCCCTGTAACCTCACTTCTCGCAATGAGGGAACCACCAGAAGGCCCTCGGCGCTGGATCTCAGTGTCCGGGCTGAGTGATGGGGGTGGAGAAGCTCCTTCAGGTATACAGGACCGAGGCTGTTTAGGGCTTTAAAGGTCAGCACCAATGGTTTGAATTGTGCTCAGAAACGTACTGGAAGCCAATGCAGATCTCTCAAGACCGGTGTTATATAGTCCCGGCGGCCACTCCCAGTCACCAGTCTAGCTGCCGCATTCTGGATTAGTTGCAGTTTCTGGGTCACCTTCAAAGGTAGCCCCACGTAGAGCGCATTGCAAGTAGTCCAAGCGGGAGATAACTAGAGCATATGCACCATTCTGGCAAGACAGTCCATGGGCAGGTAGGGTCTCAGCCTGCGTACCAGATGGAGCTGGTAGACAGCCACCCTGGACACAGAATTAACCTGCTCCTCCATGGACAGCTGGGAGTCCAAAATGACTCCCAAACAATTCATCAGGAAACTTCTTACTGATCTGTAACCTATTTTATTTCTCTCCGACTTGAGCAGGAGAAATGGCCATGGAGGAACGGAGAACGCAGCTTGTCTGCCCAAGTTTCAAGGTCCCAGGAATCAAAATGGAGAAGCTGGACTCGGCAGGCCCTGGCCAACGAGAAGGAGCAGGAGGAATCCCTCACACCGTTGAGGCCAAGAGTCTGAAGGAGTTCCTTTGGTGGGCTGCTCCTCAGCAGATGAAGCGGGAGCCGGAAGGAAGTTTTCCCGTTTGCTGGGACGCCCAGTGGCAGGACTTCCTGAAGGCTGTGCAGTTCCCTCACTGTGGACAGATGGATCCACAGCTGGGGGAATCCACCCTGCAGGTAGACAACGGCAGGGTGTTGGTGGGCACTGCTAGGTGCAGCCCGTGGCTTCTGGAGGAGAGAGGGAGGTGGCTCTTGCCAAGGCCCGGCGGAAAAGCCCATCCGGCCTGCGTTCAAATGGCGTCCAGTGGCCAACGGGACGAGGGGGATTTTGCCAGGACAGAGGCCAACCGCCAGCGGTTCAGGCGCTTCCTCTATGAGGAGGCCACGGGGCCGCAGGAGGCATGCGGGCGACTCCGGCAGCTGTGCCGTCTGTGGCTGGAGCCAGAGAGACGGTCCAAGGAGCAGGTCCTGGAGCTGGTGGTCCTGGAGCAGTTTCTGAGCATCCTCCCCCAGGAGATGCAGGGCTGGGTCCGCAGAGAGGAACCAGTGACCACCTCCCAAGCAGCAGGCCTGGTGGAAGATTTCTTGAGGAGGCAGCTCAACGCTGAGAGGCTGGAGCGACAGGTGAGGAGCCAGAGTATAAGCTTAATGACCTGTTTCTTCTTTCTTTGTCTCTTTTTAAATTTTTCTTAATTTTTGTTAGATGTTACAAAAAAAGGAAAAGAAAAAAAGGAAATAGAAACAATACATAGGTAAAGGTAAAGGGACCATTAGGTCCAGTCGTGGCCGACTCTGGGGTTGCGGCGCTCATCTCGCTTTAATGGCCGAGGGAGCCGGTGTATAGCTTCCGGCTCATGTGGCCAGCATGACTAAGCCGCTTCTGGTGAAGCAGAGTAGCGCACGGAAATGCTGTTTACCTTCCCGCCAGAGCGGTACCTTTTTATCTACTTGCACTTTGACGTGCTTTCAAACTGCTAGGTTGGCAGGAGCAGGGACCAAGCAACAGGAGCTCACCCCGTCGCGGGGATTTGAATCACCAACCTTCCCATCGGCAAGTCCTAGGCTCTGTGGTTTAACACACAGCGCCACCTGCGTTCCTCTAAATTTTATTAGATGTTACCAAAAAAATGGAAAAGCAAAGAAGGAAATAGAAACAATACATAACCATACATAAAAACATTCATAATTTTCCAGAATGCAGACTAGAAAAGAAGAAAGACGAAAAATAAAAGAAAGAAAGAAAAGAAAGAAAGAATGAAGAGAAAAAATACTTTTCATAATAATTCCAAATTCATACTTCAAACATTACAATATATAAATCCTAGTTATAATATTATAAAAGACTTCCACCGCATTCACCACACAGCTCTTGGTTATCTAATTCACCTTTACATCTGTTTCTTCTTTCTTCGGTATGTTGTATCTAATCGTTTGACAATTGTGAACAATAATCAGCAATACTGTTCCAGAAAAGAAGTTCGTAATATTCTGCCAGAAAATATCGCTTAGCATAAAATGACAGTATTTCTTCTTTTAAAACCCCCTCAAAACTCACTTGAATTTGCTTTGCAGGAGGGATTGCAGAGCATAGCCATTGCGGCTAGTGGCCACTAATAGCTTTCTCCTCCATGAATCTGTCTAATCCTTTTTCAAGCCATCCAGGTTGGTGACTATTAATGTCTCCTGTGAGACTGAGTTCTGTGGTTTAAAGTGAATTGCTCTTCACATAAGCACCGCGAAGACTACACAGCCTGTCTTGCTGTTTACCCCCAACACCCATGGGAATGAATATATGCTCTAGTTATCTCCCGCTTAGACTATTGCAATGCGCTCCACGTGGGGCTACCTTTGAAGGTGACCCAGAAACGACAACTAATCCAGAATGCGGCTGCCAGACTGGTGATTGGGAGTGGCTGCTGAGACCATATAACACTGGTCCTAAAAGATCTACATTGTCTCCCAGTACGTTTCCAAGCGCAATTCAAAGTGTTGGTGCTGACCTTTAAAGCCCTAAATGGCCTCGACCTGAAGGAGCATCTCCACCCCCATCGAGGGCCTTCTCGGTGTTTTAAGTATGTTTTAAAGCAGGGTTGTAATTTTTTCTTGATTTTGCTGCTTTATCTTTTGTAAGCGACGTATAGATTTTATGAACTAAATAAGCAAAAGAGACCCTCTCTGCTCTTTCAGAAACTGGAGCCCTACAAGGAAGTCGTGGTGGACTTCCCCGAGAAGGAGGAGGTCCCGCCGTGCCTTGAGCAAAGAGGACGCTTCTTCGGGGAAGCCACGCAGGCGTATACCAAGGGCAGCATGCAACAAGGTCAGGCACTATTATTATTAATAATTTTATTTGTACCCAACCCATCTGACTGCGTTGCCCCAGGCTGTCTGGGTAGCTTCCACCATATACGGAAACATAATTAAACATCATACATTAAAAACTTCCCTACAGATGTCTTCTAATCTCCTTGACATCTGAGGGAGGGTTTTCCACATGATGGGTGCCACCACTGAGAAGGCCCTCTGCCTGGTTCCCTGTAACCTCACTTCTCGCAGGGAGGGAACTGCCGGAAGGTCCTCGGAGCTGGACCTCAGTGTCCGGGCTGAACGATGGGGGTGGAGACGCTCCTTCAGGTATACTGGGCTGAGGCCGTTTAGGGCCTTAAAGGTCAACACCAATGGTTCAAATTGTTATCACATGGTGCTGACAACCCCAAATTTGGGGGTTCAATACCTATATGGGCCACCTGTGCAGTTGGAGGTGCCCCGCTCTGCTTTAAACAGTAGCACAGAGTCTAACAGCACCTCTATAATATTGTTATATATTTGTAACCATATGGACCTGGCATTTCATGGCAAATTGAGCTTGTCCAAAACAGGCAGAGCACCACCTTCCAGCCTAGACAAACCAAACACCTCTACCTTACACAGGAACATAGAAAGCTTCCTTATACTGAGTCAAATCATTGGTCCACCAAGCTTAGTACTGTATACACTGACTGGCAGCAGCTGGGAGTGGAATTCCAGTAGGGGACCTTCCCAGCCCTACCTGGAGATGCTGAGTATTGAATCTGGGACCTTATTCCTCTGAGCTATGGTTCTACAGACTGTAAATGCCCCTGAAGGACCAGGTGCGCAGCCTGGGAGTCATTTTGGACTCACAGCTGTCCATGGAGGCGCAGGTTGATTCTGTGTTCAGGGCAGCTATCTACCAGCTCCATTTGTTACGCAGGCTGAGACCATACCTGCGTGCACACTGTCTCACCAGAGTGGTGCATGCTCTGGTTATCTCCTGCTTGGACTACTGCAATGCGCTCTACGTGGGGCTACCTTTGAAGGTGACCCGGAAACTGCAACTAATCCAGAATGCGGCAGCTAGACTGGTGACTGGGAGCGGCCGTCAAGATCATAGAACACCAGTCCTGAAAGACCTGCATTGGCTCCCAGTACGTTTCCAAGTGCAATTCAAAGTGTTGGTGCTCCTTTAAACACCTTCCAGTCCTTGTCTATCTTCTCTTTTGGGATCCTTCCGATTTCTCCCATTGTTTTGGATATATTGTAATACTCCAATAATTTGGTGTTTTAAGGATATTTGCAAAATCATATTGAAAAATCAGAACTCTTATTAGAAAAAATAAGTTCTATCATAAATGCTGAAATACTAAATAAGATGGATAACATTGTGTAACAGAAAAAGAAGCAGAAAGTTGGCTTAAAAATGTGTGAAAGAAAGTAATAGAAGTGGAAAGAAACTGCAATTGAGTAGACTGGAAGTCGAACACAAGGGTGGGGTGAGGGATGAGGGATGGTGGTGGGAAAAGGAAGTATGTGTGGGATTGAGTGTGGGTATGTATGAATATTTTTAAGGACTGTATGAAATGTAAGTTTGTTTGTATATTCGTAATATGTATGTACAGTGGTACCTTGGGTTACATAAGCTTCAGGTTACACACTCTGCTAAACCAGAAATAGTGCTTCAGGTTAAGAACTTTGCTTCAGGATAAGAACAGAAATTGGGCTCCGGCGGCGCGGCAGCTGCAGGAGGCCCCATTAGCTAAAGTGGTGCTTCAGGTTAAGAACAGTTTCAGGTTAAGAACGGACCTCCGGAACGAATTAAGTACTTAACCCGAGGTACCACTGTATTAATGCTGAATTATTTTAATAAAATAATACAATAAAAAAACCATAGTGTTGGTGCTGACCTTTAATTTATTATTATTATCATCAACATCATCATCATCGTCGTCGTCGTCACTAGGCTGAGTTTCAGTTTGTCTACTCCTGTCCAGTCTGTTACTCATTTCACCCTTTAAAAAATACATTGCAGGTGATGGCCCCGAAGACAAGCCAGAGAAGAATTGTGAAGAAAAGCCCAGGCAACCACAACCTGTCGAGAACTCTTTGTGGGAAGCCGAAATCAACGCTGTTCAGATCAAGAGCCACGCGGGGGAATTCCTCGAAAGCAGAGGGAGAACCCGCGCAGGAGAGAAGCCGTACAAGTGCCCGGAGTGTGGGAAAAGCTTTCTATACGGGTCGGATCTCATCAAGCACGAGAGGACGCACACCGGGGAGAAGCCGTTCGCCTGCACAGACTGCGGGAAACGCTTCAATCAGAGCTCGCACCTCATCTCCCACGAAAGGGTCCACACGGGAGAGAAGCCCTACAAGTGTTTGGCGTGTGGGAAGAGCTTTGGTTGGCGGTCGGACCTTGTAAGACATCAGAGAATCCACACAGGGGAGAAGCCCTACATTTGCCCTGATTGTGGGAGGAGCTTTAGCGCCAGCTCAGACCTTACTAGGCATCAGAAAACCCACACAGGAGACAAATCCTACAAATGCGTGGCCTGCGGTAGAACGTTTAGCGGGCGATTGCAGGTTGCTAGTCACCAGAGACTCTGCACCGGGGGGAATTGCTGAAACCAGGAAAATGTCCATAGAAAAGAGCATTCTTGCGACTAGACAGTGAGCAGTCTTTTTGCGTGACAAGTGGGGTATATTTCGTCAAGGAAGAGTCCACAGTAGTCTGTGGTTTGCTCTGTTTCCTAGCAAAATTTTGTACGTTGAATCGAGATTTCTGGTGTGCTTAATAAAGATGACTTTTAAAAAAAAAAGCTTTATTTGCTGAAGTTTTCAACAGAACGATAACTTTCCACTGAAATCTTGGAACCCGTTAAAAGGACCTGTCTTTTAGAAGAGGGCAGGGACCTGAAACATCACCCACACAATGCTTTGTAATGTGTAAATTAAAGCTCAGTTGCTGCCATTTGTAGACTTATTTGTAGACACCGTTCCTGAAAGACCTACATTGGCTCCCAGCATGTTTCCAAGCACAATTCCAAGTGTTGGTGCTGACCCTGAAAGCCCTCAATGGCCTCGGCCCAGTATACCTGAAGGAGCGTCTCCACTCCCATCATTAGCCTGGACATGAGTCTGACCAAACTGCGGGAGGCAATGGAAGACAGGAGTGCCCGGTGTGCTTCTCGTCCACGGGGTCACAAAGAGTAGGACATGACTAAATAAATATGCAAATAATCAAAGATAAAATAAAAACAATTTCCAGAGGGGTGTCATGTTCTCTCTCCCAGCAAATTCAGAATACTGTGGCATCTATTTCCCCCTGGCACAAGCTCTCAGTCCCACTATCCTCACTCGTCCCCAAAAAAAAGCTCATGCTATAATAAATGACCCTCTGACTGTTCAGTTCCACAAGACTCTAGAAACAAATACACAAGTAAGATTGAAAAATGAAACAGAAACAACCAGGAAGAGAGAGAAAAAGGCGATTTGCTGCTTTACAGACAGAGATGGGAGAAAAAAAGCGGGCCACTTGCAATCAGGTTCCCCAAAATCCCACCCTAAAAAAGCCCAGCTGGTACAAGACTCTGCAGATGCCATGGTCTCAGGAGAGTCCTAGAGTGGCCCAAAACCATAAAGGTCATAGAGTTGGGGAGTAAGGGTTGCTCACGTTTCCGGTTTCCGGTTTCTCGCCGGGTCAGAGCGTTGAGATCCATTTCCGGGAGCGATATCGCCAGTTGCAGAGCGCGGGAAGAGCGGTTGCGACCAGGTAGGTGAGTTGCAGAGAGGCTAGTTCCGTAATAACAATAATATTAATTAATAACAGCAATAAAAACAAGAATTTCTGGCAATAATAAGAATAAGAGAGAGGTGAGCAGGTATCTGATCCTGTGAGCCAGCAAAGCCCCTCTGAATTCAACGGGGCTGGCTCCCTAGAGAGGCTGCTTAGGATTGCTGCCACGTTTTTACCCGGAAGTAAGGCCCCGTGGGATTCAATGGGGATCCTTCCCAAGTAAGCGCCTGCAGGGTTGCAGGTTGTAATCTTTTACCCGCTTCTCTGGGAATAAGCCCCCATTGAACTTCGTGGGGCTCGCCTCTGAGAGGACATGTAGAGAATTGGGCTCGAAATTTAGAAACCGTGTGAGGTTTGTGGGGATGTTTACCCCCCGCCATATCGACTGGGGAGATCGCCTCCATTCCTAAACTGGTCCTAAAAGGATTCCCTTTTTTGGTTTCCTAAATCGATTGGGACTAGATTTGGGATGTCGCGTTTTTCATTTCCCAAAGGAGCTGGGAAGCGTTCCACGTTAATGCTAGCTTGTATCCTGGCATGTAGATTTTTAAAGTCTCTTCTCTCTGTGACCTTTAACTTATTTTAAACGGTTTTTTTCCATTCTGTTTTAATTGTTGTAACCTGTCCTGTGACCTTGGTGTGGAGGGCAGGTAATAATAAATCACAGTAAGTCCTACTCAGGGTGGGCCCATTAAGTTAGTCATGTCTATTAACTTGCCTATCTGGAGGGTGTTCAGTTGGTGGGGGGCTGCTCTAAAAGCACACACCCCCACCCAAAAAAAATTCCTTGGCAGATTCCTGTATCTACAATTCAGTGTTTACTTGGCAGTTTTTATTTTTATTATTTTTATCATTATTGATTGAATTAAACTTGTTGAGTTCAGTGGGGCTATTTGTTTAGAATTTTCAGTCCCTGCAAAAGCAAACATTTAGTCTCCACTAAATTACTTGCCTATGATACTCAAACACAAAAATATTTAAACATATTATTATTTTCTTTTTTATATAAGAATATATAATTGATAAAAATGTAAAATTCAATAAAAATTATTTTTAAAAGGCAACAAAGTTTAGTGGTGACTAGTTGAAACTTTAGTTTTACCCAAATAGCAAGTTCTAACTGCCATGCTGAGTTGTGGATCTGCTGTTTACAAATAAATACAGTGCACCCTCTGGATACGAACTTAATTCACCCCAGGGGTCCATACTTACCCTGAAAAGTCCGTATCCAGAGGCACCGCTTCTGCACATATGTGCAGCACGATAGAGCACTTCTGCGAAGTGCGCAGAGTATTTTTACAGATGCGCGCGCAGCGAAACCCGGAAGTGTTTGCCGCATTTGCAACCTGAAATTACGTTACCCGAAGGTAACGTAACCAGAGGTACCATTGTACAGTCATATCTTGGGTTACAGATGTTTCAGGTTGCATTTCTTCAGGTTACGGACCGCCAAAACCCGGAAGTACCAGAACTGGTTAATTCCGGGTTTCAGCAGTCGCAGAAGCGCTAAATTGCGCTTTGCACATGTGCGGAAGTGCCGAATCGTAACCCATGCGTGTGCAGATGCGGGTTGCAAACGTGCATCCCACACGGATCACGTTCGCAACTCGAGCGTCCACTGTACATCTACTGGGAAAAATTGTTTAAACGTTTAATAAAAACAAAAAATCTCGAGTGAGAACCACTGTAACCTTTGTTTGAGGAGCCATTTGGCACCCAGCTTACCTGTATATTTCTGAGTTTCTGACACTGGTGTTGCCTTCCCTGTGGCATCTGAAACGCCACTCTGGGATTCGAGACTTGGTGGATGGATCTCATTGGTGCTATTGTGTTTATTTTCTTAGATCCAATGATGGTTGAACAAGAGGGCGCGGATTGCAAGCCGATGATGGATGATGGAGAAGGAAGCCAGTCTTTTGAAGCAATGTGTTCCCTTGGAAGCTCAGGAGATTGGCTTAATGTGAAGGAGGAACCTCAAGAGAATTCAACCCAGCTATGGGAAACACAGTGGCAACAGTACTTGAATACAGTGGAGCTTCCTCCCTCGGGAGCCCCGCAGGAACCCACCCCGTGGGACGATGCTCCGACGTTCCTGGCCTCCTTCGAGCAAGTGGCTGAAGCCTACCGGTGGCCCAAGGAAGAGTGGGCAGCCCGGCTCCTGCCTGCGCTGGGTGGCGAAGCCGAGCAGGCCTTTAAAAGCCTGGAGGGCCCAGACAGAGAGGATTATGGGAAGGTAAAGGCCGCCATTTTGCAAGGAGACACCATGATCAGGGAGAAGCACCGCCAGCACTTCCGGTGTTTCAGCTACCAGGAGGCCGAAGGGCCCAGAGGGGCCTACGCCCGGCTGCAGGAGCTTTGCTACCGGTGGCTGAAAGTCGAGAGGCACTCCAAGGAGGAGATTCTGGAGCTGCTGATCCTGGAGCAGTTCCTGGCTGTCCTGCCGCCAGAGATGCAGAGTTGGATGAAGGAGCACTGCCTCGAGAGCAGCACCCATGCCGTGTCCCTGGCCGAGGATTTCCTGATCAGGCACCTGGTGCCCGAGAGAAGAGAAGAGCAGGTAAGAGAGAGCTGAATCGAGGACAAAATCGGTCTCTGCCTTTAAAACGGGCCTTAACTCCCAAGTGGACAATTTCCATAGCGCTTAGAAATAACTCGGGTCTTGTTAAAAGAAAATCTGTTAAAAATGATGTATAGATGGTACCACACACCAATTAAATTGACAAAGAGGTATAAAACAGGAGAAAAGAACCCACAGGGCAGCAGATTTTTTCCTGGCAAATCCACATCACTGCAGGTGACATTTTAAAAATCTCATACATTTTTACCCCAATTTCCACAAATGTTTATACCCTGCGGCCTGCACTTCCTTCCAGAAGAGCTCAGGGTAGCAAACACAGCAGTGTTAAAGCAGTAATAGTAAAATACCTGTTTAAAACATCTAAAAACAGCAACACGCACACAAATGTAAAGCTGGTGTACAACAACAACAACAAAGATGGAACCAAATCACATGTCAGCCTGCTAAAACAGAAAAGTCCTGTAGATTTTCCAGAAAACTTCCGCTGGATTCCCCAGGAAAAAAACCTAAATTGGTGATTTAGCAGGTTTATTTAAGCAACTTTAACAGGTGATTTAGCAGGTTTATTTAAGCAACTTTTACATTTCAGTTTCCTCCACTGAAAATGAACCATGTTACATTTCCATACTGTGCAAATATCTCTCTAATAGGTGCTAAATGATCGAAGGGAATGGTTCTGTTAAGACACGACCCCCGCCTGATGGGTTTTGCATTATTCTTGTAGGTGGCTACGCTCCCAGAGGAAGGATCTGTGAATCTTCTTCAGGAGACAGAGAGTGAATCATGGGAGGATGACACTGACATTGGTAAGAATTCCTTCAACCAGAGTTTCTTTCGGCAAGCGTTTGGGCTTTCCCCCACAAGGCTGTGGATACTTTCCTCTTTGTTTGTGGCTGTTTTGGCCGCAGCGGAATCGCATGCTCAGCCTGATCGTTAGAAATAGAAGGAAATGGTTACAGAGGTTAGCAGGCACAACTTGGATAATGCTATCCACCAGCCAACAAAATCAAGCTAAGCTGGGTAAGAATCTTGTTTTAAAAAAATCTGAAACACTTCTAAATATCTTAAGTAGATGAAATACAGTTTTGATCCAGTGTAAAGATACATTCAAAACAGATAAAATTGCAAAGTGTGATGCATAAAAATCAATGTTTAAAAAAACCCCCAAAAGAATTGGATTTTTAAAATTTAAATCGGATTTATGTATTTCTAATAGTATAACCAAATCTGTAATTTTTGATATAACTGTAAAAACTACTCTGAAAATTTATTGTTCCAAAAATGAAACCTTCATCTGGTTGTAAATATTAAGATTATACGAGCAAGAATGAGTCTTTCTGTAAAAAAAAAAGAAGGGGGAAAAAAAGATTTAAATTAAGTCTTACTGACTAATGATTTAAATCAAATCCACCCTGTTGCAAAGAAAGTACAATAACAATCTGACCTTTCTATTCAGGTCAAAGCTTGAAGAAAATCCTTATAGAATCAAAACGTAACCATGAAATTTGTCAAAGGCCAATAGTCAAAATACAGTGGTACCTCTGATTGCGAACGGGATCTGTTCCGGAGGCCCGTTCGCAACATGAGCAGAACGCAACCTGCGTGAGTCGCGATTTGCTGCTTCTGCGCATGCGTGTGATGTCATTTTGAGCGTCTGTGCATGCGCGAGTGGCAAAACACAGAAGTAACCCTTTCCGGTACTTCCAGGTCGCCACAGAATGCAACCTGAAAAGATTTAACCTGAAGCAAACGTAACAAGAGGTATGACTGTAGATAAAACTACAAAGATGAGAGTTAGTAATTATTTACTGTTACCTACATTGGCTCCCAGGACGTTTCCGAGCACAATTCAAAGTGTTGGTGCTGACCTTTAAAGCCCTAAATGGTCTCGGTCCAGTATATCTGAAGGAGCGTCTCCACCCCCATCGTTCTACCCAGACACTGAGGTCCAGCACCGAGGGCCTTCTGGCGGTTCCCTCACTGCGGGAAGCCAAGTTACAGGGAACCAGGCAGAGGGCCTTCTCGGTAGTGGCACCCTCCCTGTGGAATGCCCTCCCACCAGATGTCAAAGAGAAAAACAACTACCAGGCTTTTAGAAGACATCTGAAGGCAGCCCTGTTTAGGGAAGCTTTTAATGTTTGATGTATTGCAGTGTTTTAATATTTTTTTTTTGGAAGCCACCCAGAGTGGCTGGGGAAGCCCAGCCAGATGGGCAGGGTATAAATAATAATTTATTATTATTATTATTGTTGTTGTTGTTGTTGTTGTTGTTGTTATTTTAGTTTCTGGCAAGACTTAGGTAGACAGAATACGTGCCCTTCATCATTCTCTTGGTCCATGTAAACGCTTAACAGGAGAACTCTTTGTCATTTCAACAGACCTTGGGACAGTGCAGGAAGATGGAAGTGAGAATTATCTGCCTGAAGAGAATGGGCAAGAGAACCATCCACCTGAGATGGGGCCATGGGGTGTGTCGGCAGAGAGAGCCAAGGACAACAGTCCCCAGTATTGGAAGGAGGGAGACGTCTTGGAGAATAGTCACAGAGCGGAACGGCAGCAGGTGATCTACCTGAGGAAAGATGGGCAAAGATCTGTTCTTTGTGAGAAGGTTGGCAGGGAAGCAAGTATAACTGTGATCTACCAGGGAACCATCAATGGCAAGAGAAGTGAGAAGGCCTCGCACACTCGGAGAAAACTGCACAAATGTTCCCACTGTGAGAAAACCTTTAGTTGCCCAACACACCTGAGAAAACACCTGATACTGCATTCGGCTGAGAAGCCCCTTAAAAATATTGGAAGAGACCACTCTGGAGAGGAACCCTATAAATGCACAGATTGTGGAGAGAGTTTCTCACAGAGCTCATCTCTTGACAGCCACAGAAAGGAGGTGCATCAGGAAATGAAATCTGCCACCCTGCGGAAAAATGTATTTGGTGGGCAGAAGGGATACCACACATGCCCCGAGTGCGGGAAAATATTCTTCAAGCCATCAAAGCTGAAAGTACATAAACGTCTCCACTCTGGAGAGAAACCCTATCGGTGTATGGATTGCGGAGAGTGTTTTATGTGGCAGTCAGGTTATATTCGCCATGGGAAGGTGTGTCGCCAGCGAAAGAAATTGACCCTCCCCCTGCCAAAAGAATCTAGTGGACAAGGGAGATCCTACCCGTGCCCTGAGTGTGCGAAAACGTTTGACAGGCCATCGCACCTAATAAGACACCAAGTTGTTCACACTGGAGAGAAACCTTATAAATGTGCTGATTGTGGGATGTGCTTCCCCCAAAGCTCATCTCTTGACTGTCATAGAAAACGGATTCACCAGGGAAAGAGACTGGTCCCTCTTCTGAAAAAGCTACCCAGCACGCGACCCTCCCGATGCTGTGAGTGTGGAAGAAGGTTCAGCAAGGCTTCGCACCTCATAAGACATTGCCTCCACACTGGAGAGGAGACCTACAAATGCGCTGACTGTGGCGAGTGTTTCTCACGGAGCTCCTGTCTTGCCAGTCACAGAAAGGAGATGCATCAGGAAAGGAAATCTTCCCCCCTCCAGAACAACGTATCTGTTGGGCAGGAGAAATGTCACCCATGCCTTGAGTGCGGGAAAATATGCTCCCACCCATCAGCGCTAAAAGCACATCAGCGGATTCACACTGGAGAGAAACCCTATCAGTGTACCGATTGCGGGGAGTGTTTCATGTGGGGTTCATCTCTTTCCCGTCATAGGCAGACGGCTCACCAGGGACAGAAACTGGTTCCCCTTTCGCACAAAGTATCTAGCGGACAAGGGAAATCATGCCCGTGTCCCGAGTGTGGGCTAGAGTGCAGGTGGATATCGCAACTAATAAGACATCAACGCATCCACACTGGAGAGAAACCCTTTAAGTGCCCTGATTGTGGAAAGTGTTTCAGATGGAATTCATATCTTGCTTGCCATAGGAGAAACTGTCATGGGGGAATGAAATTGGTCCCCGATGTGCAAGGGGGGGCCTCCCAACAACCTGAGCACGGGCAAACATTCAGCAAGACGTCACACCTAATGAGACGTCAAGAGATCCACACCGAGAAGAGCCGCCACAGCTGCGCCGACTGCGGGAAAAGTTTTGGTCGAGCATCGCACCTCATGAGACACCAGAGAATCCACACAGAGAAGCAGCACAAATGCTCCGACTGCGGGAAATGTTTTGGTCAAGAGTTGCACCTCGCAAGTCACCAGAGAATCCACACGGGAGAGAAGAGGCACAAATGCCCTGACTGCGGGAAAGGTTTTGATCGAGTGTCACGCCTCGCAAGGCACCAGAAAATCTGGATGGGAAAGAAGTTTTACAAATGCTCCGAATGTGAGGAGAGTTTTTTTTGCAGGGCCAGCCTTGAGAAACACAAAACGTCTCACTCTGAATTGTAGGCCCTCAAGAGTGCGTCTGAGCAACTTAACAGAGGGGGTCACCACAGAAAAGGCCTCCCACCCCCATTGCTGACTTCCAAATTTCCTGGCTCATTTCGATTTGTTTAGTTTAATCGGACAAAATGCCAGCTTGTTTACTAGCCTTTTGGTAAAAAGACTGTAATATAGTTCCAAAATGTAATTCATTTAGACCTGGTAGGTTTTATTAAGGACAGGTCGGTCGCTGACCCAATCCACATTGAATTTAGTCCGTTATATAAAGTAACATAAAATTTCTTCTCTCTTTAGAGTAAGCTTTTGATAACAAATTTGTAATTTTCAAACCATCAAAATATGAGAGGGGAATTCTTAGGTGTGGTGCCTTGATTATATGCTAACAATGTGGTTAAACAAATTGAAAAATCAGCAATGTTTTGGACTTTCCAGAGAAGAACAAAAAAGTAACTCATTTGACACCACTTCCAATAAACAACAGTGTCATAGGAGTGCTTATCCCAAGAAACGTCTCAAAATGATTTTTTAAATCCTTTTTTAATAAATGTTAAGTAGTGGTGGGGGGAATTTTTTTTCAGTATGGCGTAGCTAGGAAGAGTAGCTGCCATAAAATTGTTAGACCCAAATTCATATCAATTTAAAGTTCTGCCTACTGATTTCAGTAGCTAAAACTTTCAGTAGCTAAACTTGTGGCAGAATTTATTTAGTTCATTTATACGTTTGGGGTGGGGAGGGAATCAAGATTTATAGCCAAAGTTATCTACAGCATTTGTAAGGCCTTTCAAAATTATCTGATGCAGTGATGGCAACAAAAAACAATGGATTGATATGGAAAAACAACTAAATACCTTTAAACAAAATTAGAGCAAATTCATTTATCTCCACTAGAGAACCCTTTCCTAAAATGTACCTTTAAATTTTGGATTGAAAAACTGAATGTGTGGACACTTAATTCATCCCAGTGCTTTTATCATCCTCTCTTTTTATAGCTCTGATAATTGTCATCAATTTGTCAACTGGGGAAGGAACTATATCTACCATAATAAATACCTTCATAATGGAGTTCAATTAAAATCCGGCCAACAATTAAAAAAATAAAATATCAGGCACTCCTGGTATAATATACACCAAATTCTCCATTTTGGGGACCCCCCCCCCGGTAATATGGAAATTAATGAATATGGAAATGCTAATTACACAGTGTAAGAACCCAGTTTCCTAAGGGACCTAGTTTCCAATACTTACATGGGCTACCAAATTGTTAGAGTAGAAAAAACTTTTAGATCCAAAAACTCACACCCCTTTTTTATATACAAATTTGTTAAGAGAGAGGGAAGGAGGAAGCCAAATAATCAGCTCACATGCACAGCGCAATAAACATCAGTGCATCCATCTTAATTTACACATACATTGATAATATGTGCTCCAAATGTTCAAATCAGTTACCAAACAAGGTTGGCGTACAGAGTTAGTGTTTCTGTGACTTTGATTGGAGTTAACATGCTTTGCAGCCGCTGCATATGTTTCCCCCAGTACAATTTATTCTTTGTAAAATGCATTTTCTGACGCACTCTTTATTTGTCTGTTCTGCTCCTTAAGTTGTTGATCTCCTACTTTACAAGCTTCCAGTAAATATTGAGAAACAATAGCAACTCTGTCTGGTGTTTTGTTACGATCCAATTACTCCCCCACTCCCCCAGCAATTTAGTATTACCGTTAAATGTTTTCATCTCCTACCTTTCTCCCCGTGTGGAATTCAAGGCAGCTTCCGACGTTTAAAAGCATTACAAAATGCAATAATGTAATAAAAGCAAACTGGTTAAGAACAAAAGCTGAAATCCAGCAGAACACATTTAGAACCTGCAATTAAAATATAGTTTGCCCTGATAGTAGCCCGGATCTTTTGCCCAACGTGTGACTCAAACCCATGACCCTGAGATTCTTATGCTCTACTGTCTGAGCTGGGAAGGGGCTCACTGTCTTGGTGCATGAGCAGGTTCAATATAGGGAGATACGATCTCTCAGGTAGCCTGGGACCATAAATGGACACCGACAGGTATTGTAATTGAGAATATTGCCATTCAGTGCCCACTGGTAAATAGCATCTTGCCCTCAGTAAAGGCTATTTGTAAAAAATTCTCCCTCTTCCCATCAGCTGATCCTGTGTACAAAACCCCACATGCGAACCACATGTTCAAATCAGGGTGACCCCATAAAGTCAATTTCGCAGGAGCACATCGCTCTGCTTGTTGTGATCAAAACCTTTGTTAACTGAACCCCTGCATTTTGTAGGGCTGCCCCAAACTGGTGATACATCCAACAGGGGTTCATAGTTAACACCCAGAAATCCCAACAGGACCCCAAATTTCAGGGTTCACAGTTAATGAAGCTGTGAAATAAGTGGCCTAGCTGCTTTCTCTCTTTGACATGTCTAGAACCCAGAGCCACCTCTGCAGATGAGGCAACTTGTGTGATATACGAGGTGGACAATTATCCCAAATAAACTTCCGAAATAATGCAGTAATGTGGGTTCTCCTCGCCTTCATTTCCCACCCGACTCTTATTCAAAGGCACATACTGCCTCTGACTGGACAGCTTTATCCTTCATTAATCTGTCTAATCCTCTTACATCAGTGGCCTTTGCTGCTCCCTGTGGCAGCAAGATTCAAAGTTTTAACACTGTTGTGTAAAGTACTTCCTTTTGTCCTAAATCCCAAACGTAACCTTCCACACATGGGAATTGTTGCATCCCACTCGATCACTTTGGTTGTCGTTTTCTGAGCCTAAGGCCCGTGAGCCCGTGAGCCAGATGTGGCCCAATCACCTTCTCAATCCGGCCTGCGGACAGTCCGGGAATCAGCGTGTTTTTACATGAGTAGAATGTGTGGTTTTATTTAAAATGCATCTCTGGGTTATTTGTGGGGCATAGGAATTCGTTCATTCCCCCCCCCCCCAAAATATAGTCCGTCCCACCACATGGTCTGAGGGATGGTGGACCGCCCCCCCGGGTGAAAAAGGTTGCTGACCCCTGATCCAATCCATCCAATTCCTCTAGCAAACAGCAAGTTGATGCTTGATGTTTGCCCCTTAAAGGTATAGTACCTCTGAACAGAGGGACGCAGGTGGCGCTGTGGGTTAAACCACAGAGCTTAGGACTTGCCAATCAGGTCATCGGTTCGAATCCCTGCGGTGGGGCGAGCTCCCGTTGCTCAGTCCCTGCTCCTGCCAACCTAGCAGTTCGAAAGCATGTCAAAGTCAAGTAGATAAATAGGTACCACTCCGGCGGGAAGGTAAACGGCGTTTCCGTGCGCTGCTCTGGTTTGCCACAAGAGGCTTATTCATGCTGGCCACTGACCCGAAAGCTGTACGCCTGCTCCCTCGGCCAATAAAGCAAGATGAGCGCCGCAACCCCAGAGTCGGCCACGACTGGACCTAATGGTCAGGGGTCCCTTTACCTTTACCTCTGAACAGGGAGGTTCTCTCTGAGCTGCCATGGTGTCCAGACATTCTGCAGTGCACAGCCCCTACATTTAAGTGGAGCTAGCTGCCTTTGTGTCAGGAGAAAGCCACTCCTTGTCCCTAATGAGAATTATAAATAGAAATGCCATTTTTGTGGAATGACAGGGGCTCCCTGCAAGAAAACATCGCAGTGTGCTGTGCTTCTTAGAATGCCAGCCATGCCGTCCAAGATACTCCATTCCGCTTCTCCCTCAGGGATGCTCCATTCCATTCCTACTGCCCCAGTTAGGCATGCAGTCCCTCCACCTCTGTGGTCGGCCTTAACTTCAACCTGGCCTCACTAAATTTTTGGTCTTTGGCCCACCTTTGCCATGGCGGGGGGCCAGTCTGTCAAAGCGAAGGCTCCTTGAAGATAGGCAGAGTGTCCCTCAGCTTCATTGGATGCCCATGATTTCTAATGTTATGAGGGAGAAAAACCCACCTGCTTTCTCCATGCACAGGTTTAAAAAACTTCGATCGTGTCTCCTTAACTCAGCTTTTTCTCTAATTGAAAATAGCACCTTGGTGGTTGTGACTGCCTCCTGCAGAACTGAGTTCCATAGCTTAACTCTGCGCCTCCGGGGAGAAACATGGCGGCGGCGCTGAGGAGCCTGAAGGGAATGGTAGGCCTGGTGACCGGTGGAGCTTCAGGCCTAGGCCGGGCCACGGCAGAGCAGCGGGTGCAACAGGGAGGCAGTGCTGTGCTTGTGGATCTGCCCAAGTCCGATGGGGAGAGCGTGACCAAATCGCTGGGAGAGAGATGCATCTTTGCTCCGGCTGAGATAACATCAGAGCCAGATGTGAAGAAGATGAAGAAGATTCAGATGTGAAGAAGATGATGAAGAAGAAGAGTTTGGATTTGATATCCCACTTTATCACTACCCAGTTTCCCCGCGGTTAACACCCCAGGCGCAGAAGCAGACTGAAAAAAGAATGTTTAATCTCGACTTGTTGTTGTTATTATTAGTTGTCTTTTTTTAAAAATCAAACAAACGAAGGTAGGAGATACACTCAGCCATCATTTTTCAAGTATATAGATATACAGAGATAAATATATGTCGCCATAAAGAGGGAAGAATTTATTACAAGACCACCTAAGGGAAGTTAACATTGCCTGGGAATCAAAGGTTGAAAACCTGAGGGAAATTCTCAGGTAAGGAGAAAGGGGGAGGGGGGCAGAAGAAGAAAGAGCAAGTGTTTGAAAATACAAGGCATAAATATTGACTACATTGGTTTTGGATATAAGTAGGACTATCTCGGGATGCAACGGAAGGGGCCTAGCCCACGCCTCAGAGGTACGAAGTCCTTTAAGGTCCAGAGAGATTCTCTCGCGTGCAGAGTTCTGGGGATGAGATGCAATTCCGACCCTCTCGTGCTGCTTCGCTTTTTAGACCCATTTCACAGGTGGAGGGGGAAAAGGGGGCGCTGTGGTGTCCACGTTTTCCATCACTTTTCCTGGCTCCCACCCACCTCAGCCGGTCATCTTCACTTCTCAAAATTTTAGACTGGATCAGGCCAAAGGCCTTAAGTCCAGCATCCATTTCCAAGAGTAGCCAGTTATGACATCTCCAAGAACCCCAGAGGCAACAAAAAAAGGCAACAGCCCACTCACCTTGTCTTTCCTCCATTCCCACCCCCGCCAAAAAAAATCTGGTGTTCAGCTTCTATTCCTAACCACCAGGAGAATTAGCTACAACCAGTTGCCAAAAACCTGCCTGAGTTTTGTAAACCGTGGTGTTCTTTTGATTGCACTGTATAAATAAATAGTAATAAATCTGGGGGCTGAAATTGGCTTTTAGTGGCACATTGTTTGGGGCAGATTAGCTTCCTCCTGTGCAAGCCCAGTCGTTTCAGGCAAATCAGGGCAGCGTTGTATTTTTTAAAAGCAAGAAGTTAACGTTAAGCCTCAGTAGCCAAAAAGTGGAAGTTCCTTTGCATATATTTGCATACACGGCAGAAATTTATCCCACTTCTCGGCCACATGACAGACAGCCGCTAGAAACCCTACGGACTCCCTTTTCTAGCTAATGAGGCTTCTCCAGACTTTGCCCACAAACTTTTAAACTTTTAAACCCTTAACACACTTTGCTTTTGTCACTCAGTTTAGTTTTCTCTTTAAAATGAAAGCTGAATTTGATGCCTCCCCCAAAATGGCGGGTGAAGGAGATTTGCCATGGTCTAGCAAAGGAATTTTAGCTGGACTCCTTTGCACACAGAAGGTCCAGCGTTCAACCTGGCGCCCTCAAAGTCTCGCCGGACTACGGCTCCCACCACCCCTGGCCATTGGACAGTACCACCTGGGGCTGATGGGAGTTGTAGTTCTGTGGTACCTGGAGGGCCAAAGGTTCCCGGCTCCAGGAGTCAGTGATGGGGAAGATGTTCTGCCTGGAGAGCTTCTGCTGGTCAGAGCTGGCATTGATGGGTGCGTGGCCTTCCTGATGCCATCGGACTACAACAGCTTGGACTACGACAGCTATCATAGAATCACAGAATTGTAGAGTTGGAAGGGACCCCATCTAGTCCAACCGCCACAACGCAGGCATCGGAACTAAAGCATCCATGCATGCATGCCTAACTCTGTCTCTCTGAAACATCTGAATCGGGAATGGCTGGGAAGGCCCAGGACTGGGGCCTCGATGCGGTGGGAGGGAGGGGGAGGGTTAATAAAGTGAGAGGTTCTCTGGTCCAGGAAGCTGCTAAGTTGCCTGCCCTGAATGGGGCCGCACGCTCCCTGAAGTAGCAAGTGTGTGGTTTGGAGTTTTTTAATTCATGTTCTGGTCTGTGTCTTTTTAAACCACCTCTCTGCTGCTGTCCTTGAATTTCGTACATTGCATGCATGGAAGGCGATACAATTTGGAACAATAATAATGCAGTGGTACCTCGGTTTTTGAACGTAATCCGTTCTGGAAGACCGTTGGGCTCCCAAAACGTTCAAAAACAGAGGATCAATGGGCTGGCTGCAAAGTCACTGGGAAGAAATGAAAAAACGCGCCTTGGAAGCTGTTCAACTTCCAAGGCGCGTTCAAAAATGGAAGCAATTACTTCTGGGTTTTCGGCGTTCGGGTTCCGAATTGTTCGGCTTCTGAGATGCTCGAAAACCGAGGTTCCGCTGTAATAACAACTCTGGTCGCCCCTGACCATTGAGCCAGGCTGCCTGGGGCTGATCTGGGAGTCCAGCCTCATCTGTTTCCCCTCTCTGTAGTGGAAGATACCGAACTAGACCGACTTATAGCACGACCTGGTATGAGGCAGCTGCCTACAGCAGGGGAAGGTTGCCAACTGTCCAAAACCAGGGCCGGCCATTTGCAGTTCGAAGACGCGGGGTTAATCTTCACACGAAGAAAACACAAGGAGAGCCCACTGGATCTGACCAAGAGGGTCCAAGTCTGGCATCCGGGTTCCCAGCCAATCGGATGCTTCCAGGAAGCTCCCAAGCAGGGTGTTGAAGAGACAGCCCTCCTGTATCGCTGCCTTGCTAGATGGGTGCAGCTGGGGGCCGGCCCCCTACCCCATCCAAAATGTGGGTCATGCCGAAACACCCCACCCACCCCCAGAGAAACCACGCCCCTCACTCGCCCATGTGCGTTTTCTTGTGTGCAATGAGGTAGAGGCCCCGCGTGAAGCTCTTCCCGCAGTCCAAGCACTTGTAGGGCTTCTCTCCCCGGTGCGTCCTCTCGTGAGCGGTGAGGTTGGAGCTGCGCCGGAAAGCCTTGCCGCAGTCGGCGCAGCTGTAGGGCTTCTCTCCCGTGTGCGTCCTCTCGTGGACGATGAAGTCCGAGCTCCAGCGGAAGCTCTTGCCGCAGTCGGCGCACTTGTAGGGCTTCTCCCCCGTGTGGGTCCTCATGTGGGTGGTGAGGTTGGAGTTGCGGTTGAAGCTCTTGCCGCAGTCGGCGCACTGGAAGGGCTTCTCGCCCGTGTGGATCTTCTTGTGGCGGATGAAGTGCGAGCGGTGGTCGAAGCTCTTCCGGCAGTCCTGGCACTTGTACAGGCGCTCTTCGGTGTGGATTCTCCGTCGCAGGACCACGCACCGCTTCTGCCGCTGGTTCTCCTGGAAGAGGATCTCGCCCAGGTCCTTGAAGCCCACCCGGCATGGGACGGCCTCCGGCGGGCGCTTGGCCAGGTGCCTCTCCACCCGCAGCTGGTTCTCAGAGGCCTTCTCCAGCTCGTGGCGCTGAGAGAGGCTCCCGCGTGGCTTTGGCGCCAACGCCCCGCCGGGGTTCTCCCGTTCAAGGTATTCCCGCTGTTGCAGAAGGACCTGCCTCTCCTGTTCGCTGAGCAGCCTGCTCCCCGCTGGAACCAAAGAAAAGAGTGGAGATGTAAAAGTATAAAGTAATGGATAGACAAAGTACAGTGAGGCTAATTGGAAGTCAGTTTTAAATTTCCTCTCTATAAATTTTATAATTGTGTTCAATACCAGGAGTATATATGATGATAATTATATTAATCTTCTTATATCTTGTAGTGTGGTGGTTTGTTTGATTTTCCTGTTATTTGTTTATTTGATTGTATGTTTGTTTGACGGGGGTGGCGCTGTGGGTTAAACCACAGAGCCTAGAACTTGCCGATCAGAAGGTCGGCGGTTCGAATCCCAGCAAAGGGGTGAGCTCCCGTTGCTGGGTCCCTGCTCCTGCCAACCTAGCAGTTCGAAAGCACATCAAAGTGCAAGTAGGTAAATAGGTACCACTCCGGCGGGAAGGTAAACGGTGTTTCCGTGCGCTGCTCTGGTTCGCCAGAAGCGGCTTAGTCATGCTGGCCACATGACCCAGAAGCTGTACACCGGCTCCCTCGGCCAATAAAGCGAGATGAGCGCCGCAACCCCAGAATCAGTCACGACTGGACCTAATGGTCAGGGGTCCCTTTACCTTTACTATCTTATAGTGTGGTGGTTTGTTTGATTTTTCTGTTATTTGTTTGTGTGTTTGTATGTTCGTTTACTTGTATGTAAGTCTGTTTTTCATAAATGTATTTATGAAAGATATATTTTTTAAAAAAAAAGAGTGGAGGGAAACCGCAAACTTATAAATCGGTAAGCCAGCAATTAAGAGTGCTGGAGTAAGATCTCGGAGAGCAGGGTTCAAATCCCCGCTCAGCCACGAAGGTCACAATCCCTGTCTCTCAGCCTAACCTGGCCTTGCGTGGTTGTGGTGAGGGTTAAAGGAATGCAAATGAATTAAAAAATTAAATCACAAGAGTTTGAAGAGGGCCCTTAGATGCCGTCTAGTCCACCCCATGCTCACCTTCACAATTGCTGCGTAGGATGATGTGGTTTAGGAGTGGAGAATATGGACATTACAGTTGATACAAATTGGGCATAGGCAGAGGGTACCACATTGGCTCTCTTTGGAGTTATATTCTGCAGCTTAATAATAATAATAATTTGCCATTTTATTTTATATTGTTAAAAAAATTATTATATTTATTATTTTGGCAAAGTAATAATAATAAATGAGAATTGAAATAAAAATGTGCACCCCACCACTGAGACCATTCCATTGTAACCATCCAACCTCCCAAAATTTCAACACCTCTTGCGGTGGTTTGACCCCTTTCCATTTTAACACTACAAATTCTACAAACACCTTCCCTATCTCCTCAGAATCATTTCTCCTGCGTATTCCCCGTCTTACCTTAATCGCACATATTATCATCAATGGCCATATCCCACACCTCTTTATACCATTCTTCCATTTGATATTCACCTTGCCCCTTCCACTTCCTAGCTATAACAACTCGTGCAGCTGTCAATAAATTTTTGGGCAAGTCCTTCCCAGCCTGCGAACCTTACCAATTTAATTAAGAAAGGAAGGAAGGGAATGATCAAACAGACTGGCTCTCCTTGTCGTCTTTCCACTGGCAAGAGAAGATTGTTGTAGCCCAACAGGCTTTTGCAGATTGACCAAATTTTTCAAGTGAATGGGCTTTTTAAATAGCACTGTGCTGTTTTTTAGCTATAAATAAAAAATAAATCCGTTTTTATCTTGCTTTAATTCTATTGTAGTGGTCGGGGAAACCCAGCCAGATGGGCGGGGTATAAATAATAAATTGTTGTTGTTGTTCAATTGCTGTTCAGCAATTCTCTTTTATAACTCTTTAGCCTTCTGTATTTTAATGCCCTTGCTGCCCAGTCCATCCCCCTCTGTCCTTTTTGCCGCTGACACGGCCACCCCACCTGGAACGAAGAAACAAACCGGGCGCCCCCATTCTTACCTTGTTTCCGAGAAGCTCCCAGGCAAACTTGCTGCACCCTCGGGAAATTCACCGTCACTTCTTCAAAGGAATCTAGAACCTGCGAACAAGGGTCGCTGGTTAAAAGTGAAGCACAAAGAGATTTGGACAAACCCAGCCACCTTCGCCAGAGCAACAGACCTGCTTGTAGGGGACCTCAGGCCCTCTGGGTACTGAACTATAACTCCCAGCAACCCCAACCAAGGTTACAGTCACTATTTGGGGGAAAGACAGCTCTAAAGTCTTATTTTTCAAATGGTGGACTGACTGTGATTTTCTGGCTAGTTTAGGCTAGGTTAGCTTTGAGCTATGTTAAGGACTTGAGAACTTCAAAGAAAAAAAGTCACTTGAGCCAAGGACAGTGCAACTAGGGTCAGGGCCTTTTCAGTACTGGCCCCGACTTGGTGGAACGCTCTGTCACAAGAGACTAGGGCCCTTCAGGACTTGACATCTTTCCACAGGGCCTGCAAGACAGAGCTGTTCTGCCTGGCCTTTGGTTTGGACTCAGTCTGACGCTCAGTCTACGGGCTACTTTTAAAATGAGGCCGCATTTTAAATTGCATTTTAACCTGTATTTTAAATTGGTTCCCCCCCATTATGTTTTTATTGTAATTTTACTGGTGTTAGCCGCCCTGAGGGCAGGGTATAAATAAAATTTATTATTATCATTATCATGAATATATATATATATATACCGTATTTTTCGCTCTGTAAGACGCACCAGACCATAAGACGCACCTAGTTTTTGGAGGAGGAAAACAAGAAAAAAATATTCTGAATCTCAGAAGCCAGAACAGCAAGAGGGATCGCTGCGCAGTGAAAGCAGCAATCCCTCTTGCTGTTCTGGCTTCTGGGATAGCTGCGCAGCCTGCATTCGCTCCATAAGACGCACACACATTTCCCCTTACTTTTTAGGAGGGAAAAAGTGAGTCTTATAGAGCAAAAAATACGGTATATATATATATATATATATATATATATATATATATATATAGGCCTCTTCTGACCTCTTTTTCTGATTTCAAATTTTTATTTGTACTTTTCAGATTTATACATTTCACTGATTTCACAATCATTTTTGACATTTCAAAAATTGACTTCCTTCCTCCTCTTTCTGCGGTTCCTTAAATTTATTTCTAATATCTTCTGCATATCCTAATTGACTTAATCCTCTTTTTCTTAATGGTGACTGCTCCTGCTCAGGCGGCACAGAAAAAGCATTTTGGTTCCTGAAACTCACTCTGATTGTGCAGATAAAATATAACAGATAAGAATTCTCCAGGATGTGTTTCTAGTGGGTGAAAACATTCCAGATTAAATGATTCCCAGGAATTGGTCACAAATGGTCGATGGGGAAGTGCAAAATGCGCTTGGCGCCTGGCTAATTTCAAACACTGCTTGGGGGACCTTTAGAGCGCCAGCTGCTCTTGAACTAGAACTCCCATCATCCCTGGGTGTTGCGCATGTTTTCGGGGATGGATCAGGTGTATGACAACCCAACCTCTGCTTAATAACCTCCAAGGAAGTAGAGTCCACAACCTCCTGAGGGAGACCATTCCACTATCAAACAGCTTACCGTCAGAAACAACTCTCAGCCCTCTCTCAGCTACATCTCCCAGGATTCTTTGGGAAGGAAGCCATGATTGTTTAAAGTGGTATCACAGTGCTTTAAACATATGGTTAGATTACTGCAATGTGTTATACGTAGGGCTGCCTCTGAAGACGGTTCGGAAACTTCAGCTAGTGCAGAATTCAGCGGCCAAGTTGCTCACCTCAGCAAGAAGGTTTGAGCATATTACACCAATCCTGGTCTGACTGCACTGGTTACCAGTTAGTTTCCGGGCCCAATTCAAAGTGCCGGTTTTGACCTATAAAGCCTTAAACGGCTCAGGACCGCAATACCTCAAGGACCGACTCTTTCCATAAGAATCTGCCCAGACCCTGAGGTCATCTTCTGAGGCCCTTCTTCGTGTGCCTCCTCCTCAAGGGGTCTGGAGGGTGGCAACGCAAGAACAGGGCCTTTTCTGCAGCGGCTCCCCATCTGTGGAATGCTCTCCCCAGGGAAGTTCGCGTGGCGCCTTCATTACACAACTTTAGGTGCCAGGTAAAAACATTCCTTTTTAACCAGGCGTTTGGTTGACCTGACTGACAGCCTATTTAAAATGTGGCCCTTTTTTGGGGGGGTGATATTAACTCAATTTTTATTTTTATTTTATATATTGATATCTTTTCTGTGAACCGCCCTGAGACCTCCGGGTATAGAGCAGTAAAGGTAAAGGTAAAGGTAAAGGGACCCCTGACAGTTAGGTCCAGTCGTGGCCAACTTTGGGGTTGCGGTGCTCATCTCGCTTTACTGGCCAAGGGAGCTGGCGTACAGCTTCCAGGTCTTGTGGCCAGCATAACTAAGCCGCTTCTGGCGAACCAGAGCAGCACACAGAAACGCCATTTACCTTCCCGCCAGAGCGGTACCTATTTATCTACTTGCACTTTGAGGTGCTTTCGAACTGCTAATTTGGCAGGAGCTGAGACAGAGCAGCGGGAGCTCTCCCAGTCAAATGGATTCAAACCGCCGACCTTCTGATTGGCAAGTCCTAGGCTCTGTGGTTTAACCCACAGAGCGGCACATAAATTCAATAAATAAATAAATAAATATGGCATGAATGTGACCCAAGAAGGGATTTTTTTGTTCATTTCCTCCCCACTTTTCCTCTCACCAGCTGTTGGGGTCTCTCCGCCTCCTGCTGCCTCAGCAGGAAACCCTCGGCCAGGGCCACCGCCTGGGCGCAGGTCTCCGGCCCGCGCTCCCTGACGCAGCCTTGGATCTCCGACGGCAGGATGGCCAGGAACTGCTCCAGGACCAGCGCCTCCAGGATCTGCTCCTTGGTGTGCCTCTCCGGCTTCAGCCACTGGTGACACAGCTCCCGGAGCCGCCCACAGACGTCCCGCGGCCCCTCGGCCTCCCGGTAGCTGAAGTGCCGGAACCGGTGGCGCTGGGCTTCAGCGCTCGCCGCATCTTCCTCTAGGACCTCTTCCTTGACCTTCCAGCCGCCACCCCGCACGAAGCCCTGTGGGGCTGCCCCTCCCGAGGCCGGGAAGCCCTTGGGGTCCTTGAAGGCCACCAGCTCCGGCAGCGGCGGGCTCCCCCACCCGGCGTGAGGGGACTGGACCACCTTCAGGAACTCCTGCCACTGGGCTTCCCAGCGCTGGGCCAAGCCCTCGTCCGGCTCCTGTTTGATCTGCTGCGGCGTCACCCGCCGCAGGAACTCCCGGGCGCCAGCGGCGGGTGCTGAACGAGGGCCTTTCCTCGCCCCCTCAGCTGGCTTGGCACCGCAGGCTAGGCTCTTCTCCTCCATTTTCACCCGGGACTCTGGAGCAGCCTGGAGGCGCAGGGCTGGCGGCGAACCCCCTTCTTTCGGAACGGCTTTCCTGGAGGCCATCGGTAGGGGCCTTATCCCATCTCAGGCCTGCCTGAGCTCCAGTGGCAGCCGTCGGCCTGGAGGGACACCAACCGCCGGGTAGAGAGAGAGAGAGAGAAAGAGAGAGAGAGAGAGAGAGAGAGAGAGAGAGAGAGAGGAAGGTTCCTTGGCTCCGTCGTCTGTTCTGTGATTCTAAGGCGTGTGGGACGATGGAGACGCTGCCATTTGACTAAGGGATCCTTCAGCCAGCCGTCATTTGCAAGTGGTCCTGATGGGTACAGGTCACAAAGCACAAAATTGTAGCGGTGGGGAAAGAAAGGAAAGAATGGAGGAGATAATGAATTGACAAAAAATGTTTAAGATAACCTTTGTAAAAAAAAAAAATTGTAGGCCTTGGTCCAGTATACCTGAAGGAGCGTCTCCACCCCCATCATTCTGCCCGGACACTGAAGTCCAGAGCTGAGGGCCTTTGGCGGTTCCCTTGCTGGGAGAAGCCAAGTTACAGGGAACCAGGCAGAGGGCCTTCTCAGTCTCCTACCAACTCCCTTAACAAACTACAATTCCCAGAATTCTTTGGGGGAAGAAGCCATACCTGTCTAAAGCGGCATGGTAGCTCAGTTGGTAGAGAATGAGACTAGTAATTTCAGGGTCATGGGTTCGAATCCCACATTGAGCAAAAGATTCCTCCATCGCAAGGGGTTGGACTAGATGACTGTCGTGGTCCCTTCCAACTCTATGAATGGTTAAACTCACTGACAGGGTTTTTAATGGGTGGTGTGAATGTGTCACACTACTTCCGTGACTTTTTCCTGTTTTCAAGGCCAGGCCAGGCCAGGGACATCTGCAATTTTTATCTGTAGGCTGCTTTGAGTCCTTGTCAGGGGGAAAAGGTGGAGCAAAAATATATATATATATAAATAAAACACCCGTCTTTCTATCAGCTACAAGGCACAGCCTTGTTCATGCCTATCTGATCGGTAGGAGGGAAAGAAAAGTCCTCTCAGGAGCGCCATGCAAGGCTCGGCCTGTGTGTCTGTGGGCACCAGGTTGGCGACCCCAGACTGAGATTAGGAAGCTGCCTTATTCTAAGTCAATCCGTAGGTCCACCAACCACGGAACTGATAGAGTTGGCTCAGTTGGCAGAGCATGAGACTCTCACACATCTCAGGGTTGTGAGTTCGAGGCCCATGTAGAGCAAAAGATTCCAGCATTGCAGAGGGTTGGACTAGATGACCCTCGAGGTCCCTTCCAACTTTATGATTCTACATCCACACTGACTGGCAGCAGCTCAGGCAGCGCTCAGGCAGGGGGTCTCTCCCATCCCTGGAGAAGCCAGTAGGGATCAAACCCATGACCTTCTGCATGAGCTATGGCAATAAAAAGCCAAAGTACCCATCTAACCCAGTACTGTCTGCACTGACTGGCAGCAGCTCTCCAGGGTTTCAGGAAGGGGGTAGCCTCCCAATCCCTGCCTGGAGATGTCCGGGATTGAACCCAAGGCCTTCTGCATGCCAAGCAGGTGCTCTATCTCTTTCCTTAAAGGCAGAGTGAAGATTCCAGTCCTCACGGTCCTAATGGAAGAGCTGTTTAAATGGGAAGCTCCCGTAAACAGAGTCATAGAATCACAGCATTGCAGAATCGGATCCCGGGGGCGATCTGGTCCAGCCCCCTGCAATGCAATAATCTTTTGCCCAACGGTGAGGCTCAAACTCACGGCCCTGAGATGGCAGAGTCTGGTGCTCTACCGACTGACCCGCCAGGCTGCCCAACTCAGCATCGCCTACCCTGGTCGGCAGCAGCTCTCGGGAAAGGAGTATTCCCAGCCCTAAATGGGGATGCTTGGGGCCTTTTGCATTCAGAGCAGCTGCACTGCCCCTGAGCAACAGCGGACCTCCCTCGCCCCCTTGCTGGGCTCCCTCCCTCTCCCTTGCATTGCACAAAGATGAACAAAACAAAAAAATAATAGGAATATTTGCATTTATTGTTTTACTCACTTCAGCAGCCCCAGCCTCTCAGGTCCTCAGGCGCCTTCAATGCAACCACCCCAGAACTGCCGCTTGGAGGAATTAAAAGAGGGAGATGAAGCTACTTTGTGCAAAAGGTTGGGAAGGAATGGAGGGTGAAGGCGGAACAGGAAAGGAAGGGACTCCCTGGTCTTTCTTTTTTTTGCATTTCTCCCTCCTCCCAGATGTCTGCGGCCTCTCTAGCAGCTGTCACCGGATCTATTGGGTTAACCCTTCTTGGGTAAATTCAAACCTGCAGCTCCCAGAGAAGCAGGAGGGGCTCTTGAAACGCCTGCAGCTGCCGCCTCAGTAGACCAGGTTGCTATCCGGCAGGTCTTGTACGAAGCAGGCAGAAGTTCAACAGGTGCAGCTTTTTTAAAAAATTCCGTTTGTGCTTCCTCCTAAAAATACCCGGAAGAGAGAACATCAACAATCAAAAGCAATTCCATGCTGCAGACTTACATTCCTTTTTCAGAGTGCTGTGTTTTCCAGAAGAAGAAGAAAAAAATGAAGACATTTTTTGTTCCTTTCACTTTCTGCATTATTTTCATTTTCTTCGCTACAGGCAACAAAAGTAACAAAAAGAAAGAAAACGAAGCGCGAAATATTTAAGCCGCAAAGCATCGCAGCCTGGAAGGAAAAAAGTGCAAAGATGCAGCACAGCTCTAAAGGGATAATAATAGCCTCTAAAGGGAGAGGTTCCCTTTGCAAATAATAAAGATTTATATAAATAAAAGGATTCTCCAGTCGTGAGTTCCCTCACAGGTTCCGTATAGTCTTGAATGAGCCAGATATTTGCATGTTGGTAAAAATTTGACCATACGCCTCAATATTTGTACAGTATTTTATTGTAGTATGAAAAAGATTTAATAAAATCGGGGGTGGGGGATAAATAAAATCATGCCATATGTCAAAAAGCAAAAATCCCATCAGGTCATTCAAGCTCTGCCCCTTGAACAATTTTTGTTTGTTTGTTTCTTTCCACAAGCTTCTCCAACTGGATGAAAGTCTCTTGCCTTTGATGTTCATTATTTGAATGGTTTTGAAACCTATTTTCAGGTGTGTGGTTGTTGTTTTTTTAAAAAAACTGCTTTTAAAAATATTTCTATATGTCTAAATCGCTTTGAGGCATTTATGTCAAAGGCCATTAATAAATGAAGAAATGTAGAAACAACTCCTGATGTAAACACAATGCCATATATACAACAATTACTAACAATTCCGTTTGGCAGAACAATGTCAAACTGAGCACAGGTACAGACTAGGATCGTAAAGTATGATACAATAATCTTTATTGTCCCATACAGAACAACAACATTGAAAAAATCTACATCAGACATTCAAAAACCTTGTGATCCTTGGAGGAAGTTCAGCATATAAATTTAACAATCAATCAATCTATCTATCTATCAATAAAATCTGTATTGCCAGTAGGCATACAGAAATACCCTGTTTACCTGGATAACTGGAACACTTAAAAAAAAAAAAAAAAAGGTCAATTAAGGCTGCAGTCTTTACCTGGGAGTAAGTCCCATTAAACTCACTGCGGCTTACTTCTGGCTTGACACGTACAGAAGTGATGAATCAATAAAAGAATTCAATTCTAAATTTACTTCTTACAAATTATGTTTGGTTGTCTGCTGCCGGGCACATTTTTTAGATCAGCTTTCCAATAAACACATGTACAAAAGGCACCTAGGACTTTACAGAGTAAGGCTTTGGTGCTGAATAACTTAAGCCGCAATCCTTGGCTGCCTACATACACTATATGAAGTACTTGATTTCCCTCAAAGAATTCTGGTCTCTAGTTTACCTCTCAACAGAGTTTACAGTTCCAGCACCCTCAACAAACTACAGTTCCCAGAATTGTTTGTGGGCTTAAAATGTGCTTTAAAGCTGTGTTACGCACTATAGATCTAAAAGACATTTGGAGCACATTCTTTCCCTCAAAGAATTCTGGGAAAGATAAATTCTAGTTTATCTGTTGCGGAGTGACAGTTCCGAGAATCCCTTCGCAGAATACAGCGCCCAGAATTCTTTGAGGGAAAGAATGTGCTTTGAATGTGCTTTATTTTATTAAAAAAAAAAAAAAATTATTGATTCCCCCCCCCCCGTAACATTATCTATAATCATTACATTACATATATAGCCGAGTAAGATTGTCCTCCATTAAAACGGTTTTAACAATGAGTCCGTAAGTGACTGTGGAGGCCAATTCTGGATCCACACTTCCTTCCCAGTGGGGATATTGGTTTCCGTGCAGGAGTTAAACCCGGTGTGGATTTGCCAAGCGTGCCTTCCTCCTAGCATGTTTCTCCCTTGCGTCCTGAGTTCGAGTGTCTTCAAAGCCCATGACACCTTTGGTAAAGGCTGTTCTTCAACTGGAGCACTCGCAAGCCAGTGTTTCCCAATTGTCAGTGTTTATACTACATTTTTTTAGATTTGCCTTGAGACAGTCTTTAAACCTCTTTTGTTGACCACCAGCATTATGCTTTCCATTTTTAAATTTGGAATAGAGTAGTTGCTTTGGGAGATGATCATCAGGCATCTGCACAACATGACTGGTCCAACAAAGTTGATGTTGAAGAATCATTGCTTTGACTCTGGTGATCTTTGCTTCTTCCAGTACACCGATATTAGTTCACCTGTCTTCCCAAAGGATGTGTAAAAAATTTTGGGACATTCACAGGGCAACCAAAATGCTTGTTTACAAAGCTATTGTACTACCAACCTTACTATATGCTTGTGAAACATGGACCACTTATAAATGCCATCTCCAACTCCTCAAAAGATTCCATCAACGGTGTTTATATATACTTCTATATTGTCATACTGTTAGGTTTCTTGTTTTTTGTAAATAAAATTGCAAATGTTTATTTAAATGCTTTGAATGTGCTTTAAAAGAGAACTCCTTCATCTTCCATGAATTTGTCCAATCCTCTTTTAAAGTTCTGCAGTTTAACTGTGCTGCGTGAAGAAGTGCTTCACCGTTCAGCCTCACTGGGTTAATACCAAATTTCTGGTATTAGGAAAGAGAGAGGAAAACCTCTCTCTGTCTACTCTGGAGCAAATGCTAGTCCTAACTCAGAGTAGACCCATTGAAGTTAAGGGACCTGAAAATTGATGAACAACTCTTATAGATAGACGGAAGAGGATTTACCGGTACTCTACTCGACTATTTGGAGGACAAGTTATAACGATGTATAAAAGCCATGGCAGAAATTGGTAATTGAGCAGGTGATGTGTAGGGAGAAGGGATGAATGTATTTTGAAATGATAGCTGTAAAACATTATTTTAGTGGGAGCAGCAAATGAGAGAGCAAACGACATCTGGCGGGCAGGGGGTGGGAAGTCAACTTTCAAATTTGTACATATTGAATTTGTATTAATTTGGTGACAATTTGTTAAAAATTCTGGAGTATCAATAAAAATAATTGGCGAAAAGAAAAGAAGTTAAGGGACCTGACTCAATTTATCTGAACAGAAATGCTCAGGATTGCAATTTGAGGTGTGTGAAATTTCATTTATTACTCTCTTCCCATGAGGTGCCTCAAAGCAATCCACAATACAGTGGTACCTCGGGTTAAGTACTTAATTTGTTCCGGAGGTCTGTTCGTAACCTGAAACTGTTCTTAACCTGAAGCACCACTTTAGCTAATTGGGGCCTCCTGCTGCTGCCGTGCTGCCGGAGCAAGATTTCTGTTCTCATCCTGAAGCAAAGTTCTTAACCTGAAGCACTATTTCCGGGTTAGCGGAGTCTGTAACCTGAAGCATATGTAACCCGAGGTACCACTGTATAATAAAAGCGTCTGTGGAATAGAGTGCCTCAGAAGGTGGAGGATTTTAAGCAGAGGTTGGATGGCCGCCTGTCATGAATGCTTGTGTTGAGATGTTTGTACTGCACGGTGTTCCTAGAATACACAATCCTAGAATTGTAGAGTTAGAAGGGATCCCAGGGTCATCTAGTCCAACCCGCTGCAATGCAGGGATCTTTTGCCCAACTTGAACCCTTCCAGTTCTAGGATTTCATGATTATATGTTAGGAATATAAAAACAGTTAAAACCACTGCACGCACATACATAAAAGCAATTATTTTTTTAAACAAACTATAAACTGCAACATCAAAAACTGTTCTAAAAACAATTAACATGCATACACACCAGGTGTAGAAGTATATTAATATAATATCGCCCCACATCAGGTGCCTTTTACAGCAGCCCACGCGGGTGGCGCTGTGGGTTAAACCACAGAGCCTAGGACTTGCCAATCAGAAGGTTGGCGGTTCGAATCCCCGTGACGGGGTGAGCTCCCGTTGCTGGGTCCCTGCTCCTGCCAACCTAGCAGTTCGAAAGCACGTCAAAGTGCAAGTAGATAAATAGGTACCGCTCTGGCGGGAAGGTAAACAGCGTTTCTGTGCGCTGCTCTGGTTCGCCAGAAGCGGCTTAGTCATGCTGGCCACATAACCCGGAAGCTGTACACCAGCTCCCTTGGCCAGTAAAGCGAGATGAGCGCCGCAACCCCAGAGTCGCCCACGACTGGACCTAATGGTCAGGGGTCCCTTTACCTTTAACATGCAGAAATTCAACAGGGCCAGCTTTCACCCAGAGCCAGGTTCAGATCTTTCCTCTGACACGAAACTCACTCACTCTCATCCTAGTCTACCTTCCAGGGCTGTTGTGAGGATTAAGGCAGCAGGGCGGGAGCAGAGGAACAAGTCTTGAACCCCTTGGAAGAAAAGCAGGATATAAATATAGTGATTATTTTTGTAATGTGTTAAAATAAAAATTATTGGCGGTTGGGGGGTGGGGAGAGTATTAAACCTGTTGAATGCTGTCCTGTTAAAACCACAGGAGCCCCGCCAGAGGGGGAAAAGTCTGCAGAATATTTCCTAAATCCTTTACAGTACTTTGTCTCCTATTATCATGCGAGCCAGCTCCCATTTCCTTTCAGCAGCTTTGCCAGGGTCTCTGGTTCCTTAAAAAACTCCAGCCGCATTTTTGGATCCGGGAAGGAGAGCATTTTTATTTATCAAAGCTGCTGCTTTTCAAGTTTGATATATAGGAATATTTCACATTGGCTGTATGTAAACCACTGAATGCAAATCCTTTGTTTTATGAACAAGCGGTATACAAATCTTGTTGAACAGATAAGAGTCCCTCTTTCCTTAATCCTCCCCCCCCCTTCTCTGGGAGGTCCTACAAAGGGTTAAATCTGAGAGATGCCCTTCCCCAAAATTTCCCCAGGTTTTTTTAAAAAAAAATTGTGAAAAGCGGGCGGGGCTGGTGGGAGGGACCAACCTGCTGAAGGAGCCCCTCCCTGTCTGGTCTCAGTCTATTCCATTCATTCCAGCAAACTGGGTGTTGGAGGGCGGCTGGAAGCGGTGGTGAGTTTGAACCCATTACTGTATCTGGGACTGGGTGGAAGCTGGGCCCTTGGAACGCCCTGCCACTATATATATATCTCTATATATCTCTATATACAGGCTCCATCCTTGAGATCAACCTTCCCCAACCTGGTTCCTTCCAAATGGGGATTTTTGCTGTTGTTGCTGCAACTACTTGATGCTTAACTGTGCTGGCTAAGCCTAACGCATCTTAAAAGTTCGCCAGCTTGGGGGGGCATGGTCACACAAGCCATGGGGGTTGGATGGAGTCCATAAGATGCTGAGTCGGAGCATTGGCCCATTTGAGCTCCGTTTTGCCTACACGGGCTGGCAGCAGCTCTCCTGCTTGGAGATGCTGGGACCCTTTTGCGTGCGGAGCAGACGCTCCAGCACTGAGCTGTGACTGCCTTTTTTAGTTTCTAGTCCTCAGGGTTCCAAATGGAAAGCAGTGTAAACTGGAACAAAGGAATAATAATAATAATGCCTAGCAAAGCAGCTGTTCTGTCGCTATGCCATGGCGCATTCCTCCAGCCCAAAGCAACTGGAAGTCGCCAGATGGGGAAAGGTGTTGTAAGTGGTGCCTTTTACAAGTAAAACCAGGTTGGCATGTGTTGCGGCAATGGTGGCATGGGTTGAATAGATAGAGCCTCTATTGCCAGATGCAGTCTACCTCTAAATACCAGTTTCCAGAAAGGTGTGAGCAGCGCTGCCTCTTATTCCTCCCTCCGGAGAAGAAATTGCATTCCTGGATGAGGTGGCTGCGGGTTGTTTTCAGTGCTAGTCCTACTCAAGAGTAGGCCTATTGAAATGAATTGACCTAGGTTGGAGGGTTTTTGGGGTTGTATTACTGTGAAGAGTTTCAAAACAAACATTAACAGAGAAACCAATGGTTCAATGGCTGTTGTTGATAAACTGCTGTTATCCAAAGGATCAGTGATTAAGTGGACAGGTAGTGAAACATGGCTATACACTCAAATGGGTCTACTCTTGAGTAGGACCGGCACTGAATCCTGTCCTGGGTTTCCCCTCCTTTTAGTCTGACCCAAAATGATAATCCTTATTCTTATCCATCAGTTCTGTAATCCTCTCTGTTCTCTTCAGCTGAATTTTTAATTCCTGTTGCTTTCATTTTCTTATTTTAAAAAATATATTTTAAAGTTTTCTATTAATAGTTAAATGCTTTTTTAAAGTAACGATTTGGACAGCAGCTGTGAAAACCATATGGAAAAGTGGGGTGTAAATTTAGTAATGATTTGATGGCTTGAATCGTTATTAATAATTGCCCGACCTTCACCGTAAAGTCCCAGGTAGGGTTACAACTAAAAATTAATATTAAAAACTATTTAAAACAGCTTACAATCGTAAAAATAGAGTGGATCCTATATTAAAATTTGTTAAGTTAAAATCCTATATGTGTGTCCTGCTTAATATTTCAAAAATCTCTTAATTGGTGTACAGTTGGTGAATATTTAAGTTTATCTTTTGCCCTTCCTCCCAGAGCAGCCCAGTAATAAAACATCTTTAAAATAAAAAACCAAAAACATCTCCCAAATGATTCCAATACAGATGCAGACTGGGAAAGATCTCAAAAGGCCTATTAAAAAGCCTTTTCCTCCCTAGTCTGGGACTTCACTCTATTGAGATGTTTTTATTTGCTATCTATTACCACTTTTGCTATGTTTGGGTAGATTTTTTTCATGTTGCAAGCTGCCTTGAGCATGGTTTAGTTATGGAAAGGTGGCCTACAACTAGAGAATTGTTGTTTAGTTGTGTCCAACTCTTCGTGACCCCATGGACCAGAGCACGCCAGGCACTTCTGTCCTCCACCGCCTCCCACAGTTTGGTCAAACTCATGTTGGTAGCTTCGAGAACACTGTCCAACCATCTTGTCCTCTGTCGTCCCCTTCTTGTGCCCTCCATCTTTCCCAACTTCAGGGTCTTTTCCAGGGAGTCTTCTCTTCTCATGAGGGGGCCAAAGTATTGGAGCCTCAGCTTCAGGATCTGTCCTTCCAGTGAGCACTCAGGGCTGATTTCCTTCAGAATGGAGAGGTTTGATCTTCTTGCAGTCCATGGGACTCTCAAGAGTCTCCTCCAACACCATAATTCAAAAGCATAAATTCTTCGGCGATCAGCCTTCTTTATGGTCCAGCTCTCACTTCCATTCATCAGTACTGGGAAAACCATAGCTTTAACTATACGGGCCTTTGTTGGCAAGGTGATGTCTCTGCTTTTTAAGATGCTGTCTAGGTTTGTCATTGCATTTCTCCCAAGAAGCAGGCGTCTTTTAATTTCGTGGCTGCTGTCACCATATGTAGTGATCATGGAGCCCAAGAAAGTAAAATCTCTCACTGCCTCTATTTCTTCCCCTTCTATTTGCCAGGAGGTGATGGGACCAGTGGCCATGATCTTAGTTTTGTGGATGCTGATCTTCAGACCATATTTTGCACTCTCCTCTTTCACCCTCATTAAAAGGTTCTTTAATTCCTCCTCACTTTCTGCCATCAAAGTTGTGTCATCTGCATATCTGTGGTTGTTGATATTTCTTCCAGCAATCTTAATTCCGGCTTGGAAAAGCGGGGATATAAAAACACATAAGAGCAAATAAAACAGGGTTAAAAAATTATTTATTGCATTTATACACTGTTTGTATCCTTCCTTTGTGCTCACAGATATTTGGGGTGGGGTGGGGGTTAAGGGGAGGTCTCCCTCCAATCTAATTATGCTTGCCACAACCCTTTTTGGTAGGTTAGGCCGAGCTGGGGGTATCAACTATTTTGTTTTATTTATTATTATTATACTTGAGTCCCACCTTTCGTCCAAAGAACTCAAGGCGGTGTGCAAAACAAATATTAAACCAGGGAAAAATTAGTCACAAAAATGTTTCGTTTGTTTATTGATTGATTGAATTTATATACCGCCCTATACCCCGGGGTTTCAGGGTGGTTCACTGAATAAAATCAAGATATAAAACCAGAAAATACCTAATAAAAATAAAAACAGCAACCCAATACCCCCCCCCACAAAAAAACACATTTTAAAAGGGCATAGGATGTTGTTGTTGTTTTGTAATGTGTTTTGAAAAGCAGCATGCTTACATGATAAATGTGTGCTTAGCAACATGGATCTGATACAGATTTTTTTTAATTTAGTAAATAAATTGCACACTGCTTCATTGTAAAAAAACAACCCTCAAAGCAGTAATAAATATATATACCACTCTTCATCGAAAGATCTCACCGTATGATTAGAACAGCGCTGTTGCTTTTTTAAAGCTTTTCACTCTTCAAATTTATTTTTAAAAATCAGTTAAGTTGTAAGATGTAAAGGCAGCAGGGATTTTTTCCCCTTTTTAGAAAAACTCCTCACCTGTGCTACTACAGCCATTTCCATGTCAACACCTGTCCTGAAGAGACCTCTTGCAAAAGCATTCAGACTGGCTTTGTGTCAGTCCTGGCGGGGACAATGGCAGTGTACTTGAGACAAAAGATTGCCCTCCCAAATCTGTTTAAAGCAAAGTGATAAAATGGGATTTGCCAATCTCTGCCCTGGAGGCACCTTCCATTCCTGAAAGGGCTCAGAACAGCTTTTCTCAATCTTTGGCTAGCCAACATCTGTCTTAAAAACAACACAGGAAGTCTGAGAATGGGAGGGGCACTAGCCTTAATGGTTTTTAAAGTTGGGGGGGGGGTACCCGTGGAAAGTGGGATGGGAAGTAAATAAAACAAAAGGGGAAAAAAATATGTATTTGAATTTTATGTGAATTTGTGGAAATTTAATTATATATATATTTAAAAAACAAGTGTGTGTGTGTGTATATAAAAAATCAAATCCCTGGATTAGGTCCTCTGCCCTACACATTTAAAGCAGTATCATACCACTTTAAACTCTCATAGTTCCCTTTCCCCCCCCCCAAAAAAAATAAATAAATCCTGGAGAACTGTATTTTGGTAAGAGTGCTGATTGCTGCTAGGAGACACATGCACCCATTCCTCTCGGAGAGCTATAATTCCCACAGTGGTTTAACAACAAATCCCTCTTCCCAGAGAACTCTGGGAATTGAGGGGAATGGGCGTCTCCTGACATCTCTTGGCACCCTTCACATCCTACAACTCCCAGCGTTATGTCGGGGAAACCGGGACTGTTTAAAGTGGAATGATGCTGCTTCAAATGCCAACTCCTAGGAGTTTTGGGGGCTCCGGCCTCCCCCCAATGGAATATTTGAGGGGGCCAGCCTCCCCCCCCAAAAGTTGATGGGCATTGCCATTCGAATGGTGTGCGTGCACCATGTCATGTGATTGATTATGTGGGGTGAGCCTTAACCGGCCTCCCAATATTTCATTCATATTCCCTCCCCCCCAGTGTAGTGCAAATGGGGCCTAAATGTTTGAGGCTCGATGGCGTATTTGTTTAATGTGGAAGTTTTAAAACCAGGTTTAGCCAGAGGAATCCTGGGAAGGGGATTTGGAAGCAAGGTCTAGGGGCAAGGAGTGGGAACACCCCTGGCCCTCTGCACGTTGTTGGCTGAACTGCAACCTTCTGGGGGCCACATAGATGGGGCCAGGGGCCACAGCTGACAAAGTCACTGGTGTGTCAGTTTTTCCCCTCAGTATAGCAGGTTAATTTCAGCAAAGATGCTTTAAAAGGGTCCCTGTTTTCATCAGAGAAATGTTAGAGGGTATGCAGGCTTGGGGAGAGTCCCAAGGGCCGTGTAGAGGGGCTTGGAGGGCCACATTTGGTCCCTAGGCTGAGCAATATAGGAAGTTGCCTCATACTGAGACAGAACCTTTGTCCACCACATTCTTGTCTACACCAGGGTTTTCCAAACTTGGGGCTCCTGCTGTTTTTTGGAGGGGGACCACAACTCCTATCATCCCTAGCTAGCAAGACCAGAAGTCATGGATGATGGGAACTGTAGTCCAAAAACAGCGGGAGACCTAAATTTTGGAAGCACTGGCCTACACTGACTGGCAGTGGCCCCTCAAAGTGTCAAGCAGGGGAAATTCCCAGCCCTGGATGCCAGGATTGAACCTGGGATCTTAGGCCTGCGGAGCAGCTGCTCTGTCGCTGAGCTCAGTCCCGTCTTCAGAAGCTGCCCTATCCCAAATCAGCTTTAGTCAGTCTAGTTTAGTTCTGTCTACCCTGGTTGGCAGCACTTTAGGCAGGGGCTCCTAGCCCATCCAGAATTAAACCTAGGAACTGTAGAATGCAAAGCAGGTGCTCTGCCATTGAGGATACAGCCCTTTCCATTACCTAGGTCATAAAACTGTAGAGTTGGAAGGGACCCACGGGTCATCTAGTCCAACCCCCTACAATGCAGGAATCTCAGCTAAGGCAATCATGACAGATGGCCCTCCAACCTCCACTTAAAAACCTCCAAGGAAGGGCAGAGGAGTAAGACAGCTTCTTGTATTCCCTGCAGAAGTTTGTAATTTGTAGCAATTTAGCATGAATGCTGTGCATCTCCTGGTCCAGCCCAGTGTGAGGTTTAGCAGCAAAAGCGTAGCAAAAGACTTTGCAAAGAGAGCGAGAGGTGATTCTCTGTCTGTCTCTCTCTCTGTGTCTTGCAAGTTTTGCCTTTTCCAGATCTGTCAGCAAGGTGCAGTGTGAAATTTCCTAGCGCTCAGAAGACCTGGGAAGTGGCTGTTGGCATGTGGGTTTCTGTTCCTTCTGACATCCCTGTTTTGCGTTCTCTTTCAGGAAAGAAGCCTTTGAAAACAAAAACAAGTTGCTTCCAAGCTGTCCCGGTTCTTCAGCGACAAAATTGCAGGCCGCGAAACCCTTGCACGACTTGCCCAGGGAGTCCCCTTGTGTCGGGAGCAGCTGCACAAGCACAGGACCAGAAGTTGCCATTTTTTGCCATTTGTTTGCTGCAAGCTTCAATACTTCCAGCTGGCAGAGCTAAAATGGCCGCCACACGCCGCTGGAGGGCCGAAGCTGAGCGCACCCGGCTTCGGGAGGACCCCAAAGGTCTCAAAACGGGGGCCGGCGAGGCAGGAACCCTCGAAAGCCCCTTGGCAAGCCATTCGGCAGACGCCGGGGGATACGTGGCACGCCAAGAGAGCCAGCCGAGAGCAGGGAGCAGCGGTCACTATCAGTGGGAGACCGAGTTCCAAGAGTTTCTGGAAGGTTCCATCTGGGAGGAGCAGACCCCGGAGGAGCTGGCCCTGCGGGCCGACACCCGGGCCTTCCTGGCCTCCTTTGAGCAGGTGGCTGTGGCCTGCCACTGGCCCAGGAGGGAGTGGGTGACCCGGCTGCTGCCGGCCCTGGGCGAGGAAGCGGAGAAGGCCTTCATCAGCCTGGACCCCCAGGACCGCGGAGACTTCCAGAAGGTCAAGGCGGCCATCTTGAGGCGCGAGGCCCTGGCGCGCGAGAAGAAGCACCAGGAGTTCCGCCGCTTCTGCTACCAGGAGGCCAAGGGGCCCCGGGAAGTCCTTGCGCGGCTCCAGGAGCTGTGCCAACAGTGGCTGAACACGGAGAGGAGCAGCAAGGAGCAGATCTTGGAGGCTTTGCTCCTGGAGCAGTTCCTCAACGTCCTGCCAAAGGAAATGTACCACTGGGTCAAGGAGCGTGTGCCGGAGAGCTGCTTGCAGGCCGTGGCTCTGGCGGAAGATTTCCTGAGGAGGTTGCAAGCGGCCGAAAGGGGGGAAGAACCGGTAAGAAGGTTGCATTCCTTTTTCCCCCCAGGTTTGCAAGCAGCTGCTAGCCAGCAAATGGTTGCAAAAGTCAAATATCCCAGCAGTGCAAGCGACCAAAGCCAGTGCCTTCAACTTCGCTTTTTCTTTTTTTGGCGAAATATAAGGACACACTAGGATCATCTCACTGAACCCTGTGCAATGCAGGATATTTTTTGTCCAACCCCCAATTTCCAGTTCAAGCTGAGCGAGCCTCTGGGGCCCAGTAATAATAATAATAATTATTATTATTATTATTATTATTATTATAATTTATTATTATTATTTATTATTTATGCCCCGCTCATCTGGCCGGGTTTGACTCTGGGCAGCTTCCAACCAAATATTAAAAACAATACAGCATCAGACATTAAAAACTTCCCTAAACAGGGCTGCCTTCAGTTGTCTTTTAAAAGTAAAATAGTTGTTTATTGCCTTGACATCTGCTGGGAGGGAGTTCCACAGGGCAGGCACCACTACCGAGAAGGCCCTTTGCTCTCAGAAATCTGCTCTCAGTCCAAACCTTTTACATCTTTGTAGCTGGGTTGTTTTCAGTTTCTTATCTCATTGTCTCTGGCCTGTAGTTTGCTCCAATTAAAGCCCAATTAACAGGATAACCTGTGCTTCCAGGAACGGGATGGGGGAGGGGGTTTTGTGGGATCCAGAGTACTCCATGCACCCAGTGCCTTTGCCTGCCCGTGCATTCCAATGGGAAGCAAGTGCCAGACCGCCAGGCAAACTGCGGGTGAGAGCTTGGTCCCTCTTCCAACCAAAGAGGAAAACAGATAATGAAATTCCCCCATCATTATCTGATTATCTCCATCTGTCTCTCTTACGCAGTGTTGGGAGAAACTCCATTCAAGGAGCACCGGAAACAAGAAGCCAAAATTGAATACATTCAGTGCCTTACCTAAAGAGCTGCTTCTAGTTTATTATTATTACATGTTTCTCCTCTTTACCCTGACAACAGCCGTGTGAGGTAGCTCAGGCTTGAGAGAATGGTGACTGGGCCCAAGGTCGCCTGGTGTATTACATGGCCGAGTGGGGATTCGAACCCTGATCTCTCAGGTCATAATCCAGCGCTCTAACCATTGCACCACACTGGTGACTTGAGCACTTTGCCTTCTGTTCCTTTTCCTCCACTCCTCAGTGGTCTCCCTTTTTCTGCTCTTTAATTTTTTCCAGGAGCAGGAAGAGGCTGCAGATCTTCGCAAGAAGCAGGAAGTTCCGCTGGAAACGGTGCCGCTGCAAACTTGGGCTTCGAGGGAGGTCCAAGGGGAGCCCAGTTCATCATCACGCAAGACTTACACAGGTAAGCAGCACTCTTAGTTTTGCCTGGAATTAGCGGTAGGAAGAGGAGATCCAGTGTGGAGCAGTGTTGATGTTGTTTTAATCAATTTTATTCAAGGTTTTCAACATACGCTACAATAAAAGCCAAACAAAGCCAATAGAGAGCAAAATAAAAAAAGGATAGAGGAAACACCCACACACAAACAAAATTTTATATTCTATCAACCAGCTGTAAGGCATATGTTGAAACCAGCTTGTGTTAAGATTTTCTGTTTCAGATAAAGAGGAGTGTATTGATTGGTGTGTGTAGTTAACACATAACCTTTTTGACAGGAAATGAGCTAGAGACAACCACCTGATCTTTATAAAAACTACTATTTATTGGTGCTTCTGTTTAGTTTTTTCCCCTCTTCTCCCCTCCTCTCTTTTTTCCTTTTGTGCCCTGTCGTTTCAGATTGTATGCTTGTGGGCAGGGACGGTCATGTCGCAATTGGTTGTATGCAAGGCACTCTGGGAGTATTTTTGAGTGGGTTAAAAATGCTCTAAATAAAACTGTTTTGGCTCTGGCCCTAACCACTACTCATATTTGGCCCTCAAATGGTTGCCCAGAAGGCAGTGCGGCCCTCGGGGCTAAAAAGGGCTCCACATCCCTACCTAAAGGAAGGTCCTAAACATTCGGAAAAACTTTTTGACAGGAAGAGCCATTTGACAGTGGAACGGTCTCCCTCAGGAGGTAGCGGCAATGTTTGATGTTTGATTGTGTTTTTAATATTTTGTTGGGATTTTTGTCATTGTCTTGTTGGGCTGTGATATGTGATAAAGGGGAGCCAACCGGGGTGAAGGTGTCTTCTTGTATTTGTCCCTGTGTCAGTTTCAGTTCATTGGTTAATTTTTCTAGTAGAGCTATTTGGTACCATTGGTCCGTGCTTACTCCAACTCCACAATTCTACGATTCTACACATATGTCTTTCTGGTAGGTTATGGGCAGGCCGGCGTGGCAAGGAAGAAGAAGACCTTCCAGTGGGGCCGCTACGGGGAAGTGAAGCTGCGAGCCCGGTTTCCCGGAAGAGCAAACGCCGTCCTGCCATCCCGCTGGAAGCAGGCCGGAGGCACGCAGGAGCAGCGCCGCTCGGATAGGCTGAAGCAAGCCCAGTTGCCGAACCTGGCCGAGGCGCCTCCCTCACCGCCGCCACCTCCTCCATCTCCTCCACCTCGGGATGTCAAGCCCAAGCTCAAGAAGCCCTCCCCCCCTCCAGACGCCGCCCCCAAGAGCCAGATCAAGATGTGCCCCGAATGCGGCCGGGGCTTCAACGGCTTGGCGACCTTCAACCGCCACCGTATGCTCCACACCGGGGAGAAGCGCTACGAGTGCTGCTTCTGCAGCAAGGGCTTCTGCTGGCGCTCGGATCTGGTCCGGCACGAGTGCCAGCACACCGGGAAGAAGCCCCACGAGTGCCCCTTCTGCGGGGAGGGCTTCGACCGCAAGTGGCAGCGAGAGAAGCACGAGCTGATCCACACCAAGAGCAAGGCGAAGCTGTGAGCGGCCTGCGACTTGGCGGGAGGGAATTAGCGGGATTTTAGGAATAAGGGTGGGAGCGGATAGCGTTGCTGGGTTAAATCTCTCTGGGGCAGAACCAGAGGAGGGGGCTTCTCGTTGCCAACTCTGGCACCCTCCAGATGTTCTGGACCACAATTCCTGGTGGGATTTGTGGTCCAGAACATCCCAGCTTCCAAAGTCTGCCTCAGACAGGACCTGCAGTCTCGTTCCAGCTCCCTCCTCTTCTTGCCAACAATGTGTGTTGTTTTTCTGGCCACCTGAGTGCATCTCCTGGTTTCGGCAGCCTATGTGGAGGAGGCAGCCATGCCCAAATGGATCAGGGATGATTCAACCCGTCGTGTGGGGCCACTCCCCCCCCAAAAAAATCCAGCCACCATCCAGCCAAAATGAGTTCTTTTCGAAATTCCTCTCAAAGCATGTGTTTCTTCTACATGTAAACATCCTGCATCGCTTGGCAGGATGTCCCGCCCCTCCTGTTATTTCTTCCTCATGGTGAAGCTATTCCAAAATAAAGTACACCCCCCCAAAAAAGCTGTATGTTGCATTATCCTGTTCTGAATTAGTGACCAAGCTTAGGCAATATATCAGGGTCTTTTTTACATGGCTTTAAGCCCCTTGAATGTATTAAAGGAGTGGAGTGTGTTAGAAGGGAAGATCAAGTAGGAGAAGCAGTTTTGAATTTGAGGTTGGTAGTGGGGTGTTATGGGGCATGTTGAGCTTTTTGCAAGCAAGAGTTAATTCTACTGTTCATGTTACATGTGTGTTTTAATTATCTGCATTCTGGTGTTTCTGTGAATCTGCCTTTCTGAAGGAAAAAAAAATTTGGCGGGTTCTTCTCAATAACATCAGTTGGAGAAAAGCCTACTCCACAGATTAGGTTGTGGGGAGAGAATTAGAGGGAAGCATCCTGAGGGGGCTGGAGGCTGAATGTGGACTGTACTATTTTAGGATGTTGGTAGGGGGTACCATTTTCGAAAGCTCTGCCATGTTAAACAAACCTTAGTGAGGAAAAATTAGAAAAACACCCCTTGTCATGGGGAAGACATTCTATTTCGGATCAGTTTTTGTACTTGAGCTCTTCCCCTGGTCCAGGCACCATTAAAATTAAATGTGGGATCCCGCCTGGGTTCCAAAATGGTACAGCCCATTCCACTACCTCAAGGACTATACCACTTCATTCTGCTGTATGGCTAAGCCATACCTTAGTTCCCCAAATTTAATAACTATATTTACATTCTCTTGAACCCCTAGAAAGATGGTTTGGTCCCAGACTTATTTAACACACACATGCCCCCATGCTCAAGTGCTGTTTTTCATCTAATGGGCAACACAGAGTTCAGCCACAGTGACGGTAACGTGGGGTCACACACATTTCGAAATGGGCAAACAATGGTTTGCAGGAGCCACAGGGGTGGGGAAGTTTCAGCCCTCAAGACTCCTAATTCCAATCTTCCTCAGCCACCATGGCCAAAGGATGGAGATTGGTTGTCTGACAGCATCAAGAGGGCAGCAAGTTCCCCCTTCTCAGTATGCTACCATCTGCCTGATTTGAACATAACAGTAAACTATGGTTTGGCCAAACCAGGAAGTGGGGGGGGGGGAGGAGCAAATCAGCCTCAAGCACAGTCACTGTGGTTTGGCTATTGATGTGTGAATCCAGATAATATCTGTCCCAGAAGCTGATCCTAATGTATTGTTCTCGTTCTCTCATTAGTCTACCACTATTGTGCCCATCTGTTTAAATGTTCAGTAGTAGCCTAGCTTTTCCCCCAAGCATCCTAGAAATGAGCCGAACAGCAGGTACCAGTTGCAAACCAATGAAGCCGTTTTCATTTTTTTTGGTTCCCTTGTTGAGTGTCTACAGTTCTGAATGCCCACGCTTTTATACTCCTGTCAAAACATGTTGAGGTTTTATTTATAAAGTTTCTTATCTCAAGTTTTTTGTAATCTTAAATTAAAAAAAGTCTTTTGTGACAAGTTTGGAGCTTGTTATGTTTGGAGCTATTAAAAATTGGGTAGTTGCTCAATGGATCCTGTGTGTTGTTCTTGACAACAGGGTGCTTGCCAGCCAGCCTTGCCCTATACCAGAATACTCCATTCCATCTCTTCTCTCCCCCCCCCCCAACAAGCAAGTAGGTTGTATTCTGTCACCACTGAACACAACTGTCCACTGTGGGCTGTTTCCCTCGCCCACTAGTTAAGGGCTCTTCTTGCCAATAACCTTTTAGGCACTTTGGCAAAACTTGAGAGTTTCTCCAGGCCTATTCATGTATACAGTGGTACCTCAGGTTACACACACTTCAGGTTACATATGCTTCGGGTTACAGACTCCGCTAACCCAGAAATAGTGCTTCAGGTTAAGAACTTTGCTTCAGGATGAGAACAGAAATCGTGCAGCGGCAGCGGGAGGCCCCATTAGCTAAAGTGGTGCTTCAGGTTAAGAGTTTCAGGTTAAGAACGGACCTCCGGAACGAATCAAGTACTTAACCTGAGGTACCACTGTATTTCCATTTTGGCTAAATAATGATTGGTACCCACCTGTTGAGGTTCAGAACTAGAGGGAATGTCACTGTTAAAGTGGAGTGGTTAGAAACCTGAACAGCAGCCAGCATTCCATACTGCCGCACTTCGTTGCAGATCCTGCTGAACATGATAGGTTCCTTTTCTTAAAAAATGGAATATCCAGGTTCAGAGGCAATATACCCCCCATTCCCCCCCCAAAAAAAGAACCTGGCGTTTAGTGTACAGCATAGGAGGGTTGTTTGTGCTTCCCAGATTCCACTGGGGCTTAACTTGCGAGTTGCTGCTGAACATTTCTCTCGATTTTTTGCCTACCTACTTTTACAAGCCAAATGGTGAGAGAATCATAGGAAGCTGCCTTGTACCTGAGCCAGGTCATTGATCCATCTAGATCTCCTCAACAGTGGGGTATGGGGTGGCACTCTGCCCATGCTCAGGGGCATGTGGTGTGACATGCGCCAAAATTTTGCAGAACATGGACCGGCAACTTTTAACAGGCAGCGTCAACAGATAGTGCTGCAAACATATAACAAATATTTCTTATGGATTTACTTCTCTTTTTTTAACCAATCAATTTTTATTAGTTTTCCAAATTTTAAATTAACAATTTAATTAGAATTTAACACCAATTTAAAAATTACTTTACCATCCATTCCTGTTTCCATCGTCTGCATGTGCAGTTCCTGTTTAGACATTTACCTGACTATTTTCCCAATTAATCAAATACAATTAATCTTCCTTTCTTGATCCATATAAATCATTAATCATAATTTTAAATCATATTTACTCCAATACGGTTTGCTTATCCTGTCTTTGTAGGTTTGCAACATTCTAGTTAACAATGCTCAGATTTTACAGACCTTACTATTCTCTTTTCACAAAGATGTGTTTTGTGACACCTTGGGGATTTACTTCTGAGTAAAATACGCGTAGGACTACATTGCAGCAAATTTGTAATTGCATCACTAAGTGGCGTGCAGAGGGAAATAAGTTCTGAAAGGTGCAGACAGATTGCAAGGAAATGCGTAAGTCTCCTGAGACAATTCAGATAAAAGTTGAACCCTATGCAGACCAAGCCCAAGTGCCCCATTCAGTGTTGGTAAATGGTGATAATGCAATCACCCTGGTCTTTGCTTTCTTGGTTAACAGCTGCAAGCAACCATTGTCTCTCTTCATTTGCAAATGAATAAAACGAGACTTCCTGATAGGTTTTAGTCCAGCAATTTGAAGCTGGAGCCTCCTTTTGGAATTAATTTGTTACTATTGATTCAGTTTCTATCGCAGCCTTCCTCCAAAGAAGCCATCACAAACGCAAAACATCTCAGAGTCTCAAAGGCATCCCCACTGCCCCCTACCCTATAAAAAAATATATATTCAGTGCCTACGAAAGAAGAATGGAGAATGAAACTGATGGAGTACGCAGAAATGGACAAATTAACGGAGGATTCGGAACCGACGAGACCAGAGATTCACTGAGGACTGGAATAAATTTACAGAATATATTAAAAATGTATGTGATGAACAGTTAACATTTGTACGTTTTCAAGAAGCTCTGTGAGAATTACTGATGGAAATATTGCTTAAAAACTATGTTAAGGATAATAATGATAAAATGCAATATTGAATTAAGAAATGTGTAAGAATGTGATAGTACGGAGAATTATCAGACATGCTGGAGGAAGTCCAAAAAGAAGTTGTTGGTGAGATTTGGATGTTAAACTGTGTTTGAATGTATATTGTAAAACTAATAAAAAAAAATTATTAAAAAAAAAATATTCAGAATAGTGGGTTGAATGAGCCACCAAGGATATTTTTTTCCCACTCTAGCAACCAGGGGATGACCAATCTCTCTGACTCCATCTCTCCCCACTTCTCAAAACTCTTATTTTCCTTGCGTATGCAACATACATTTAAAGCATATCCTTCTCTCTCTCCCCCCCCCCTGCCTATCCTAGGCTTTGTAGTTTGTTAAGGGTGCTGGGAATTGTAACTCTGCAAACTACAACTCCCAGGATTTTTTGTGGGGAAGCTGTGTGCTATGAAAGCAGGACGTGTGTGCAGCTGCTGTCCTTATCCCTTCCTGAAACAAAGTGAAGCTCATCCCTGAAATTCATACTGCAAATTCCTAGCAGCAAGGGACTGGGTTTTTTTCATGTGTGTGTGTGCGTGCGTGTGTGTGTTTAAAGCAAACAGCACGGTGAGCATTATCCATTCCTAATAAAATTATTTTTCATGGGATTTGAGAGCCATCGATCGAAAATGGTGCAGATCTCCTGCTTCCTTCTACTACATCCGAGGCAGCTGCCACTCTCAATACAAATTTAGTAGATAAAATAAAAAATACATCTCACAGGTGGAAGTTGGCTGGAGCACCTAAATCCCCTTATTCTCCTCTGCTCCTCACCACCCAGTAAAGGCTGGTTCATCCAGCTCCCTCCTGCCCACTTCCTGACTTACAATCAGTCTAGAGAGGGGCACTGCCTGTCAGAAGATGGGGACGGAAGAGGCCTAGCTCAGTTGGCAGAGCATGAGACTTTAAATCTGGAGGTCATGGGTTTGAGTCCCGCACTGGGAGAAACCGGGGTTGGACTAGATGACCCTCGGGGATCCCTTCCAACTCTACGATTCAGTTGGTGGAGCATCTGCACCCAAAAGGCGCCAGGTTGAATCCTTGGTACCTCCACGGAGAGGCCTAAAAGCTGCTGCTGCCAGCCAGTGTACACAATCTTGAACTAGATGGACTATTTGTGTACGGCAGCTTCCGAACTGGAATTAGCTGGATCTGCCAGTCACTGACTGTGGCTCCGCCTCCTTTTCTGCCCCCCCTGCCTTCGGCCCCATCAGTCTCAATGGGCACTGGATTCCCCACCCACCACCCCGATCCTCTTATGGAGGTGGGCGGGGAGGAGCGGGAGGGCGAATTTCGTTGCACAAGTCACCATACATTTAAAGGCTTCAACAGTCTCCCGCTCCGGCGGGAAGGTAAACGGCGTTTTTGTGCGCTGCTCTGGTTCGCCAGAAGCGGCTTAGTCATGCTGGCCACATGACCCGGAAGCTGTACGCCGGCTCCCAATAAAGTGAGATGAGCACCGCAACCCCAGAGTTGGCCACGACTGGACCTAATGGTCAGGGGTCCCCTTTACCCTTTACCTAGGTCATTCTTGCTTGTGCCCTAATCTAAGCACGTCTTTCCCCACCGAGGGAGCTGGACAGCTCTTCGAAAGAATAAACACCATTTGTTTGTTTTCATAAAATGTATGCACCGCTTGACTGTTAAAAACTGTTGGGTTGAAATGAATGACAGACGAGTGACAAGTGTCATATGGGAGGCATCTGCCGAGCATGTGTCGGCGAGTCCCTTTTATTGAATATTACAGCATTGCCACATATGTGCTTGTTGCTGATTGGTTAACACAAATACAATGCAAAGGTTGAATATAGGCATTAATTATCAATAGATTAAAGGTTGGGAAAAGGAACACAGATTTGGACAGGCGTGAAATCCTCCTTGTTAACTTATTACTAGTGATTGATAATAAGCAATTACTAATGATTGATATTGCATGACTTGAAAGAACATAGCAATCGCATTCTGTAGATGTGGTCAACAATGCGTTAAGAACAGGTCAGGGTGTGATGTTTCATGAACTCAATGTGAACTGAACATTCCCAGACTCATGTGCAAAGGCAGAACTTCCCAGCAAAAAACAAAAACTCAAAACGGTTCACAAAAAGATAAAACAATCCACCAAAAAAGGGGGGGCGGATTCCAACTCTACTTTAAAGTATACCATTCATGGAAAGATAAAAACAGAGGTTCAAAGACAAAATGGAGGGATGGTGTTATGTACTGAGTTGAATAGGATCCAAAAGGCAGCAGTCTGATTGGTCCTAGAACAATGCAGCAGTATGATTGGTCCACAGGAGCCACCCAATCCAGCTCCAGGTGAAGTGAATCTGCAACCTGATTGGCCTACAGGTGAATCTCGGAATTAGCCAATCACATGGGGCCCATTGTGTAAATAATGTATATAAAGCAGACATTCCGGGGGAACTTCCATTCCTCCTCACCACTCTGAGCTGAATAAAGAGCATGAAATCCACTCTCGACTCCGAGTCTATTTCAGATACCCTCCACATGCCTCTGCGGAAAAGTTTTAACAGGGCTTTCTTGAAGAGAAGAGGGTGTATCGGACGGACGAGGGAACTTGTGGGCCTCCAGCGGTGGCTGGACCCCTAGCAGCCACAGACAGCGTTGCCCAATGGTCAGGGATGGTTGAAGTTGGAGTCCATTAACTTCTGGAGGGCCACAGGTTCCCCACCTGTGAGGAATGGGATTTGCAGCCTTTAGTCGATCAGTAAGTTTTCACTCTCTGCCATTTGCATAACATTAGTCTGATGGCTGTATGTGGCGTACCAGACACTTTTAGTCAAAGGACCACAGCGAGGCCTCTTTGGCTTGTCCTCAATTACCAGTAACTTTCACTCGGCTGAAATGATTGACTATGGCCCCAACCTCACGGTACATTTACAGCAGTGTCACAACACTTTAATCCTGGGAACTGCACCTTTAACAAACTACAGTTTCCACAGCTCTTTGGAGAAGCAGTGTGGTACTTTAAATGGACAGTGCAAAACCACCTTTTAGACCTGTAATTTTGTCTCAAAGGTAAGTTGAAAAGATAGGCAAGAGAGAATAAAACAAATAACTTTTTTATTTTTAAAAACAGCATTAAGGATATTTCATTAGTCGAGAACAGGGGTGGGCCTGTGGACTACCACCTCCATCATCCCTTGCCATTGGCGATCTTCGTTAGGGCTGATGGAGTCGGAGTCCAACAAGGAATTGGCCACCCCATCTGCGGAACTCCCCGCCACAAGGCCTTAAACCAGCCTCCCCCAATCTGGTGCCCTCCAGATATTGCTGGACTCCCAAGTCCCATCATCCCAGACCACTGGCTGTGTTGGCTGGGGCTGACTGGAGTTGAGGTGGGGGGAGCTTTAGTTCAACAGTATCTTGGGGTGGAGGGGCGCTCGATCAAACATATATTAAAACTGATTTAATCTGCTTATTTAATTAATTTAACGGACGCTGCAGCTCTTGTGGGGAGGGGAAGATTAAACCATGGGAAGGGGAGGTATCTTAAGATAATGCTGTAGGCACCTGATGAAATGGTGCATAAAAGCATCCGCTATTAAAAAGATTTATGTAAATCTCAAAAGGTGCTGCAAAGTCTTTTTGCTTTTCTCGGCAAAGCAGCAACTTCACTGCTAATTCATCTTTTAAGAATCAGATTTCACAGTTAAATCACAGTTAAGTCATCCAAACAGCAATTTCATCGGGGTGGGGGGAAATCAATGCTGATTCATCTGGTCATAACTTATTATTAAAATGATGCTAGGAAGTTCAATTCGTTTCCACCTCTTTCCCTTTCACATCCTTTTTTTTGGTCCTCTAAACCTCCAAGCCACTTTGGTCTTTCCGCCAAAATCCCTCACCAAAGGCACTTTGCAAGCACCCAGTGCTGCTTCCAGGCTTATAACCTTCCTGCAAAGTTTAGTTATTTGCTGCTATTTAACTGTTTAGAAGACTGCTTTATTTGATGTAAGTTATGTGAAAAGTTATTCTCATTCTTCTTGTATCAGATCAGATTGTTATTACTAACATTTGACATTTTATTGTATTTCTAATAATAATAATAATAATAATTTATTATTTGTACCCCGCCCATCTGGCTGGGTCTCCCCAGACACTCTGGGCAGCTTCCAACAAAGATTAAAAATACATTAAAATATGTGTTGGAAGCCACTCAGAGTGGGTATAAATAATCAGATGGGCGGGGTATAAATAATAAAGTTATAGTTGTTGTTAAGGTAGATCAATATCATCTGCCCCACATATTGCGGATGAGTGGGGCTGAGTGCGGGAGCAGAAACGAGAGAGAGGATTGCCCAAGTCTTCCTAACGAATTTGTGGAACAGAGGGAAACAGTCAATGTGCAAAGGCCTAAGCGCCATATAAATGTAAAAAATAAACGTAATTTACCCGCCTTATAAAATTAAGGGGGATTTCAGGCCGACGTTGCCGCTTTTGTGCTGGCGTGGCTCAGCTTGTGTTTCATAAGGTGCGACCTGTCGGTGAAGCTGTCCCCGCAGTCTAAGCATTTGTACGACTTGAACCCTTTGTGGGTGTTCTGGTGGAAGTTGAGGTGCGAGCTCTGGGTGAACGACTTCCCGCAGGTGAGACATTTGTGAGGCTTCTCCCCCGTGTGGATCTTCTGGTGCTTGTGAAGGTTGGAGGACTGGCTGAAGCCCTTCCCGCAGGTGGGGCACTTGTGGGCCTTCTCCCCCGTGTGGGTCACCCTGTGCTTCAGGAAGCTGGACCGGTGATCGAAGGCCTTCCCGCAGGTGGGGCACTGGTAGGCCCGCTCCGCTGCGTGGCTCCGCCGGTGCGCGCGGAGGAGCGGGAGCTCGCCGAAGCTCTCCCCGCACCGTGAGCACCGGTAGCTCTTCCCGCCGGCGTGCGCCTTGCGGTGCTGGCAAAACTTGGCGCGCTGGCCGAAGCTCTTCCCGCAATCGGGGCACCGGTAGATCGGGGAGCCCACGTGCATTTTCAGGTGCTTCTGGAGGTTGGACGACTGGTGGAAGCCCTTGCCGCAGTCCCCGCACTTGTAGGGCTTCTCGCCCGTGTGCAGGCGCCTGTGCTTCGTGAGGTGAGAGCGTGCCCGGAAGGCCTTCTGGCAGTAGGAGCATTCGTAGGGCTTCTCGCCGGTGTGGATGAGGTGGTGCTGGGACAGGTAGGAGCGCCGGCAGAAACTCTTCCCGCACTCGGAGCATTTGTAGGGTCCTGGCCCAGGGCGAAGGCCCAGCGGCGGCTTCGGTTTGACGCTATTCCCATTTGGGGAGGCGGTGGCCTCGGTCTCCGGGGTCCCTGGCAGCTCCCAGGCAGCTGTTTTCTTTGGACTTGCTTCTGTCCCTCTCGCCAGCCCATTAGGACTTCTGGGTACTTCTTCCTGATTGTTGGATGAGGGAACGTCTCGCCCCGTGCTTTGCAGCTGCGGCCCCCGGGGTTCTCTCTGCAAGGAACTTTCTAAGAGGTGGCAGGTCTTTGCGTCCCCAGAAACGGGATCGCCTAGCGTGGGTTCGCCTGGAAAGAGGGAGAAAGAACACGGCACAACTTTTAAAACGTCGACACATTATTTAATTAGAATTGCAGAAGTGGCTGAGATCCCAAAGGGCATCAAGTTCCTCTCCCAGCCAATGCAGAAAATAGTTATTGTATTATTTTTATTTGTTTTACTTTATTTTAATTTTTATTTATTGCATTGATTAATCACCAGGTTAATAATTCTCTGGAATTGTAGAGTTGGAAGAAGTCCTCAAAGGCATCTTAGTCTAGCTCCCACCCTTACCCTTAAAGGTAAAGGGATCCCTGACCATTAGGTCCAGTCGTGACCGACTCTGGGGTTGCGGCGCTCATCTCGCTTTATTGGCCGAGGGAGCCGGCGTACAGCTTCCGGGTCATGTGGCCAGCATGACTATGCCACTTCTGGCGAACCAGAGCAACACACGGAAACGCCGTTTACCTTCCCGCCAGAGTGATACCTATTTATCAACTTGCATTTTGATGTGCTTTCAAACTGCTAGGTTGGCAGGAGCAGGGACCAAGCAACGGGAGCTCACCCCGTCGCAGGGATTCGAACTGCCGACCTTCTGATCGGCAAGTCCTAGGCTCTGTGGTTTAACCCACAGCGCCACCCGCCTCCCTTCTCTTACCCTAACCCTAACCCTCCTCTTCTTCCTCCCATGTGCCCCCTGAAGCTTCTCCAGATCTGATCTGGAGGATAAGGAGAAGCCCCAGAACAGAATTCTGGGAGAAGTCCCAGAAGAATGGAAAGGAGCATTATGGGAATTGGAGTCGTGCAAGAATTTCCAGCATGCTGGGGGAGGAAGGCAGAAATGGGCATTGTGGGAATTGGAGTCATCTAATAACACAGATTTCTCCATCCCTGGTCTAAAGAAGAAGAAGACAGCCTTACACAACAGAAAACCAGCATGGTTAGCATCACTGATCTCCCAGCTGGGCCCCAGCACCTCTTCGGGCTCCAGAACCTCCTCTTCCTTGGGGGGATTCACATTCGCCTCTGTAGGCACCTGAATCAGGCACAAAACACAGCAAGAAAAATCAAGAGTGTGGCCGCTGTGAGCTTAAATCGGATTTGGCACCCGCCAATCGCGCTGAAAGTTGTCAATATAATATTATTATTTATTGAATTTATATACTGCCCTATACCTGGAGGTCTCAGGGCGATTCACAAAAAGATCACAATATATAAAATCTAAATCTAAACCACAGCCCAATAACAACCCCCCAGAAAGTGCCACATTTTAAAAGTGTATAGGATGTCAGTCAGGTCAACCAAAGGCCTGGTTAAAAACGGATGTTTTTGCCTGCCACCTAAAGGTGTATAGTGAAGTCAACAGGTGAACTTTCCTGGGGAGAACATTCCACATGTGGGGAGCCACTGCAGAGAAGGCCCTGTTCTCGCATTGCCACCATCTGGACCTCTCGAGGAGGTGGCACACGAAGGAGGGCCTCAGAAGATGACTTCAGGGTCTGGGTAGGTTCATATGGCAAGAGGCAATCACCAACCTTTCTAGGCCAGAGGACACAATTGGAATGTCAAGAAAATGGCTGCCCGTCACAAAATGGCTCCGCAGTGGAGGGCGGCATGACACAAAACAGCTACGTTGGCTGTGTGTTGCGTCACACAAAATGGCTGTCACATTGATATTGATGAAGACCTTTCGTGGCCAAGACCAACAACGTCCATTGTTGGGGAATGCAAGTGCAGGGAGGGCAGTTGACCTCAGGTCCTGCTAAGGATCCACTGTGATATTAAGACGCTAGACGAGATGGTGCAGGTTCTTCTGTACGTTCCCCACCCCATTCCTGAGATTTAACAGAATTATAATGGGGGTTCACTACCCCGTCTCACCTGCTGCTCCTGTTCCTCCACCTGCAGCTGCCTCAGCAGGAAATCCTCGGCCAGGGCCACCGCCTGGGAGCAGGTCTCCGGGCCGCAATCCCTTACCCGGCTCTGGACCTCTGCTGGCAGGATGGTCAGGAACTGCTCCAGGATCAGAAGCTCCAGGATCTGCTCCTTGGAGTGCCTCTCCACCTTCAGCCACCGCCGGCAGAGCTCCTGGAGGCGGCTGTAGGCCCCTCTGGGGCCCTCAGCTTCCCGGTAGCAGAAGCGCCGGAAGTACTGGCGGTTCTTCTCCCTGCTGAGGGCGTCCCCGTGCAAGATGGCCGCCTTCACTTTCCCATAATCCTCTCTGTCTCCGGCCTCCAGGCTCCAAAAGGCCTGCTCGGCTTCCCCGCTGAGGGCTGGCAGCAGCCTGGCTGCCCACTCTTCCCGGGGCCACCGGCAGGCTTGGGCCACTTGCTCGAAGGAGGCCAGGAAGGCCTTGGCGTCGTCCCAGGGGGTGGGCTCCTCTGGCATCTGGGCAGCCTCCCACCTCAAGTTGGGGGACTCCAAGGTCCCCAGGAACTCTTGCCACTGGCTCTCCCATTCCTGAAGTAGCCCTTCGCCTGGAACCTGCATCAGCTGTCTCCCCGATGCCTTGCAAAGCAATTCCTGAATGCTCCCCGCCTGGAAGACGCGAGGGGCTCTTTCGGACCCTTTCGCCCCCATCTCGGGTTCAAATTCTGAAAAGCCGCTCTCCTCTGTTTTGATCTTGGGCCGTCCTTCCTGCCCGGAAGGGACTTCTTCTTGGGAATCCGGCGATGCCATGACAAACCCCTCTGCCATTTCCATCGTCCACCACCCAAGGATAAGGATGGGGAATCTTCCTCCTGAACCTCGGAAGATAAAAAAAGTCTTAAGCCCGCTGGACCAGTGACCTGATTCCGTAGAAGGGCAGTTATAGCTGCTGGAGCAGTTATAGGTGCCCAGGTCTCCTGGGGTGGCGTCTATTGTTTTCTTGCCAAAGATGCGGTGAAAACTCCAGAATAAACACCAAATCTGCCTGCAGGAGAAAAGAACACAGAGCAAAATATTTCATTTATTTATTTAGAAGAATAGATATAAAACCCCCAGCTCTTTTTTATTTATTTTTTATTGTGGCAGCATCCAGTAAAATCATGCAAACATCACAAAGCATCCTATACCCTTTTATTCTTATTATTTCTTAATTTGTTATTTGCATTTTCAGAAACATCCTACACCCTTTTAAATGTGTTTCTGGTTTGGAAATCTGGTCAAGATTGAAACTTTCCTTGTTGGGTCGAATTGCTGCTATAAAAATGAATGTATTGCCGAAAATGTTATTTTTGTTTCAAACCCTACAGATTGTGGACAGAGTGGAATGTTTTGGAAAGTGGCAGAAGGATATATCCAAGTTTGTCTGGCAGGGCAAAAAGCCCCGGATAAAGTTTAAAATACTAACTGATTTGAAAGAAAGAGGGGGGTTTGCCCTGCCGGACTTGGAGATTATATTATGAAGCTGCGGCCTTCTGCTGGATGAAAGATTGGTTACTTCTTGAGAACACTGATGTTCTAGATCTGGAAGGGTTTGATAATGCTTTTGGTTGGCATGCATATTTGTGAGTACGACAAGGTAAAGGTTCATAAAATGTTCAAAAATCATATTGTTAGAAAATCAATATTTATGGTCTGGACAAAATACAAGGACTTATTAGAGGGTAAGACTCGAGGTGGCTTTCACCAGCAGAGGCCAAGGCCCGGAAAAAACCTAATATGGAGGTTGGTTGGCTGAAATATGGGGAAATTATAGAAAAAGTGGGAGAAACTTGGAGGCTGCAGAGTTATGAAAAACTAAAGAATAAGGTGCAAAATTGGCTTCACTATGCTCAAATTCAAGAGGTTTTTAAGCTAGACAAAAGAACAGGTTTCCAGGTGGAAAAATCGAAACTAGAGACAGAATTGTTGGAACCAAAGACCAAGGTACTTTCGAGAATGTATACCTTGCTGCTTAAATGGAACACTCAGGATGAGACAGTCAAATCAGCCATGATAAAATGGGCTCAGGACATTGGGTACAACATTATGTTTGAAGACTGGGAAAGGTTATGGACCACTGGTATGAAATTCACGGCATGTAATGCCTTGAAAGAGAATATTATGAAAATGATATACAGGTGGTACATGACCCCAGTCAAGCTTGCTAAGATATATCATTTGTCTGATAATAAATGTTGGAAATGTAAGGAGGCTGAAGGGACATTCTTTCACCTCTGGTGGACTTGCCCAAAAGTGAAGGCCTTCTGGGAAATGATCTATAATCGAGTTAAAAAAGTGTTTAAGTACACTTTTCCCAAGAAACCAGAGGCCTTCCTACTGGGCATTGTCGGTCAGAAGGTGTTAAAGAAGGATAGAACCTTTTTATGTATGCAACTACAGCAGCAAGAATTCTTATCGCAAAATACTGGAAGACTCAAGATTTACCACACTGGAAGAGTGGCAGACGCAATTGATGGGCTACATGGATATAAATGTGTTTCTGGGATGGGGTGGGGTGGGGGGAAGGTGGGTTTTATTAATTTGGTTGCTGCTGCTCTCTTTATTACATATTTTGTGGTTTTATCTTGTATTTTTGTGTTGTGAACTGTCCAGAGATCTACGGATGAAGGGCAGTATAGACGTTTAATAAATAATAATAATAATTTTAAAAAGTTTAAAAACCTTAACACTGTCAAATCATAAAATACAGGATAAATGACCAACATGGAATCAAATGAATTCTCAACAAATATCAGAATGGCAGGTCTCTTACGATTTCCACAGGAACGGTTATTTAAAGCAGTTATCATACCACTTTAAACAGTCATGGCTTCCCACAAGTAATCCTGGGAAGTTAGTTTGCTAAGGGTGGTGAGAGGTGTATTTGTCATTTTCAATTTTACATTTACATAAATTACAGAATTTAAACCATACAAGCATATTCAACTTCCCTTCACTCCCTTCTATGGTTCATTTTATTTTCCCTTTACTGCCGCATATTCTAATTAATCCTTATTTTTCCTTTCCTGGTTTTCCCTTCCATTATAAATGCAACTGCTCAATTTATTCTAGACCTGCCAACGTTTAAAGTGGTTTACAGTAGTTTTTCAAACATTCTGCAATTCCCCATTATTTTTTCAAAGTTCTTTCTTCCTGATCACTTATTCTTCCAGCTAAACTAGACATTTCTACACGTTCCATCAATTTCGTCTGCCAGCGGGTGCCGAGACTTGTTAGGAGACCAGTGTGGCTTAAAAACCAATCCCTCTTGCCAGGCAAATCTTGGGAATTGTAGCTTTGCAGGCTCTCTTTTAAATCAGAACCAGTGAAGGCGGTGAAGGCCCTGTGTGAGTGTCTGGAGGTGGTTGGAGGATGGATGGCGGCTAAGAGATTGAGGTTCTGACAAGACAGAAGTACTGTTTTTGGGGGACAGGAGGCGGGCAGGTGTGGAGGATTCCCTGGTCCTGAATGGGGTAACTGTGCTCCTGAAGGACCAGGTGCGCAGCCTGGGAGTCGTTTTGGACTCACAGCTGTCCATGGAGGCGCAGGTCAATTCTGTATCCAGGGCAGCTGTTTACCAGCTCCATCTGGTTTGCAGGCTGAGACGCTATCTGCCTGCAGACTGCCTCGCCAGAGTGGTGCATGCTCTGGTTATCTCCCGCTTGGACTACTGCAATGCGCTCTAGGTTGGGCTACCTTTGAAGGTGACCCGGAAACTACAACTAATCCAGAATGCGGCAGCTAGACTGGGGACTGGGAGTGGCCGCCGAGACCATATAACACTGGTCTTGAAAGACCTACATTGGCTCCCAGTACGTTTCCGGGCACAATTCAAAGTGTTGGTGCTAACCTTTAAAGCCCTAAACGGCCTCGGCCCAGTAGACCTGAAGGAGCGTCTCCACCCCCATCGTTCTGCCCGGACATTGAAGTCCAGCGCCGAGGGCCTTCTGGTGGTTCCCTCCCTGCGAGAAGCCAAGTTACAGGGAACCAGGCAGAGGGCCTTCTCAGTAGTGGCACCCTCCCTGTGGAATGCCCTCCCACCAGATGTCAAAGAGAACAAGAACTATCAGACTTTTAGAAGACATCTGAAGGCAGCCCTGTTTAGGGAAGCTTTTAATGTTTGATGGATTACAGTATTTTAATATTTTTGTGGAAGCCGCCCAGAGTGGCTGGGGAAGCCCAGACAGATGGGTGGGGTATAAATAATACATTATTATTATTATTATTATTATTATTATTGAAATAGAAAATGTCACCTGACAGCTCTTAGCAGCTCCCTGACAAAACAGTGTTTCCCAAATTCTTTGGGCGAATGTTCCTATCTCAGCAGAGGGCTGCTGCCTCTCAGAGCACCTGCTTTTCATGCACAATGTCCCCTCGGCATGTCCAGGTAAGAAACACACCTGATACCCCGGGGAGCTGCTGCCGGCCAGTGTCGACAGCACTGGGGTAGATGCACCAAGGGTCAGAATGTGGGGACAGGGCAGCTTATCTAGGGGGCACCACCCCAACTTTCCTCTTGTCCTCTCACCAGCCAGCTTCACCTTGGATCTTCGGCCAGGAGAAAGTCTCAAGACAGCCAGCTTCTGTTTCCAGTAAGTAAAAGAGGAAATAATTAAGGAGAGGAGGTGGAGGAACGGGAAAAGCAGATGTTCTCTTTTTTTTAAAAAAAAAAAGTCATATCCATGTGATTTCTCACATGCACACCTCTCTAGGAATGGCACATTTGCTATTTTAACCCTTTCCATGTGTGAGGGACACTTGGTGCATGAAAAAATTCTCCTCATAGACCCTCCACCAGGGGTCAGCAAACTCTTTCAGCAGGGGGCCGGTCCACTGTCCCTCAGATCTTGTGGGGGGCCGGATTATATTTAGAAGGGGGAAAAATGAACCAATTCCTATGCCCCACAAATAACCCAGAGATACATTTTAAATAAAAGCACACATTCTACTCATGTAAAAACACCAGGCAGGCCCCACAAATAACCCAGATGCGTTTTAAATACAGTGGTACCTTGGGTTACATATGCTTCAGGTTACATACGCTTCAAGTTACAGACTCCACTAACCCAGAAATAGTACCTCGGGTTAAGAACTTTGCTTCAGGATGAGAACAGAAATTGTGCGGCGGCAGCGGGAGGCCCCATTAGCTAAAGTGGTACCTCAGGTTAAGAACAGATTCAGGTTAAGAACGGACGTCCGGGACAAATTAAGTACTTAACCCGAGGTACCACTGTAAAAGGACACATTCTACTCATGTAACAACACGCTGATTCCTGGACCGTCCGCGGGCCAGATTTAGAAGGCGATTGGGCCGGATCCGGCCCCCGGGCCTTAGTTTGCCTACCCATTCTCCACACTAAGGGTTGATGTGCTTCACAGGAGCCAACTTCTAGGTGCCAAAGTCCCTTTGGGGCCCCCAATAAAATACAGTGGTACCTCGGGTTGAGTACTTAATTCGTTCCGGAGGTCCGTTCTTAACCGAAACTTTAGCTAATGGGTCCTCCTGCTGCTGTAGCGCCACGGGAGCACGATTTCTGTTCTCATCCTGAAGCAAAGTTCTTAACCCGAGGTACTATTTCTGGATTGGCGGAGTCTGTAACCTGAAGCATCTGTAACCCGAGGTACCACTGTATTTTATACAAGTGATGAGCTGTAATTCAGCTTCATTGGATAGGCTCCCACTGGGTCTCCTAGGAGGAGAAGGACCTCTATCATCATCTATAACCAGCAGGGTTACCCAGCAAGGATGAATGACGAAAGGTTCATGACAGGTGACTGCAAGTCATTCCTCACACAGTGGAAGCTTTGAACTGTGGAACTCCCTCCCACAGGAGTGTTGTTGGCCAACAGATTCGGAAGACTTTAAAAAAGGGCTGGGCAAATTCATGAGCAAGGCTACCCGGGGCCACCAGAGCAATGTTCTTGCACCTCTGAATTTCCTGCTGCAGGGATGAATAAACTTCCCGATGGCACGTAAAAAAGTTTGGTCTTTTCAAAGTGGCGACAATAGCATCAACTGGAGAATCGTAGAATCGTCGAGTTGGAAGGGACCCTGAGGGTCATCTAGTCCAACCCCCAGCAATGTGGGAGAGGAGGGGGTTTATTGGTTTGTGTACATTATTATTATTATTATTATTATTTGCTCTTGTTATTTTTAGGCATTTTGTTATTTTTATGTTGTGAACCGCTCTGAGAGCAGATGAAGTGTGGTATATTATTATTATTATTATTATTATTATTATTCATATACTGCCCTATACCCGGAGGTCTCAGGGTGGTTCACAAAAAAGATCACAATATATAAAATCAAAATAAAAACAATAACCCAATAACATCCCTCCCCCCAAAGAAGAGCCACATTTTAAAAAGGTATAGGATGTCAATCAGGTCAACCAAATATACAAATTTAATTAATTAAAAAAGCATCCATGACAGATGGCCAGATGAATTAAGGAAAAGAAAGAAAGAAAGAAAGAAAGAAAGAAAGAAAGAAAGAAAGAAAGGCTCTAATTAATAGAGTCGTTCGTTCATTTCGGTTGTATGCTACAGAAAACAGTGAATTCCGCAAAGGGGAAAATTAGCGAAGTATATTATACTACAATGAACAATATCTTTAAACGTGAGGTTCACAATCCTGCTGCCTTATCCTGCTTTTTAAAGAGATGTGATCTGATCATCTGGGTTGCTTGGCTTGTGGTCGCAGGAACAGCTGCCTCGTCCTACATTGCAGGGGGTTGGACTAGATGACCCTCGGGACCCTTCCAACAACTCTACAATTCTGGGATTTCTATGACTCCTGAAATACCGTTATTAGGGGATGGAGGCAATTTGCGTCCTTTGCATCTGTTACCGTAAACCAAAATTTCTTTTGCACCTCCTGATCCAGCCGGGCTCATCTTCTCACCGCCTGCCGGCTTGTTGGGGGTTAAACCGAGAGATGCGCAGCGTCCTAGATAGGCAGCGAAAGGAGGAAGGGGCGGTCGCTTCCTGCCCTGGCAAAGGGACGCCAAGTGAGCGCCAGGAGGAGCCCCGAGACGGAGCGCGGGATGCAAAGGAAGCGGGTTGGGTGTGTCTGTTTGCGTGTTTTTCAAGTTGTCTGGAAGGAGAAGCCCTGCTGCAGGGACACAGGAAGCTGCCTTATACAGATTAGGTACTGGCCCACCTACTATTGCAGGCACAGACTGGCAGCAGCGTTTCACCAGCCCTAGCCAGGGCATAGTACGTGTCACTTCAGGAGGTGAAATTTAGGGGATTTTTTTGAGGGGGGAATCAGCAATGGGATTTAAAAATACGTTTCACCCCCAAAGGGTGCACCTTCATTATCTCCAATGACAGCCACAAAAAATGGGTGTGAGGAATTCAAACCTGCTTTTATTTTTGTGAGCAGGCAACTTTTGTAGCCAAGTAAGATTGTCTTCCATAAACACGGTCTTAACAGTGAATCCGTAAGTGACTGTGGAGAGCAATGTCTGATGTATTACAGTATTTTAATATTTTTTTGGAAGCTGCCCAGAGTGGCTGGGGAAACCCAGCCAGATGGGCGGGGTATAAATAATAAATTATTATTAATTATTATTATTATTACTTCTTACTCCATGTATCTGTATGCTTCCTTTCCATGATTAAACCATGCTCAAGGCGGCTTACAGAAACAATCACATAATGCACACCAACAGTTCTAAAAACATAACTTCTAAGTAGTCACAAACAATAAATGAAAACATCTCAATACAGTAAAATCGGAACAATCCTGCATGATAAGGTCTAGCAACAAAAATCACAAAAACATAATACCAGATGACAGCTGAATTAAAGCCTCTCAAATATTAAAGCTAGAAATAATTGGGGGGTGGGGCTAGCTAATACCATGTCAACACATCCTAAGACCTGGACGTGCTCAGTTGGTGGAGCATGAGACTCTTAATCTCAGGGTCATGGGTTTGAGCCCCATACTGGGCAAGATTCCTGCACTGCAGGGGGTTGGACTAGATGACCCACAGGGTCTCTTCCAACTGTATGATTTTATGAAACGCCTGGGAGAATGGAGATGTTTCAAAGGGGTGCCAGAATAAAAGTTAGAGGCTAAAGGGTGGGCTGGCCCTGCCTGGGAGAGACAAGCATAGACTGGATGTTCCCCACTCCTGATGTAGTGTAAGGTGTTCATACACCTCCCACATGCCATACATTCATATGTTTATCCCATGTTGGAGAGAGAGATTGAAAAAAATATTTTCTCGTTGCAGAGTTAGCACATTGGTATCAAGCACATTAAAACTTGGCTAGATTTTACATCTGCCCTCATCCACCTTCAAACAATTGTTCCCCATGAAAATACTTAGGCTAGAATAAATCTCAGACACGTAGCTTTGAAAAGTGAAGATTTTACTTGCAGAGGTTCAGAAGCTGCAACAAACAAGTCTCCGTCCATTGGAAGTAAAGTAAGGAAGAAAAGGTTCCAAGCAATTTAAAAGGAAAATAAATAAGTTATATTACAAAAAGAATTAAGTTTAATTTAATGTAACAAAAATTACATTAACAAAGATACATGAAGTAGATTTTTCTTGAGCTGGGAACCATGCTGGCTACTGGCGTCTTCCAGGAAGACAAGAGCAAAAGAGAGAGGGAGGAAGAAGCAAAGGCTGCTAGGAGTCTCTCCCATTTTAACGAGCTGATTTCTGGCTCTGGTTAACACTTTCATGCACACAGGTGTAAGTCAGTAACTGTATATTGCCAAAATAAATATAAAAATTGTCCAGTAGCACCTTAGAGACCAACTAAGTAGTTCTGGGTATAAGCTTTTGTGTGCATGCATACTTCTTCAGATATGCAGTATATTGCCAGTTTCTCTTCTCTGACAAGCAGATGTGTACATGCAAAGAACATACAAACAGCATGTTAAGTCCCTCCCCCTCAAGAGTCCCATTTTGACCCAAAGCTCCTCACATGTAAAGGTTTGCTCAGTATGTCAGCTGTCTGATGGGACAATAAACTGGTTCCACAATTCCACCCTGGACATGTTCAAAAATGTAGTGATATCTCACCCCAATGTGTTTTGTGCATGCCAGGAATTAATTGGTCCTTGACAGCTTTGTACTGCTGACCTGTATCATCTGGATAGGTTCACATTTACTCAGTCCAAGGTCTGCAGTCTCAGGGCCATGGGTTTGAGCCACACATTAAGCAAAAGATTCCTGGGGGTTGGGCTAGATGACCCTCAGGATCCCTTCCAACCCTACAATTTTATGGTTCTATGAAAGAGCTTACTATTCTAGACAAGTTCCTTAAAGAGGCGGCAGCAGCGGCTGGAGGACTCCCAAGGAGAGAGGAGAGGAGAGGAGACTGATGGAACACACCGCAAGGGAGGGTGTTTGAAAAAGGGTGAGAGTCTGCCAGCTCGGCAGGCAAGGAGTGACCTAACTGGGCTCCAGAGCCCCACAGGGGTGCCGTAGAAAGAAGGTAGTTGGTCAAGGGAGCCGTGGACCCAAAAAGGTTGAAAACCTCTGACCTACGTGTTGCCTGAGCCCCATAACCTGATGCTGCAGAGAGACGTTTGGACAAAAAGATTTACTTTCTCATACAGAGTTAGCACAATTGCCGATTGGTACCAAGCACATAGGGACGTGGGCGGTGCTGTGGGTTAAACTACAGAGCCTAGGACTTGCTGATCAGAAGGTCGGTGGTTCGAATCCCCGCTACAGGGTGAGCTCCCGTTGCTCGATCCCTGCTCCTGTCAACCTAGCAGTTTGAAAGCACGTCAAAGTGCAAGTAGATAAATAGGTACCGCTCCGGCAGGAAGGTAAACGGCATTTCCGTGCGCTGCTCTGGTTCGCCAGAAGCGGCTTAGTCATGCTGGCCACATGACCCGGAAGCTGTACGCCGGCTCCCTCGGCCAGCAAAGCGAGATGAGCACCACAACCCCAGAATCGGTCACGACTGGACCTAAGAGTCAGGGGTCCCTTTACCTTTACCTTACCAAGCACATAAAAATGTGGTTAGATTCTATATCTGCCCTCATTCACCTTTAAACAAATGTTCCCCATGAAAACAGCTGGGCTAGTTTCAGAAGTTACAGCAAACAAGTCTCCATCCGTTGGCGGTAAAAGCAACGAAGAAAAGGTTCCAAACTGTTTGAAAAGAAAAGAAGTTGGTTTCGTTACAAAAAAGGAACTGTGTAGTCTTTGTGTTAGCAAAGACGGGAACTGTAGAAAACTCTTGTAGAAAGATTCATTCGTGTGGTTTTCTCGAGCTGGGAGCCATGCCGGGTAATGCTGTCTTTCAGGAAGTCGGAGAGAAAGAGAGAGGTATAAAGAATGGCTGCTAGGAGCAGTTAACTAGAGCTCATTTCTGGCTCAGGTTAATGCTTTCATGCATAAAAGGATGAGTCAGTAACTGAATACCAGAAGGCATTTTGACATTCCATAAATTTACATGGTTTCTCGTATGTGGATTATTTGCTGTTCGGAAAGGTTCCACCCAGCACACTGCTTCTCCCTTGTGTGGACTCTTTGATGTAAAGTAAGGCTACCGCTCCCTCGAAAGACGTTTCCACAGTCTGTGCAGATATATCTTTCCTCCGCTTTGTGGGTTCTTTGATGTTTGGCAAGGGTTCCGCCATCCCGGAAGCTCTTTCCGCAGTTCAAGCATTTATATGGTTTCTCCCCTGTGTGGATTCGTTTATGTATACAAAGGGTCCAGCTAGCCCGGAAGCTCTTTCCGCACTCCATGCATTTATATGGTTTCTCCCCTGTGTGGATTCTTTGATGTTTGGCAAGGGTTCCTCTCATATCAAAGCTCTTCCCACACTCCAGACATTTATACTGCTTCTCTCCTGTGCGGGTTCTCTGATGTTCAGTAAAGGTTATGCTATCATGGAGGCCCTTTCCACAGTCCACATGTCCAGAGTTACAGTGTTTCTCCCCTTTATGGATTATCTGATGGGAAATAAGATGTCCAAGTTGACTGAAACTCTTTCCACACTCCATGCATTTATATGGCTTCTCCCCTGTATGGGTTCTTTGATGGGCAATAAGACTTCCTCTTTGGCTGAAGCTCTTTCCGCACTCCATGCATTTATACGGTTTTTCTCCTGTGTGGGTTCTTCCATGTGCAGTAAGGGAACTGCTTGTACTGAAGCTCTTCCCGCACTCTGTGCATTTGTATGGTTTCTCTCCTGTGTGACTTCTGCTATGTGTATTTAACTGTGATCTATACTGGAATATTTTATCACACACTGGACACGTAATATTCTTATTATCTTTACAATCTTCTGGAGGGGTCAGGAGTTCATGGACCTCAGCCCCCTGGGAAGCAGATTGCCTCTTCTGCCTAGGCTTTGATTGGTTCACATTGTGCCTTTCTCTTTGATTTCCAAACATTTCTTTCCCCGTATCACGTGTGGTTGTTTCTGACAACGCTATATATGGCGCCTGATAATTCTCATTGTCCTGTCCATCACCTGCATGAGGAGGGGGCAGACAGAAAATGAAGATCCTGTAAAAAGCGCAAATCACTCTGAGTTTCTCCCTCAGTCATCAAACCACTACATCTGCTCTAACCATTGAACCACCCCATCCCTCCCCAACCACTTTCACTATCACCAAACCAACGCCATCCATTGCCAAAAACAAATCTCTCCCTCTCAATCATCAAACCACTCCAACAATCAAACCATTCCACTCGTTACTTCTGCCATCACCAAAAAAACCCATCCATCACCAAAACAGCCAATTCCAACCCCAATTCCATACCAAAGCAACTATATATGAGCAACATCCATCCATCACCAAACCAGCTCCATCCACTCTACACAGAATGTACTACAAAAACACCAGGAGAAGATGAAACTACTCATGGGAGTTCCAATTCAGCAACATCCGGGAGACCACAGGGTTTCTCTCATCCATCTTCTATATCCAACGACTTACCTGTCCTTTTCTTCTGAACCAACAACTCTTCCTTTTCTTCAAACCAGGTGAGGTCTAATTGGGACACCAGAGGCCCTTCTTAATGGGATAAGAAGAAAGCGAAAACTGTTATTGATGCCACCTGTGACTGCAAAAGGTCAAAGAAAATCCGAACCATGTATTCTCTTTTCAGCCCTCCATCCCATCTGCCAGGCTTCAGGGAATCGGATCCCTCCCCCGGTGGCAGTAATTAAGCAGATCAAACAAAAAGAGTGCTCTTACCAGATAAGTTCTTTAATAATCACAGCGAGAGACAAGGAATGCATATCATGCTAAAAAATGGCATTGCTCCCAGTAAAGGTTTACCCCTTCTGTCCCCATTAATCTACAACACTCCTACATTGGGCAATCTGAGCTTGTTGCCGTTGCGCTTTCTGTTCCATCCCTTTCCAAGTCCATCTAGTCTTAGGGGAGGGAGGGGGCGTGGCGTCAGAAATGATGTCCAAGGACTGAATCTGCCAGCTGTCTCCTGTTCCTCACCCAGTATTTCCCAGCTTTCCCCCTCTGGGCTATGCCGCTCTGCAAACTAAATCAATACTGTCCTCCTGCCCTTGGAAAGGTTCAGGAAAAGGGGGTGGCTCACACCATTCTTCCTCAGTCCAGTCCCTGACACCATCTCAACCTCCCAGATATTTGAAAGAAGACAAGCATAGAGGAGAGCAATGCACAGACCTTAAAACAGGCATAGGCAAACTCGGCCCTCCAGATGTTTTGGGACTACAACTCCCATCATCCCTAGCTAACAGGACCAGTGGTCAAGGATGATGGGAATTGTAGTCTCAAAACATCTGGAGGGCCGAGTTTGGGGAGGTGCCTGCCTTAAAACATCCATTTGGGGTCACCAAAGCGATTTGACCGTCATCCATTACTCCACCTGTCACTCCCACCATCGCCAAAGCACTCCATCCATCAACAACCCTCTCAATCGTCAAACTCCTCCCATGACCAGCCACTCCATCCACTCTGCTTAGAAGGTACTACAAAAATGCCAGGAGATGACGAAACCACTCATGGGAGTTGCATTACTGCAACAAGTAGAAGACCATAGAGTTTCCCCCATCCCTGCTCTATATCCAAGGACTTACCTGCCACTTCCTTCTGGACCAGCAGTTCTTCCTTTTCCTCAGGCCAGGAGATGAGGTCTGATTGGAGCATCAGAGACCCTTCTTGATGGGATTAAAAAAGAAGCAAAAATTGTTATTGATGGCCCATGTGAGTGCAGAAGTTAATAATGATAATACTAATACTACTACTAATAATTTTATTTATACCCCGCCCACCCCAGCCAAGACCGGGCTCAGGGCGGCTAACAACCAATAATAAAAACAAGTTGACTGAAATACAACTTAAAAACAAGATTAGAATACAACATTAAAACATTAAAATGCAGCCTCATCACAGGAGGAGAAAGGAAAAAAGAAAGAGGAGGAGGGAATCAAATCTGCTCCAAGCCAAGGGCCAGGCGGAACAACTCTTACAGGCCCTGTGGAAAGAAATCCGATCCCGCAGGGCTCTGGTCTCATGAGACAGAGCATTCCACCAGGCTGGAGCCAGTGCTGAAAAGGCCATGGCTCTGGTTGAGGCTAATCTGACTTCCTTAGGGCCCGGGACCTCTAGGGTGTTGCTATTTATGGACCTTAAGGTCCTCCGTGGGGCATACCGGGAGAGGCAGTACGAGGGTCCTAGGCTTTTTAGGTCCTAGATTTATAGAAAATCCAAACCATGCTGTCTCTTTTCCATACCTCCATTCCAACCCAAAGGACCAGATCTTTGAAACGGGACAGGAATGAGAGAGGGGGAGCACTAGATGGACCTAGAAACATCAGTCTGGTGTCACCAAAGCAACTCCATCTCCATCCATCACTGCACCAGCCACTCCCACAATCACCAAACCACTCCATCTACCACCAAAGCAACCATATCCATCCATCACTGACCCCAACCACATCACCAAAGCAACTGTGGATATAGCAACATCCATCTATCTCCAAACCAACACCATTTATCACCAATTGCTCCATCCACATTTCATGGATTCTTCAGTCAAGATTGCTGCATTGCAGTTGGTTGGACTAGATGACCCTCAGGGTCCCTTCCAACTTGACAATTCTTTGATTCTACATAGAATGTACTACAAAAACACCAGGAGACGACGAAACCACCCATGGGGATTCTAATTTAGCAAGCTCCAAAAAGCCACAGGTTTCCCCGCCCTCCATCTTCTTCTCTACCCAAGGACCTACCTGCCTCTTGTTTCTGGACCAACCACTCTTCCTTTTCTTCAAGCCAGGAGATGAGGTCCGAATGGGGCATCAGTGGCCCTTCTTCATGGAACAAAAAGAAAGAGAGCAAAAAGTGTTATTGACGGCACCCAGGACTGCAAAGGTTTGCAGAAAATCCAAACCATGTACAGAAAATGAACTGGTCAAGTCAGTAATGACACACTGGACAAAGGATCTGGGACGTAATATTCAGATGGCAGATTGGGAAAGGTTATGGAAAACAGACCTGAAATTCACGGCATGTTGTACTCTGAAAGAAAACTATATGAAAAAGATGTACCGGTGGTATTTGACTCCTACCAAGCTGGCAAAAATGTATAGGACAAGTACAAATATCTGCTGGAAATGTAAAGAAAATGTGGCAGTGGACTGCAAGGGAGATGATATATAATGAAATGAAAAACATATTTTAAATAACTTTTGTTAAAAAACCAGAAGCTTTTCCATTAGGAATTACAGGTACCAACATCCCAAAGGACCAGAAAAGACTCTTTATGTATGGAACAACAGCCACCCGGATGCTGCTAGCGCAGAGATGGAAAGAAGACAAGGTCCCTACCAGAGAGGAATGGCAAACCAAGCTTACTGAATGGCAAAGCTGACTGGAAAACTCAGGAACCAAGAGGACAAAAGCTTTTCTAAAGAATGGGAAAAGTTTATAAGCTAGCTAAGAGACCACTTTAAGCAGATGGAAACATTGGCAGGATTCTGATTTCACTTGTTGTATAACAATTACCATGGATAATATGGATTGATATATATGGATTTTTATAACTTTGCATTGGAAAAAATATATTATTATTACTATTATTATTATTAAATCCAAACCATGCTCCCTGAAGTGTGTTTATGTTTTTACTCTGCTGACTATACATTGGGAGTCTGCTCCGAATCAATACAAGCAGAATCAATGACCAAATGTCTGGGTGAAAACTCAAGGGAAAAATCTTCTTTAGCCCAAAATGACCTCAGTAGGCAGCTAAGCTGGGTGGCGCCTGTCTAATTTTGGCAGCTAGCACAGTAAGGCTTGGCTTAGCCAGAACTGACCATGGACTTCCTATATGGAGAGAACGATGAGGAATTCAAGAAGGTGAGTGCAGAGGGATCTTTACCCAGAGAGGCCAAGTTCCTGTAATTATCCAGCATGACATCTTTGTAGAGTTCTTGTTGGCCTGAATTCAGCAAAGCCCACTCAATCCTGGTGAAGTACACAGCCACCTCCTCAAAGGACACCAAACTCTGAAAAAAGGCAGAAATATCCATAATTCTGATGGTACCTTCCCAAAAAAAGAAAAAGAAAAGAGAAAGAGAGAGAAATATCCAAGGAAGGGAAGTAAAAGATACCGTAATGAGAACCCACCTCCAGAACCACCCCACAGTGAGTCTTTATGTACACCAGGGGTGTCAACAAAAGAGGTTGAAAGACTCTCTCAAAGCAAATCTAAAAAAAAGGAGTATAAACACTGACAAATAGGAAACATTGGCCTGCGAGCACTTCATTTTTATTTTTATTAATTTTTATTGATACAGCAAGAAAAAAGAAAAAACACAAATACCAAATTACACACAGGAATAACCATAGACACATTATTTTCTTAACAAACAATAAAACACATATTGGTCTTAACACTAAAGACCCAACCTCCCATCTATTCCATATTTCGATTTCATATTACTTATTGCCAATACACACTTTTATCATAATTAAACTTTTTCTTAATATATCTGATTCCTTATATCTACCTTGCAACTATTACTGAAGTTCCTTGAATGCTGCAACAGAATTTAAACTACTATATTTATTTTTCAAATATTCTTTGAAAACCTCCCATTTTGAAACAAATTCCTGTTTTGATTTATTCTTTATTTTTTCTGATAGACCGTCTAATTCGGCATATTCTGTCAGCTCTTGGATCCAATCTTGTATAGAGGGGATTTCATTACTCTTCCATTTTGCCTGCGAGCGCTTCAATTGGAGAACAGCCTTTAGCAAAAGGGTCATGGGCTTTGAAGATGCTCAGACTCAGGACAAAAGGGAGAAACGTGCTAAGAGGGCTTGGCAAACCCTCACCACAGGTTTGTGCCCAGCTAGAATGTGTCCTTGATGCTTTTTTCCTTGCCTGCTGCTTTTTTTCCTTGCCTGGACGGAGGATAAGAACAGTGTGTGCAAAAAGCATGAGGGTCTGTCGTGACTGGGAATGGCCACCGAGACCATATAACACTGGTCCTGAAAGACCTACAGTGGCTCCCAGTACATTTCCGAGCACAATTCAAAGTGTTGGTCTGACCTTTAAAGCCCTAAATGTCCTCGGCTCAGTATACCTGAAGGAGCGTCTCCACCCCCATCGTTCAGCCCGGACACTGAGGTCCAGCTCCGAGGGCCTCCTGGCGGTTCCCTCACTGCGAAAAGTGAGGTTACAGGGAACCAGGCAGAGGGCCTTCTTGGTAATGGCCCTGTGGGACGCCCTCCCAGCAGATGTCAAGGAAATAAACAACTATTTGACTTTTAGAAGACATCTGAAGGCAGCGCTATTTAGGGAATTTTTAATGTTTGATGTTTTATTGTGCTCTTAATATTCTGTTGGGAGCTGCCCAGAGTGGCTGGCGATACCCAGTCAGATGGGCAGGGTATAAATAATAAATTATTATTATTATTAAAACCATGCCTGCAAACAGACAAAGCAGGGCTCAAAGTAGGCGCCAGTTAGCTCCTCAGCTTCACTAGGGGGATCCCAATAAGAGGGGAGGCCTCACTGTCTGTGCCCCTGCTGTATGGAGTTATGTTTCTACTCTATTTCTACCATGCTGAGAGAATTTTATGTGCTGCCTCAGAAAACACTAACCGATTAAACAAACGAAGAAGCCACAGGAGGAGACCTCCAGACCCAATTACCTGAGCTGAAGGGAGGGCCATTCCTTCCACTTCATCCCAAAGAGGAGAGGACCTGCGGCATTTTCGACTACCTGCAAAAGTGGCATGGAAAAGGTAGCAGGATAAAACATTTTGTTTTTTCCCTTCAAAATGTACGTGGAAGGAAGGTGGCATGGGTTTGCTCAACTACTTTTTCAAGTTGGTTCTTGAACTGACTGGAAGCAGCTTGTCCATTTTTCAAGCTCCTGAGGAAGGGATGTTTTACTCTGAAGCACCTCTGAGTTCTTTGTTAAGTCGTTTTGGGTCCTTTTTATGAGCAAAGCAGATAATAAATATAAATAGTTATGACTGAGCAACCACAGAGCAGCTCAGTGCTTGGAACGAACAAGATTGTTGTATGTTGGATAAAGGTAAAGGTAAAGGGACCCCAGACCATTAGGTCCAGTTGTGGCCGACTCTGGGGTTGAGGCGCTCATCTCGCTTTATTGGCCGAGGGAGCTGGCGTACAGCTTCCGGATCATGTGGCCAGCATGACTAAGCCGCTTCTGGCAAACCAGAGCAGCCCACGGAAACGCCGTTTACCTTCCCGCCAGAGCCTATTTATCTACTTGCACTTTGACGTGCTTTCAAACTGCTAGGTTGGCAGGAGCAGGGACCAAGCAACGGGAGCTCACCCCGTCGCGGGGATTCGAACCGCCGACCTTCTGATCGGCAAGCCCTAGGCTCTGTGGTTTAACCCACAGCGCCACCCGCGTCCCAAAAAGACTGGCCTCGGATATGTGATTGTAAAACTGTAATTTGAAAAAAACAAATAATTAAATTAACGGGAAACCAAAAAACCTCACAACAGGGATCACGACTGGGAAGCGTTGCTGTTGTGCTCACAGCTCATGGCCTGCCCACAGGGATCTGCTTAGCCACCTCGAGAACAGGAAGCCGGGCTCGATGCACTTCCTGTGTTCTTCAGGCACCCACCTGCTTCTTTCTTCTGGACAAACTCCTCTTCCTCCTCTTCCAACCAGGAGATGAGGCGAGGTTGAGGAAACAGAGGCCCTTCTTTGAGGGAAAAGCAGAAGATACATCATTGTTAGGGGTATGTTTTTCGTGGCACCCTATTTAGAACCTGCTAATAAAAACAAGAATTGATGCTTTTGAATTATGGTGCTGGAGGAGACTCTTGAGAGTCCCATGGACTGCAAGAAGATCAAACCTCTCCATTCTGAAGGAAATCAGCCCTGAGTGCTCACTGGAAGGACAGATCCTGAAGCTGAGGCTCCAATACTATGGCCACCTCATGAGAAGAGAAGACTCCCTGGAAAAGACCCTGATGTTGGGAAAGATGGAGGGCACAAGGAGAAGGGGACGACAGAGGATGAGATGGCTGGACAGTGTTCTCGAAGCCACAAACATGAGTCTGACCAAACTGCGGGAGGCAGTGGAAGACAGGAGGGCCTGGCGTGCTCTGGTCTATGGGGTCACGAAGAGTTGGACACGACTAAACGACAACAAATAAAAACATTCTTGTTTACGTCACTTTTTCCAGGCAAACAAGACAGTTGTCGTGTGTTTCAATCTGGTCTTTAGGGCAGTGTTGGTTTTAATCATTTTTGGAATGGTTTAAATAGTTGTTTTTTTAGCTATTTTCCTGATAATGTTATTGCTTTATTCTTTCTGCAAACTGCTTTGAGGTTCCTTTTCTTTAACGTTTGAAGTGGTCAATGGGTTTGGGGAAACAAACATACACATCTCTCAACCAAAGGATGCTTACCCAGAGAAGCCAATTCCTCATAATTCTCCAGCAGGACTTCCCTGTAGAGAGCTTTCTGAGCTGGACCCAGGAGCGCCCACTCTTCCTGGGTGAAATATACTGCCACCTCCTCAAAAGACACCAGAACCTGGAGGAAAATGGAAGGCAGTTCCTATCACACACACAAAACTGTGCAATGTAACATAAGCGGTCAAGTACAACACTTCCTGTTTCCTCCCTGTTTGAATTCTTCAATGCAAGGTAAAGGAGTGACTGCCACTGAAGCTCTTTCCACATTTGAAACATTTGTAGGGTTTCTCCCCTGCATGAATTCAGTAAGGGCACCGTTGCAACGGAAGCTCTTTCCACACTCCCAGCATTTATAAGGTTCGTCCCCTCCATGAGTTTGTTGATGTCTAGTAAGCAGACTGCTGCGAGTGAAACTCTTTGCATATTCAAAGCATTTATAAGGTTTGTCCCATGTGCACTCTTTGATGTGAAGTAAGAGTTGAGCAATAACCAAATCTACTTCCACACATTGTACATTCATACTTTTTCTCCTCTCTGTGAATTTGATTTTCACCACCCTGAGATGTACCTGAATTACCCCCTGGCTTCTGCTTTCGTCTTCCCTCTTGCCTGCTGCCTCCATCTTGAACCCTCAGCTTCCTTTGCTCCACCTGCTCTTTGGATCCTTTCGGTGACACTTCTGCCAGCATCCCTTCAACATCTCCTGATGGAATAAAAAGGCAAACTGATAAAATGCTGAAGGAGCGTCTTCACCCCTATCATTCAGCCTGGACACTGAGATCCGAGGGTCTTCTGGCGGTTCTCTCACTGCACAAAGTGAAGTTACAGAAAACCAGGCAGAGGGCCTTCTCGGTAGTGGCACCTGCCCTGTGGAAAGCCCTCCCATCAGATGTCACGGAAATAAATAAGGCCTCAGTCATACTGGACTTTAATGTGGACCTGAAGTTGTTTGTTTCTCTATTCTTTTTTTCCACTTTTGCCCGGAATGCTCTTGCAGAAACTGCTGTACTTAACAGAAACATAATTTTTTGCCCTTGCAAGCATAGCAGTTAGCAAAAGAAAAGTGCAGGAAAGAGAGGAAATTAAACAGCAGCCCTTGATGCAAGCGCCAAAATTTTGGTTTGGAGTGACAAACATTCATATACCTTTTGTTTTGCTTTGTTTTAGAGTGCCTTTGATTTTTGCATCATATTGTAGATTGCTTTGAGTTTACTTTTCATAAAAAGTGACTAATAATAATAATAATAATAAAAAACACCTGCCACTTTGGGATTAAGCGTTATATAAATCTCCTAAAGGCAGAAAATTGCAAACAGTACAGAGGAGGCCTTTTGTTTTTGGTCCCCCGTGCGTAGTTGGAGCGCATATAAATGCTCCCTGCCTCCGTTCCCCGTCTCAGCAATTGCGCATCAATTGAGTGCACCTAAGATGGTCACTGCCTGTAAAACATGGAGTAAAACATGGACCAATGTTTTACTCTGAACTATATTATAAGGAAATATACTAAGAATATTAAGAAAAATTGAAACAGAGAAATGTCAAATTGCCAACATCAACTGCAGACCTGCTATTTATACAAGAACAACACAGAAATGTGTTGGCTTAAATGACAGTAAGGCCAATGCTTTAGGATCGTTGTGAGGAGTGAAGCAAGGCTGCATTCTGCCTTCCACTCATTTCCACTTCTGTATTAATCATTTGCCTGGCGTGCTTTGGTCCATGGGATCACGAAGAGTCTGACACGACTAAACAACAACAAAATTAATCATTTGGTGCCATGTTTAGGCAATACAAACTCCCCGTGTCCAAGAATTAGGAACAGAAAGAACTCAATATTGATGTACGCCGGTGATACAGTATTCCACTCACTTTTCTGATTGGGCCACAAAAATAACTTGGAGGTGTTCAGCACATAGTGTAACAAGAAAGCCTGCCGATAAATTAACAGAAGGCCAAGATTATGATTTTCTGGCCAACAAGAGTATAAATGGTGCTTAGATCAGCCAGCTACAGAACAAACTTGCTCGTTTAGGTACCTGGATATACAGTGGTACCTCAGGTTAAGTACTTAATTCGTTCCGGAGGTCTGTTCTTAACCTGAAACTGTTCTTAACCTGAAGCACCACTTTAGCAAATGGGGCCTCCCGCTGCTGCCACGCCGCCGGAGCACGATTTCTGTTCTCATCCTGAAGCAAAGTTCTTAACCCGAGGTACTATTTCTGGGTTAGCGGAGTCCGTAACCTGAAGCGTCTGTATCCTGAAGCGTATGTAACCCGAAGTACCACTGTACCCTTTATTGAAAGGCAGTGAAAGTCAAAGCACAGAAAACTATTGTGGCACAGAAAACTGAAATGCAGTTGTGGCATGAATATATCTTAAATGTACAGCTCTGGTCTTTTATGGCAAGTGTGCAAGTAATGGGGCTGGATATGTCTTAGCCCCAATTAAGAGTGTTAAGACTGTCAAATTTGTAGTCAAGAGAAAAGGACATTCTGTGGCAGCCCTTCAAGTTCTCTAGGAAGGGAAACTTACAATTTAAGGGTGATCCATTCAAAGTCTCCCGCTTCCCCTCCCAGGAGAGGACGACTTTCCCCGTCGCCCCTTAGTTCCCTCCAGGAGGGACGAGGCTCCATCCTTTTGCGCCTCTTCCTCCTGGCATCCTCCTCCCTCTCGCCCCCCAATTCCGCCCCTTGACCTGGCGACTCCCCCCAGTTACCCGCCTCCAGCGCCTCTGCTAGGACGGACAGACGCAGCCGCGCCCACTTCCACTGGAACAGGAAGCGGAAGCTCCTCCTCTCCCGCCAGCATTCCGTTCCGCTCTAGGAACGGCAGCCCTGTCGCTGCTGTTAACCGTTTCGAAGCCTCTTGGTTGCTCCCACTTGTTCTCTTGGACTCCAAAGCAACAAAAGGGCAAAAATATTGTTTAGAAATAAAACTTCGTATTCCAAAAAACACATCGCCTATTTTTTTTTAATGTGTTGAGGTGTGTATGTGTGTGTTTGCACATCTGAAGGCAATCCTGTTTAGGAAAGTTTTTAATTTTGATGTTTTATCGTGCTTTTAATACCCCAGATGGGCGGGGTATAAATAAAGGATGATGATGATGATGATGATGATGATGATGCACGGCTCCAGCCAGCAGAGGGCAGGTGCGGAGACCGGCAGATCGCCCGGGGAAAATGCACTTTGCACTTTCCTAGGAATCCCACCAAAGCTCCTTCTCTTCCTCCCTCCCTCCCGCCCTTTCTCAACCTCTCTTTCTCTTTTTATGCAAGATCCATGGCGTAGGCATGAAATCTGCAGCCGGCCTTGCAAATACAAATAAACTGTAAGTAAGGAGCCTTCCTCCCCCTTTTCCAACAGGGCCTCGGCGCGTTTTATTTGACATTTCAAGCAATGCTAGATGCGTGGGTGAGACAGAACTGGGGAACTGGGTGGATGCCGCTTCCAAATTTGAAACTCGGCTGCAAACCGAGTTTAGGGAAGCTTTTAATGTTTAATAAGTTACTGTATTTTAGTGTTTTGTTGGCAGCTGCCCAGGGTGGCTGGGGAAACCCAGCCAGATGGGCGGGGTATAAATAATAAATTATTATTATTATTATTATTATTATTATTATTATTATTATTATTACAACAAACCATCAACCAGCCAAGGAAAAAACCTCAATAATCTTGAGTTCAGACCATCAGTTAACCGTTCTCCTCGCTCAGCGTTGCCTGCGCGGACTGGCAGCGGCTATCCGGGATTTCCGTGTGTGTATGTGTGTGTGTGTTTGTGTGTTTGTCTGCCCCACTTTTGCATGCAAAGTGTGTCCCTCTGCCCATGCTCTGTGGTCTCTTCCGTTGCAAACGAAGCGAGATTCCCTCGGGGTTCAAAAGGGCGAGCTGCTTCAGTAGGAGCGAAGGAAGCTGACTTGCGCCCCTTGGCTCAACTAGTATTGGCTGCACTGGCCGGCAGGGGATGTCCAGGGAAAGGAGGCAGCCGCTCATATCCCAAACCCCCATTCAGCCCCAAGGGGAGGTGTGAGGAGTGCAGAGTGCAGAATGCAAAGGAGATCCCATGACAGGAAGGGAGAAGGAGGAAGCGAATGCAGAGCAGGAGAGGGGGCTTTGGGGTGGAAGAAAAATTCCCTATTTAGAGGGATAATTCCTCTTGATACCTTGGCCTTCATTTCCCTATACCATGACCGCCTTCTTCTTCTTCTTCTTCTTCTTCTTGCCCTGTTGTTATTATTATTATTATTATTCCTGGGCAAAGGTTTAAATTTGCTTTTAGAGGTGCTACCTGACTGGTTTTAAGAAAATAGCTTAAAAAACTAAAGCCATCTCCAAGGTCTCTTTCCTCCCCTCCACCTCGCCTTCTGCTGCAGAGACTAACAGGAAAATCTAAAAATAACTTTCTTCTTTGTCGAAAAATATTAAAAAATTGTCCAGTAGCACCTTAGAGACCAACGACCAGCTACGTTTGTTTGTTTGTTGTTGTTGTTGTTTAGTCGTGTCCGACTCTTCGTGACCCCCTGAACCAGAGCACGCCAGGCACTCCTGTCTTCCACTGCCTCCCGCAGTTTGGTCAAACTCATGCTGGTAGCTTCGAGAACACTGTCCAACCATCTCGCCCTCTGTCGTTCCCTGATCTTTCCCAACATCAGGGTCTTTTCCAGGGAGTCTTCACTTCTCATGAGGTGGCCAAAGTATTGGAGCCTCAGCTTCAGGATCTGTCTTTCCAGTGAGCACTCAGGGCTGATTTCCTTAAGAATAGATAGCTTGGATCTTCTTGCAGTCCATGGGACTCTCAAGAGTCTCCTCCAGCACCGTAATTCAAAAGCACCCATTCTTCGGCGATCAGCCTTCTTTATGGTCCAGCTCTCACTTCCATACATCACTACTGGGAAAACCATAGCTTTAACTATACGGACCTTTGTCGGCAAGGTGATGTCTCTCTTTTTAAGTTTGTTAGTTGGTCTCTAAGGTGCTACTGGACAATTTTTTAATTTTTTTCCGACTACGTCAGACCAACACCTACCTGAATCTTTCTTCTTTGTGTGAACAGAACTTTGTTTTAGGAACAGCCAGCTTGTCAGAAGAAGTGCTTCAAAACAAAGAGAGATAGAGGGGGAACAGAAGGCGTCGGTTTTTTGGTAAGAAGGGAGAAAATAAAGATAAGAGAAAGAGTCACATCTAGTGGATATAGGAAACATTATATATGAGAAAAAAATAAAATTTGAAAAAAATGAATGCCAGCAGGCAATGGCTTTAAGTGAAGAATTATGCCCTTATAAATACAAATATCTGGAAATCCCAAAGGGGCTGCAAGGTTGTAGCTCTCAGACACGATATTTTATACCCCCTGAACTAACATATATTCATAAGCTAACCGGTCACATAATTACAACACCATTTCCCACAACAGTCACAACCCACCCATATGATTTCCAACCAACCAGGAATTATTATTACTATTAATTAGATTTGTATACCGCCCTATAACCGCAGGTCTCAGAGCAGAATCCATTAGCTGTTCTTACAAACCCACCCTAACTTCTCATTAAGCTAATGTGCTGTTACCTATTTATTTTTCAGTGTCCTGTTTATTATTTACTATATTCAATTAGATGCATGCCAAAATTGCTTTCATTATCTATGAATAATATAGCGGTCATACTAGTGTCCTAAGCAGTTTTTGTGCAGTGAGGAAAGGGGAGAAAACTGAATTAAGGGAGGCAGCTAAATATCCTTTATCCCTAACACGATCCTTGGTTTCTGGTTCAAACTCCTGATGCAGTGTTGTTGTTTTTTTAAATCCTATGCAGTGGATGTGCAGGAGAGTGAGACTTGTCAGGCGCTGCTTCTTTGGGAAGGAGCAAGTATAACATGAAGAAACAAATATTTAAAAATCAGCAGGAATGAAAAGAGGAGTGGAAGAAATTCTGAGCTGCTTGAGGTGTTGATGCCCATGAATTCCTGCGCCCGCAAGAAGGTTTTTAACTGAACAGAAGGGAAGAGTATCCAGTCTTGGGGAAAATATTGAAATATAAATTAAATAGACACTGCAGAACCCACAGAAGGGAGAACACCATATAAATGAGGAGGAGCTTCAGTTGCAGTCCTGCCCTAAGGATAAGAGATTCCAGACTGGAAGAATGCTTATAAACACATGAATGGTACAAAGAGTTTCAGTTGTAGTAAAAACCATACTTCACATCAAACTGTAGAGTGAGGGAAGAAAGAAGTATCTTTACTTCCTTTTTAAAATCTTGAACTCCTAGGATAGCCACCTTCTTTTCATTTTTCCCATAATAGCCGATTTCTGACAGTCTTCTGCCATTGAGGAAAAACAGGTTGGAAGAGAGATGGCGGGAAAGAAAAGGGGTCGAAAGAGGAATGTGGGAAACCAGAGAAATAAAACCTCTACTTCTCAGAGCACCAACGTCCGCAAACTCCCTGTTCCACAAGACCACAAGAGAAGAAGGGAAAAGTGCCCAGACTGTGGGAAGACATTCACATCTATATCAAATTTAAACAGACACTGCAAAATCCACACAAGGGGGGAGATCTATAAATGCGAAGAGTGTGGAAAGAGCTTCAGTGAAAGGCAAGACCTTACTTCACATCAGAGAACTCACAGAGTTGAGAAGCGATATGAATGTGTGGAGTGTGGAAAGAGCTTCAGTTGTATCAAAATCCTCACTATACATCAAAGAACTCACACAGGGGAGAAGCCATATCACTGTGTGGAGTGTGGAAAGAGATTCAGTCAAACAGGAGCCCTTACCATCCATCAAAGAATCCACACAGGGGAGAAGCCATATGATTGTATAGAATGTGGGAAGAGCTTCAGAGATGCTGGAAAACTTGCGATGCACCTAAGAATCCACACAGGGCTGAAGCCATATGAATGTATGGAGTGTGGAAAACGCTTCGCTCAGAGAGGAGCCCTTAACGTACATCAAAGAACCCACACAGGTGAGAAACCATATGAATGCCTGGTGTGTGGAAAGTGCTTCTGTCAGAAAGGAGCCCTTACTGTCCATGAAAGAAGCCACACTGGGGAGAAACCATATGAATGCATGGAGTGTGGGAAAAGCTTCAGTCAACAGGCACACCTCATTTTACATCAGAGAACACACAAGGGGGAGAAACCATATAAATGTAAGGAATGTGGAAAGAGCTTCTCTTGTACTTCAGTACTCAACAAACATCAAACAATCCACACAGCATCGAGGCCCTTTGAATGTGTGGAGTGTGGAAAGAAGTTCAGAAACAGGAGCTATCTAACTAGACATTTAAAAATACACATAGGGCTAAAACCATATAAATGTTTGGAATGTGGAAAGAATTTCGGCCATAGCGGAAGCCTTGTTCTCCATCAAAGAATCCATACAGGGGAGAAACCATATAAATGTATGGAGTGTGGGAAGAACTTCCGTTGCAGTGGAAGCCTTAGTTCCCATCAAATCAGTCATACAGGGAAGAAGCTGTATGGGTGTGTAGAATGCGGAAGGAGGTTCAAATATAGCTCAAATCTTTTCCAGCATAAAATGGCTCATGCAGGTTTGAAGCCATATGAATGCGATAAGTGTGGGAAAAGCTTCAGCCAGAGACAACTCCTTACTGTACATCAAAGAAGCCACACAGGGGAGAAACCTTTTGAATGCACGCAGTGTGGAAAGAGCTTCAGTAAGAAACACTATCTTATTATACATCTAAGAATCCACACAGGGGAGAAACCATATAAATGTGTTGAGTGTGGAAAGAGCTTTACCGTTGGCAGCTCTCTTTCTCTTCATGAAAGAACCCACACAGGGGAGAAGCCATATAAATGTGAGGAGTGTGGAAAGAGCTTCACTATAAAAGGAAACCTAACTACGCACGAAAGAATCCACACAGGCGTGAAACCATTTAAATGTGTGGAATGTGGAAGGTGCTTCAGTTGCAGTGGAAGCCTTAAGAAGCATCAAAGAATCCACACAGGAGTGAAGCCATATAAATGTGAGGAGTGTGGAAAGAGCTTCAGCCAAACAGGAAGTCTTACTACCCATCAAAGAACCCATGCAGGGGCGATGCCATATGAATGCAAGGAGTGTGGAAAGAGCTTTTGTCTTAAATCACTTCTTGCTCAACATCAAAGAACCCACACAGGGGAAAAGCCATTTAAATGTGAGGAGTGTGGAAAGAGCTTCACTATAAAAGGAAACCTAACTGCACACAAAAGAATCCACACAGGCGTGAAACCATTTAAATGTGTGGAATGTGGAAGGTGCTTCGGTTGCAGCGGAAGCCTTAAGAAGCATCAAAGAATCCACACGGGAGTGAAGCCATATAAATGTGAGGAGTGTGGAAAGAGCTTCAGCCAAACAGGAGGTCTTACTAAGCATCAAAGAACCCATACAGGGGCGAAGCCGTATGAATGCAAGGAGTGTGGAAAGAGCTTTCGTCTTAAATCAAAACTTTCTCAACATCAAAGAAGCCACTAAGGGGAGAAACTATTTACACACGTGTGATTAAATCCTTTTCTTAATAAGGCCTCTTTTTTAAAAAAAATGTCTTTTTATTGAAGCTTTAAAGAAGAGATACAAAGATTAGTATCAAATACAAAATATCTTTTTAAAATACAAAAAGGCAAAAGAGGAAAAGAAAGAAAGAAGAAGGGATGGATTCCAATTCCTTCTTTGTCAGCTATATATAAACAATTATTGAAAATTTTCACTCCAAAATTATACTTTCCATAAACCTGTATATTGTTCAATCTCCAAACCTAGATATCACAAGTTCATTCCTCCCACCCACAAAAAGCCCATAAGCGGTTTCCAATAATTATTAAATAAGAATGATTTTTCTGTGATTAAGCACGTCAGCTTTGCTATCTCAGCCAAGTCCAGTAATTTCCACAACACTTCCTCCATAGCAGGTAATGTTAAATCTTTCCATCTTTCTGCATAATAAAAGTCTTGCTGCTATAATCATGTTGTCAAATAATCGTCCACAATCATTTTCTAATTGCATATCCATTAGTCCTGGAAAGGAGGTCTTGCTTCAATTGAACATTAACTTCTAAAATCTTCTGCATCAATTGATATATTTGTGGTTCTTAGCATTTTTACATTTTGTTAGGAGGGGGAACTAGGAGACCAAGTCTTACAGCGACGTTGTGATACTAGGCTGAAAATGGTCAATACAGATATAATTGTGCTGAAAGAGATTCCCCTGAAGATTCCCCATAAGAGAAAAGACTAATTATTTTTTACAGGTAAACTGAAACAGAAAAGAATCCAGCTTAGATGGGACATACCAGAGGGAGTAATTATTTCTTTTGAAGAACAAAGGTTTACGGACAAATTTAAATCTGAAATTGAATAAACACAAATACAAGATGGGGCCAGGAAATCACAGCAATCACAACAGAAAGTGGAGATTTGAAGATACGAAATTGGGTGATAAAGGAATGGACTTGCTTAGCTAGGGATATTTCATAATTTGAAGGGGGGAAATTGCATGTAGAATTGTTTACAAGGAACACAGGGGAAAGGGTATAAACTATTTGAATAAAAAAGAATCTAGGTGAGGACTAACAGGACTGAAGAAAAGAAAGTGAGTTGTTTTATATATACATTCTCAACTCTGTTGATACTTTCTAGTGAACAAGGTATGTATGTTGGACAAACTTTGGTTGTAGACCTCCATACCCCAAATGAAGAAAAAACAGCATTTTATAAATATACTTTGGTTATCTAAAGCACTGGCTACTGGGGTTGATAAAGTTGACATATTACCATAGATTTCTTCAGATCACAATCCAGTTATAGTGACTTTTAAAAAGAAAAAATGGTTTCTTTAGATGGTGACTCATTGAAATGTAGCTGCAACAGGAAAAGGTTGTGCAGGACTGCAAACAGAAGCTAAAATAATTCTTTGAGAATAATTCAGGTAAGGACATAGGGATACAAATGGTTGGGGATGCAAGCAAACCTTTTGTACAAATAATTCTGCCTGAGATTAGACAAGAGGGGAAATAGCTGGAATGTTCTCCAACTTAAACAAATATTACTTGGCAAATTAAGATGCTGCAAAGACAGTTTTCTATGCTTGCAATGTCTATCTTGCAGAAATGATATTGAATTGAGCCGTACATATTTTTTTATTTGCTAATAAACTGGGCAATGTTCGGTGTATAAGCTGCGGAAGGAGAGAGGAAAGCTATATTAAAATTGCAAGAAGGAAATGCCGTAATAACAGATAAGACAAATATGAAAAAAGCATTCCATCAATATTATTCTAAGTTGCATAAAGGTCGGTTTCTTTTTTTGAAAAAAGAAGAAGATGAATACTTACAGAGACAGCATTTACCAAAGATTTCAATTTCTCGAAGACACATTTTGAATGGTCATATAGCTATTCTGGAATTATCTGAGGCCATCAAGAAGGAAAAGCGCCAGATCAGCTATTGGCTTATTATAAATGTTTTGAAGATGAGCTTTCACAACCTTTGCAACGGACTATGAACAATATTTTACAGAGTGGTAAGGTACCAGATAGTTGGAGAGAGGCCAACATTACACTTATACCTAAAGAGGCTAATTTTTGTTGTTTAGTCGTGTCCGACTCTTTGTGACCCCATGGACCAGAGCATGCCAGGCACTTCTGTCTTCCACTGCCTCCTGCAGTTTGGTCACACTCATGCTGGTAGGTTTGGGAACACTGTCCAACCATCTCATCCTCTGTCCCCTTCTCTTTGTGCCCTCCATCTTTCCCAACATCAAGGTCTCTTTTATATGCCTGTTTTTGTCCATGGAGTTTTCTTGGCAGGGATACTGGAGTGGCTTGCCGGTTCCTGCTCCAGGTGGATCACGTTTAGTCCCAATGCCCCACTATGACCTGTCCGTCTTGGGTGGCCCTGCACGGCATAGCTCATAGCTTCTCTTGAGTTATTCAAGCCCCTTCACCACGACAAGGCAGTGATCCATGAAGGAGAAGAGGCTCATTAAATGGATAAAATTGATTTATACATCACAGACAGCTCAGATAATTGTTAATGGAGAATTGACAAAACCCTGCGAGATACAAAAGGGGACTAGACAAGGCTGGCTGTTTTCCCTGTTCCTTTTCATTTTGGTCTTGGAAGTTTTGCTTAGACACATTAGGCAAGATGAGAAAATGATAGAGATAAAGATTTAAAATGGAACTTTTAAGCTCCAGACCTTTGCTGATGCTTGTTATGCAGCGACAGACTGGCTTCAATATCACCAATTAAAAGTAAATGTTCAAATTAGCTAGGCAAAATAGTTTTATGAACGGGAGTTCACAATTTGAAAGGGATCTGATAGAAAAGGTGGATATATTTTCTTTGGTATAGACCAAAGACAGACGATGAGCATGTTGTTGCAAAAATGTATCAGCATTTGTTGAAATCTGAAATTCAAGAAGTAGTTAACTAAGGCATGCGTGGTTAAATGGGCAAAAAATGGTTATAACATACAGATGGAACAGTGGCAACATCTGGACCAAAGGGCCAAAATTTACATTGTATTCTGATCTTAAAAGAGAAATTTTATAAAATGAGGTTCTGTTGGTATTTAAAACCTGTGAGATCATTTGGAAGGTAAAAAGGAGTTCCAAAAGTTTGTTGGAAGTTTGAAAAATAAGAAGGGACATTTTGCTGTGCATGGTGGACATGCAAAAAAGCTTAATAAGACTACTTTGAGACAATTTGGTGACCCTGCGGGGCCGTTGTGTTGAAGTCAGCAACAGAGGGGGGTTGGAGAGGCTGTCCTGGGCTTCCCTCCTTCATCACAGAAGTGACCTCAAACAGAGAGTAGCCAGACATTGTTATGCTGCAGGGGACCCAGAAGCAGAAGTCTTTTCGAGACAAAATTCTTGGGAGGAGGGTGGCTGGGGGTGCAGGTTTGCATAGGGGGCTCAAAACCTTGTGGAGTTGCCATGCTTATAATTAAGAAATGTTCACTTGTTATTAATAAAATTTTGATAGATCCTAAAGGGAAGTATTCAGTGCTTTTTTTCTAGGGGGACGCAGGGGTAGGCATGCTCCTAAACATTTTGTGAATCTAAGTTTGGCCTTATTGAGGGGCAGTATTTCAATATGAGAGGGACACGGGTGGCGCTGTGGGTTAAACCACAGAGCCTAGGACTTGCCGATCAGAAGGTTGGCGGTTCGAATCCCCACGACGGGGTGAGCTCCTGTTGCTCGGTCCCAGCTGCTGCCAACCTAGCAGTTAGAAAGCACGTCAAAGTGCAAATAGATAAATAGGTACCGCTCCAGCGGGAAGGTAAATGGCGTTTCTGTGCGCTGCTCTGGTTCGCCAGAAGCGGCTTAGTCATGCTGCCACATGACCCGGAAGCTGTACGCCAGCTCCCTTGGCCAGTAAAGTGAGATGAACGCTGCAACCCCAGAGTCGGCCACGACTGGACCCTAATGGTCAGGGGTCCCTTTACCTTTACCTATTTCACTATGAGTAGGAAAATGAGAGTGCCCCTAAACATTTTTTAGGGGGAAAAAGCAGTGGAAGTATGTGCGTGTAAATGGAACACCGTTGATTGAACATCTTGCCTTTTGCTCAGTTTACTCCTGGATCTCTGAGCAGATCAATTTTTTAAAAAGCATTCTGCAAGTGTTACAATCCTTTCCGACCAGTACTATTATCTTAGGAGGTGACTTCAATGTTTGTTGCAATCGGGCCATGGGCAGCAGTGGCTGCTGTTCCTGAATCATCCAGCAAGAGCAATCTGAATGACCTCCTTCTGTCTTTGACCTCCTGGACATGTGCTGAGTGCTACACCCCACAAAAGACTTTCCACACACCCCCAAATGTTCATAATTCTTACTCTTGTATCGACCATTATCTTTACGTAAAGCACTATGGGAGAGAGGGCAAGATGAGGAACTAGACCTCATCATTTTATCTGAGCATGCTCCAATCCTTTTTTCTCTGTCAATTAAATATTTCAGGGGACGCAGGTGGTGCTGTGGTCAAACCCACTGAGCCTCTTGGGCTTGTCGATTAGAAGGTTGGCGGTTCGAATCCCCACGACGGAGTGAGCTCCCGTTGTTCTGTCCCAGCTCCTGCCAATCTAGCAGTTTGAAAGCACACCAGTGCAGGGAGATAAATAGGTAAATAGGAAGGTAAATGGTGTTTCCGTGCACTCTGGCTTCTGTCACGGAGTCCCATTGCACCAGAAGAGATTTAGTCATGCTGGCCACATAACCCAGAAAGTTATCTGTGGACAAACGCTGGCTCCCTCAGCCTGAAAGTGAGTTGAGGGCCACAACCCCATAGTTGCTTTTGACTGGACTCAGCCGTCTAGGGGTCCTTTACCTTACCTTTTTACCCATTTCACTAGAAGTATTTGCCTGCCTAGAAGGAGTTTTCTTATACAACTGCTTAAGTCCAAGGTTTTGAAAAAAACATTTATGCACTTAATTAAACACTTCTATTTGAGCTCATCAGAAATACTTCGTGTCAATGGCCATAATTTCACATTTAAAAAGAAAAACCAAAAAGCTACACCTCTTTTGTGCAGGAATGCTCCTGCACCAAACAGCTGTATTAAAAATAAATTTTAAAAATTGCTGTTGCAGGGAGAGGGGAAGCAGAAGTGTTTTAATAATAATTTATAATAAGAACTTATTTTTTTCTTTTTCTATTATTTTTATGCGAGTGTCTCAAAATCCTTGCCTGGCTTGAAACTACACACATATTTGTTCAAATTTTTGACTTCCCTTTTGGGCAAATCTAGCACATCACAAAGCATGTATTTCAAAAAATAATTTTCTAAAAATTTGCGTGTGTGCAGTGAAACAAATCCCCACAACGGACCTAGGTTTCCTGGCTTACAGCAGCCCTGACACCTTCGTTTTTGCTCCTCCGTGCAAACCTGATATACAGGTAACCAGAAGTGCAATCCAGTAAGATGAATGGTCCGGACTGAACCAAAGCTCCAACCCCCCGGGCAGCAGAATCCCAGACTCCCTGCTGCCTAGAGATTGCGATTGTTTCACTGATGATTTGTTAAATTATTCTATATAATCGATGCTGCATTTGGGATGTTCTACTATGTTCTATCTTGTTGTTGTTATTTAATGCTTGTAAGCAGCTTTGGGATAAGTCTGAATTGGAAAGTGGCACAGAAATATAATCCAATCCAATGAATGAAATCCACCCCAAGAGAGCTTTGAGTGGAAGGCGGAGGGAAGCAGGAGCCAAACTTTCCGCAAAGGGAGAATCCTCCCGGAAGCGAGAGCGCGGCGCCACCTGCAGGCCGGGAGCCGCCACGACAAGCCAGAAGGTAATAATGGCAACATACCGCTCTTCTTTCCCCTCCCCTCCCAATCAGCGCGGAGCAGCAGGGCGTTCTAAGTCCTCCCTTCGCGGTGGCTGCTGGGAGACGTAGTTTCCTCCGGCCACTAGGACGGTGAGTTTCCGTGGCAGCCGCGCTCGGCGGCACTGGCTTTCCCGTCATGCCTTGGGGCGAGAGCGAGAGAGGCGCGGAGGGCGGCGGCGGAGAAGGACGGCGGCCGAGCGGCGCTTGAGGTGGGCGCAACGGGGAGGGGGGGGCTGAGGTTTCTGGAGGCCGCAAAGGGGGCCTCGGGGGCCGCCCGGGCGATGATGATGGAGGTGGGGGGAGGGAGGGAAGAAGGAAAACCCCGTCGCTGAATCAGACCAGTGGTCCACCTAGCTCAGTATTGCCTGCACGGGCTGGCAGCAGCTCCCCCTGATGGCGCGCCCAGGGCTCTTCCCGGCCCAACTGGGGATGGAGCCCGGGACCTTCTGCATGCCGAGCAGGTGCTCTGCCCGTGAGCCTCCTCCCTTCCCCCGAAGCGTAGGAATCCGCCTCCCACGGAATCTTCCAAAGGAGGCGACTGGAATCGCGCGAGGATGGGGATATGGAAGTTTCCACAAAGCTCCCTATGCCCCAGCCCATTGGTCAGAGCAACGGTGCTGTCCACACGGACTGGCAGCAGCCCTCCCCGATGGCAGGCACAGGGTCTTCTTCCCCAGCAAAACCTGGAGGTGAGCCCTTCTGCTTGCAAAGCAGGTGCTCTGCCACGGAGCCACTGCCCATCCCAAGATGCCCAGATGTCCTGGTTTATCTGGTTAAATAAATACAGTGGTACCTCGGGTTACAGACGCTTCAGGTTACAGACTCCGCAAACCCAGAAATAGTACCTCGGGTTAAGAACTTTTCTTCAGGATGTTGTAAATAAAAATATGCCCTTCTTCCGTTATGGGGTATCCAAGAGCCCATATAGAGTCCTTACATAGGTTCCCTATTGGTAGGAGAGAATAACAGAGGCCAACCAGAGAATATTGAGAAGCAAAGCAGCTAGTAAGCTTGATCTTTATTGATCTGTTGCAACAGGGTGCTCCCCTCACTCACAGGAAAGGAGGAGGACCCACAAAAATGCTGTGCAAGGGCTTATGAAGACTTTTGAAATTCCCCTCCTGTAGATCAAGACCACCCCCAGAAACATTATACATACATCACAGAAGGGGTGTAACCTAAGACCACCCCTCAGATACATCCCAGAAAAGGCGGTCTAAAACAGAACATTTGCATGTTGTTTTTCTCCTGTCGCAGTTTATCTCCTGTCTGGCAAGTTACTTGATTGGATTGCCTGGGGAGCCTGGCCATTCTTTTGTAGTGGTAAAATACTTATTTTCTGGGCCAGGTCACAGGCTCACACCCTATTCATATCTTAAATGTGTCCTTAAGACAGGATTTGTGAGGAAAGAGACAATGGGGAGATTTTCCCGTTTGACCTTGCAGAGAAAACATTTGGTCAGTTTAGAAATCAAAATGGTTCCAGGTTGGCCTTCCTGTGTTGATCTATGTACGTGCGGTTATGAACATTGCCATATATCTAAGACCATAAAATTCCTATTACACAGGATGAGAACAGAAATCGTGCAGCGGCAGCAGGAGGCCCCGTTCAGGTTAAGAACGGACCTCCAGAACGAATTAAGTTCTTAACCCGAGGTACCACTGTAAAAGGGGAGAGGCCTGGGTGAAGATGGTACTCAGCTGCCGTAGGAGTGGACTTTAAAGAAAACCAGAGTGTTTTCATTGTGGTGGCTTTTTTTCTGCCCCTTTTTACCGCTCTACAGTATCCTTCCTGGGATGCAGCAGTCTGTGAGAGGAAGGCTCCTCCTTTTCCAGCTTTCAAGCTCCCGTGATCTTTGCGAAGGTGGCTGTGCACTTTTCCACAGAGGAGGAGTGAGCTTTGCTTTATCCAGGCCAGAGGGCCCTGCACAGGGAAGTTATGGAGGAGAATTATGGAAATCTGGATTCTGTGGGTAAGGTTCCTTCGTTTTCTTGGCTGAGTTACTGAAAGCAGGGAGTATTGGTGGTTTGTTTTTTAATTATCTATATGAAGAATCTCCTGCAGCCATGCCAGATCCTTTCTGTCTCAGGATTCAGAAAACCATGGGGTAGGGGGAAAAGGATAATTTATTGTCCATTACGTTCCAGACCACCCTGGCCTTCCTGTGTAACAAAGGACCAGAGTGGTCCAAAATGGATTGAACGATAAATTGTTCCTCTATGCTTTCTTTAAAACCCTTTCCCCAGTTGTTTAGGGTTCCCTGTTTTATTTGCACTACAGTCGCTCCCTACCCCCTCTGCCTGTCCGAAGGATTGTCAGAAGCCCAGAATTTCTCTTGCTTTCAGAGACTGTCTGTCACCTTTGATCCCATCTTGTTTGTAAGTTTTGCTTCCTCCAGGAAGTGCTTCTTCTTACACTCCCCCTGTCTTCCTTTAACATAGGTTCCCTACTTAATAAATCCCTTCATTCAGCCTGTTCTTGAAGGTTTCCTGTACCCCAGACCTCCCTCCCTTACCAACCCCTTCTAATTCTGTTTTCCTTCCACTCTGGGGTAAAACCAGTGTGTTGTAGTGGTTGGAGTGTCTGGCTAGAACAGGCATAGGCAACCTCAGCCCACCAGATGTTTTGGGACTACAGTTCCCATTATCCCTGACCGCTAGTCCTGTTAGCTAGGGATCATGGGAGTTGTAGTTCCAAAACATCTGGCAGGCGAGGTTGCCTGTGCCTGGACTAGAACCCAGGAGACCAAGGTTCAAATCACCACTTGGCCAGGAAACTCACTAGAATGAGTTTCTTGGGACTGGCTCTCATCACAGGGTTGTTGGGGTTGATTGAGGTTGGGAAGAACCGAGTATGGCACCTGGAACTCCTTGGAGAAAAACGTGAAGACAAATGCAATAAATAAAGTATAGCTTCCACCAGACTTCCCCTCTGCCATTCTCTGTCTCACACTGTTCTCTCTTCTCCCTCTCCCTCTTCACTCCTTCACGCTCTGTATTTTTCTCTTGCTGATCATCTACATTTCACCCTCTGTTTCTAGCTCCCCTCTACTTGTTTTCTCTTAGTTGTGACACCCTTGGAAAGTGGAGCCAGCTGCTATTTTATTTTCCTGCTGTGATTATTTCTTAGTTATGACTGTACAGTGGTATCTCGGGTTAAATACTTAATTTGTTCTGGAGGTCTGTTCTTAACCTGAAGCTGTTCTTAACCTGAAGCACCACTTTAGCTAATGGGGCCTCCTGCTGCCGCTGCGCCGCCAGAGCCCGATTTCTGTTCTTATCCTGAGGCAAAGTTCTTAACCTGAAGCACTATTTCTGGGTTAGGGGAGTGTGTAACCTGAAGCGTATGTAACCCGAGGTACCACTGTATTGCCAAGGAGAACTTCTCTTCCTGTCAGGTAATCAATCTTGCTTGCAGCTGCAGAGCCAGACCTGAGACCCAATGCTGTTTTAATACAGGCAATTCTTGTTTTCCATGGGGATTACATTCTAGGTCTCCGTACACACTGGCGTAAAGTGTTCTGCCCCACCCCCGTTCTGCTGTTTTAAGGTCACTTCCTGGTTTGGGATGTGCACAATTGTGTGTAAATCGGTCGTTACCTGTACATTGCAGGATCTGCCTCCCCACTGTCTTTCCCATTCTGTCATTCACACAGTAAATGGTTGGGATTGTTCCCTAATTTGGGAAGCTGTTCCTCCCTGATCAGGCTTCCCTTTGTATTCCTGCAGGTGATGGGCGGGAAAGCAACAAAAAGGATGAGCAGCAGAGAATGAAAACTGAAGCAGAAGAGAATTTGAGGGAGAAAGATGTTGTTCCAGAAGGCACTGGCTTCAGTGAAATTGTGATGCCGGAAGAATGTCACACAGGAAAGAAACAGGCAAAAATCTCCCGAAGTACAAGAGTCCTAACTAGGATATCAAGCCTTAGAAATCTTAGAAGATTGCATGAAGGGGAGAAACCATTTAAATGTTCAGAATGTGGAAGGAGCTTCAACTACAGGAAACATCTCATTGTGCATGAGAGAATCCACACAGGTGAGAAACCATATAAATGTTCCGAGTGTGGAAAGAGCTTCACTCAGAGCAGTACCCTTTTTAATCATCGAAGGATCCATACAGGAGAGAAACCGTTTGAATGCTCAGAGTGTGGAAAGAGCTTCACGAGCAGCAGCAGTCTTTCATATCATCAACGAGTCCACACTGAAGAGAAACCTTACAAATGTTTTCATTGCGAAAAGAACTTCAGCCAGAGGAGTGAGCTTCATTCTCATCAGAGAATCCACACAGGAGAGAAACCTTATAAATGCTCAGAGTGTGGGAAGAGTTTTACTCACAGCAGTAGCCTTTCTTATCATCAAAGGGCTCATAAAGGAGAAAAACCATATAAATGTTCCGAGTGTGGGAAGAGTTTCTGTCAGAGCAGTGGCCTCATCTCTCATCAAAGAATCCACACAGAAGAAAAACCATACAAATGCTCAGTGTGTGGAAAGAACTTCACTCATAACAATAGCCTTTGTAAACATAAAAGAATCCATACAGGAGAGAAACCGTATACATGCTCAGAGTGTGGAAAGAGCTTCACTAATAGTAGTAGCCTTTCTTATCATGAAAGAACCCACACAGGAGAGAAGCCGTATAAATGTTTTCATTGTGGAAAGTGCTTCAGCCAGAGCAATCACCTTCTTTCTCATCAAAGAATCCATACAAGAGAAAAACTGTATAAATGCTCAGAGTGTGGAAAGAGCTTTACTCATAGCAGTAGCCTTTCTTACCATCAAAAAATCCATACAGGAGACAAACCGTTTAAATGTTCTGAGTGTGGAAAGAGTTTTTTTCAGAGCTATGGCCTTCTTTATCATCAAAGAATCCACACTGGAGGAAAACCCTATAAATGCCTAGTGTGTGGCAAAAACTTCAGTCATAGCAGTAGTCTTTCTAGTCATCAGAGACTCCACACAGGAGAGAAACCATATAAATGTTCAGAGTGTGGAAAGAGCTTCACTAATACCAGCAGCCTTTCTTACCATCAAAAAATTCATATAGGAGAGAAACCATTTAGATGTTGTGAGTGTGGAAAGAGTTTTTTTCAGAGCTATGACCTGCTTAATCATCAAAGAATCCACACTGGAGTGAAACCATATATATGCTCAGTGTGTGGCAAGAACTTCACTCATAGCAGTAGCCTGTCTAATCATCAGAGACTCCATACAGGCGAGAAACCATTTAAATGTTCAGAATGTGGGAAAAGCTTTAGTCACAACAGTAACCTTACTTACCATCAAAATACCCATTCAAGTGAAAAAATCTTTAAATGCTCAGAGTGTGGAAAGAGCTTCAGTTGTAGCCAAACCTTAGCAATACACTGCAGACTACATACAGGAGAGAAAGCATTTACATGTTCAGAGTGTGGAAAGAGCTTCAACCAGAAGACTCACCTCACTAACCATCAAAGGACCCATACGGGAGAGAAGCCATATAAATGCTTAGACTGTGGGAAGAGCTTCAGCCGAAGCAATACCCTCTCTAATCATCAGAGGCTCCATACGGGAGAGAAACCATATAAATGCTCGGAGTGTGGGAAGAACTTCGCTCAGAGCAGTGGCCTTTCTTCCCATCAAAGAATCCACGCAGGAAAGAAATCGCATAAATGCTTAGAGTGTGGGAAGAGCTTCACTAATAGTGTTAGCCTTTCTTATCATCAAAGAATCCACACGGAAGAGAAATCATATACATCAGGGGTGGAGATCCTTTTAGGCTCTGGGAGCCAGATCATTATCTGGCCCCACCAAGAGGGCCAAATGGGACAGGTGGGTGGAACAAACCACCTGTCAATCGCATGATGTTATAGTGACGTCGCATGGCTGGCAGGTGGCTTGCTGCACTCGTTTTATAGAAGAATGTTGGAAATAGGTCTCTGGTGAATATACCCTGTTGATTTGGGGTGGCTGCATTTGTTGCATCACCTGTGTCAGTCAATGAAGCGGTGCCAGAACATCTGCCACCTGCGCCTGTTTCATGCAAATGATTCTGCACTCCCCTACAGATTATAATTGCTGAAATCGCCAGTTTGCTACTGCAAAAGGTCAGTGGTGTGTCTGTTTTTACATATATTTGAGCTCAAAGAGTCACTAACTCTAATTTTTGAACCTCATTGCCATTCAACTACCACCTTACTGTTTTCTCCTTTGACTATTAGTCATCTAAGATTTAGTCCACAAAAGATGACCATGCCACAATCAACCTGTTAGCTTTTACATGGCCTCAAGGCTCAATATTTTTCTTGTTCTTTAAAAAAAATAGATAAATGTGGACTCCAAGTGCACACTGCATTTCGCTGTAGCAAAAGAGGGGAGGAGGACTGCGTTGTTTCTCTTGTGGTGGTGTGTAAAGATGTATAGGTTTTGCTACCTGTTACATGCACTCATAGTGATGTGAAAAATGAAAAAGTAAAACAGAAATGTTACTAGTTCTTTGACAGAAAGTACTTAAGTGATGTTTTGCTGTCTTTGCCCAGGATTTCCTTCTGTAGAATATTTCACAGGAACGGTTTCCCACATATCCTGCTCCAAACATACCGGTAGTTATTCTCCAGGGTTTCAGGCAGGAGACATTGCCAGCCCTACCTGGAATGGGGTTGCAGAGAAATCAGTTTCTCTCCTATAGCCCCTCAAAAGGACTCTGCCTTACACAATATCAGACCGCTGATCTAGCTCCATATTGACTACACTGGCTGGCAGCAGCACTCCAAGGTTTTTACACAGAGGTCCTGTGCTCAGGGACTGCTGTGGCCAGGATTCCTGCATTGCTAGAATGGTGCATGCTCTAGTTATCTCCCGCTTGGACTACTGCAATGCACTCTACGTGGGGCTACCTTTGAAGGTGACCCAGAAACTGCAACTAATCCAGAATGCGGCAGCTAGACTGGTGACTGGGAGTGGCTGCTGAGACCACATAACACCGATTCTGAAACACCTACACTGGCTCCCAGTACATTTCTGAGCACAATTCAAAGTGTCGGTGCTGACCTTTAAAGCCCTAAACGGCCTCGGTCCTGTATACCTGAAGGAGTGTCTCCACCCCCATCGTTCAGCCCAGACTCTGAGTTCCAGTTCTGAGGGCCTTCTGCTGGTTCCCTTCCTGCAAGAAGTGAGGATACAGGGAACCAGACAGGAATGCCCTCCCATCAGATGTCAAGGAAATAAACAACTATCTGACTTTTAGAAGACATCTGAAGGCAGCCCTGTTTAGGGAAGTTTTTAATGTTTGATGTTTGGTCGTGTTTTTAATATTCTGTTGGGAGCCGCCCAAAGTGGCTGGGGAACCCAACCAGATAGGCTGGGTATAAGTAATTATTATTATTATTATTATTATTATTATTAGACTAGATGACTGTTTGGGTCCCTTCCAACTCTACAATTCTGTAATTCTACCATGAGCCTTCCGCATGTGCTCTGCCACTGAGCATCCTCAGAGCTCTCTCAGCCGGAGCCATAACTAAAAAAAGGTAAAGGACCTCTGACAGTTAAGTCCAGTTGCGAACGATTCTGGGGTTGTGGCACTCATCTCGCTTTACATGCCGAGGGAGCCGGCGTACAGCTTCCGGGCCATGTGGCCAGCATGACTAAGCTGCTTCTGGCGAACCAGAGCAGCGCACGGAAACGCTGTTTATCTTCCCGTCGGAGTGGTACCTATTTATCTACTTGCACTTTGTGCTTTCGAACTGCTAGGTTGGCAGGAGCAGGGACCAAGCAATGGGAGCTCACCCCGTCGTGGGGATTCGAACCGCCAACCTTCTGATCGGCAAGCCCTAGGCTCTGTGGTTTACACCACAGTGTCACCTGCATCCCTAAGTAAAGAAAACATGAAAGTTGGTGTTGCTAACACAGAACAATAGAGTTGGATATCTTCCAGCATAGAGACGTCAAGGTCCAGGGCTGAAGCAATTCATGTTGTTACTACCTCTTGCCCAGAGACAGCAGTTTGTTCTTTTTTTTGTTGCATTATTATTCTTGGAAGTACACCCAGGAATTCTTCTGTGTATGACTTCAGGGGTTCATTCCCTGACTGACAAGATCATAGAACTGTAGAGCTGTAAGGGACCCTGAGAATCATCCAGTCCAACCCCATGCAATAGAGGGCCTGACCTAACAAAGACAAACCTCTTCACGTGTTTCTCCTCAAGCTATATGTACTGTTTTGGTCAAATTTTACCTCAGTAAAGGCTCCTTTCTCTCTGGACTCATGCTTGCTTTATTCCGGTCACTCTGCTAGGACAGCATTAAGATAAATTCAACAGTGTAAACAAGTTTTGATGGATGCAATAATGGAACACTGAATGGTTTAGTTTTTGTAAAATATGCAGGGATTTAGGATATGCAAAATGAACCAGGGAAAGAGAAGAAGGGAAGTCATTGATACCTTTTTTTTTTAAGTAAAATTAAAATTTGGTTCCCCCCCCCAATAATTTTTATTAAGTTTATACAAATATCATACATACTATAAAACAAATAAGACAAAAATAAAATAAAATAGCCAATAGAACTGCTAAAACAAATTAAAACAGAAAATATAACAACAAACACTTAATCAACACAAATTAATTATTTAATTAAACTCCAATCCCATAAACATATTATTTGACTTCCCCTAATCCCTCCCATCTGAATTTCCTTGTATCTGAATGTAGCAGTTTCCAATATCATCATTTTTTAAAAAAGAATATACCATTTATAATGAGATTTCTTAACTTTTCTTAACAATCTAAATCTCATTTATTTAACTATCTCTAAATTTGGTCCTAGGCCTGATTAGTACTTTCAAGTAACTTCTAAATTTTTAATATTACAATATTTATTCAGACAGTCATTGATATCTTAAGGGTGTGTGTGTGTGAATGTTAACATGCTAGGGCACCAGGGTCACCCTGAAAAGATAATCCAGTGAATATCTCCGTTGGCAGCATGATTTGTTTATAAACACCCTCTCCCCCAAAATTGGTTTAGCAGCCTCTGCCTTCCTGCTTTGTGTTAACCTGCTGCAACAGGGCAGGTTTGACCTAAGTGGGCTTCAGGGATGTGATGGACTCTCTTAGCCCTGTGCTGTAACACTATTAATTGGTTGCGGCTAATTCTTGGCTTCTGGTTCTAGGCTGACTTTGCCTTCCTGACAGCTATGTCCAACTAACATATTGCAAAGCTAGGGAGCTGTTTTCAGGGCAGAGGGGTCGTGTTCCCCAATGGGAAGTCCCACAGCAGGATCCAAGTGCGACGACAACTCTCCTACAGTTTCCAACACATGGTATTCAGAAGCACAGGGCCTTGAAACATATGCAGGTAGAACATAGTGGTTCCTGCCCGCAGGCTTACGATTGTTCTGGCACAAAAGGAAAATGGAATCCGGGGGGAAGAGGAAAAAGACAAACTCATGCGCCAGCCAAATAAGGCCAGAACTCCTTATTTGGATTTCACATTTCTTTAAGTGCATCATACTGTTTTGGCAGCTGCAATATTTTTATGTGTTTTCACATCTCCATGCATTTCACTGTAAAAACACACAACGATGAAATTTAAAGTTCCATATGTAAATTTATGCAAGGTTCTCCACTTAGGCAGGTAGAGCCAGCTGCACAAATATAAGGTGATGGACATTTGACTTGCCAGTAGTGTATGTGGAAAGGATCTATGGATCTTGGTGGACCACAAGCTTAACACAACCCACAGACAATGGCAGCAGCTGGGGAGGCATCACCATCAGCCCCTCAGCCCTCACAATGGTGGCAAAGCTCAGCAGCCAACCCCCCCCCCCCAAGTTGTGCCAATATCTGTGAAGGCCACACTGGAAACCCAAGGGGGCAGGAGGGGGACATTTTTCAGCCCAGTGGTTGCATTTCCCTCCTCACAACACTAGTCAAATGCACAAATGAACAGACTTAAATGAACAGAGCAATGAAAGCAAGCCTTATCTTTGCACAGGAAGTTGCTCAAGGAATGACACGCAGAGGGAAAGTTAGCACCTCAAGAATAAAGTGCTTTTTCACCAATCAATCATTTATTGTATTTGACTAAAAGCCATTACAAATCCAGTTACAAAAGCACCAAACCCAATAACCCAAACTATAGTTGAAGGAATGGGTTTCTGTGCAGTCAGTTTAAAACTGACTCAACCGCCCCCCTTTTGAGTCAGTTTTAAACTGACTGTACAGAAACCCATTCCTTCATAGTTCCCATATTCTTTGGGGGAAGAAACCACAAGTGTTTAAAGTGGCTTCATGGCACTTTAAATAAATGGTGTGGATGTGGCCCTGGCCTCCCTCACCCCACTGCCTCTTATTATTGAGGAATCGAAGGCTTCAGAAGTCCAACCTTTTCCTGAAAAGCACAGAGCAGCAGCCCCAATGCACAGGAATATGCTTTCTAGTGTTGTCAGATCATTGGTCCATGGAGCCCACGTTTGTCTTCACTGACTGGCAGCAGCAAGCCAGGACTTCGGACTAGGGGTCTCTGCCAGATGCTGGGAACAGAGGCCAACCAGAGAATATTGAGAAGCAAAGCAGCCAGTAAGCCTGATCTTTAATAAACTGCTGCAACAGGGTCACCACCTCCCCCCATGCAGAGAGGGAGGAGAGGCACCCAGAACAATGGTATGCAAGCTCTTATATAGACTTTTGAAATTGCCTCCCCTGTAGCTCAAGACCCTCACCCCTCAAAAACCCATCAAACATACATCACAGAAATAGGTAGTCCCCAGCAGAAATACATCGCGGGGGGGGGGGGGGGTCTACGGCAGAAAATCTGTCTGTCAGGATACCTGATAATGGTCACTGATTGCTTTACCTGGGCATTCTCGCTATTCCTTTTGAGATGCTGAATCCAGGTAACGGGTTCACCCTATTTATACATAAATATGCTCCAAAGACAGAAGTTGTCAGCCAAGGGACAGTGGGGAGAATATCTGAAGTCATTGGGAGAGTCAAAATGGCTTCAGGATTGCTCTGCTATACTATTTCAGACACGGGGTTTATATACTTATAAGACATCTGAAGGCAGCCCTGTTTAGGGAAGCTTTTAATGTTTAACAGACCACTGTATTTTAATATTTTGTTGGAAGCCACCCAGAGTGTGGCCTTCACAGATATTGGCACAACTTGGGGGGGTGTTTTGGCTGCTGAGCTTTGCCACCATTATGAGGGCTGAGGGGGTGATGGTGATGCCTCCCCAGCTGCTGCCATTGTCTGTGGCTTGACTGTGATGCCACAAAAACATTTGGCAGCTGAGCGGGTATAAATGTGGGCCAAGGCGCAAGCTTCAGCAGTTGCCCTCCCCAGAGAGAAATGGGCAGCTCGGTGGCACTTGGCCCTGGTGGTCTCCTGCCCCGTGGCGGCAAGCTGGCAAGCGGAAGGAGGCAATCGCCCGGTGCTGGGATGCTGTGGAGCAAGGAGAAGGCAAGGAGAAAGTTTACTTGCTGGTGGGATCACCACTTGAAGGCGGCTAATATTCAGCTCTGAAGCTGGTTGATGTCTGGCAATGGACCTGGCGAGGCTGCAGCTGGTGGATGGTTGTCGGAAGAGTTTGCATTCAGGCTAGTGAAGGCCGCGAGGCTACGCTGGCCGAGATGGATGCAAGCTGGTTTGGAAGCCTTGTTTGTGAACAGGCAGCCAAACAGAGGAAGAGTCTGGGGGGACGCTGTCGGATGGGGGCCATCCCACTCACCTCTTTGCCTTTGCCTTACAGGGATGTCTGGAGGCCGGTGAGGTTTTCCCTGAATCCAGCCTTCTAAGTCGTGAAGAGAACCGCAGGACGTCCCTATTTTCATTGGAGAAATGAACGTGAAATACTGGCAGTGAGCAATGGACAAAGCCGTGACCAGACCTGAGAGAAGGAGCTTTGAAGGGAGACCGCAGGCGAACATCTGCTGCATTGCAAGTGATGGGGCAGTGGGGAGAGAGAAGATGAGGGAGGAAACATTAGGCCACATTAGGCGCACCGTCCATTGGAAGTGCTATGAAGATGCTTTGAACAGGAATGGCTTCCCCTCAGGGTCTCTGGGAACTGTAGGTGGTTAAGGGGACGGGGAGTTGTTACGAGGGTTAGGGTTAGGGTTAGCGTTAGTGGTAGGGGGTAGGGGTAGTGGTAGGTATAGGGGTATTGGGTAGGGGTAGGGTAGGGTTCCCTTCTTGCCAGGGAATTCTGGGAATTGTAGTTCTGGCTAAGGGGTAGGGGTAGTGGGTAAGAGGTAGGGGTAGGGTTCCCTTCTTGGCAGGGAACTCTGGGAATTGTAGCTTGGGTTAAAGGTTAGTGTTAGGGTTAGGGTTAGGGTTAGGGTTCCCTTCTTGCCAGGGAACTCTGGGAATTGTAGCTCTGGTTAAGGGTTAAAGGTTAGCGTTAGGAACTCTGGGAATTGTAGCGGTAGGGTTCCCTTCTTGGCAGGGACTCTGGGAATTGTAGCTTGGGTTAAGGGTTAATGGTTAGGGTTAGTGTTCAGGTTAGGCTTAGGGTTAGAGGTAGGAACTCTGGGAATTGTAGCTCTGGGAGGGGAACAAAGGGGTCTCCTAACAACTCTCAGCCCCCTTTTCCAACTATAGCTCCCAGTTTCTTTGGGGGAAGAAGCCATGAGTGTTTAAAGTGGCATCATAGCACTTTAATCGGTGTGGATGTGGCCCCGGCATCCCTCACCCCACTGCCCCGTATTATTAAGAAATTGAAAGGATTTCCCCATTAAAATCTCTCGGGAACAGGAAGAAGGACTTTGTATCTCATGTCATCTTGGGTGGTTTCTATCGCTTAATTGTTCAGATCATATGACCATTTCATTTGGAAAATTACTTAATAAATATTTTTTTTATTAAAACCTTTGAATGTGTTTGAAATGTGTTTGAGTGTGCTGAGAATGATTTCACTTGAAAGCAATGCCCTTAGATCACAGAATCATGGAGTCAGAAGGGACCACGAGGGTGAGTCCAACCCCCGGCAGGAAATTTGGCCCAAAATAGGGATCTAACGATGGCCCTGAGATTAAGAGTCTCGTGCTCTACCCAATGAGCTATACGGATTGATCTGAACAACAAACACCATTTATTTTTTACAATTTACAGTGGTGTAAAATAAAGGGTGTAGGAAATGAAATGATTGTTGCGTTTTCATTATTTGAGGATGCTTTAATAAGATTTTGGATTAAAAACACTTAACCTAGACGCACAGAGGTTGCATATACCTGTGACTGGTGGTTAACACTTGACTTTATCAGGTAATAAACTGGCTTGAGCTTGAAAAATGGTCAGAGCATGAAAAGTAGGGCAGCTTGCGATCAGCTTAATTCAATTAAGACAATCTTGCAATACAAATGTTCTGCTTATGTGTCAATAAATTTATTTAGTGGGGCTTATGACCATATTTGTATAATGATTAACATGGGAAGTGGGAAGGTAAAATGTTAATGAGGTGGACATGAGACCCCGTAATCTGGCACACCCCTTCTTGTGGGCGTGGAAGGAGGGACTTGTGGCCGGACAAGGGACTTTGTAAGCTGTGTTTTTCCTGAGGCAGGTGTGCCTGATCTTGGGTTACCCCATTTGCACGTGTGTATGGTGCTGGAGGAGACTCTTGAGAGTCCCATTGACTGCAAGAAGATCAAACCTCTCCATTCTGAAGGAAATCAGTCCTGAGTGCTCACTGGAAGGACAGATCCTGAAGCTGAGGCTCCAATATTTTGGCCACCTCATGAGAAGAGAAGACTCCCTGGAAAAGACCCTGATGTTGGGAAAGATGGGAGGGCACAAGGAGAAGGGGACAACAGAGGACAAGATGGTTGGACAGTGTTCTCGAAGCTACAAACATGAGTCTGACCAAGCTGCGGGAGGCAGTGGAAGACAGGAGTGCCTGGCGTGCTCTGGTCCATGGGGTCACGAAGAGTCAGACACGACTAAACAACAATGATAAAAAGGTTTCCTAATTCACCCATTTTGTCCAGATCACTTTATTTAAAAGGATCCAGAGACCTTAAGTCAAAGGAACCAGTTTATTTATTTCTCACAAAGGGTAAAATAAATTATAACAATCCCTCAACTGCCAAAACAAACGGTCTTGCAGCGCAGCGCCACCCGCATCCAAGTTGCGAGGCTTCGTTTCCCCAGCCTTGTCTGTGTATGGTCTGCCTGTGATGTCACAAACAGACATGGCAGCTGAGGGGGAAAAGGTAGTTTCTTATTCTAGAATTTCAAACCCAGGGGGACATTTTCCAGCCCAGGGGCTGCATTCCAGGGGCTCCCATGCCAGCGGTGCATAAATTCACACTAGTTTACATTGAATTGCTTTTGCCATTTGCTTGCCTCTTCACAGTTTGGAACAGTCCTTTGGGAGCTCTTTATAATCGCTTTTCTTTTTAACTATCCTGGACAATTTAGAAGTAAAAATGCTTTGGTCCTTGAGGTATTCCACACCTCTCCATTTAGAGAACTATTTATTCCTACACTTCGCTTCCTGCAACTTAACATATTTTGGCTCCACAAGAGAACCTCTCCTCTCATTTCTGCCAAGCTTCCTGCAGCCAGTCAGAAGCCACGCTTTGGTTTCCAAACGTTTTGGAAGTCAAACAGACTTCCAGAACGGATTCCATTCAACTTCCAAGGTACGACTGCATAGGGAAACCAAACCAATGCAAACAGAAACTGAACCACAGGGTCACGCTGTTTCTCCTGGATTGTGGATTTTTGAAAGGATATTAACTTTTCGCTGGTGCTGTTTGAAGGCATACTGGGGATTGAGGACACCACATTGATGACCCCTGAATACGAGGTTGACTCCTCCCCCCCCCCAACTTTGTGACATTGCTGAAGGGCAGAACTTAATAATGTGGTCAGGGAGGAGTGGGAATGGAGCCAGGGCTGTCAATCAGAAGAACCTCAAACTGCCAGAATATTTTTTGCTCATGGCTTCGTTATTCCTTCTTTCCAGGAGAGTGTTAGGTGGGCTACAGTGGTACCTTGGGTTAAGTACTTAATTCATTCTGGAGGTCCGTTCTTAACCTGAAACTGTTCTTAACCTGAAGCACCACTTTAGCTAATGGGGCCTCCCGCTGCCACCGCGCCGCTGCTGCACAATTTCTGTTCTCATCCTGAAGCAAAGTTCTTAACCCAAGGTACTATTTCTGCGTTAGCGGAGTCTGTAACCTGAAGCGTCTGTAACCCGAGGTACCACTGTAGTTATATATGTGCCACCATACCAAAAAAAAGCAAAAAAGAAAGAGGCCGCCCAAAGGTTGATCTGTGTTTCCTACCTCAGGTCTGCCTACTTATGCTGTTTGCTGAGAACATGCAATTAAATTGTTTTTCTGTATGGTTTGTGTGGCATTGTGTGTTGACCTAAGATCGCTTCACACTGCTCAGATGAGTGGGTTCTTTCCATGTAGAAATCCTTCTCCTGTCACTGAGCATTTTTTCAGACTCCATCCATTATGCACATCCACTCTCCATAAAGTTGTTATCAGTGCTTTTTTCCTAAAAAAATGTTTAGGGGTGCTCTCATTTTCCTACACATATTGAAATACTGCCTTTCAACGAAGGCAAACAGATTCACAAAATGTTTAGAGGGATGCGTACCCCTGTGTACCCCCAGAAAAAGCACTGGTTGTAACAACAACAACAACAATTTATTATTTATACCCTGCCCATTTGGCTGGGTTCCCCCAGACACCCTGGGCGGCTCCCAACAGAATATTAAAAACACAATAAAACATCACACATTAAAAACTTCCATATTTATTTAAGGTAAAGGTAAAGGTAAAGGGACCCTTGACTATTAGGTCCAGTCATGGCCGACTCTGGGGTTACGGCGCTCATCTCACTTTATTGGCCGAGGGAGCCGGCGCACAGCTTCCGGGTCATGTGGCCAGCATGACTAAGCCGCTTCTGGTGAACCAGAGCAGCGCACCGAAACACCGTTTACCTTCCTGCCAGAGTGGTACCTATTTATCTACTTGCACTTTGGCATGCTTTTGAACTGCTAGGTTGGCAGGAGCAGGGACTGAACAACGGGAGCTCACCCTGTCACAGGGATTCGAACTGCCGACCTTCTGATTGGCAAGTCCTAGGCTCTGTGGTTTAACCCACAGCGCCACCCGCATCCCTCCCTATTTATTTACTTACACCCAAAAGACATGGTGTTTCTTCTTCCACTTGGCGACGATTCACAATCCAACCTGGATTTTTTTACTGGTATCTGAACCTTGATCCACTGTTGCATCCCAAAATGGGAAACATATATTGCGATAATAATGCAGTCACCACACAGAAGCAGCTTAAGATCCAAATAGTATACTGTTGCAGAAGATGAGGCTCAGTAAAACAGTTCCAGACATAGATAGACACAGCTTGTAGGCTTCTACAGATACAGATATATACAGATACATAAGAGTACAAGGCATTTCCATTATTCTAAGTAAACTCACCAATTCAGGACATAACACTGGACAACTAATAGACTCTACTACTGAGCTGACATGCATTAACCACAGATATAGGGGCACTGGGCCATGACCATAGCAACTGGCTTGGCTGGCCTTGCACCTTGTTTAGCTCACCCAGGGGTGATTTACACTCATAAAGGAAATTAACCCTTTCTCATATCCAGTTACTCAAACACCCCTTCTTTAATTTTGTTCATGATATTGGATTTCATTTGATGGCAGAAAACCTAGCCGTTTCACCAATTATTCACATTTACACGCTGCAAGAGGCTTTATCAGTATATCTGTCAGAATTTTTTCTGTGGGGCAGAATCGTAATTCAATTAGTTTCTGTTCCACCTGGTCTCTTACATAATATATGAGATCCACGTGTTTAGATCTCTTTTGGACTTTCTTGGACTCAGCCATATGAATACAGGTGTGGTTGTCCTCAAATATTGTGACTGGCTCCAACACAGGTAGACCCATATGATTTAACAGTTGTTTAAACAATCTTCTGCCCTGTGTGTAAAGCTTTTCTCACACCCACCTGTATGGAGCCTCTGATGATAACGAAGGCCATTGCTCTGAGCAAAGCTCTTTCCACACACTAAGCATTTATACGGCTTCTCCCCTGTGTGGATTCTTTGGTGATTAAAAAGCGTACTGCTCTGAGTGAAGCTCTTCCCACACTCTAAGCATTTATACGGTTTCTCCCCTGTGTGGATTCTCTGATGACTAAGAAGGATACTGTTATGGATGAAGCACTTTCCACAAATGGAACATTTATGTGGCTTCTCTCCTGTGTGGATTCTCTGATGACGAGAAAGGCCAGCACGGTCAGTGAAGTTATTTCCACACTCTGAGCACTTATAAGGTCTTTCACCAGTATGGGTTCTTTCATGATAAGTAAGGTTGCTGCCATGACTGAAGCTTTTCCCACACTCGGCACATTTAAATGGTTTCTCACCTGCATGAAGTCTCTGATGACTACGAAGACTTTTGCTATGAGTGAAGCTCTTTCCGCACTCTGGGCATTTATACGGTTTCTCTCCTGTGTGGATTCTTTGATGACTAAGGAGGTCACTTTGCTGGCTGAAGCACTTTCCACAACTGGAACATTTATGTGGCTTCTTTGTGTGGATTCTTTGGTGATTAAAAAGCGTACTGCTCTGAGTGAAACTCTTTCCACACTCTAAGCATTTATATGGTTTCTCCCCTGTGTGGATTCTTTGATGGCTAAGAAGGCGGCTGTTCTGGCTAAAGCACTTTCCACAATTGGAACATTTATGCGGCTTCTCTCCTGTGTGGATTCTCTGATGACGAGAAAAGCTACTACGGTCAGTGAAGCTCTTTCCACACACTGAGCATTTATATGGTTTTTCTCCAGTGTGGATTCTTTGATGGGTAAGAAGGTTGGAGCTCAGACGGAAACTCTTTCCGCACTCTGAACATTTATACCGTTTCTCTCCTCTGAGTGAAGAGCTCTGAGTGAAGCTCTTTCCACACTCTAAGCATTTATACAGTTTCTCCCCTGTGTGGAATGTTTGATTACTAAGAAGGTCAATTTTCTGGCTGAAGCACTTTCCACAACTGGGACATGTATGTGTGTTCTCTCCTGTGTGGATTCTTTGGTGATTAAAAAGCGTACTGCTCTGAGTGAAACTCTTTCCACACACTGAGCACTTATATGGTTTTTCTCCAGTGTGGATTCTTTGATGAGTTAGAAGGTTGTAACTCAGACAAAAACTCTTTCCGCACTCTGAACATTTATACGGTTTATCTTCTGTGTGGATTCTTTCATGTACAAGAAGATGTGATTTGTAGTTGAAACTCCTTCCACACTCTGAACATTGAAACCGTTTATCCCCATCATTTTTTCTTCCAATGGTGCTAAGGCTTGATAGTCTTGTTGGGCTTTTTGCACAAAGAGAGACATTTTCCTCTTTCTTGCCTGTGTAAGGTCCTTCCAGCATTGAAATTTCACTGAAGCTAGCACCATTAGGAACAACAGCGTCCTTCCTCACATTTTCTTCTGCTTCAGTTTTAATTCTCTGGGGTTCATTCTCTTGACTGATCTCCTTCTGATTACCTGCAGGAATACAAAGAGGAACTTGATCAGGGAGGAACGGATACCCAAATTACGGAACAATTCCAATTAACAGCTATCTAAAACAGAGAAGGGGAAGGAGGCAGCCACTGTTGATAGACAATAACTGGCTGCTTATGTGGAGTATGTATAGAGCAGGGAAGGTTGACGGCCACATTCCCCCTTGACCAATGTTTCTGGGGGATGCAAGACAACGGTAATTGTAGCTAAAGGTGGGTATGGCCAGTCCACACTGTCTCTCTCACACATACACCTTTCCTTGTGTACACACACACACCCACACCCACACACACACAGCTCCCACCTCACAGCTGAACTGTGCATATCAAATAATCAATCTGAGAACCAGGGAAGAGTCGTTTTTCCTCCTCATTTTGAGTTTCTGCTGAAATGACGCTGCATTTTAATGTTGTATTTTAATCTTGTTTTTAAGCTGTATTTCAATCAATTGTTTTCTATTTGGTGTTAGCCGCCCTGAGCCCGGTCTTGGCTGGGGAGGGCGGGGTATAATTTTTTTTTTTTTTTATTAAATATTTTATTAAGGATTTTCTTGTTTTACAGAAGTAAGTGTACTGCCTCGTATATATATTTTTTTCATGTAACATTTTTACAAATCCATTTCATTTGTTGAGGCATTAGGGGGGAGAAGAAAAAAAAGAAAAAAGAAAGGGGGTGGAGAGAGGGAAGATGGATGGGGGTGGGGTCGGGTGGCGGTGTTTCTATTATGTTTAATGTATGTAGAGTTTGGTGTCAGCGTTGCTTGTGTTGTTCACTTGTGTTCCTTTCGTGGTGAGAGAGGTTGGGGTTGGCCTAGGGTGTGATTGTCTGCTTGTGATTGGCTGTGGTGATCTTTGTTTTCGTGTGTGAGTGAGGTGGGTGGGTGTTTTGGATCAGGTTAGCCATATTGATTTGTATGCTGTTGGTGGATTATTGTCATTGTCCTGTTGGGCTGTGTATGTGATAAAGGGAGCCATACCAGGGTGAAGACGTCTTCTTCTGTTTGTCCCGTGTCAGTTTCAGTTTATTAGTTAATTTTTCTAGTAGGGCTGTTTCCCATACTATTTGGTACCATTGGTCCATGTTTACTCCTGACAGGTCTCTCCAGTGTCTGGTTATGGTGTTTCTGGCTGCTGAAAGTAGGTGGGTTATGAGTTCTTTGTGGTGTAAATGGGCATTGTTGTCTTGGAAGATGTTTAGTAGGGCCAATTCTGGGGTGATGTCTATTACTTGCTTAGTTATTTTACATATTTCTTGTATGGCTGTTGTCCAGAATAGTTGGATTTTGGGACACTCCCACCACATGTGGAGGTATGTGCCTGTGGAGGTGCACCCTCTCCAGCATTTTGGTGAGGTTCCTGGGTGTATTAGCGCTAGTTTCCTTGGTGTTAGGTACCACCTGTAGGTGAGTTTCAGTGTGAGTTCTTTTCTTTTCGTTGATATGGATTTAAAGGGGGTTTAGACCACATTCTGGTCCATTGAGTGGGGTTAATCTCATAGCCTATGTCATTCTCCCATTGTTTTTGATTGCATCTAGGGGATTTGCGGGATTTTGGAGTAGTATTTTGTATATTGCGGATACCGTCCCTTTACCGTTTCCTTTTGTTGTTAGGAGGAGGTTTTCGAAGGTTGTCAGGGGCCTAGTTGCTGCTGATTTTACTGTTGGGTTGTTTAAGAGGGCATGTAGTTGGTGTTGTGTTAACCAGGGCATTTGGGTGTCTTCTAGTTTGTCTTGTATTTCTTGTGTTGACAAGGGTTTGTTATTTTTATAAAAGTCTATTAGGCGATATAAGCCTTTGGTTTGCCAGGTTTTTATCTGGAGGTTTTGTGCTGCATGGTGGAATAATGGGTGAGTACGCCAGAGGATTAGTGGGGATGGGGTTGGGGATAGTTTGCCTATTTGTGTTTTCCATGCTTTGAGCATGGTCTGTGTGTACCTGTTAAGTGTTGTGGGAATTTTCTTTAGTTTGTTTGGGAGGAATGGGTATGTTGTGGTGCAGGTATTTTCAATTGTGTCCCTCTCTAGGTGTACCCATTGTTTTGTCTCATCTTCTAGTATATATGGGATTATATGGCGTATTTGGTTGGCATTGTAATATGCTTCTATGTTGGGGATTCCCCATCCTCCTTCTGAGGTGGGGAGGTGCAGGTATTTGAGGCTTATTCTTGGTTATAACGTGAGAAGATGAAAGAGTGTAGTTTTCTCTGCCAACTGCGAAGTTGGGTTGAGGGATCCAGATTGGGAGGGTTTGGAATAGGTAGGTTAGTTTTGGGAGTGTGATCATTTTGATCATGGCTATTTTGTCTGAGAGAGTGAAATTCATGTTATTCCATCTCTTTAGGTCTTTGTTAATTTGTCGCCACAGGGGCTTGTAGTTGTGGAGGTACAATTTATTGAGGTTTCTGGTTATTTGTACCCCTAGGTATCTGAACTTGGTGTGGCAAAGTTTTATTTTGGTGACCTTCGTGAGTTCTTTTTGGGTGTGAGGAGGGGTGTTGAAGCACATAGCTTCTGACTTTGTAAAATTTACCTGTAGGCCCGACACCATTGCAAATGTGTTGAGTTCTCTGATTAGGGAGGTTGCTGTGCTTATGGGGTCTGGTGTTGTGACCATTAGGTCATCTGCAAAGAGCCCTAATTTATAGGTTCTGCCTTTTATTTCCACTCCCTTGATGTCTGTGGCTGCTCGGATGCTGATTGCTAAGGGTTCCAGAGCCAGGATAAATAAGAAGGGAGACAGTGGGCATCCTTGTTTCGTGCCTCTTTGGATAGCTATAGTATTAGAATCCATATTGTTAGTTCTGCATTTTGCTGAGGCTTGGGAGTATATTTGTTTGAGAATTTGTAGGAAGTTGGGGCCAAATTTCATGTTAGTTAGTACTGCTAATATGTATTTCCACTCTAAGCAATCAAAGGCTTTGAGGATGTCTAGGGACATAATTGTCAATGGGAGTTTGGTTGCCTTGCTGTGTTCGATCAGGTTCAGTAGTTTCCTGATGGGGTCTGTTATATTGCGGCCAGGGACAAAGCCAGTCTGGTCTGGGGCTACTAACTTGTGTAGGAAGGTTTTTAGGCGGTTGGCCAAGATTGATGTGAATATCTTGTAGTCTTGGTTTATTAATGAGATTGGGCGGTATGATTCTACTTTGAGGCTGTCTTTTAGTGGTTTTGGGATGGAGACTATTTTGGAGTGGGTCCAGGTTTTGGGGATGGGGCCCCCTTTTATGATGTCGTTGAATAGGCGGGTCATGTAGGGCATCAAGGGTTCTTTGAATTTCCTATAGAATTCTGCTGTGAAGCCGTCTGGGCCTGGGGCTTTGTGTGGTTTCAGGTTTTTGAGGACCGCATCTATTTCCTCTGGGGTGATAGGGCTGTCCATGAATTCCTGTTCCTCATCAGTTAGGGTAGGCATGGACAGTCCTGCTAGAAATTTTTGATTTCCTTCTCTGGTGGGTTATGGGAGGTGTATAGGTTGGAGTAGAATTCTGCAAATTCTGAGTTTATTTCTTCGGGGGAGAATGTTATGTTGCCGTCTTTTTTGGTGATGCAGTGTATTCTTGTTTTGAGTGCTTTTTCCTGCATCTATTTGCTAGTAATCTGGAGTTTTTCCCTCCATATTCGTAGACACGTTGTTTGGAGTATAGACTGTTGATCATTGTTTTGTTAATTTCTAGGAGTCTAGTTCTCTCCTTTTTTGTTCCATAAGTTTGAGGAGTTTTTAGATCCTGTTTGTTTGTAGCGTGATGAGAGGGCTGTGATGTCTTGTTCTATTTTGCTAATTTTTGAGGAGGTTTGTTTTTTAAGGAATGTTTTCTCTTTTATGCAAGCTCCTCTGGTGACCGCTTTCATTGCGTCCCATAGGAGGGGTTGTTATATTGTTTACATCGTTTTCCTTGAAGTAGTTTTGGAGGGTTTTTGTGAGACTCTCTCTAATTTGTTTGTTTGTAGTTAGGATGGGACTGAAGGACCATGATGGGGTGGTTTGTGTTCCTTCTCCTATTTTAACGATGACTTCTACTGGGCGTGATCTGTGATTTTAATGTTACCTATGTTTGTTGATTCCACTGAGGGATCAGACCCTGTGTGAGTAGAATGCTGTCCAGTCTGGATACTGTATCATGGCGTCCCGATTGGAATGTATGGCTGATGTCTCCCGGGTTTTGCTCACCCCAAATGTCGTAGAGACCCCTGCTTTTTAGCATTTTTAGTAACTTGTAAGGGTTCCTAGTTGTTGGGGGTTTCCTTCGGAGGAAGGTTGCCCATGGGGTTGTAGGGTGGATATCTTTCAGGGCTATGCCTTTCATATTTAGATTGAGGTCCCCTCCTAGGATTGCTTCCCCTTCAGAGAAGGAGAGGAATTTGTTTAGTGTCTTCTGGAAGAATTCTAATTGTTTCGTGTTTGGGGCATATATGGAGCCAATTGTCAGTTTGATTTTGCCATCTAGTGTCCCTTTAGCGAAAATGAATCTGCGTTTGTTGTCCTTGAGGAGGGTTGTGGCAGTGAAGTTCTGGACTCTACTGAGTATTATGGCTACACCACGAGCTTTCCCTGAGCCTCGTGCGACCCACTGTTGACTGAAGCGGGGGTCGCTCAGGAGTTGCTGCCTTTGGGTGGGTTGTGTATTTCTTGTAGGAAGGTGATGTGTGGTTTCATGGTGTTTATGTATGAGGTGATGCGTTTTCTTTTGATGGGGTTTCCCAGCCCCCTCACGTTTAATGTAATTGCTTTTAGGTTAGCCATCTTGCTTATCTATTATGTGGGGCGATTCCCTGCCAACCCGTTTGGGTTGTCTTGTATCTCTCTCTTCGTGTTGTTTAAAGTACCAGTGGGGTTGCGCTGACCTAGGGTGTGGCGGGTGGGGGGCTAA